CCAGGTGGTGGTGGTGGTGTGGGGGTTGGGAGATGGTTCGGAGCTGTGCAGGATGATCCAGACGACCTGTAGTGGAGCCAAGAGCAGCAAGAGGATGCACGCCAGGGTCTGGGATAGGGTGTAGAGGGAGAGTTGGAGGAGGAAGGTGGGAAGGCCGTGGAGCTTGATGTACGTGTGATGGGGGTGCCAATCCGACAGGTGGGAGGGGAGGGGAGGGAGGGAGGAGTAGAGTTGGTGGAGGAGGGGCAGGTGCATCAGGGGTTGGAGATGGTCGTTGTTGGGGAGGGACCATTCGATGGAAGCGGGGTGAGGTTGGTAGAGGATTCCGAGAGAGGAGGGGGGAGTGTACATCCGCATGCGTTGGGCTTTCTTCTCTGCGATACCGAGCAACCACGCCATGAGGATGCATTGAAGGAGCACGAGCAGCAAGCTCGTCCTGCGCGAAAGTCCACTCCTCGTCGTCGAGGTGGCGTTGCTCGTCGAACCCAGGGCCGTGTCGAGGGTCTGACTGGAGGACTGAAGTTGAACAATTCGATCCGCCAGAACGGCCAGAGCGTTCATGACGTCGGTCTTGACTTCGTCCATACGCAGTCGATCTTGCTCGTCTTGCTGTTCGAACTCGCGTTTAGCAATGCGCTGGGGTCTCGGCGACGGCTTCTCTTCCGTTTTCCTAGCCGCGACCCAATCCATACGCTCATTCACCCGATCCAACTTCTGTCCCAACTGCATCCTCCTCACCCTCGAATCGTGCGCATCCGATACCGTCTGCAAGATCCTACTTATTGTAGCATCCACTTGCCCACCTCGTCCGCGTACCTGCCCGTTTCCCGCTGTATTCGCATCCACCTGTCTCGCATCCTCACCTGAAGAAACAGACGAAGAGGATCCGGCATCGAATCGTGCAAATTGCTCGCGTCCGAGATCCACTGGTCTCGGCGATCGTGGCGAGTTTCTCGGATCGTTGGGGGCCAGCATCTTTGAGCTCGACGACGACGTCGATGGCGGTGGTGTCGACTCTCGCGGGATCGACGATGCAAGGTCTGCCGAGGGGTCGAATGCTGGAAACAAGCCGAAAGCTTTTGCGGCAGAAGAGAGAGGTCGGGTGACAGCAGCCGGAATAACGTCCGGTAGCACGCGTTCGATCTTTGGGCTCGGTCGGATGATGTGTCTCGAGTAGTTCTTGGTCGGAGTCGCTGCGTAGGCCCCAGGAAACCGCACGCTTTGAGAGAAAGATGCTGCTGCAGGCTCGGTGCTAGCCCGAGGTGAGATTATATGCGGTTGACTGACCGGCGATCGTTCTCGCTCCTCGTCCTCCACACTCGAATCCTCTTCTCCATTGTCCTCCTCCTCCTCGTTCGTCCCGACTGAAAAGTGCGCCGGCACAGGCGCCCCGGCCAACACCTCCGGAATAACAATCTCCTTGCTCGGCAAAAACAATCTCTCCACCACCGCCTCCCTTTCCCCATCGTTCGTCTGTGATTCATCCCACGACCCCGAATCCGACCTGTAATCCGGTCTCGGACTGAACCGTACACTGTGACCACGCCTTGCCGCGCTTAACTGCGGCAAACCTTTCTTCGCGGATGACAAGATGCCACCCACAGGCGTCTGTGGGAACTCCAGCGGCGGCTCAACTTTCTCCACTGGAGGTGTTGAGGTTTGACCGAGGACGTGGTTGAGTCTCTGCCTAGCTGCACCGACGGAGGCGGTGGGGAGGCGGGCGACGACGCTGACGGTGTTGGTGTTCTGTCGACGATGCGCGTTTTTGCGTGGCGAGGAGGCGGCGCTGGAAATGTCGGAGACGCTGCGGACGGGGGATAGGTCGAGCGCCATTGGCTGGGAGGAAAAGGCGAATGCGGTTGTGGGTTTGGATTGAGGTGTTGTAGGTGCTGCTGATGGCGAGGGTTGCAGAACATCGTCTACGACGTCTTGGTCGTCGACCTCGTCGTCTTCGGCCAAAGTCTCGGGGATTCGTTCAGCCGCTTCCTCGCGTAGATGACGTGATTCGACATCCGCAGCGGCACCCTCGTCTACTTTTGGAGAACCAGGGCTCGATAGCAAAGGCGAAGCACTGACGACGCTGGCCGGAGAACGACTTGGAGAGAATCGAGATGCGATCGAGTGGAAAGCGGTTGCCTGGCCCTGGCTTGGCGATGTGTCCGGCGCCGTCGTGGACGCAGAGACAGGACTGTCAAACTGAGAACTCGTCGCGGAAGACCTTCGCCGCAAGGGGGCGCCGAAAGCGCGAGCAGCTCGTTCACGTTCCCTACGCACCTGCTTCTCCTGCCACTGCCTGTGCTCTTCGGCAGCGCGCGCTTCCCGCTCCCTTTGCATCGACTCGAATACTGCGGCGATACTCTTCCGACCTGGAGTCGATTTGAGCGGGCTGCTGCTTGAGGATATCGGGGTGCCAAAGTCTTCCTTCTCGACGAGCTTCGGGCCGGGCGTTCGTCGGGATATGGATGCGTCCGATGCGAGGGATCGTGCTGTAGAATGGATCGGGGAAGCTTTGGTGGCAGCAACATCGGATGGCAAATCGAGTTTGGCAGGAGGCGACTGACGATCATTGCTGGTGTGGGAGAGGGAAGCTCGACGAGCAGTCCAGCGTGCCATGGACTCTGCGCGTCGTTGTGCAGCCTGAGCCCGATCTGCATCGCTCTCGGCGTCTGATTCGTTGCTCTCCAATGTGTCGAGACCTCTTTGAAGCTGATCGAAAGAACGTTGGTGGTTCGAGTCGGGCGAAGGCCCGCCGGTATCCTTTGCTCGAGACCGCGCCGATCGTGGAACGAGGATTGGATCCTTCTCAAAGTCGCGGCCCTGCGATCGAAATCCTGTTTGCGAATGCGCAGACTGTTGGGAGAGCTCTGCGTTGCTAGAGTCCATGCTTGAGGCGGGCATGGCACCCGCTTGTCGTTGCCGCATCGGATGTACACCCACCGACAAGGAGCCAGATTCGGAGCCGGACGAGGATTCGCCGACTACACGCCGACACAAACCGAGGTCGATGTCCTGATCAGAACAGCGGCAGTCGACGGGGCATAGCTGACGCACCGAGCGCGTCCTTGCGCTGCCCGAGTCTGCGCTGCGTCTTGTCGAGTCTTTGATGGTTCGAGCAGAAGCCGACGAGGACCTGCTCGTGCGTGGACGTCTCGTCAGCGGTGTGATGTGTATCGAAGGCAGTGTTCCAATCTCCTCGAGAGCCGACAGAGTCGGTGTGTCCCTACCGCCACCGCGACTATCCGCGAACGAGTCGAGAGAACTGGTGTTAGACTCGGATCTCACCTCCCAGGGTTGATAGTCGGAAGTGCTTTCGGCGTTGACGAGCGTACTGCTCGACGTAGATATCGCATCGGGTTGCCTAGGTGATTCGCTTGCCGTGTTGCTGGAGCGGTTGCGTTGGTCAGGGCCGCTGGCGCGGAGACGCCGAGCGAGAAAGGGACTGTGCAATGGTTTGATGGAAGATGAAGCAAAGGCGTTGCGCAGAGGTGAGGTGGCCGCAGCTTCATCGCGGGTAAAAGAGCGTACTGGTGAGTTCATTTGTAGGAAGAGCTACCTCGTCGATGATCATCGATGACGGATGTGGGATGCTGTAGGGATTGGAGAGCTGTGATGCTGCCAGTTGGCTGCTGCCATGATGATGACTTCAGAATGCACAGGGTTCAGGCATCGTCAGTTGAAGGTGATATCGTGCTGCTCGTTCGACTTCAGGATGGTGCCAGTTTAGGGTGATCGTCACGCCCTTGCGATATTTCTGGGTGCGATCCGGCAGTGTGTGCTTCGAGTGAGGAAGCGTATCGACGATGTTCTCGGGATCTGAAAAGAGGATGTCAACGATGAGCTTGATGGTGTCGAACTCGCACCTAACATGTTCGACGCGCTCAAGAGCTGCACAATCCTGACAGGGACGAGAAATGGCAGAGAGACACGCTTCGCTCGTTCGTCTAGGCAAAGACGCGCTTTAGCGTGTTGAGCGCATCGGGTCAGATCTGAACAGTGTCCACCCGATCTACCGATTCAAAGTTGCTTCGACCAAGACCATCGCAAGATCGTAAGGTGGCTTGGATGATGAAGTGGCGGGGGACTTTCAAGCATCCCGATCCTAATAGAAGAAGATGTGCTCCTCGAGACAGTTGCCTAGATCTGTTGCCGTTCGAAGTGGTGAGGTAAGCCGAACACAAGGACCCAAGCCAAAATGCAGCTTGGGGAGCGTTTGACAGGCTCGGATTTCACCGAGAAGCACACGACGGCCGAGTATCCACGCATCCGAGGATTCGCGGATGCCTCGCCGAACGAAGTCGTCATGTCCCAAAATTGTGGATCTTTGATGGCTCAGATGCGACCATCCGAAGCTCATTCCAGCGTCGTACAATGCTTGCAGGCACCGGAAGCTAGAGCCACTGCTGCCAGCAAATCTAACGTGTTTGAGGCCCAAACAAAGCTTATACTGTACCATTTACCGCGAGCACAAGCTTAGGTAATACGAGCGTCATGAGGCTACAGCATCAGCGGTACGTGATACCCACCCCCAACACGAGCATGTTCTCTGAGCACAGCGAAGACGGATGCGTAGGTTCCTAGTTTCGTGGATTTTGGCGGCGCACACAGACAGAGTCTGACAAGACTTAACCGCACATTCAGGGTCCTCGGCGATCTCCGTAGATGAGTACGTGCCAGGCAGACCACAACCGTGCAGAGATTCCCTTGTTGCTGCATCCATTTCGGCACACATGGCTAGAGGTCCACACGCTAGTCAGCCTCATGGAAGAAAAGAACAATGACCCGAGGATTGCTCCGCAAGAGCTCGCCTGCTCGGCTTAAGCCGTCAATCCAGCTCGTAGTGACTTTTCGAGGCGCCAAACAAGGTTTGACTGCTGCCGTCTGTTGAAGTCGCCTGTTATTTCTTCAAGTGTGGGAAAGACCTTGAGCTCACAGGAAGCGGGTCGCTCCCCATACTGCGACAGTGTGCACCTTCTTATGATATGGTGCAAACTTGTTGATGAAGCTATTGAGCCCGGCACGAGAGAAAGATAGCGTTTGAAGGGCGATTGCAACAGCTCAGCCTCCGAGGAAATTCCGTAACCCTTATCGCTGGTTTGACCGGCTCGTGTCTTTTTCCCCCACGACTCTCTACTCGAGCTTGAAAGATTTCCGCAACAAACTTGAAGCCGGTCCCGTCAAGTTGCCTGCTTCCCGACCCTCTGCTGGTCATCGTCGCACGCTACATATAAGACGGTCCTCTTTGTTTCAGCACCGCTATCCGAATTGACCCCAAACTCACACCTCGGATCAAGCTACTCTCCCGTCATCCTCATATTCCTGCCGAGCGGATCCATCGCACAGCACCCCGCATCCGTGTCTTCCACTTCTACAGAGCTGATCAGTCAGTCTACAACGGAACAGCCTCTATCGAAATGTCTGCGAAAGCTTCCACCTCAAACGTCCATCTCGCGTCGTCCTCGTACGGCAAGGACCTCGTCCGCATCTTCCGCATCGTCCGCGACGCCAAGGATCCATCATCGCACCGCGTCGTCGAGTACACGGTCCGATGCCTGCTCCACGGTGAGAGCCTCACGCCATCCTACACCGAAGCCGACAACTCGCCCGTCGTCGCTACCGATACGGTCAAGAACACGCTCAACTACCTCGCCAAGGTGCTTCCTGCCGAAGACGTGCTCTGCCCGGAACGATATGCGCTCAATGTAGTCAACCACTTCCTCACCACCTATTCGCACATCGAAAAGACCGAGGTCGACCTCATCCAGCACAAGTGGACACGAATCGTCTTGGACCAGAAGGACGGCGGTGCTCACAAGCACAGCTTTGTGCGTGACGGTGAGGAGAAGCGCACCGTGCGGGCGCTGGGTGAGCGATCGGGTGACAAGATCACCGTGACGACGCTCGAGGGTGGAATCAAGGGTTTGCTGGTGCTCAAGAGCAGCGGCAGTGCCTTCTACGGCTTCCACAGGGATAGCTTCACCACGCTCAAGGAGGTACGCGACCGCATCTTTTCGACCGAGGTCGAATGCTCCTACTCGATCGCATTGCCATCAGGTGGACTCACAGCCGTGCTCAAGAACCCATCGTCTCTGCCCCAATTCTGCGATATCCAGTCGTCCGTCAAGGCACACGTGCTCCGCGTGTTCGCGCTCGACGACTCGGCCAGTGTCCAGGCCACCATGTACCGCATGGGTGAGGCCATCATCGGAGACGCTGCCAACAAGACGGTACAGGACGTATCGTTTGCGTTGCCCAACAAGCACTACATTCCCATCGATCTCGGATTCAAGGGCCTCAGCAACCTCGACGAAAAGAACGCCGAGGTGTTCCTCCCTACCGCGCATCCAAGCGGCTACATCAAGGCCAAGATCGCTCGTTCGCCCGCTGCTAAGCTCTGATCTGGATCACCTTCCACTGGTATTTGTGCCCCCCTCGGCTCCTCCTTGTCATCGACTTGTATTTAGTGTTTCTATGAACGAGTTTTGATTCAATCGGCTTCTCTTTTGTGTGTGATGTGATGAAGCCGCCCGGACCGAGCAAACTTTGCTGAACATTTGCCGACGAATGACGACGGACCACCTTTGCCGCTTACCGGTCGACATTGAGCAAAGCAAAGAAGGTAGAGCAAATGAAGGAACGGCTCGGTCAACTCTGCACCGTCATGAAGCCACCGAAAGGGGACGATTGCATAGACAATATCCAACAGCAGCTCAAGGCGCTGCGAGAATTTGGTCTTGGGTGACCGGCGAGATGCAGGGAAGCCTTCGCGCGGCGGGTCAGTGCGCGTTCTGGAATTTAGACTTCTTCGCAACCAACACATGCGGGCGCGGATTGTCTGCAGGCGGTTGTGTTCCCGTTGCAAAGGCCTCCCTCCGCCCTGCACGGCCGCTCGCGTGACGTTTTCCATACCGATCCCCGCAGCGAGACTTTGTTGATCTCACACCATCACCATACAACAGTCTACCTCGATCTCAACACCCAGGAACGAAGATGGCGACTACTTACTTTGAACAGTGCAAGCGTGTAAGTGGCAAACGCAGCTATAGGACGACCATGCTAACTGATGTAGGATGATCGAGGATCGTGCTGACATCCTTCATATTTGCAATCTTCGGCCCGCATCGTCGCCGACTGCAGTCGTTCGCAGATGTACCGACGGAGGGAGGAGTCGATACTGCCGCATTCTTGCAAGCCTGCGATGGCCTTGTCAAGCTTTTCGACTTGCTTGGCAACTCGGCGTTCAAGGTTGTGCAGAACGACATGAATGGGAATATCGCTGTAAGTAGACTCGACATGGTGTGGACGGATCAACAGGCCGCATGCTGATCCTCGATGTCTCGCCGCACGATGGATTGCATGCAACAGAAGGTCAACACTCGTCTGAATGCAACTGGCGCCGAAAAGTCAGGCACGCTCGAAAAGCTCATCCAGAACGAGGGCCCCGGCGGCACCTCCAAGCGACCCGCAACCGAAGGACTCATGTGGCTTCTGCGCGGTCTCGACTTCACCGCTCAAGCTATGCGTAATTCGGTCAACAACAAAAACGAGGAGCTCTCCGTCAGCTTCACCAACGCCTACGGAACTACGCTCCGCCCACACCACGGTATGCTCATCCGCCCCGTGTTTGCGCTCGCCATGAAGGCTTGCCCTTACCGTAAGGACTTCTACGCCAAGTTGGGAGAGCCGCAGAGCAAGGTGGAGGAAGAGTTGGAAAAGTGGTTGGCGGCGTTGGAGAAGATTGTCGCTCACATGAAGAGCTTCTACGCGTAAGTACACGAGAAGACAGAGAGGAGGGGAGAGGAGAGAGCTATCACTGACACCACTCGCATTTCGCGCTCTTACATCTTGGCTGCTCGATACTCGATGCTGATACTGACAACCTCTCACGACTGCATCGCTATTCTTGACCAACTGCAACTGCTCTGTTCTCGGACAGCTCTGGCAAGTACGACAAAGGTTTCTAGAACCATAGCAGCATTGACCATACATGGAATCGAACAATCAATCGCGCATTTGCAGTGGCTTTGTGCGCAAGAAGTGAGCAGTGAGTGCAGAGGCCTCTACTCATGACAAGTGCCGTGTGGGGCAGGACTGGATCTAGAACTTGATCGGTCGAATCTTTTCCCGATTGAATCGCCCCCGTTCTACACCTCACCGAGCTACTGACGAAGAGACACCGAGACCCTGCATCTTCTACGCTCCCGGGGCGAGACTTGCACTCGACGAAGCAAGGACCTGAAGATTCTTTATCTTGATTGAATTCGTCTGAGACGAGAAAGAGCCAATGAATTGAAGCATAGAAAAAACACGGCGTCTTTTCGGAGAAATTGCGTTGCGGAGAGACTTTCGTTACCCCTTTGGCAATCATCGATAAGATCAGAGAGTTGCACCGAGGTCTTTGCGGGCTAGTTGTATCACAATGCATCAATGTCTGCTGGACATCGCTGGACCGAGATAGACGAGGCTACTCGTCAAAGATGCACGAGGTCATGACAGGTTACGAGGCTGCTAGACTAAAACTCTGTGCGGGGAGGGGCCGAGAGGCAGCAGCTGTGCAACAAATTCAAAGCTACGCTGCAGAACCTCTCATCGTTCAGATCAGAGCATCTATGATCTCCTTGCCAATCCCCGATCTGTAAGCTGGTCCCACGTTGTTTAGCCACTATGTAACACAGCGGAGGTGTCGGATTTTCGACACTGGTGATCCGTGAATGTCCGGGTCTACTTTCACGTTACTACCCGAGATGGTGGCCGATGCATGCCCTGGTGTGAGGCCGAAGTGTTCGACAGGTTGAAAGCGGATGTTTCCGATGCGGGAAAGCGAAGCGGATGCGCTGATGTGCCGCGATCTTGCAGGCATAACACGAGCAAGGTGGAGGTGGAAACTCGCCTTTCAGCCTTAGGGTCGAACGTTGGGCGCTTCAGTGTCTCACAGCACATCAAAGCTGGCTGGGGCAGGAGCTGCAGCAGCAACCATGAAGCAGCTCCTGATGCATTTAGCAGAAGATCGACAGGGCGTCTTGTGGATCTTCTTCGGGATCATCACGGCGGTCGACCATAGCACAGAAGCAGCAAGGTGACAACACAAGAAGAAAGCGGTCACCCAGCCTGCCAGCCAAAAAAAAACGCTGCTTGGAATTTCGATGGGTTTCCAATCATTAAGACTGCGACTCCGCTTGCCTGATCGATTTGCTGCCACAGATGCAGGAAAAAATAATTTGGAAGGTCATGTGTTGAGTCAGTGGAGTGTTGAGCGACAGAGCTCCCCTCAGGCTTGGCTCGAGCGATCTTGCGCACAGAGCCCGACCTCACGCAACACTTGCGCAACATCGGCTCTATCCGTTGCATCCTCCCTTCTTCCGCTTCTCCACCATCACATTCCATTTCTCGTTACCATCACTTTCAACTTTTTCCCCTTCGCAACATAATCAAAGTGAGTAGGCTCATCAGCGCTGAACGACCTCAGCACGTCTGCTCCATTGGCTTCTCGATCTGCCCACTCCATTGCCACTGCAACCAGGGACGATCTCACGACATCGCACATGCATCTCTAGCAAAGAGCGAACGAGAATCGCGACGAGAATCGAGAGCTCGAGCTGGTCATATCAGTCCTTGATCGAGTCCGAAGCACAAAATTGCTGACAATTTGGAATTCTTTCCATCTCTACGTTCGACAGAATGGGTGTTCTTGACATTGTCCCTGCCGGTGTCGTCTCCGGAAAGGACGTTTACAAGGTCTTCGACTACGCTCGCGAGAACAAGTTTGCCATCCCCGCTTTCAACGTCACGGTAAGTATTGTGTCTCCCCAAACGGGGCTTGCTTTCGACGCGGATTGTCGGTCTTGAGCCGCATTCCGAGTCGAAAGCTTGCTCTTAGGGACACATGCCGTGTCTGCGGTCGTTTTCGAACGTACACTGACTTCATACCCCTCGATCTCGCATTTCCTGCCGTTCGCAAATTTGCAAACAAACAGTCGTCTTCTGTCGCCATCTCGGCTCTCGAGGCTGCCCGTGATGCCAAGTCGCCCTTGATCCTCCAGGTCTCGCAGGGTGGTGCCGCCAACTTTGCCGGCAAGGGTCTCTCCAACTCGAACCAGGAGGCTTCCATCACCGGTGCCAAGGCTGCCGCCCTCTTCATCCGTGCCGTCGCCCCTGCGTACGGCGTTCCCGTCATCATGCACTCGGACCACTGCGCCAAGAAGCTGCTCCCCTGGTTCGACGGCATGCTCGCCGCTGACGAGGAGTACTACAAGGAGCACAACGAGCCGCTCTTCTCTTCGCACATGCTCGACTTGTCCGAGGAGCCCAAGGAGGAGAACATCGAGACGTGCCTCAAGTACCTCAAGCGCATGGCTCCCATGGGCATCTGGCTCGAGATGGAGATCGGCATCACCGGTGGTGAGGAGGACGGTGTCAACAACGAGGGTGTCGACAACGCTTCGCTCTACACCCAGCCCGAGGACATCTGGGACATCTACCGCCAGTTCTCCGAGGTCACCCCCAACTTCTCGATCGCCGCTGGTTTCGGTAACGTCCACGGTGTCTACAAGCCCGGAAACGTCTCGCTCCAGCCCGAACTGCTCGGCAAGCACCAGGAGCACGTCCGTGCCCAGATCAAGAGCGACAAGGAGAACCCCGTCTTCTTCGTCTTCCACGGCGGCTCCGGCTCCGAGAAGCACGAGATCACCACCGCCGTCAAGCACGGTGTGGTCAAGATGAACGTCGACACCGACACCCAGTGGGCCTACCTGTTGGGTATCCGCGACTACGTCTTGAACAAGAAGGACTACCTGATGAGCCAGGTCGGCAACCCGGACGGTGCCGACAAGCCCAACAAGAAGTTCTTCGACCCCCGTGTTTGGGTGCGGGAGGGTGAGAAGACCATGGCTACCCGTTGCAAGGAGGCCTTCAAGGATCTTGGTTCTGATGGCAAGCTCTAGGTGCAGTGTAGGAACTTGGAGGAAAACATCTCGAACTCATGCAGCACGCAATAAAACATGGCTTTGTTATCTCACGCGCCTTGCTGGTGTGACTCTGTTGATTGTGTCTAAGGGGCAAAGACTGGGGGTATTGTGTGAAGAGAATGAGTGAAAGCGGGGTTGAGCGATGATTATCCGTCGGGGGACCAGAATGTGCATCTTCCCGAAGCGTTTCCGGTGACGAGTCTTGCTGGTAGAACAGGATGCATGCACGTAACGGCAGGAACGGCGGTGACGAGGTTTTCGTCCCACAGACTCCTCAGGAGGGTGCCGTCTGCAGAGTAGACTTCGGCTCTTCTGGTCATGCTGCCGATGGTAAAGTGAGGTTCGAGCAGAGGGTTTTGGTTCCATCTGGCACGGAACATGGTGAGCCATTTTCCGGTCTGATTGTTGTGCGGGATGCGGGTGGGGTCGGCGAGGACGTCGTCAGGACGCTGCGAGGCGGACGGTGGGGGTGCTTCTTGCTCTTGCTTGATGGCGAGTGCGACGTCCTCTTCGGTTTTGAGCGGCTTCGCTTTCGTTAGCCACGAGAAGAGACTGGTGGTGGTGGAGGAGTCGGGCTCTTTTTTTTTGACACCGCTCTTTCGACCTCCGGCTTTGGCTGTTCCGTGCGTCTTGGTGACGGCGGCGCGGCTCTTGAGTCCGTGCTCTGAGAACAGCGAGCTGGGATCCATGCTCCATACTTTGACAACATCGTCGTACGAGACGCCGACAAGCTGATCACCTCTTGGGCTGAAATCGACTGACGTGCACGCCTGTCTCGCTTTGTTCGACGAGAACTGCGCTTTCGTCTGCGCCGCTTCCAGATCATCCGCATCGACACCCTTGTAGTTGTACGGCGCATCCGCCGTTTGCTTGACCACCGAGGCTAGCGCACGCACGTCAAAGAGCCTGATGTGCTGGTCCAACGATGCAGTGGCGATGCAGTGTGGTGCAAGACGGTTGACCGACATGGCACCGATCTTCTTCTCGCAGACCTGCCATCGACGCGTGTTGTTGCCGCGTCGGGTCTTTTCGCGCAAATCGATGTGGAGCAAGCCGCCGCGGTGGTCAGCGATCCACATGGAGCGTTCGTCGAGCGATGGATTGGGAGTGTCGATGTAGGCGCTCGGGTGGGTTGACGGCGAGAGGACGTCAAAGATGGAGAGGAGCACGTCTTCTTCGCCTGCCCAGATCTCGTCCGACTTGCCGGTGGCGAGGTCGAGCTTGCGAACGGTAGAGTCGTACGAGCACGAATAGACCGAATTGTGGTTGACCGGATCGAACTTGATGCATGTAACGGGGCTGCGGCCGTGCACTTGCAACGTCCAAGCTGTGCCTTCTGGGAAGGCATCTTCCGCATCTTGCTCCTCCTCGTCGTCTTCCTTCTTGACAACGCTTCCTTTGGATGAGGAAGAGGCGGTAGGTGCAGCGTCCCAGACACCGATGGAACCCTCCTTGTCACCGACAAATACCAAATCCTTGTCTGTAGAAGGGTGATACGCCATCGAATAGACCCTCTTTGGCGTGACCTTGGCGGCCGACTTGAGCGTCATCTTGTTGAGGATATCTTCGAGCTCCTTTCTCTCCGTCGACCTTTCGGGGTCCTCCTTCTTCCCTGACCGCCGTTTCTTTTCATCCTTGATATCGACCAATTCTGCCGCAGAGGCTGCATTCGTCGCGAGCCCTTGCAATGTCGATTCGAGCGCCAGAATGGCTTCCTCCTCCAACTCACCTCCCGTCATACCTGACAGATCAAACGGCTGATGTCTCGCCCTTTTGGCTGCTTCCGCCACCTTTCTCGCTTCCTCTGCCTCCTGCTCGTACTTGCGTTTGAGTGTTTCGGAATCGGCTTCGTGCCCGGCCAAGCGCGCACTGGAGCGACTCGGCATGATGCGCGTTGGTGTAGTGTCGGCCTTCTTCTTGGGCGTAGCAGCCTTTTTGGGTTTGGTAGGGGTAGCACGTTTGGGTGACGGACCGCCGATGGCTGAACTTCCGCCCATAACGCCCAACTCTTTCATGAGGCGTTCATTCTCCTTGATGTTTTTGAGGCGTTCCGCCTCGTAATCGTTGGATTCGGCCATGCTGAAATGAAGCACTGGCGTTATGTGACAGTCGGGAGATGTGATTGTAGGGTGTAACGAGGGTGATGATAGGAAGTCGTTGTCGGAAAGGGTCCGAAGAAGGCAGCAGCAGTGCTGGAACGCAGAGTTGAATGTCGAACAACGTCTTCCGTAAGAAAAATGGATCCAAGAAATGGAATTTGGCTGCAGAACGCGTTGTTTCGTGTAGCGCGTATATGAAAGAACTCCTTCTGAACCAGGCTCGTGCGTTTATTTCATTCATGTCGTGGTGCAGCCAGCCTGGGCTTTCAGAAAAGATCAAGGTGGAGGAATTTCATCCATAGGATCGTGTGTGCTGTGCTGCTGACTGTCAATTTGGTGGCGCTCTGTTAAAATGCGAAATGCAGCGCTACGTAGTCGCATCGTTGGCCAGTCGAGTTTTCACAACATACAGCCAGTCAATTGGTCTGTCAGTCGGACAGCGCAGCTGAGCAGTGGTACATCAGCAGCACCCTTGTTTCTCGCTTACTGTTCCTTATCGTCCCTTCCAGGCGCTCTTCATCCTTCCACTGTACCACCAGCGTCCTAATACCTGCATCTCGCTACTCGCAGCATCATCCAACCGCGATCAGCACATTTCCTATCGGACATGACGCTCTAGGTTATCGCTGCATTGGCCCTCATCAAACACGCGGAGCTGCGGCATCATGCTTCCTCAACTGCGTAGCACGGTAGCTTCGGCGTCCGCTCGTCGCTTTGTCAGTTCCGCATCGCAGAGCTCTCGTTTGCTGACACCGTACAGCTGCAGCGGCACGTCTGCGGCCTTCTCGTCCAGAGCACCGAGTCGACAGGCATCTTTGAACTCTCTAACAAGATTGGCTTTGTCTCTACGTCAGCCCATCACACCCTCGAATGCACGCGCTTTCAATAATGTCGCTAATGCCGTCAAGTCAGCTCGACCTCACCAAACTTCGAAGCATGGACGCATCGTCTCGATAGCTATTGCCGGTCTTGGAACTGCTCTCGCGGCCGATTGGTTCCTGTCGCAAGAACCGCTCCAGACAGAACCCGAGACCTCCGCTGAAGCTCCATCCTCCCCTCAACCCCAACACGAAGGGTTTGCACCTCCTGTAGAAGAGGATGATGACGACCTTCATCGTCGCAACATCATCGTGCGAGCCTTCATCAAGGTTGGCAACGTCATCCACGCCGTCATCATCGAACCATTCGGCACTGGTAGGCGCTTCATCTACCTCTTGATCCTCTTCCTGCCCGTCATCTTCACCGCTCCCATGCTGCTTGTCGGAAGCAGACGAGAGAAGGGCAGAAGACGAGGAAGGAAAGTCCGTAAGGACGAAGAGGGCGATCGCTGGGGTGCCATCTGGTGGTACTCTTTCCTCGTCAAGCAGATGGAGCGCGCCGGTCCCACCTTCATCAAGCTCGCTCAGTGGGCGGGAAGCCGTCAAGATCTCTTCCCCGACGAACTCTGCCAGCGGCTCGGTAGACTCCACTCCAACGGCAAACCGCACTCGTTCCGATATACGAAGCGCGTCATCGAGCGCATCTTCCAACGCCCCTTCGACGAGATCTTCGAAGAGTTTGGACACGAGCCTATGGGCATTGGAGCGGTGGCACAAGTTTACAAAGCGACGCTCAAACACGATCTTCTGCCCCCAGGCTACAAGCGAGCAAAGAAGGAGGCGACCAAAGCCGAGGCCACGCAAAAGCTCTCCAAGACCCTCGCGTTGTCGTACGAAGAGGACGTTGCGCCTCCTCAGATCCCCACCAACAGTGTCGCCATCAAGATCCTTCATCCCCGTGTAGAGAAGACCATCGCCCGCGATATCAGGATCATGCGCTTCTTTGCAAGCCTCATCAACCTCATCCCCGGTGCCGAATGGCTTTCGTTCCCCGAAGAGGTCGACGTGTTTTCCGAAATGATGTTCTCGCAGCTCGATCTACGCAACGAAGCCAACAATCTCAGCCGCTTTGAGGAAAACTTTGCTCGTCGTAGATCCGCCATCTCATTCCCTCGCCCGCTCACGCGGTTCAGCACGAAACAGGTCCTGATCGAAGAGTTCGAAGACGCCTTGCCGCTCAAGCACTTTCTGCAGATGGGAGGTGCCAAGTTCGACCATCGCATCGCCAATCTGGGCCTGGACGCTTTCCTCAACATGCTCTTGATCGACAACTTTACGCATGCGGATCTGCATCCGGGCAACATTATGATCAAGTTCTACAAGCCTTCGACCGAATCTTTGCTTTCGGATCTGTTTGCGAGGATCTTGAGCAAGTTCGACAGCGACTATGCTCCCGGTCATCGCAAGGCACCTGCTACACCGGACGATCAGGTGGACCAGAGCATCGTGGAGAGGTTGCGTCCGTTGAGGCACGATCAGGATGCGTGGCTCGACGAATTGGATCGCTTGGACGCGCAAGGATACCAACCCGAGATCGTTCTGCTGGATGCCGGTCTTACGGTCGAACTGACCCCTCTGAACCGACGAAACTTCTTGGACCTCTTTTCGGCGGTGGCTCAGTTCGACGGTGCGCTAGCGGGACATCTCATGGTGGAACGATGTCGATCGCCCGATCGAGTGGTCGACAAGGAGATGTTTGCCATGAAGATGCAAGATCTCGTGCTCAGCGTCAAGTCCAAAACATTCTCGCTCGCCAAGATCAAGATCTCCGACGTACTCAACAAGGTCCTCATGGCGGTTCGAGATCACCACGTCAAGATGGAAGCTGATTTCGTCAACACGGTGATTTCAATTCTGCTGTTGGAAGGTATCGGAAGACAATTGGATCCCGATATGGATCTGTTCAAGAGCGCACTGCCGATCCTGAGGCATCTGGGCAGAGAGCTGCAGCACCAGGAAGGTGGCGGGATGCACATGCCCAAAAAGGAGGAGATCAGGAAGGCGTTGCCCATGATCAAGGTCTGGTTGTACATGGAAGCGAGAGGCATCCTGAGTGCTTTCACCGATGCAAAGGTGAGCACCGTGGATGCCTTTATGCGCTACGGATGGCATTCGGAATAGAAACCGTGATTTTCGGAAGCAAATTTCTATCACGATGATCGTGTTGGAGCTGGGTCGTGTGTTGTGGTGGAGAGACTCCATGCGCCAAGTGAAGCTCTCTCGATTGTCTGGGCGAGTGTGTTCTTGAGGTGAGCGTCATCTGGAGAGTTGGGCTGCCTGTGTCTTCCGACGAAACACCAATTTTTGGTGCTCGGGATCCGCAATGGATCCAGTTCGACCGTCCAGCCGCTCTCCTGGTGCAACTTGCTGACGTAGGCCAAATACTGTTCGTTTCTGGACAGCGTTTCGCCCGGTTCACCTTTGAGCAGGAGTGGGAAATCGCGAGTGCCGTCGAGATCGTAGTAGCAGCAGGGAAGGTTGATGAAGCCTTGGGCGCGGTGATGGTTCGCCAGGAGGGGTATCCAGGGAGTGAGTTGATCTGCATGGTTTCCGATCAACCAAGCGCCATTCCACTCGTCATCGTCATCGTTGTTGTGGAGGAGGGTGGCGGGGTTGAAGTTCCACTCTCTCAACTTGGCACCATCCGCGGTATATCCAGCCCAACTCTTTCTGGCCCTCATATCCAACCCCACCCCGCGAAACCCTTCCTTCATCAAGATATACGTCAACAGACCATTGCCACACCCTACATCCACAAACTTCACCTTCCCCCTCCAATCTTCCTCACCTCCGTACTGCTGCGTCCATAATCCGATGAGAAAGGCAGCGATTCCCATCTCCTCAAACACGTGCTTGCTCGGATCCGTAGCCTCCTTCCAGTTGCGAATCAGTGCAGATGCATGTTTGGTCTTGAGGGAAAGGTAGAGGTCTTGGTAGAGGGAGCGCGGGATGAGCGTGTCGTGGTGGACGCGTTTGCGGTACGAGTGGAGGTGGCCCCAGGTGTGCATGTGGAGCGTGGTGAGGAGCGACAGGGCGACGCGGGAAAGGCGGTGCATAGGGGGAAAGGTGGCGGCGGAGGGGGAGAAGGGAATGAGCGAGATTGAGAGACGGCCGTAGGTGGGGTCGAGATGAGCGGAGAATGAGGAGGGCGGTGACGGTGGGGCGTGGAAGTGGAATGCTAGTGCGCGGACTTTGGGGTGATAGAAGGGGATGTAGGATTCGTAAGGCGGTGGGTGGCCGATACGTGGTGGTGACGATGCGCATGTCGAAGCATCTTCGGTAATGTTCATCTTTGGATGATCCATATCCCCTATCAAAGGAGTATACACCACCACTGCTTCCACAACTTTCCCCTCATCCTCTTCGTCCTGATGGTCCTCCTGCTTCACCTCCCTCGCTACCCCGCGATACCGGTAAAACAGCGAACAATCCTGCAACATGCTCCAATCCAAATTCGGCCTCCTTGGCAACAACGACCTACGTATCGTCCATTGCTTCTCCCATACTGCTACTCCTTCGGCGAAGTTAGGAAGGCGATCCTTTGCGGTCGTCTCGGAAACGATATCGGCGCGAAGTATGTTGCTCGAATTGCGTTCCGGATGGCGTATGAGACTCTGCATTACGTTTGACCAGCTTTCCAGGGGTGCGTAAGCGGGAGCTGTGATGACAGACGTCCATTGCTCGTCACCTCGCACTTCTTGAGATGTGACCGCGGGTAGGCCGGACAGTTCGAAAGGCAAGAAAGTTGCGTCGCCATCGTCGGTGTCGCACGAAGGCTGGATCCTTGCTTCGGCAGAAGGATAGCTGGGGACGAGTTTCGGTCTCGGCGGTAGCTGTTGGTGCTGCACCGTAGTCCTCCTAGGTCCCCCTTGCTCCTTCTTTGCGCCTTCCGCCCCCTTCGGCTTAGTGCTGCACTCGGCGTTGCTGCTCGACATCACCAAACCCGCTGCCTCCTCGATATCGTGATGATGGTTGAAAGCTCCGCTATTCTTTCTTGCTTCGGCGACTTTTTTTGGCTGCAATTGGACCCTGAAATCTTTCTTCTGAATAGATCGGGAGAAACAAGATCGGGTCACCCTAAAACTTTGTTTCTTGCCTCAACGCATCCTCCACCTTTCTCTCTTCATCATCGACGGTTTTCACTCACTTCTCTCACGGACACCATCACAACCAACACCGTCAAATATCTCATCGAAACGACCACACAATGTTCGGAGGCGCACCACGACAACCCAGCCCACAGGAGACGGCTCAGGCACGACAACAGGCGAGGAACACATTGAGACAGTTTGCCTACTACGCCGCTGGTCTCTGGTCTGGTATGTATAGCTCGGATGCTAATGTGTAAGGGCGTGAAGTGAGGCTGAAGATGGTACTGACATTTTCGCCCTCTTGGTATGTCTGTGCTGCCGTGCGACTATACAGCTCCCGTCGCTTTGTACTACCTCAACGAGATGCTCGGTCGTCACATTGCCTAAATTTCACAAGACGGAAAGATGGAGCAAAGGCAGCTTCGGTAGCGAGATGATCATTGCCGGGATCTCTGGAATGTAGCATGTCCAAACAGCTAATCTCAAAGTTGGCATTCATCTCAACTATGTCTGGAGACCGATCAGCACACGGTCCAGTTCAGTCAACATGTGATCTCGAAGAGTGGACGGATCTATGCTCAGCTTTGCTCAACTGTGGGCGTCCAACAGCTTGTGCGAACACGGACACTCACGCACACTGAAAATGAAACAGAGACAAACCTTGATTGCACATGAAATACACTCGAATCTCTACTCCTCGTCATCTTCCTCCTCCTCCTTCTTGTTGTTCTTACTGTTGATCTCATCAACAAACTTCTTGGCCCTCATCAACACCTTGCCCTGACTCTTGGCATCCCCCTCCCTCTTCTCGTAGTCCAGCCACTTTTTCAACAGACTCTTACCCTTCTTGGCCGTCAACTTTAACGTCATCGCCCTTTCGAACAGGTTCCGCACTTGCGTCTCGTTCCCCTCCAACCTGGATTCCTGATCCAGATACTGCCACCACAGATCCAGGCGCTTCGGGTAGCTATCCACCAGACCCTCAAAGATGGTACGGCCACGTTCGGGATCGCCGAGCTTGAACTCGTTGATGGCAAAGGCGGTGATCGTCGAAGTGTGATCTCGCTTCTCGAGCGCCTGCATGGCTCTGGGCAGCAAAGCTCGTGCAGAATCAGGTTGGTCGGTTCGAAGGTAGAACCGCGCGTATTCGATCCAGAACTCGGGCAGGACGGAATACTTTGCCTTGGCCTTGACGAACAATTCCTCCGCCTCTTCAGTCTTCGAACTCTTCTCCAGGATGTTGATCATCTTGAGGTACATCGTGAACCCATCGTTGGCTTGGATTGCCTCGCGGAAGGTCGATTCGAGCGTCTCTTCGGATCCATACGTGTTCTCGAGGTTGAGCAGGGCGATCCAGACGTTCATGCGTTCTTGCTCTTCGCGGTAGTTGATGACTTTGAGCGCACGACGGGCGATGGAACGCGCGCGATCGACGTCCGAGAGTTGCAGAGAGAACGACATGAATTGGATCCAGAGGAACGACGAGTTGGGCGAGCTGAGCAGCAGGCGTTCGAAATCCGTGGCGGAGGAGGGAGCTTTGGTGGCCAGGTCGGCGGTGAGATCGTCCTCGAGGGCATTGCGGGATTGCGCTTTGAGTTTCGACTTGGACTTGCGCAGCGCAGCTTTCTTGGCAGCAGCAGCGGAGGAGTCCGAGTCAGAGTCCGAATCGGAATCAGACGACGAGAGGCCGTTGTCCGACTCTTCGTCGTCGTCGTTGGCACCGGCCGACCAGGAGAAGCCGCCGGAAAGAGCAAGAGAGGGCACGGCCGATCGCTTGGGAGCAGAAGTGTCGTCTTCGGACTCGCTGTCCTCGTCCATCTCGACGAAATCACCTTCCTCGTCATCAGAGTCGCCGCTCTCCTCGTCATCATCTTCGTCATCGTCAGAACCAACTTCGGCCTCGTCAGCCTCCATCTCTTCGTCTTCCTCCTCATCACTGCTATCCTCGAAATCAGCAGCATCAAAGTAAGACGGCTTCAACCCGAAGCTGATCTTCCTCTTCTCCTCGTTGATCCTCAACACGATCGCCCTCACCTTGTCTCCCACCCGGAACGCCTTCAAAGCCTCGTCCGCCTTGCCATCACTGAGCTCGTTCATATGCGCCAGACCCGAAACGTTCGTTCCCTCGATCTGGACAAACACGCCAAAGTCGATGACGTTCTTGACGAAACCCTTCACCTTGTCGCCCACCTTGAAGTCGGTCAGTCGCTTTGCGCGTTTCTTGTCCGCGTCTGCATGTCGTTCCTCCAGACGCTCGGCGCGCGGCTTGATGGAGCCGGGGGTGGATTTGAGCGACATCTCGATCTCGTTGTTGGAGGGATTGGTGTCCATGATGGTGCCGGAGACGACTTGACCGACGGTGAAGCGGGTCTTCCAGTCGCGAACGAATTCGTCGAACAGCTCGCGTACTTGGACGCGCGCGTCCAGCTTGCGCCCGATGGTGACGAATAGACCGACGTTGGTGATGGCTTTGACAAAACCGCGCACCTTTTGGCCCTTGGCGAGGTCGGCGATCGAGGTGATCTCGGGGTCGGTGACTTCGGCGGAGGCGGAAGGGTTGACGCGGGAGGGACGCGTCGAGATGACGGCATTCTTGCCGTTCGACTTGAGCGATACGATGTAGCACTGAAGCGTTTGACCGGGGCTGGGGAGCGCGACGTTGCTGGAAAAGCCGTCGGCCAGATCCGTCATGTGAAGGGTAGCACGAGTGGCGGTGCCGAGAGCGACGATGCAGTCCAGATACTTGTCGTTCTTCTGGATGACGCGACCTTGAACCACATTGCCCTGCTTGACCTGGCCTGAAACGAGCCCATTCGTACCGTCGTCCGCGTTCTTGCTGGAGCGCACCTTGTCAGCGACGATGACGATACCCTTGGCCGGGTTCTTGACCGAAACAACAAGATCGTCGATCTCCTGATCCTCCTCAAGACTTTCGAGCAGCTCCTCCGCCGTCGAACCGCGCATCGAAGCCAGCACCGATAGCGACAGCAACGCGCGAACGCCCGATGGCACCAGCGTCAACACCACCACCTCTTTGTGCACCGCAGCCACCTTACCCGTCACCTTTTCTCCCACATCGACCGCATCCACATTGAGCTTGGCCAGATACTCCGGCGAGGCCTGCTTGATGCTACCGACGAGCTTTTGGTTCTCGTAGTCGACCTCGGTGATCCTCATCTTGATGACCTTTCCTTCGGCGAAGCCGCTCTTGACGTCGTTGAAGTCATCCTCGCTCACCTCTCTTCCCGGAATCAGCGCCTTGAGACCGCCAAAGAGGCTGACGACGAGTGAGTTGGTCTGCACGCGGAAGACGGTCGCATTGGTGACGACACCGACGCGAGCGTCCTGCATGGATGCGACGATGGGCAGATCCGACTTGACGAGCGACTTTTTGAGCGTGAGCACGATCCTGTTGCGGTTCGGGTCAACGTCAATGACACGTGCCCTGACCTGAAGTCCGGGCTTGAAGCGTTTCTCGGGCTGCGTGAGCTTGACATCGGCAAAGTGGTTGGAAAAGACGACACCGTCGACGTGGCCTTGCAATTGCAGGAAGATGGCGTTGGGAAGACCGAGCTTGATGATGTTGGCAGTGACGACTTCACCAACTTCGACCTCGGAGACGCGCATGAACTTGCGCTCCAGGACAGAGGCCTTGAGCGAGAGCTGCAAGGTGCGGTCGGTGGGGGAGTGGCCGACGACACGTGCCTTGTGCACCGTCTCCTTGGCAAAAGGACCGGAAGAGGGAGGTAGCGAGACGACGTGGTCGTCCGAGACCTGCGAGATGTGCACAAAGCCGCGCAGATCCGTCTCGTGAATCGAGACGATGAGACCCCAATCGTTGATGGTTTGCACCACGGTCACCTCGAGGGTTGCGCCGATGGGGTAGGCGTGCTGCAGCAACTGCTCGTCTTTTGCCACGGGCGCTTTGAGAGCGAGCACCTGAGGCGCCAACGAAAGACCAAACTTGCGCTCGTGGTCCGGGTTGTCGCCCTGCAAGGCAGTAGAAGGCGGGCTGAGCAAGTCCCACAGTACACGAGCGACGTGCTTGGAGCCCTCCTTGTAAACATCAGGGATGTCCTTGCCCTCTGGCAACTCTGGAAGGTGGAATCGGTCGATGGTGGCATCAAACATGCCAAACAGGTTGACGTTGAGACCGGTAGGCAGCGCAGCGGTGATGAGCACCTTGGTGAGCGTGCCGGGGAGGATGGCAGTGATACTGGGGGCGTGTTTGATGGGGCTCGTCGACACGGTCTTTGGGTCGAGCGTAGCCTCGAAGCTGCGCTTGTTGTCGGGGACTTTGGTGATCTTGGCAAAGACGACGCTACCGACTTGAAGCGACTTGCCGTTCTTGCCTGCGTGGAAGCTGTCGGGGAGCTTAGCTGCATCGGTGAAGGGGACGAAGCCGCTGAACTCGGAAACACCGCTGTCGAGCATGTAGCCGTGGTCTTCGACGCTCGAGATGGTGGCAGAGAGGGTGGCGCCCACGTCGAGATCCGAAACCGACACACCAGTGTTGACGAGGTGAGGGGCGAGCGAGAGCTCGACGCGACGAGACTCTTTCTCGTACTCGCCTCCTTCGCGGCTGGGTCGACCTTTTGCGACGTCGCCAGAACGAACCTGAAGGACGCTGGCAACGAGCCATTGTCCGACGTGGAAAAGGTCGCGAAGCTCAGGCACTTTCTTTGCATCGTTCTTTGCTCGCTTGCTCGAGGTGCCGTTCGTCTGTGCTTCGTCGTCGTCGTCATCGCTGTCGCTATCCTCGTCCATGCTCTCGTCTTCATCGTCGTCCTCGGCGCTTGCATCGGCAGCAGCCTGGAGACGACGCGTGAATTGCGGACTGATCTGTGTGACTGGGATGTGGCCGAGCATCTGGTTGGGCAAGGAGACGACGACGGCGAGCGGGTGGATGGCGAGAACGGAACACAGAAGCCTGGAGCCAGGGATGAGACGCTTGTAGTTGATGTGCTCGATCCGGTTGTGATCCCTCTTCTCGGCGTGGGTTGTGGAGGTTGCTGCAGCAGCGGTAGGCGCACGTTTCTTTTTGGCATCATTGCGCTTCTCCCGATTGAGCTTCTGCTTGTTCTTGTTGCGCTTGGCGATGGCCTGTTCGTCCTTTGCATCTTTGAAGAGGAGCTCGTTGGCGGCCGACTCGGAGCGAGCCTCGCGCTTCGCCTCTCTGAACTCGAGCGGCGTCAATCCAGAGCTTCCGCCACGAGGGAAGTCGACCTCCTGTGCCGAGAGGAGGGAGGTGGAAGGCGCCGAGGTGGAAGGCAAGGAAGTGCTTTTGGTCTTTTTGGTAGTGCTGGATTTCGAGGAGCCAGCAGCCGAGGAAGCAGCCGCATCCTCTGCTGGCCTAGATCTCTTGACACCAGGCATTATGATACGATCCTGAATGCTGGTATGGCCCTGGGATGGTGTATGTCGAAGGTCGAGAGCAAGTGGTGGCAGGCGAGGACATCAAGAACGAGCCTTCGAGGGTCTTGAGCTCCAACGAAGAAAATGTCGCACAAAACGAAATTTTTGGTGAAACGCACCACGGCAAAAGCTCAAGAAGAAGGAAAAATCCTCAAAAAATCAAAGCACAACGTCGGGAAACGGACCAAGCCCAGAGCGAGCTTTTTTCTTGCTCTCGAACCATTGAATGTATCGACGTAACACTGCCGGGAAAATACAGATTTGGCAGTCCATTGCGTCTCGTCCTCGATGATGAGCTCTAGACGGCCATCGGAACATCACAAGTCCGATCGGAGGAAACGATGACGACAATACCGATGGGCATAGAAGCTGCACACAGAAGCTATCTGTATTTGTCTGTGATGCCAGCTGCTAGGACAGTGTCAACAGAACGAGCGTGATCTCCCCCCACGCTCATCCCGAACACGCTTCTTCTCGAACCCGGCGGCCGAGTTCGCTCACGCCAAGCTGGACAGGAAGCTCGGAAGCAAGACGGCCGTGCTTGATAGCGTCAAATCGCTACCTGACCGCGTGGAACCGTCGACAGAGGATGTACCTTGCATATGGATGACTAGATCTGACGACAAGGCCAATCAGAAGCGGAATGCCAATCTCGAGGAAATTAGCCGATTGGAAGCCGGCAAGACAGCCGAAGGCGATTTACCACACGATAAAGCTCGGATTTGTGAACGCCGTAACTCAATTCACTCGATCCACCCTTGCTGATGCATTAGCGCCCACCGTCACCCCACTTACTAGCCGCTCCGTCTTGCTACATTGAGGCTACTCTGGCGAGCCCATCATCACTCCACTTCCGAATCATATCGAGCGCTAGGTGCGCAAGAAGGCGAACGACATGGCGACGTCAAATCTCAACCCCGACGAGCGGTCTTCGCTCTTGTCGCAGAATCAAGGTTCGCAACGGACGGGTTATCAATCTACTCCGAACCACTCAGGAACGAACGGGGAAGACTCGGTAGCATCTTCCACAACAACAGAAAATGAAGCGGACGACCATGTCAAGGTCATGCCACCCATGCGCAAGCTCGCGCCGCTCCTCACCGCCGTCTGGGTGCCCGTCTTTGTCGCCAGCATGGACGGAACCGTCACTGCCACCCTCATCTCAAGCATCAGCAGCTCATTCAACGCCTCCGAACAGGCTCAATGGCTTGGCTCCGCATACCTTCTCTCGGTCGCCTGCTTCACCCCACTCTACGGTCGTTTGGCCGACATCGTAGGACGACGCAACTGCATGTTCATCGCGCTTACATTTTTCACCGTCGGCACCTTGCTCTGCGGCACAGCCACTTCGATGAACATGCTCATCTTTGCTCGTGCGCTTGCCGGTGTCGGCGGCGGTGGTCTGACGACAAACACGAGCATCATCTTGTCGGACGTGGTACCGCTCAAGAACCGTGGTCTCTTGCAAGGTCTGACCAACATCATTTTCGGATTAGGATCCGGTCTCGGTGGGCCTATCGGCGGGTGGATGAACGATACCATCGGATGGCGACGTGCCTTTCTGCTTCAGGTCCCGCTGCTGCTTGCCGACTACGTGCTAGCGTTCGCGTTCGTCAGAGTCAAGACGCCCAACAGGTTGGTTCAGCAGTCGACGTCGGACAAGCTCAAATCGATCGACTTCGCAGGCGCCTTTTCGCTCGTTCTTGGTCTCTCCAGCACGCTCATTTCGCTCAGCCTGATGAGCGCCAACGATGTGCCCTTCTCCAGCCCGACTGTGTGGGGTGGATTCGTATTTGGATTCGTCAGCATCTGCTTCTTCTTCTACGCCGAAGCCAAGATCGCGCGTACACCTATCCTGCCGCTCAGGCTCATCACGCAACGCTCGGGAGCTGCCGTGGCCTTTGCCAACTTCTGCCTTTCGGTCGTCTCGTTCGGCACGCTCTACCATTTTCCGCTCTACTTTCAAGCGGTGAAGCTCGAAACTCCTTCGATGGCAGGTCTGCATCTCATTCCCAACAGTATCGCGCTCAGCATCGGTTCCGTGTTGGCCGGGGTGGTGATGCGAAGTTCGGGTCGGTATTACAAGTACAACCTAATCAACTCGATGATCATCACGGTCTCGATCGTTTGCGTGACGCTGTTCACGAGATCCAGCTCGGAAGCGTTCACGTATGCTGCCATCGTGCCGCACGGGTTCGGTACGGCGGGTGTGTTGACGTGTACGCTGATCGCGCTCATCAACTCGGTCCCACGATCCGACGTCGCGGTTGCTACCAGCATGTCGTACATGGCACGCAACACCGGTCAGATCCTCGGTGTTTCCGGTGGAGGCACCCTCTTCCAGGCTCTTCTCAAGCGACAGCTGCGACAGAGGATCACGGGCAAAGGTGCGGACAAGATCATCTCGGAGATTCGTCACAAGAGCTCCATCGTACCGGACTTGCCCAAAGAGCTGCAGGAGGCGGCCATCGAATCGTACGCTTTTGCGCTCAGGTGGGTCTTCATTGGCATCGCAGTGGTCAGTGTTGGTACGGTGGTGGGCAGTGCGTTCATCGAGGACAAGGAGTTGCCATCGTATGAGAATGCCAAACCGACGGACGAGGAAGAGGAGCAGGCGGAAGGGGGAAATCGCGAGTAGCAAGCCAATGTGTTGCATGGACGTGGAGTGTTTGTCCAGGTTGATACTCAGCACTCTGGAACGCCATTCATCGCGAATATGAAGTTTCCTAATGAGCTGTGCAGCGTTTGTCGTGAAGTGTCGGTGATGTGATTCTCAGGCGTTGATTGCGAGGAGCTTGACTGCTCGCTCCACTTTACGCGCACGCGACCGAGAAGACGCCAATTCTCGGCGTGGGCCAAAGTGTTGGTTTCGGATGTTGATGCAAATTCAAAGTGTCGGCGTCACCATCCTGTCAACCTCGATCATCGTTCCAATCGTCGCCCGTGTCACTTGGTTCCACACTCAGTCGATTTGAGGCAGCGGCTATCCCTCAAAATGGAGCGAGATGCAGTGGCAAGCACGAGTCGTGGCGCGACCGTCACTTCACCAACCCCGAGCAGCAAACGTAGACGATCTCGACGCATCTACGACATCGAAGGTAAGCTTACCTGCTTCGCTCGTCACCACCGAGCCTTGAGCACGTACACTCACGTTCCCTTCCTATCCGCTGTGACTCTCCAGACCGAACCACAAAGACCGACGTAGGCTCATCACCCGGCACCCACTGGACCCTGTCCTCGTACAAACCCGGCTCTGGCGTGTCCGAACTGCGCTCCGCCGATCTCACCAAACTCTGGCAGTCGGACGGCAACCAACCTCACCTCATCAACATTCAATTCGCACGCCGAACGTGCGTCACCCACCTATCGATCTTCCTCGACGTCAAGCAGGACGACTCGTACACGCCCACGCGGATCGCTGTCAAGGCAGGGACCAACTACCACGACCTGACGTTGGTACGGCAGAGGACGTTCGACGCACCGCAGGGGTGGAAGCATTTCAACATGACACCGGGTAGCGTGGATGCCGTGACGGTGGAGGAGGAAGAGGATGGAGTGGAGGGCGAGGAGGAGGATCTGACGGAGGCGGGGGGAGACGGTGCTAAGGCTGGAGGAGGCCCCGGAGATGAGGGTGATGATGATGATGATGACGAGGAAGGCGAGTCGGAAGGGATCAAAGTTTGGTTGATCCAGATATGCATCCTGGCAAATCACCTGAATGGTAAGGATACGCATATCAGGAGATTGGTTGTCTTCGGACCGAAGCAATCCCACGCCATCAGCTCGCATGGAACGAAAAGAGGAGCTACAAACGGCCTGGCGCATTCGACGATACCACCGCCATTACGACCTCAGAACGGACAAGCGTCATATGGTCGCGCTCAGAATGTCACACTAGCTCAGCTGCTGTCTTTGCAGAGCGCTGCAAGCACAGAGGATCGAAACGACGAAGTGGACGACGACGACGACAGTGCAGCTGGTGCCGGATTGCGCAGATCTGGACTCAACTTGTTCGGCAACATTCGGTAGTGACTAGTCAATCAATCAATCCGCCATTCACGTCGTCGACTGAATGCGATTGTGTAAGTTTGTGTTGATACAGTGTATAGGATTCGATCTCAGACCGAGACGGTGTGTAGCGAATGCAATGGTCGATCAGATTTTGAGTAGAGTGGTGAGTGTCTGTGCACTGCGGCACAGTGTGCCATTTTCGATTCTAGCTTCGTCCGCCCCCTCTAGAGACCGGCCTCAGCCACAGTTCCAGCAGCACGTTCATTCCCTACCCTCCTGACGTAGGTGGAGGAGACGATGTTGAAAGCTTCAAAGTACCTCTCCATGCATCTTGTGAGGCAGGTCTGTTCCTTTCCGGACAAACTCGCGCCGGGAGCAGGGATGCACTTGAGGTAGCATTTCTCGGTGGCTTTGGTGATGAGCTGTTGCGCGTTGGCCATGGCGAGTTCGGAAGAGCTGGGGGGATCATCGCAAAAAGAAGTGGCAAGGGATCAGGTCTCCGTCGGGGAACGGTAAATGGTGCGAGTGATTGGGAATGAAACTTACACTTGCTGCTTGATTGCTTCCTTGCGCTCAGCCGAGGTGGCGCCACCAGCAGCGCCGGGCTTGCCTGTTAGTGAGCTGAGATCCATGATTGTGTGATAGAGTGTGTGATGCAGAACGTGAGGGATCTGCTCCTTAATGTACTTCGTTGAAGAGGATGAAGAGGTGGTTGAACGACCAAGACCTTCTCAATCGCAACTTTCTTTGCAGGTTCAGCGATTATGTAATCCTTATTTGTCCGCCAGACATGTCATCCTCCACCTTGTCGACGCAAAAGCAAAATTAATTTTCCGAAGAGAGCGAAGGAATGTCAACGTGCTCGTTGATTGCCGCGGAGAGAAAACAACAAGAAAAGCTGCTTGGCAATCACGGCAATGGAATGGTGACAGGAGGGTCCGGATCCAGCCGAACGTGTTTGATCCGCAGATCAATGATCGTCTTATCGAAACACCACCATCCTTCTTCGGCATCGTCGGCGCGACACTCCTTGGACGGCTTCGTAGCTGGCACCCGGCCCTTGGCTGACAGCCCAGATTGACAAGAGCCCGCGAATTTGGCGTTTCGTCCGTACAACCATTATTCTCGGAGCTACCACGACTCGGCATCACGTAAGGAACTCGGCACAATATGGTCTGGTCAACAGCGCGAGCTGCCAAGCCTCTCTCAGCAACGGTAGCATCGGCAGCATCCACATCTTCTAGCAGGCGCTTGCCTCGGGCTACAGCATCCATGTCGTCCTCCGCCGTCTCTGGCTCTTCCTCCAACCTCACCATCCGCGCCGTCGCCGCCTTTTCCCGCAACCTCCTCCGCTTCGGCTGTCGCAAAGTCACCGTTCGAGGTCTCGAACGATTCCTCTCCCACCTGCACTCCTCCTCCCGTCTCTCCTCCAATACCGGCTTGCTAACCTACTGCAACCACATCTCGGTCCTCGACGAACCCACCATCTGGGGCTCGCTCCCCGCTTCCTCCTTTCGCAACGCCGACACCGTCCGATGGACGCTCGGAGCGAGCGATATCATGTTCACCTCTTCCCTCCTCTCCAAATTCTTCCGCAGTGGACAGTGCATCGAAACGCATCGTGGCGGTGGTATCCACCAAGCAGCGATTGATGACTCAATATCCAAACTCGATGCAGGGAAATGGATCCACCTGTTCCCCGAAGGATACGTCAACGTCAGCACGAGCACGAGATTGAGACGCTTCAAGTGGGGGATAAGTCGCATGCTGATCGAGGCGGAGAAGATGCCTGTCGTGATGCCGATTTGGATCACCGGGTTTGATAAGTTGATGCCGGAACCAAGGGATAAGCCCAAATGGCTGCCAAGATGGGGTGCGGATGTGACGATTGATTTCGGAGAACCAATATCAGATACGATCGGACCGATCATCAAGGCGATCAAGGAGACAGGCGAGGCAGCGCCTCAACATCTCCTCCCACACGAGCTGTGCCAATCCGAAACCGACGCTGAACCGCTGGCCGGTGAAGAGAACGACAGATCCATACCTACACAGGTAGCCACAACCTGGAGCACCTCGAACCTCATCCGCTCCCACGCCGATCTCAAAGGAAACAGTGCTTCGCTCAAACTCGCCCTCGCAAGATCGCAACTCGCAGCTGTGCTCCGACACCACCTCGGTCTCGTCGGCGTCGACCAGCGACGTGCGGATGGCTTCCCACATCCGGAACAAGACGGGGAACTCGTCCACACGCAATCGCTCAGATCGGCGGAGAAGCATGCTCAGAACAATGTGTTGCGCGATGGAGAGCGTAAGAAAGTCGGCGTTTGAGCAGAGCTGCGCTTCAGGTTCATTGTATACCCTTCCATCATCAGGAGATGTGTATTTTTCGTTCTAATCACTCCAATACAGAGTTCATAGTAATGCCATACAGTGTCGATGAAGGATCATAGCTTGAATACGTCCTCCTGTCTACAGCCAATCTTGGCGAGGATGCCAGAGAGCGAACCCTGACTCTGACCGTCGCGCGATTTGGAACCTGCAATGGCCTCTACCATTCCGTCAGGACCAGAGACCAGGATCAGTGTCCTTCCTGGGATCGGTTTGCCGTTCTGTGGTGACAAGAGCGATTCCAGGTGCTGTTGGGTGATCCTTGATTCGTACACCGGGATCGTGGTGGTGCTGGTCGGAGAAAGAGATGAGGTAAGGTGCAATTTTGGCTCGAGGGAGGAGCTTGCCTTGCTGAACAGTGAGGGCAGCCATGAGCGGCGGGATGATGAGCTGGGTGTGGAGGCTTTGAGAGTTGGTCCCAAGGCCGCGAGTTGGGTCGGTGACAGGGTCGAAGGTGAGGGTGACCCCGCAAGATGTTCTGCAAAGAGTGAAACAGTCACCCTGTCCTTGCTGTTCGCGGCCAACGCATGTAGTTCCGGTAAAAGCAAAGCATTCTCCAGACTCTGCGTCGCGTACACAACATCAATCATTGGTCCACCCTCCATAGCTCTCTTCCCGCTTCCACCCGTCGGTCCACCGAACAGATTCGTCACCAACTGATAAGCAGGCGTAACCCCCGTGCCTCCGACCACCATGACGATCCTTTCCGGAATCGCACCCCCCGCCACCGAATCTCTCTCGAAAGACCACGTGTCCACCGGACCTCTCACCTCCAGCTGCGGCACTGTAGGATTCGCCACCGCTCTATGCAACATCTTGCCCAGCTCTCCATCCGGATACCTCTTGACCAGCAGATCAAGTCTTTGCCTCTCCTCTGCGCTCGCGTCCTGCAGTGCGGCCGAGTACGAGCCGGGAAGTGTATCGTACAGCGGAGTGTAGGCTCGTTCGATCACTAGGCTCGGCTCTTTGATATAGACGCTTCGTATCCTGAGGGCTTTTTTCAGCTCGTCGGTTTCGCTTCCACCACTCGCCGGGAGAGAAGCTGGTAGTCCGATGTGCAGCAGTTTGTGGACCGAAGCGGAGGCTGGATCGGGGTAGTAGGCGGACAAGACCAGTGGAAGTGGGTGGTGGGTGTAGGGTTCGAGTTTGCCAGGGATCGAGGATGAGGTCGAACGCGAAGGGGTGGTGCCGGTGATACGTCCGTACAGGTCTAGTGCGTGCGGGGCGGCGATCACGATGGCTGCTGATGCGATAACGATGTTGACGATGCTCATGCCTGATGCGGAGTTGGCACGGGATGACGACGACGATGAGCGGTCGTGTGATGAGCCAGGTCCTGCTCGGAGCGGAGTGCCAGGGGATGGAGTCTCATCCTGTCGACGATGAGATGCGTGAAACGCTCGATTGCTTGGTGCGAGCCTCGTCGATGGACCGACCGCTGCGGTGCTGCATGCGCCTGATCGGACGACGACACGAGCCGTCCTTTTCATGGTTGACACTGCCATCATTCTTATCTGCTGTCAGAGCAGGCAAGGTTGGTATGGAGCAGGAGGGTTGGACAGGACGGAAGGCTGTCAGTGCTCGAAGCTCTTCGTTTGTGGAGGCTTTGGCGCCTTCAAAAAAAAGGCACGAATGTGAGATCGTTGCACAGTCGCTGCTCTTTGCTTTCCCCACGTGGCTGCTGCGCATGTGCATAACCATCATTCCACTCGCCGCGACATCTGAGCCGCTCTCCACCATCGCGACCGTCGCCTCGACTCTACAAGCCTCCGCACGGCAACGATGCGTCATCGCCCACTAGCAGTCCTGCTGCTGCTGTCGACGCTCGCATTCAGCCTTGTCCTTTACCTCCGATTCCGCAGCTACGACCTTGTCTCTGTCGGTCTCTGTCGTGTTGCGCCATTCTCTTCCTCCTGCACTTCGCCGCGCCTCACGATGTCTGCCCCATCCACATCCGAGCTGGCGACTCAAAAGGTGCATACTGCGCAACACGCTCGCTCGCGTGGTCGAGTCTCCCTGCGTATCGGCTCGATCAACATCCGCTACTCTCGAGACACCGCCTTCGACTCGGAGCAGTCTTTCCTCAACTCCATCGAAAACTTGCTCGCAGCCGCACGACTCGACACCGGACACTCCAACCCGCAATTTGCACCTCATCTCGCATCGTCATCATCTCCGTATCTGATGCAGCAGTACCACGGCGAACGAAGCTGGTTGTTGAGAGGTCCGAAGGTGGCTGACGTGGCCTTGTTCAACGACTGGGATATCTTTGCGTTGCAGGAGGTACTGGACGGACAGTATCGAAATCTTGTAGAGTGGTTGGGTGAGGAGTATGATCATGCAGGAGTGGGGAGGGATGATGGCGATCGTGCGGGTGAAGCCGTCCCAGTGTTCTGGCGGAGGGATACCTTCGAGCGTGTTGGTAATGATCACGGTGGAGTCGGACAGGATGGCGTGGAACACTTTTGGCTGTCACCCACGCCAGACAAAGTAGGGAGTGTAGGATGGGATGCAGCATTGACCCGAATGTGCACGCACGTCAGCCTGCGCCTTCTGGCAACGCGCGAGATCATCCACATCTTCTCGACGCACTACGATCATCAGGGTGTGGTGGCTCGTGCAAAGTCGTCCGAACTCATCGTCGATCGCGCTCGCGCAGCTTCCGATCACACGAAAACCTTATCCCCTTCCTCGGAACCACTGGTAGTACTGATCGGAGACCTCAACAGTCCCCGGAACGAGGGTAGCTGGTCGACCCTCGTTTCACCTCATTACGGATTGGAAGCGAATTCTTCGGGTGCGACGTTTCTCGACACTGCTCTGTCGGTGCCCACGCGAAGGACATCGCCGTTGTTGACGGACAACGAGGATCCGATTCGATCCGAGTACGCTTCCGGTCGCAGACTCCCGCCACATGCCGAGCGAGGGGTGGGAAGCGGAGGAGGTGTGCTCTCAGAGCCCGTCGGACCACTGCGAACGTTCACCGACTTTCAACCTTCGCCCAGAAACGCCATCGACGATCGGATCGATTTCATCATGCTCCTCGACAACGATGCCGTACACGACGAGACGAGAGCCGATGCAAAGTTGGATCATTCCACCTCCAAACCTCCACCACAACCGAGAGGAGAGAGGCTGAACAACAACGAGGCCAAGTCGCAGGAAGAACAGTCAAGGTGGAGAATACGAACCTTCGGAACCCTACCCAACTGGAGCGAAGGTGACGCCGGATTCCTCATATCTGACCACCGTCCCGTCACAGCCAGGATAGAGAGGTTCGTGCCACTGTCACACTAAGTCATTCACATCGATGGAACGACGAATACCGTCTCAGAAAACCCCCTACGATCAGCCCACGTTTGATAGACACACGACAGGTGAAAGACTGACAACGATTCAAATGCTAGAGTACAGAGATGAGAAAAAAAAAGAAGAGACCTGAAAGAAACCATGAAAGACGAAGATGAGAAAGGAAGAACAAGACATAGGGAGACCGACAGAGACATACGCGGGTTGCCGCTGAAATGCTGTCTGCAGCTCTGAATAGCGGACGAGGGAAGGTGAGATGCAGTTGCGGAGGTGGGATGGAGAATTCGAACCACGCTAATCGAAGTCATCGTCTGACCCCGCAGAAAGCCTGTCAAGGCTGCGATTGTCGCAACGCCCGGGGAGGTTCCACATTGTGGGGACAGCGACGGTACGGCGAGTGTGCGGGTCGAGTGCTCTCCCTTGCAACCTCCGATGGGAGAAGTCAATCGCAGGATAATGTCATTCCATCCTCTCTGTACCACAATGCGGTGGCAGGATGCGGAGCTGTAGCTGTCGGCCGTGCCTCAGGCGAGTGGCCACGTATCGGAAAGGGGTTGAAACGGGAAAGAGAGGCAGGCGAGGGATGGATAGGATGCACGAGCTCACTTGTCCTTCTTTTCCTTCTTGTCCTTCTTCTTCTTTTCCGACTTGGGCGTCTCGATACCTGCCGCGGCGGCCTCGGCAGCCTTCTTTTCCTTCTTCTCCTTCTTGCGCTTCTTGCGCTCCTCTTCGGTCTCGCCGTCTGTTGCGGCTCCTGGCGTCTCTTCGAGTTTTCGCTTCTTGCTGTCGCTGTCGTCCTTCTTGGGTGTGACGGGTGCGACAACGGCAGCGGCAGCAGCGACCTGATCGGCATCCGAAGTAGCAGTAGCAGGAGTAGCAGCAGCATCAGAGTAGTCGACGTACTCCTTGTTCCACTTGTCCGGTGTGACGCCGTTGATGGCCTTGCCGTGCTTGTCGAGCTTGCCGGTCTTGATCATAGCCTTCTTCTCCTGCGCCTTGGGGCCGAGACCCCATCGTCGTGGGTAGGTGTCGCGCTCCATGATGCAACGCTTGACCTTGGCAACCACGCCATGGTCGCACGTGGAGAGATCGACGGTGGACATCTGTGCGATGGCGAGCGCGATGGCTTCACCCTTTGTGGTCATGAGCACGACCTCCTCGTGCACCTCAATGTCCTTCTCGTATCGCAGCAGACCGGGAATCATGAGCTTGGCGCCATAGCAGACGGCATTGACGGCCGAATCCTTGACGACGATGCGCTTGTAGCCGGTGAGCAGTGACTCGAGAGGGCGGATGACGCGGCGAAGGTAGGACTCGTCGCGCTGGTTGTCGTAGAGCCACTGAGCATCGAGCACATCGTGCATGCTGACAATCGAATCGCTCTCCGACAGAGCACCGGAGCGCACACGGCGGAGCTCCTGCATGTGACCACCAACACCGAGCAAGAGACCGAGGTGAACGCAGAGGGTTCGGATGTAGGTTCCGGCTTCGCAGCTGACCCAGAAGACGGCGAGGTGGCGGTCGTTGTCAAACTCAATCAGCTTGGACTCGTAGATGGTTCGGATACGCAGCTGACGCTTGACGGCCGAAATGAGAGGTGGGCGCTGGAAGAGCGAGCCGGTCAAGGTCTCGATGGCGCGAGGAAGCTTCTTGGCGTCCTCGAGCTTGTCGTGGAGTCGAAGCACAGCAACATACTCCTTACCGGCACCCTGCTGCGACTTGACCAGACGGGTCGCACGGTCGATGCAGACAATCAAGCATCCCGTCACCTTGGGGTCGAGAGTACCACTGTGGCCGGTCTTTTCGACACGGAGAATGCGACGCAGCCACGAAACAACTTCGTGCGATGAAGGGTTGGAGGGCTTGTCGAGGTTGATGACACCAGACTTGACGTAGCTCTGCAGGTCACGCTTGAGCGGCGAGCAGCCGTGGGGGATGGGCGTAAAGTGAGAGCTGCGAACAAGCAGCTTGTCGTAGTTCTTGAGCAGCAAGGGCCATTCCGAAGTGTTGAGCTTGGGACCCGAGTTTTCGGGCTTGATCATAAAGTCGCCCTGTTCCTGCGCCTCGGCGACCGAGGTACCGAGTGGAAGAGACATGTCGGGCAATCGTCGAGCGAGTTGGTGAAAGTGAAGAGGCGGATGATGAAGGGATGACGATGGTGGAGCAGCTTGATCGCGATCAGACAGCGCTCCAGTGAGCTGTTTGCTCTTTTTTTCTGCGCAGCAGTCGTCACACCAAAAATTCTTCCACTCTCTGAAATCACACAAATCACATCTGGTCAAGAAGGAAGCCGAGCTGGATGACTTGTGCTGACCAATTCACTCTCGAAAGCAACTGTTGTAGGGACATCAAGCTCTAACAAAGGCGTGAGTTTTGCCGCTTATGAGACACACGTGATCTGAATACGAAATTATGTCTTCATTTCGAGGTTGTCTTCTGCCAAATTGTAATCCGTCATGGAAACTTTGAATTCAAACGACCGCGAAAACGAGAAAAGAGGAAAAAGTTTCTTGAGCCAGCAGGCGGCTCTCCAATTGCTCTCTGATGCGCGCGAAGAAAGAGAAGAGCCAGAGGGACCAGACAGACATGATCTTTAGGCTGCCGCCGAATTGCTTCCTCTTCCACCTCCTCACCATCTCTACACCTCGCTTTGCTGACATCACCAGTAGGCTTTCTCATATCATTCAAAATGGCTGTTCAGAAGACCACCAAGGCTAGCGCCAAGCAGGGCAAGACCGCCCACAAGTTCTTCATCGACTTCTCCGGCCCCGCCAACGACGGTATCCTTGACGCCGCCGCTTTCGAGAAGTACCTGCACGACCGCATCAAGGTTGACGGCAAGGCCGGCAACCTCGGTGACCACGTTCAGATCACCCGTGAGGGTAAGTATTGAGTTCCGAGGAATGGACGGGAATAAGGAAGAAGGACGTGGAGCAAGGACAGGCAAACATGGAGTGGAAGAAGAAAGTTCCGATGATGATCAGTGCAACGAAGGAACAATTATCAGCACGACAGAGAAGGCGCCGTTTCATCTGCGGACGTCCATCATGACAATCTGATTGTTGGAAGAGGGTCGCACACAGAAGGCAACAGAGGCTATTCTCTCTCGTAGCGATGATCTCTAGTTAGTTCCACCTGCATGCGTTCGCCTACATCCAGGCTTCGGCACGTTTCACTTTTCGGATCATTGTCTTTCTTGCTTTCTAGGCCTCCTTTTGCTCGCCGCCTCGCTCTGCTTCCAACTTCCCATCCATTCCCTTTCCTCTTCAAAGGTCGCATCGCGCACTCGAGTCGGAGATGGCTGACTCAAGCTCTCTCGTCCTCGATATCGACCTTTGCCGTTTTGTCTTTTTGCAAACGTTTGGCGCACTCATTTTGGATTCACAGGTGAGGGCAAGATCTGGGTCAACACCAACGTTGCCTTCTCGAAGCGTTACCTCAAGTACCTCACTAAGAAGCACCTGCGCAAGCAGCAGCTTCGTGACTGGCTCCGTGTCGTTGCCACCTCCAAGGACGGCTACGAGATCAAGTTCTTCAACGTCTCGTACGACCAGGAGGAGGCCGAGAACTAAGCGTCTCGCCAGTGTGGTCCCACGCTAGGTGAAGCTTTTGTGTCGCGGGTTTCGTCGTCAGAGTTTTCTCGGTCTCGTCGATTGTTGCAATCTGTACATGTAGCCTCGTATGGCAGATGAAATTTTGAACGACGACCTGTTCAAAAGCCGGGAAAACGGGAGCTTCGACTCTCAGACCCGGCACCCCTTCTACATCATTCGCCTGCTGCTGAATTGTCTGTGTCTTCGATGAGACTGAAGATGGCCTTCGTTGCGAACATCAGGTACAGAAGGAACAGCCTACACACTGATGTCGGCGAGAAGATCCTTCGCAGGAGGCCGAAAGATGTTAGACCGGGACAACAGCTTGTCTTGAATTAACGACAGCCCGGTGGATAGCCGCGCTGCTGCAGGGCTCACGTAAAAAAGCAACGCCGGGCAAGCTGAGAGACCCTTACAGCCTTTCTCAGGCCGAAGAAGCTGACTCTTTCAATGCCGCCAGTCTTGCGCGCAGCACCAGCGATTGCCAAATTAGCCGGGTGCGGCGTTTCTCCTCCACCCGAAGTATAGCATACCGCAGCTGCCCTGTGCACAACTCTCTCGATCCTCTCGGTAGGCCCTTTGATGCCCACCCTCCACCACGTCCTCATCGAGCCGCCCTGCACCGAGCGCGAGGTTCATCGTTCGCGCCATTCAACAGCTCATTTCAGCATTGGCATCGACCCTACACACGCAGCCATTTCCATCGAGGCACTGCGAATCTGCCTGATAGATTGGCGTGGTCCTCACCGCCGCTGCAAGAATGTCGGGCCGGCGAGCTTACGCCAGAGATGGCGAGATCGACGATGATCTGAGCGAAACTCAGGCCCAAGACGAGATCTTCATCGACGACAACAGCGACTACATCGACGCCAACGACAGCGAAGAGGGCGAGGATTTGCTCCTTCAAGATGCTTTGGAAGAGATGGTCGCCCAAGCGGAAGCGCGAGATTCCTTCGGCACCCAATTCGATGACGATGACGAAGACTCCGAGTACATCCCATCAGACGAAGACGTGTACCAGGACCTCATTCAAGATGCCGGTGGCCTAGAAATCGAAATGGCGGACGACGATGACGAGGATGAGGACGATGACGACGACGACGAGCAAGATGATGATGATGATGAGCCGTCCGGGAGAAGAGGACAGAGCATCACAATCGATATTCGCGAGCTCCTGCGCGCGCATCTTGCAGCCTCCAACGAGGAGGGAAACACGGAAGACATTGGAGAACTCAACACAAGAGAGTCGATAACGAGGGCACTCAACAGCATCGGTATCGCAGGCTTGCAACGTCTTCTCGCTGCTGCCACCGGAGGAGCAGTCCATGAGGATGACGACGAGATGGAAGATGACGACGATGACGATGACGACGATGAAGACAATTGGTATCACATGGCTCGCTCATCACAGATGGCCGACTTCTGGGAGCCCACTACAACACCTATCCGATCAGGACAAGAGCTCGCCCTTAGCGGCGAATTCGGTCGTCAACCCAAGCGTCCCCTCGATGCGTCACCCTCCGCCTTTGCAGAAAGCAGCAACATGTCCGACCTTCTATACCAACGCAAATACGCCCGTCGCCGCATAGCCAAGGCAGACATGGCTTCGTTTGTGCCCAACACCAACGGCACCATCGTCGCATCGTATCCGGCGCGCGTCTACTGCGGACAGTACTCTCAAGACTCTTCCTTCTTTTACACCTGCACGCAGGATTTCCGTGTCCATATGTACGACACTACCGTAGCAGGACCAAAGACCGTCCAGGTGCACGACGATGGACCAAGGCGTGTCCGCAATAGCTGGTTCTTTAGCTCCATGGGCACGACGCAGTATACATCGCTCAACATGACCAAAAGTATCCAAGGCAGGCAGGGCAACTGGACCATCACCGACGCCAATCTGAGCCCGGACAACCAGTGGATGATCTACTCGAGCATCACACCGTTTGTGCATCTCGTGCCCACAAAGCAGCACTTTGAGTCCGGGGGCAGGACGCCGAGCGATAACCAGGTCATGCTTGACTTTAGCAACACCGGAGACGACGACACTGGGGTAAGATGGCGCTCAGCGGTAAGAGCTTCCTCCTTCACTTTGACGCGGCTTCGCACCCGTCTTCGTTGCATTTGAACGAATCGACTGGCTCACACATCCTTGCTCTTTTTTTTTGCTGTCACAGATCTGGTCGATTCGCTTCTCTGGCGACTCGCGCGAGATCGTCGCTGGTGCCCACTTTGGCGACATTTACGTCTACGACATTGAAGCTCGTCGACGTGTCCTTCGAGTGGAAGGTCACTCGGACGATGTCAATGCCGTCGCATTCGCCGATGCTGCGTCTTCCAACGTGCTCATCTCGGGCTCGGACGATTCGTTTGTCAAAGTGTGGGATCGTCGCTCGCTATCGGGTGGAAAGCCGGCGGGTGTGCTGATGGGTCATACGGAAGGTGTCACCTACGTCTCGCCGAAAGGCGACGGTCGATACTGCATCTCGAACGGCAAGGACCAATCGTGTCGATTGTGGGACCTCCGCATGATGCACAGCTCGTCCAAGTTTGACCGCATGACGCACCTCGACTACGGCTTGAGAAATTGGGACTACCGGAACATGTCGTACAGACAGCCGCGCTACCAGGCGCATCCGCAGGATTGTTCGGTGATGACGTACCGTGGTCATGCGGTGCTCAAGACGTTGATCCGATGTCACTTTTCGCCTGCCGAAACGACGGGTCAGAAATACATCTACAGTGGCAGTGCCGACGGCAAGATTCACATTTGGAACCTCGACGGCACCGTTGCGCAGGTTCTGGATCGATCCAAAGTACGACCTCTGTATGCAGAGAAAGATCCTTCCAACCAGATCCACGCCTACAAAGGCCCAGGAGGGGACGACAACGAAGAATCCGACGACGACGACGCCGACGTCTTCCGCGAGCCAGGCCTAGCCTCAGACCCATCGTCACCGCCACTGCCGTGGTTCAAACGCAAGCATCCACGCCGACACGCTTCGGCCGCCAACAGCGGCTTTGACAATCCACTCGCGAGCGGAAGAGGCGGAAGAGCAGGGAGGGGACACAGAGGGACAGGTGGCGGTGCGGCGTGCACGGTGCGAGACGTCAGTTGGCACCCGCAGGAACCGAGTCTCATGTCGACGGCCTGGGACGGAAACGACGGTGATTCGGGAAGCATCGCCAAGCACGAATTGGCGGATTGGTCAAAGAGACACATGACGTTGGAGGATGTGCAGGCGCAGATGGCGCTCGAAGCTCAAGGGTGAGGTCGAAACACGGCTTGATTTCGATCACCGCACAGACTGTTCGCTTCACTCACGCAGTCGACCCCAGACTATGTCTTGACATTCGTAATTGCATGCACATCCTCCTCCATCTCTACTTGTTGTCACTCCACCCAGCCAATTCAACAACAAAGCTGGCGCTGAGCCTGACAAACTGCATCAAATGATCAAAGCTGAACTCTGGATAGTCGAACGTGTCCTGTGTGGTATGGATCCTCTTCAAGTTCGAATTCTCAAACGTGGCTTCGATAGCGAAAGCGCTGTCTGCGCCGATCTTTGTCCAGCTGGCGTGATCCGAACCGGCGTAACCGAGTTTGGTCTGTGTGTAACCGATGTCGAGGTACTCGTCTACGAGGGAGGCGATGAAGGTCGTGAGAGGCTGGCTGACAAAGTCGCTGACGAGGCCTACGGTTTCTTCGGTGCCGGATTTGACGAAGGCGGTCATGTCCTGCTGCAGCATGGCGTGGACTTTGGTGTTGGCGCGTTCATACGATTGTGCGACGGCTTGCGATCCGAGAAGACCGCCTTCTTCGGCGGAGTACCAGTGGAACTCGACGTCCGATTCGGGTCGCCAGTCCGACTTGAGCAGCACTCGCAGCGCTTCGATGATGGTCACGGTTCCAGAGCCGTCGTCGTCAGCGCCGGGTGCGGCGAAGAAGGGAAAGAGGTTGGTGGAGTCCTGGTGCGCACCCAGGATCGTAACGCCTTTGGAAGCGGTGAGGGTGGAGTTGGTTCCCTTGATCTTGAGCAGGATGGAGTTCTGGCCCCAAGGGTGGGGAAACTCCTGCACTTTGATGAAAGAGTAGTCTTTGACCAGATCCGAGACGGTGCGGAAGAGCCAGGCTTGGGATTTACGTCCGGTCTCGGACTTGTAGTAGCGCGTGTGGAACGAGGTGAACTTGGAGAGGTGGGCGCGGGGACCGTCTTGCGAGATGTGTTTGAACACGGACTTGAGCGAAGACTGGTGGTGCAGCTTGGTCGGGAACTTGGTCGAGTCCTTGAGGAGAGACGAGGAGGATCCTTCGGATTGAAGTCGAGCAGCGTTGAGCTGTCCGAGATCGGGCGTGTCCGTCAGGTCCATAAAGTGAATTCCTCGGTACCACAGCAGCTGCTTGCCTAGCTCGGTGGTCCAGTACGGCTCTTCTGTAGCAGAGGTCTGCACGAGACGGGCGGCAAATGCGTCTCGGAAGGACGAGGTGAGGCCACCAAAGAGCGAACCGGCGAACCCGCCCGTAGAGACGACATCGTGGATGGTGCCGTCGATGGGCAAAGCAGAGACCGAGGTGAGTGCAACTGCAACAGCCGCGATGGGGATGGTGAGCTTCATTGCGAAGGGAAAGCTCTGTCTTGAGGTCGAATGTAGAAAAGAATGGGTGGTGGTGGTGATGGTGGGTGACTCGCCTACCCAAAGCAGACAACGACCGGCTGAGCTTGGGCCGCTGCCGCATCCGTGTTGGTGGAGGTTGAACTGCGTTGGGATTTGCCGTTTGCTCGCATCAGAGCAGTCACAGCCAAACGAGCAATCGGCGTCAAATGACGATCTTCAGGGTCTCTTTTGCGCGCTGCTGCCCCTTTCGCTCAGATTAGCAATTCCCAAGACCTAACAACCTTCAGTGTACCCTTCTATCTAACAAAATTGTTCGGCTTTGGCCGAAAGCGACTTTCCACCGACCGGTGCTTTCAGATTGCCGTCGGCGGCCATCAGTCGTTGATGTCCGACCTAACAAATCTGTTCGGCTTTGGCCGAAACCGCGAACATGGTATGACACTGCACATCATGTTCAAGATGCTCGCCCACTCATCCTTGCGATGGTGGATCTAACACTGTGTGTCGGAATTGCACCGCTACGATGAAGAACTTCGAGGAGGTTGGTGATCCGAAAAATGGTTTTTTCGATGACCCTTCAGGGAAGTTCTTGCTTACGATGAAACCATTTTTTTAACGGAGACCCTCAAATCGATGTACGAAACAACCTAACATTTTCGTTCGGCTTTGGCCGAGCCTATAAGTGCTTTCCGTTCAACTCGGAATGGAAAACAGGATTCCGAGTAACTCACTACTGATGCTTTCGTTGGCCTCACACACTCGTCGCTCGTTCGAAGCAATCTGACTCACGACCGGAAGGTACGCCAGACAGCAGTGACGGCCGAACTCGGCACGGTGGCATTGAGGAGACTGTACATCTAGAGCAAACGCATACCCGCCGGCCCACCCTCGGTCTCCTTCCTGCCCTTCTCGGCCTTTGCCTGCTTCTTCTTTTCGCTGGCGAAGGCCTCCTTAGTCTTCATCTTGCGCTGCTTGCGCTCCTTCTTGTTGGCCTTGAACGCCTCTTTGCGCGCCTTGCGGTCCTCCTTGCTCTCGTTTCGATCGCGTTTGGCGGTCACGGCGATGGTCGACATGTGTCGTGCCAACTCGCCGCCTTCTGTTGCGTCGGAGTCGTACTCGGAGCCGTCGTGCTTCTCGCCGTCTTCCGTGTCGGAGCCAGAGTCGCTGCCTGAGGGTGGTCCGCGTCCGTCGTCGTCGTCGTCCTCTTCGTTGACACCGTTGAGCGAGGAGGAAGTCTTCTTCTTGCCGTTGACGCCGCGAGGTTTCGAGTAGCCGACAATTTCGGGGAACCCGGTGCGTGGATTGATGCGAATCTTTGGCAGTCGCTCTTCGTCGTTGAGGAAAGCAGAGGCCGAGGGACGTTGACTGGTGTAGCTTGTCATGCTCGGTGCCATGCCGTTGCCCAGCATGGTGCGGTTGACGGCGCTACCACCGGCGACGCTGCCTGGGCGGAAGGCGGACGCATTGCTTCCTCCAAACACGCTCTCCTTGGCCGAGATGGTGCGAGGGTGGTTCTCCAGGTTCGTCTTGGTAGACTGAATCGACTCCACGTCCCACTTTTCTCGCATGTGACTTCGCGGTATCGGATCGACAATCTCCTCGTCGGGCGATTCGTAATCCTCGTACTCGCCCAGATCTCCTGCTCCCTTGCCCTCGTCGTTGTCCTTTCCTGCCCACTCACGTCCGTTGATGCGCGCCTTACCGAGCGCCTGACGGAGGATGGTGAGCTTCTCGACAGAGGTGGAGTCGACACCACCGAGCGCTTCGCGGAGTTTGCCATGCTTTGTTTCGTACTTGGCGAGGAAGTCGTCCATGATCCCCTCAAAGTCTTCGCGCGTCACCGGTTCGCCTGCCTCGTCTCCGTCCGAATCGACAAACTCCTCGTCTTCGAGCGCCTCGAGGGATGGATCGAAATCTTCGCGAATTCCATATTTGCGTCCGAGCTGAGCGAAGCGGTCGTCGAGATCAGAGAGACCCTTGTTACGGAACATGGCGGACGAGCTCATCGACCAGGCGGTGCTTCCACCGCCGATCGAAGGGGCTTTGGTGCTCGCTGCTCTCCTTGCTAGCGCACCTGGTCGACCTTTCTTGCCGATCGCAGAGCCTCCTGCCGTGTACATGGTTCCAGCTCTGGATCCACCGCGCAGAGATGCAAGCTGATCCCGATCTTCCTCGTCTTCGTCATCTTCTGCGCCATCGTCCGACGCCTGTCTGCTGTTGCGAGCGAGCTGCTGCTGCTGCTTGAAGAGGGCCACTCTTGCTTCGAGCGACATGTTCTCCACACCATTCTGCTCGAGCTCCTTCTGCGCTCTTGTCGCCGCGTCCGCATAGATCGCTTCATCTCCCTCTGGCGCTTGTTCTCTCCACTGATCCTCTTCTCGTACCACGCCATCCCATTCACCATCGTGCACGACCTCACCGAAGAAGTCGTCGTCCAAGTCATCGTCCACGAACGCCTCGTCGTCAAGCGCTTCCAACGCTTGTCGCAGATGTGGATCCATATCCGGCTGGAAACCTTGCAGAGATGGTTCGACTGCAAGATGCGAGGTGAAGCTGAACGGCATCTCCTTCTGCGATGGCAGCACGGACGCCGGCAGATTCAATCCTGGCTGCTTCTTGCCTAGGTCGTCGCCTTCTTTCAACGCAAAGCTCTCCTTTCCCTTGCCTTTCGCCTTCCCATTCGCATCTGATGAGACGAGGATGGTATCCACCGTCTCGTCGACATTCTCGCCTCCCCTCTTGACATTCTCGTCATCGTTGATGGGTCGAAGATGCTGCATGTAATCGTACTCTGTATCGTCAAAGTAGATACCGTAGTTGGCCGCTTCGCCGATGTTCTGCCTGATAGGCTTGCCAAACTTGTCGCGAATGACGGTGGCATCCGCTTCGAGCTCTGCGCGAGTCTTTCCCTTTGCGCGCGACTGGTTAGCTGGATCATAAGAGAGAAGCACGTGTGAACCAGCGTCGGGATCGTTGATGAGAGGATCGCGCTGCGATCGATGCACCAGCTGGAAATGCTGAGCATTGTCGGAACGCCATATTGACTTGTTCTTGGTCTTTGATTTGGCCGGCATGATGGGCTATGTGGGGGATGGGCGGGTGATCCTCTCAAGCTGCTGTACGGGTGATGCTGGTGGCGGTTGAGGATAACAGTCGCCCGTAGCTTCAGACAGACCGTCGATGGGGCTTGTAGTAGGGTTTGCTGGACCTAGGATGTCTTCTCCGGGATAATCGGTGGCAATTCGAGTACAGGAAAGGTCAATGTATTGTACAATTGATGGTTTCTCAAAGTGTGCTCTCCAGGCCATCGGAAAATTTCGAGAACCCTGCAAGTGGAACAGAAAAAAGTTAGAGGCAGCCCAACGCAGACCCTGAAAAGGAAGGATTCCAACCAAGAAGACTTTTTTTTGGCTGCACCTTACTCCACAACCGGAGCTTACATAAGCCAGTTTTGGTTCTTGAGTTCTTTGTCACGGAGCATCTTCTTCCTTTCCATTCTTGATCATCACCACTCCCTTGAATCGAGACTCAGTGTCAGCACCAATCATGGCGGCCTCATCGACATCATCACAAGGACGACTCTTGCTTCCGGGTCAGCCAGTGTCCGTTGCATCCACCTCAAAATCGCAGCTCGAGCTCGGACTTGGCACATATGCTCGTGGAGACTACATCCTGTCCTCCCTCGTAGGTTACGAAGCACGCGCGCCCTCCACATCCTCATCCTCTACCAACACATCGAAGCCGAAAGCGCCTCAATCAGAAACTGTATCCATCAGTGGCGTCGAGAACCGATTCGTTGTGCCTCGTCCAGACTCGACCGTGATAGCACGTGTCACCCGCGTCACTCCACGCCAAGCCTACCTCTCCATCCTCATCGTCGACGGACAACCGTGTGGATCTTCCTCGTCCACCTCGTCCACTTTCGTCCAGTCCGGTCTTGGCAATCATGCAGCGGGCGAAGGAGAAGGCATCGATTTCCAAGGCGTAGTACGATCGCAGGACGTCAGAAGCACCGAAAAGGACAAGGTCAAGTTGGCAGACTGCTTCCGACCGGGAGACATTGTCAGAGCCACCGTCATCAGTTTGGGTGATGCGAGAAGTTATTACCTTTCAACAGCGGGGAACAGTCTGGGCGTGATCTACGCTTTGAGCGCTACGTCAGCTGGTGCAGGAGCGGGAGAAGGTGCAGTCAGTGGTGTGGGAGGCGCGGGATGGAACGTACATGGCAACCCGATGGTTCCCATCAGTTGGAATCAGATGATTGACCCAGTCACGGGGACCGTGGAGAACCGAAAGTGCGCAAAACCTGACTCCATCTGATCAATTGCTATCAACTCACTGCACTGTACACTACACACACACACACACACACACACACCAGTCGCACCGACCTCAAATCTGATCATCACAACAGACCCAATCGAACCTTCCTTCTTGTGCGATCCAAAAACAAAACTGATTTCCAATCTAGACGTATCAAAGACTACTTCGAAGCTGTCGAACCTCGTACAAATACTCCTGGTAGCGCTAGATCGCTGCCGCCGCATCCAGAGCGACTTGCGGATACCGTCGTCTGTGCTGATCCGCGTGCAATGCATATCCTGCTTCTTTCAGGTGCGCCTCACTCTTTGCGGTGGAACAGCGAGTGTTTGCGCTTGCTCTCCTCGCTCATCACCTTGACATGCGGGTGGTCGGGTTGCTCACCCGGCTTGCCATCCTTCAAGATGTGTGCGCAGGTTCGGATGTTCTTCAACCACTCGTCGCCCTTATCGTCGTCGTCCTCAAACTCGGACAGGCCGATGGAGCCGAGTCCTGCTGCGTGAGCGTCTCGGCTAATGCCGTGCGGGGACGTGGTGCCGTCGTGCGCGTGCGCTTGGGCGTGTGCGCCGTCGATCGCCGAACGCAGCATGTCGGTCGAGTTGCTCCTCGACATGACGGGCGTGCGCGTCAGCGGGCTGTCCGTATCGCTGAATCGACGGCCACGCAAAAGGTCGCCCAGCGTGCAACGCAGCGAGGGCTCGACTGCCATCATTCGCGACAGCGCCGAGCGCGTCTCTCGTGGAAGCAGACGGAAGATGCTGTCCGCGGCACCCGAAGTGAACGTCGTCTGCGAAGAAGCCGACGATACGCTGTCGCTGCGGTGCGCATGCGGACGCACGTCGTCAAAAGCGCCTCCGTTGCCAACCTCGCCTGCTGCACCGCCGTCGGCCAGAGTGGAGGTTGGTGACGAGACTACCGGCGACATGGCGCCAGGGCTCAGGGTCGCTCCGTTGCCGTCCTCACCTCCGAGCACCCTGTTCGCCTCAAACGTGTCGCTGAGCGAAGGCGAGTGAGGGTTCGAGTTGATCGTGTGCGGCGTCATGTAGCCGGCCTCGTGCGCCGATCGGATCTGCGGCGTGGCGCTATTGTCATCCGAGCTGGTCACAGCATCGATGGTCGACATGCCCAGATTCTTGCGCAGCGCCGAGACGTGCTCGCTCGATGTCACGCGGCTAGCGATGACGCTCGACGCAGCCGTGCTGCTCTGTCTGCTCGGACCTTCGCTGTTTGACTGGCTTTTGGCCGCATCGGACGCAGGCGCCTTGCACAGCTCGGGATGCGAATTGACAAACAAGCGGAAGCTCGGATCCGACTTCATGTCCGGCAACTTCCACGGGAAGCGGCGCAGGATCATGCACAGGAAGATGATGGCACAACTCCACACGTCCGTCAGGCGCGGGTCGTACGTCTGCTGCGACAGTACCTCGGGCGCCAAGTACGGATCGGATCCGACCACACCGGTGGCCACCACCTTGCTTTTGCCGGGAGAGTGGAAGACGGTAGCAGTGCCGAAGTCGATGAGCTTGACCACATTGCCTGTGGTCATGACGCAGTTGTCGAGCTTCAGGTCGCGATGCGCAAGGCCCATCGAGTGGAGGTAATCGACACCGTCGCAGATCTGGCGGAAGACGCAGTAGATCTCCTGTCGACACATCTTGCCGCTCATGACGACGCTGAAAAGGTCGTAAGGGGCATACTCCATGACCTCGTAGTAATGGCCGTGATCCGAGATGATGTCGATGGTTTCGATGATGTTGATGTGGTGGAGCGTGCTTCCAATGCAGAATTCGGCCGTGACCTTCTTGATGTACTCCTTCTCGTTCTCGCCGGGTCTACGCTGACGGAACTCCTTGACGGCAAAGACAGTGTGGTCCTTGGAGCGTTTGATGAGACGCACCGTACCACCGGCACCTGAGCCGAGCACCTTGCCCCACTTGCCGTACTTTTTGGCCAAGTGCGCGTGGTCTTCGCCGAGCGGCGGCGAGTCCTTGCCGTGTCTCTTTGGCGTTGCGACGCCGGAGCGGCTGCTGTCGCCGCGCGACTCGCTATTGTGGTGTCCGATGTGGTTCTGCAGGAACTTGCGCAGGTCGGTGAGCGGGTTGTGGTGGCCAGAGTGCTCCTTGTCCTTCTTCTTCTTGCCGTGGCCGTCGTTATCCGAAGGCGATGCCGTGCCGCTGCCGCTTTCGCCGTGCTTGCGTCCTCCGCTGCTGCCGAGGCGCTCGGTGTTGCGTCGCGAGCCGAGTTTGGGGAAGATGAACTGCGGAGGCGTGCCTGTTGCATCCGTGCTGGAGCTGTCGACGCCGCGGGCCGAAGCGAGTCCGCTGGCACCGGCACCTTGGACGGGTTGGAACGAGGTCCCTGTCACCGTGCCGCTGAGGACCTTGTTGAGGCCGGAGCGACTCTGGGTGCCACTGGTAACGGGTGACACGGTTCCCGATGTGTCGTCGTTCAGGGCCAGGTGAGCGGAAGCACCGCCGGTGCCGATGGGCGTAGCGACACCGGAATGATCTGCATGCTCGCTGAGACCCATCTTTTTGAGATTTTCGGAGCGGATCCTTGCAGCGCTGGCACTTGGACCGGTGATTGCATCGACGGTTCCTGGAGTGACGCCAGGGGTGGATTCCATACCAGCCGTGGACGCTGGCGAGGCCATCTGAGACGGGGAGGACACGACGAATTCGCTGCCACCCTGCGTGGGCGTCGGTTCGTCCGTTTTGGTGCTACTGATGGCAGCGTAGCCTGGAGCGGTGGAGTCTTCACGGAGTGTCATATGGTTGGTTTGGGTCTGAAGGTGGACGACGTCGGCACCATCGCGATCTTGATCTGGATGGGTCGAATGCTGGATGATAGGATTCATGGGCTTTGAGGAAAGCATATTGGGCGAGTCGCAGATAAGATTCGCCGACGCTTGGGCGGCCGGAGGGCGGAAGCGACGGACTCGGTATTACGAGATGTCGAAAAAGCGGTGCGCCCAGAGGTGCGCTTCAGGCGGATTCGGATTGTGCTGCGCTGTCAGAATGAAGCGCAGCTAGTGTTAGGCGCGACAGAGTGAGTAGAGCAGAGCAGTAGCCGTTGCGACGATCAGATTGTCCACGCGACACGCGATGGCAGCTTCTCCGCGCAGACTTCGATTGCCGAGAACAGTTGAGACGGCCGGGCAGCGAAGACGACACTTGAGACGTCAGCGTCCTTAAAGCCGAGGCGAGTGGGACGAAAACCTTGTTCGCGCGATTGCGCTACGACGAGCCAGGTTCAAGGTTCCGCAAATTGTATCTGCGGTTCGTGAAGAGATGCTCGGTAGATAGGCATGAAGTGGTCCATCGACTCAAATGCGGATCGGATGGTTATCTCGGTTGTTTAAGAAGCGTTGAGTGCGTGTATGCAGATGCGTTGTGTTCCGTTTAGGCACGGAGCGGGTGGTGCGAGTCAGAAGGCTTTGACAGCGATCCCAGCGTGATCGTTCGATGCAGCCTGATGACAATCGAGGAGGAAGAAGAGGAAGAAGGCGGATGGCGGAGAGAAGCAATGATCAAGGTAGAGAGGATGGACGTCGACATAAGACGACAAGTAGAGGTGGAGGATGAATTGTCGAGGCGACGAGGCGCAACAAGAGGGAAAATTGCCGTCCCGCACGAAGCACTATCGAACACGCAGAGTAGTGGTAGAAGACTGTGCGGACACAGGAGCAAAAGGAAAGCAGAACGCAGAGACAACTGACCGGCAGCAGCAAAGGCCGACGCAGCCGTTGTTGTACAGAGACGGAGAGGCAACGCAGACAGCGCAAATTACCGTAAAAAAAACCAAATCACAATATGGGGAGGAGGGACACCTGCTGTTTCGCTCATTCCAACTAGAAAGAGGCAGTTGGCCAGAGGTCGATCGATGTCTTTTTTGGGTAAAGGAGCAAGGGCCACACCGATGTGGCTCGCAGCCGCACGGACTGCTGGAAAGAGGCGAAAATCAGAAAAGAAATCGAAAAACAAAAAATAGACGAGACGCTACTTTTACAGGTTCTCTTTTCCCTCTTCACGAAGCACGGGGTTAGACTGCAGAAACTGTTTGCAACGGTCCCTTTTGATGACATATGCCCGGCTACGTGTTCGGCACATGGTTCGATTTGAGCTTTTCGGCATCGGAACGTCCAATCACGAAAGTCTAAAATCCCTCGACGATGCCGAGACGAAAGTTTTTGTTGCTGCTCGTCGAAACTGCTTGCCATGACACTGACATTCGCATGTGCTCAAAAGTGACTACTCCGACTTACGCGCTTACATCCGAAGCCAGTCAAATGGTCCTTGAAACCGGAGCAGCGCCTTGTTGCTCATCTCGGAATGTAGGCGGCTTGCGGCTGTCTTGTCAAAGGAAATGACAAAAAGGCGAGCCACGAAATCGATGTGGAAATCTTCGCTCGGTATCTCCGCCGGAAAAACCGCGCAAAATCCACGATTTTTCCTGTCTGTTAATGCGAAAGGAGATACCTACCACGGCTTTTTCAAAGTTGACAGGCGTCAAGCTTGCCAAGACGCCACGACTTTTCCGCGAAGGGTTTGCGTTGCGCCGGGGTGACTACGACGGCGTTGTGCTTGCACCCATGCCTCGGCTCGAAGAACGAGAAAACGAGGCGCAGCAAGGCTAATGGCGAGGCAACCGTCTTCCGCGCGAGCATCGACCGGAGTAAGTGATGCAACACCCTCGCTCACGGAGAGGGGAGCAAATGTAGCTGATGTCCGACGAGATTATGAACACGAACGAGGCTATTCTTTCAATACGACATTCATCGATCGGAGCACCAAGTGAGAGATCAGATGCTTTGCTGTGACGTGTCCAAGGCTCTGCCGACGTCGACGCAACGGTCAAGAAGCCATTACCGACTACGTCTGTGTCGACCAGAAGTCTCAACAATGCACAAGCCTGCCCGCACACGACTTCAAAAGATTGACCCATGTCGAATTAATTGCAGCCGATGCAACACGAAGGACAGAGACGAAACTACTGACAAAGGGAAAGGGACGAGAAAGAACGTGCAAAGATAGAGATCAGATTTCAATGTTGCGCATCGCATGACAAGCGCGCGGGTCCACAGTCGGTGCCAGTCTGCTTGCTGCAAGTTCGTGATGGTGGCAGATCAGAGGCGTCTAGACGAGCATGGAGCCAGCGAGAGCAGCAACAACGCAGCCAACCATGGCAGCCGAGCCGACACGGACGCCGGTCGAAGCCGAGGAGCTCTGGCTGCTGCTCGTCTGGCTAGAAGTTTGCGAGGAGCTGGGACTTGAGTTCGAGCTCGAGCTCGATTGGCTCGCCGAGTTGGAGGAGCTGGCGCTGGCGCTGGCTACCGAAGACGAGGCGGAAGCCGAAGCGGAAGCGACCGATCCAGATGCAGTGGCAGACGACGATGAAGAGCCCGACTGGGTTGCAGCCGAAGCAGCCGAGACGATCCTACCCAAACCCCAGGGGATCGCAGGTCCCTCTGGCTGCTTAGCGTAAGGGGGCGACGTGACGGATCCGGTGGAATCAGCGATGGCGAATCGAGTCGTCCATGTGGGGTCTTGGCCATTGTGGGTGAACTGGAAAAAGTAGATAGCCGAGTTAGGCGATACGTTCGGGGCGGTCCACAGAAGCTTGCCGGCGCCCGCCGAGGTGCCGTCGACGCCTGTGGCAACCGTGTACAGCTCGGTCATGTTCTGGTTGGAGCCGGTCATAAGCGTGATCTCCATGCTCTTCCACGACTGGCTTGTGGTGGTGTCCCACTGGATCAAGAGCGGCGAGCCTTCGTTAGTGGTGCTGGGAGTAAGGGGAGAAGGAGCCGTGGATGCGGTCGACGACGTCGACTGTCGCTTGGCATGACGTGGAACGGCAGCGACTGACGAGACGCTGGTCAAGGCGAGCATGGCCCAGGGAGCAAAAGCAGCGAGCGAGAACTTCATGTTGACGACGAGGGTATCGAAGGTCGGGCGGCGGTATTCGCAGTGTGGTCTTGTAGTGATTGAGCGAGCGGCAAATGGAGCGGGGCACGAGGAACAGTGGGTGCGTCTGCGGAGATGATGAAAAATAGAGGCCGTGACTGAAAGAGTGACGAGGGTGAGAAGGCGGCTTGTCAGATACAGGGGAGATGGAAAAAGGAGATTGTGGTAGGAAGCGAACAACGAGATGGAGGAATACGAAGGTGATGAACAGAGGAAAGGAAGGAGGAGCAACAAGATGTCAAGGCCACCCCAAGACTGGTGTGCGGAGGACCGACGTTCGGACAGCAAAGTCAACTTAGCTCGAATGTGGCTGGCTGGGCTGGGGAGACTGTGTTTCGCACTTGCTTACGGTGGGCTCTCAAGAGGGTGTCTGCCTGCGAAGGATGGGAAATGGTCAGGGGCTGCTGCTGCTGGCAGGCAGAAGCAGCCTGCAGATGCCTCGCGGCAACTAACGCCGTGACAAAATCCCACCACTACTATGTCAAGGCAAACATTCGAGCTAAGGGACGGCGCGGACGAGTGCGCAAACGGAAAAAGAGAACAACACTCAGACAACAGGATCGACACGCACGCAGCACGCTCCATAGGAGAGCCTTGCCATGCACTTCACGTCAAAAATACAAAATTCTTCTCCGAGCAACATGCACGTTCTGCTGCGGAACACCGCAGAGGCGCAAAGACTCGAGAACAGATCGACAGGAACGAGAAGCGAGATGCAACTCGGCTGATCCTGAGCGGATTCGGCGCAGCAGGAGCGACGCCGCGGACACCCTCTGTACACACACACACACACACACACACACACACACACACACACACACGCACACGCACACGCACACGCACACCTTCTCTAGAGATGCGCTCGCGTGACACCACAAGCCATGTCGTTGCTGCATTCGTGGGAGCCGGTCTGAACAGCCAGCAGACCATGCCAACTCTCAAAGAGTCACAGGCCGCATTCTTCGAGACGATACTTTCATACCCAACGACTTGCTCCATTCGTCGCTGACGCGGAACTGCACACTATGACCTGCCTAGGCGGACACGAATGAGGGGAACGATGCTAGCCATCATTCAGGCGAGGCGGAAAACAGCGGGAACGGCAGCTGAGCAAACTCCGAGGCGTAACCTGTATCCTCGCGTGCTGGGCGAGCAGGGGTTGAAGAATGTGGGTATGCCTTACGCTAGTCGGAGTGTCAAAGTCGTAAGCGCACACTCGACTCGAGAGTCTCGAAAGATGCATCTGAGTGATTGGAATTTCTGCGCGAGCAGAGATGAGGTAAATTGCTGTTAGACCTCTCCGGCTCTTCGAGTAAAACGAATCGACGATTCGGATTTCGGGCGCCAGTCATCACGTGAGCCGGAAAAAGTGAGGAGCTTAGGGAAATTTTCGGGGGAAAATTTCAGTTTGAGAGGTGCAGAAACCAACGGACAAAGAGACCCTGGAAGCACTTCTTCTCAGCCTTTCCGAGCCTGACCTCGTCCATCATCTCGAACACGATTCCTCCCTTCATCTCGCTAGCAATCATCCTCGGCTGCACTAGGGTCACGAAGCGAGTTGTCGATCCAGGACACCACCCACGAGACGTAGACCTTCCGCCTTGTCCACAGCACCGCCCTGACCTAGGCGGCAATCACATAGCGCAACATGGCCAAGATGAAGCAGAAGGGAAAGTCGGGCGCGGCAAAAAACTACGTGACCCGTAACCAGGCCATCAAGAAGCTCCAGGTAACCCTCGCCGACTTCCGCCGTCTTTGCATCCTCAAAGGCATCTTCCCACGCCAGCCAAAGAGCGTTCGAAAGGCCAACAAGGGCTCGACTGCGCCCACCACCTTCTTCTTCGCCAAGGATATCGCCTACCTTCAGCACGAGCCCGTGCTTCAATCACTGCGTGAGCACAAGACTTTCGCCAAGAAGCTCTCGCGTGCAATTGGGCGAAGGGAGTGGGCTGCCGCCAAGAATCTTGACGAGAGCAAGCCAACCTACCGTCTGGACCACATCATCAAGGAGCGATACCCCACCTTCCGCGACTCGCTCAAGGACATTGACGACGCCCTTTCGCTCCTGACACTCTTTGCAAACCTTCCGGCTACCGACAAGGTCTCTGCGGATGTGATTGCCACCTGCTCGCGCCTGTGCGCCGAGTGGCAGCTGTACGTCATGAAGACCAAAGCCCTAAAAAAGGTCTTCCTCAGCATCAAGGGTATCTACTTCCAAGCCGAAGTCAACGGCGAGACCATCACTTGGCTCGTACCTTACCTCTTCACCCAGCACATTCCTTCCGACATCGACTTCCGCATCATGTACACCTTCCTCGAGCTCTACCAGACCCTGCTTGGATTCGTCTTGTTCAAGCTCTACACCGACGAGAACCTCGTGTACCCGCCCAAATTCGATGCGGCAAAGGACGAGCAGGCCGCCGGCTTCGGTGCGCTCAGCCTGGACCCGACTAGCGCTGCAGTGCTTCGCGGCGAGAACACTGTAGCAAACTCGTCCCGCAGCAACGGGGAGGCAGTAGCATCCTCCTCTTCCGCCGTCGTCACCGCTTCGGGCAAGAAGGTCTCGGCCAAGGACGTCAAGAAGCAGATCAAAGCCATCTCGAAATCGGGCAACATCGCCACAGATGCCGAGGAAGACGACGAGACGGTTGATGCGCTGGCACAGGCAGCAGAAGAGGAGCAAGACAAGTTCGTCGAGCAGCCTTCCAAAGCCACCGAAGAGCAGGAATTGGCAGGTACCTTGACGACCTTCGACGAAATCCAAGCGGCCTCGGCGGCGAGTGAGGGTGCAGCTCACGGGCTCTTCACACCGTATGTCTTCTACATCTCACGTGAATGCCCACGGGCTGTGATCGAGTTCGTTCTGAGATCATTTGGCGCTTTGCCAGGACGTATCGGATGGGACATGGTAGCTGGTGCAGGCAGCGCGTTGGACGAGGACGACGCCAGGATCACGCACCACATTATCGACCGGCCTGTGCCAGCAGGCGGTATGAAGAGATACGCGGGCAAGCGCGTGTTCGTGCAGCCTCAGTACATCGTCGACTGCGCCAACGCGAGGAAGCTGCTCCCTGCTGGAGCATACGGCCCTGGCCAGACGTTGCCACCACATCTGAGTCCCTTCGTGGACGACGCCGAGGTGGCACGCCGAGGCGGCTACGTTCCCGAGGAGGCGAGGGAGCAGCTCGGACTCGAGGCCGATGCCGCCGCGGTGGCTTCGGACGACGACGACGACGAAGACTCGGAAGAGGAGCTCGAAGCTGACCAGGACGTGGACGAGGACGACGACGAGGAGGAGACCGAGGAGGCTGCCACCGCGACTTCACGACCGGCACTCGCAGCACTTCTGGCTGACCCCACCGACGCCGCCGACGCCGGTCTGCTCGATGCAGCCGAGCTCGAAGCCGAAGCCGCCGGAGGCGAAGACGCATTGGAAGACATGCGCCGTAAGCACACGGCCGCGCTCAAACAGACCAAAAAGACGAGCAAAGCGTCGAGTGCGCCGAAGCGCAAGACGGAGGAGCAAGAGGCCAAGGAGATGTCCAAGATGATGATGAGCAACCGACAGCGCAAGCTGTACGAGAAGCTCAACTACTCGTCGGGCAAGCGCGCCGAAGAGACGGCCAAATTGCAGCAGAAGAAGAAGGCGCTCAACAAGAAAGCCGTCAAGGGCAGGAGGTGATGGCGAATTCCGTCACCTTCATGATTCGCTATCCTTGCTGATCTTGGTCCGTTCTCATCTCATGTCTTGCATATACTATCATTCCCGCAGTCGCAATGTCATTTTTTCGAGCCTAGCGTGCATAATGTCTCGTTACAGAGTGAGAGCCAAAGCGAGGTCGAATAGCCGCGTCGAAAAGTGGCGCTTCGTGTGGCAGCGCGCGATCGCACGCAGTGCTTTACTCAATTCCGAAAGCTGTGCTTCTGACGCTTGCGTTTCCGATCATTGTTTCGCATCCTACATCGCATCTATGGAGATATTGGCAGGCGCGCTCTTTTGGTATCACGCGGTCCCATTTAATAAAACCAGTAGGCTTGACAGCTGGCAGAAAGCGTGGGAACGCCAACGTCGGTGCTGCGAGGTTGATACCTGACCAATCCAGCAACTCGGATCCTCCGCGAACAGTGATCGGAGATGCGCGCTACATTCCCGCGTGCCTCTTGGGAGTGAGGCCAATTTTGCGGATGTTCCAAGTGAAGGATCGTTGCCAAGAATTGAACTAGGGGTTTCACACCATCCGCATCAAAGACGTATTGCCATTTGCAGCGGGTAGATCTGAGCGATAGCTTCGCTGCTCTATTATTCGTTAGACTCTTTTCTACGTACCAAAGCAAATCCAATAATCCAATTTACGCGCATCGTGATCGCGTCTCCGCATCTCGTTTCCGACACAGCGCATCTGGCGTTCCAGCATGTGACAGGAATTTGTCTTCCAACAGCGATATCTCGCTTGAGAGTCGTGCAGCAGCGATTGCAAGCGAACGGATCCAAGGATCGCTGCTGTGCATTGCGCCTGTAGAGAAGCACTACACTCGCATCCGTGCTGCTGCGCGAAGCTTCGACATGAGGCATGGTGCAACGCTGGCTGGAGTCCTCCGATCAGGAGGGTGGTTGGAGAAGGACTGTCCACCAGGTGCGACGCGAGAGAGGGTGGGTGCTCACCCAAGCTTATAAGAAATGGAGCAAGCAAGCAAACGAGCGAGCAAGGAAGCAAGGTGTCGAGCGTGCTAGAGGGCGTGGATGTCAGAATGTCAGAATGTCAGGAAAAGTTAGCATTCGGGCTTCTCTTTTTGGTTTCAGGTAATTCCTCCGCATTGGCTGGGACGGCAGCCCGCTTTCCCCGCCGAGTACTGCAAGGAGCCACACGGTCAGCTGCCGGTCCTCGCACGCTCATGTGCATCCGTCGCAAACGGAAGCGGGTTCGAGTGAAGTTGCCGTACCCGCTGTGCCTGCACATCAAATCAATTTTCACGACTCGCTTGGGGTGCAACGCATGCACCGCTTCCCCACTGGGCATCTTCCATCCATCTTGACAGGCATGACCTCGCGCCGTTACTGAGCCCTACCCGAATCATCCTCTCCCGCTCCAGCAGCGATTCGGCCAAGTCTCTCACTCTGCTTCCCTTCCATCATTCTGGTCGGATCCTGTTCATTGTTCTGACCTTCCTGCCCGAATCCGGGACAGCTTCAGCAACCTCGCTCCGCCCAGCAGACACATCGCGCACCTTCTTGGTCGCCATCAAGCGCTTCTGAAAAAGACAATCACGGTCTGTACACCTCTGCGATTGGCTCGTACACATCATCCACGCACAGCAGCGAGTCTGTCTCGACACTCAAGGTCCGCACAACATGTCTGCCCGGTTGCGTCGCCCTCAGCCAGACAGGAGTCGTATCATCTCCTCGATGGGCCTTCCTCCGCGCGATCCGGTGCCCGAGCCAACCAGTCCGCTTCCTCGTCAGACTTTCACACGCTCGCGCAAAGAAAGCGATGCTTCTGGCGCGAGATACAGTATCGACAGCCGGCGTCCTATCGCTGACGATTACGATGACTACGACGACCGTCGCCGCAGCCGCTCTTCACGCCAGTACGCGTCCGACCCACGACAAGATCCGCGTCGCAGAAACGAGTCTCTTACGACGTCTCGCTCTCGCCTCGATCCAAAGCGCAGACCCGCGCTTCCCGAATTCGACAACGACCGCCAGCGTCCAGACCTTGACGACTTCGACGAAGAGGATGACCAAGACGAGCAAGATGCACGCATGGACCGTCGTCGCAGCGCCAAACCTTCCGGACGCAGAGAGACCGTCCGCGATGCTCCGCGCTCCGATCGTGGCGGTGCTGCGCCTGCGAACGGCCGTCCACGCCAGCAGAGCGACCCCAATCGCCAACCGGAACCCTGGGAGGACTTCTCCAATGCACAATACGCTCCACGAAGCAGACCCACCCGCTCCGTCTCCAACGGCGATCTGGACAACGACTATCGTCGCACATCGGGCGCCGCCCGTCGGTTCAAGGGAGACCCTCGTGAGGCTCGTCGAGACGAGCGCGACTGGTCTTCTGAACGCGATCTGGATCGGTCGCAGTCCATGACTGGGCGTGGCGGCGGCATGCTCAAAGGGATGCTCAATCGAGCCTCTGGTGGCAGCCGCAACACCTTCAACGCTCCTCGAATGCAGCCGCCTTCATCTCGTTTGAGTCGATACAGCAATCGTGCCCCCTCTCGCCGACGTGACGATGACGAGATGGAACTGGCGCGCATCGAAGAGGACGAGATGCTTCAAGCCATGCAGAAGCGTCGCAGTGCAGCCAACGCTGCTGCCAAAGGCTACGACGAGTCCGATCCGCGCTGGTACAGGGACGATCGCAAACCACCCTCGGTCTCGTCGCGATCCCGAGGCAAGGCTCAGCCTGTCGGTCTGGAGCGAAGCGAAAGCGCAGTTCGAAGAAGCATGGACCGTGAGCGTCAGCGGACCCTCGATGCGCTCGAACGCTCCGACCGCGGTCTTCCCATGGTGTCCCGCACTGACGCCGTTGTTCGTTCCCGAACACAGGTCAAGTCAGCGTCCAAGTCGCGCCCCAAAGATCCCGCACGCACCCGATCCACCGGCGCTCCTCCGAAATCATCGCGCGAGGCTGCACTGGCTGCCATTACCGGCGTCTCCGCCGGCGCGGTCGCGACAAGCGCAGTCAAGAAGCAGGATCGCAAATCCAGACCGGCGCCCGCGAACGAGGAGCTGAGCGACACCGACCTCTCCTCTGACGACGAGGCTCTGCTACATGACGCCGTCGAGCCTGCCGATGTCCACGATGATGAAGCGATCCCGATCATCGTCTCTAAGTCCGCCAAGCCGACTCAGATCGAAAACGAAGCGCGAGCTCCTGTTCCCCCTGCCGTCAAAAAGGTTGCCGAGTCCACCAGTGATGACGACTCGGACCAAGACGATTCCGACGACGAAAGCACCGAGCAGACGTCGGAGGGACTGGACGCCGTCGCTAAGCCTGCACCTGCCATTGCGCAGGCTGCTGTTGCCCCATCTCGAACTTCTACTTCCAAGCTCGTCGCTTCCAGCGACAACGGTCGCGCCGCGCCCAAAGGTTATATGAACTTTTCCCGCAAGGCCCCTGTTGTTGCTGCGACGGGTGCAGCTGCCCCGTCGTCTGCGAGGGCTCGAGCTGCGTCCGACTCGGACGACAGCAGCGAAGAGGATGAAGATGATAAAGAAGAAGACAGGCGCGAGGTCGAGCCAACGTCCAAACGATCTAGGGCGACTCCGGCTGCTGCCATTGCTGCCTTGGCAGGCGGAGGCGCCGCCGTCGGCGCCGGTGCCGGAGCGTTGGCAGCCAAGCGCAGCGCTCAAGCTGACAAAGAGCAGCGCAGAGCTGCCAAATTGCAGGCACAGCAAGAGCAGAAGGCTGCCGAGGCCGAGGCTCGCGCTGCCAAAGCCGATCGCTCAGCTGAGAAACGCAGGGCCAAGCAAGAAGCCTCGGCTGCCGCAGCAGCCGCCGCTTTGGCGGCAAAGGAGGCTAAGCGCAACGAGAAGATCAAGGAGCAAGAGGCTCGGCAGGCAGAGGCAGAGCGCAAGCGAGAGGAAGAGTCCCAAGCTCGCGATCGCGCCATCCGCGACAGAGAGGACGCCGAGGAGCGTCGCCTGCTCGCTGTGCGCGAAGACGAGCGCCAGCGTCAAGAGAAGTCCGAAGCGCGACGAGCGAGCCGTCGTCCAGCGCACGGCGCTGCTGGCCCCAAGAAGCGCAGCGGCGGCATCGACTCTTTGACCGCTCAGCAACGCCACTACCTACTCAAGGCGCTCGTCATGCTTCAGATGCAGAGCGAGTGGGCCGAAGTCGAGAAACTTGGCGCGCTTACCGAGTACGGCTATCCCTTCTCCAGCCAGCGATCCAAGCTGACCCGAGTCAAGACGTTCGAGCGTGGCGAGGACGCTGGCGACTATGCTGGCGCTGCTCGCGATCCCTATGCCAACGACGATGCCATGCGCGAAATGGAGGACCTGCAAGAGCCGCTCATCCTTCGCCATCTCTTCCACGTCCACCTTCATAGTTTTCCCGGCCTGGACCAGGCACCCGAAAAGTACTGGCAGAAACGTATCCAGCCCTTCTTTGACGAGATGGCCGCGCGAAACTTTTCGAGTTCGATTGAACGAGGCGAGATCTCGAAACGTCGACTGTACGCTCTGGCAGCAACGCGGTACCTCGGCAGCTTCGTCGCTCGAGGATTCGGTGTCCGTGGCGAGGGTGAGACACGTGGTCCCGGCGTTGGGGAGCCAGGCACCGAGAAATGGGGCGTAGGCAAGAACTGGGGCAAGGGCACCGTCAAGCGCGGCCTCGACCTCCCCGAGCGCATCGATGCCGACACCATGAACGAAATCGACGGCCTCTTTGACGGAGAAGCCGGTGATCTGTGGCGAGCTGCCGGCAAAGAGTGGTCCACGGTTCGACGCGACTGGTCGGCGTTCAAGGAGAGCATCATCGAAAGCGAGACCGGTCTCGAGGAGGTCATTTCGCACCTCGACATTAACAGCATCAAGAATCTGCCGCCACAGTATCGCAACTCGGTCGAGTTCGCTCGTATCCACGCGGCGTACATCTTCCACGCTCTGTTTGTCACAGCACCCAATGCAGACGACCTGTTCAAGATGGTCAAAGGAATCCATGCGCTGGCTCCGTACTGGGGAGCCAAGCAGCTCCTCAAGTATGCCAACGCCGAGACCATGATCTCCGGTATTCTCTCGCTACTGCTTGCACGACCCGGTGGAGCCAAGTCGCTTATCCAACGCATCTTTTCGTACGTCATTGGCAAAGAGGCTTCATACATCCAGAAGGAATTCGTGGTTCCTCTGCGCAAGGAGATCAACGACCCCGAGCTCAGCAAGAAGGTCGAGGACTACGTTCGCCGAGGCGATCGAGTCGATGCCCGCAGAATCCAGCGCGAGTCCAAGAAGCGCGGTGAGGACGTGCTGACCACCATCTTGATCTCGGCCAAGGGGAAACTGAGTGCAGAGGCAGAAGATCACGTGCTCGAGCTTCAACGCTGCTTCGCCCTCTCTCCCTATCGCGGCGATCTCAACCTCGCGTACCCCGAGACGACGCCGGTCGGTGCCGATCGACCGCCCATGCCCGCATGGGGAGCCAAGGGATCCGAGAACACACGTGCGCGCAAGTTTGCTCTGCTCAAGCTGCTGCTGCGAGAGTGCCTCAAGCGCCGCGACCGAGAGCAGGCGGTGGAGATCGCAAGCGGAAGTCTGATCCCTGCCATCATCAAGGACTCGCTCGCCACCGTGTTCTACCCTGCCATCCGTACGATCGCCAAGAATGCCAACCTCAGCGAGCGACTTGGCGACCTGCAAAAGTTCATCGACGACATGCTCGAGGTGCACAAGAGCGGCGACCGCAGCATCGAAGGCTGGATCGCCCTCGCAGCGCGTCACGAGCAATCGCTCTACATGCTGTTCCACGAATGCTCTCCCATCGCCAAGCCGCTGTGGGACTGGTGCCAGCTCGGTCTGGATTACATGGCGCTATCCACCACGGATCCTGCCCACCCGGCGGACCGTCGTAAGCCTAATCTAGAAATCAACTTCGAAGAACTTCTGCAGGATGCGCGACTCAGCGAGTCGGACGTCAAGAAGATCATCGGCGAGGCTGACAAGTTGGCAAGGTACGCCAAGTGGACAAAGGTGCGCTACGAGCTGGAGGCGCGCCGAAACTACTTGCTTGGCAGACCCGAAGCCGGTCATGCCGGCGGCGTTTCGGAGCTTGGCCTCAAGGACGAAAAGTTGCGACGCGAATTCCAGGACATTGACGGCATGATGGAGGACTTGATGGCGGATGCTGGCGAGACGCTTGACGACGGTAACTGCAAAGACGGCGTCCGCGGTACCGAAAAGTACGACTTCCCGTGGGCGTTCTTCGACGAGGTGGACCCGCTCAACCAACATCTGGCTGGCGAGGAGGAGGCTGGCCCGTTGCGCGTGCCCAAGTTCGCAGTTGGCTACCCCCCGCCGAGTCTCAAGCACATCCGTCGACTTCGGCCGCTTTTCTGCGAGCTCCTGGCTTCCAAGCTGCCGGATTGGCAGTCGGAGGATACGCTGGCTCCTCTCAGGTCGGACGTTCGTGGCAGCAAAGGCGGCGTCTTTGGCGGAATGTCCAAAAAGAACAAAACGACCACCTTCAGCGACTCGGTGAGCGAAGGCCGAGCACCGGCGGCGTACCCATCCGAGAACAAGAGCGTGCTCAGTGCTTCCTCTTCTCGCTTCAGAGGTCTCAAGATGCCCAGCTTGTTCGGCCGCAAGTAACATATGCACAGCAAATGCACAGCACACATTCGCAAATACACAGACTGACTCACATAGCCACTCCCTGCCTCGGCTGCAAACCATTCTTTTCTCATTCGCTTGTTCCGAGTTCAACCGCATCTTTGCAATGGATCGATTCAAATCGCTCTCGTCAATGTGTGACATGCGAGCGTTAGAATCTGACTGTGGGGCTGATCGGATCTTCTTGTCCGGTCGCCAGGTGAACTGTCGTCAACAAATGCCGAAGCATGCGTGTGAGTTGTGCTTGCGGCGGTCGCGGTTCGGTATTGTGCGTAATTACCAGAAAAGCCAGGTTGAAGCGTGCGTGCAGAGGAGACGGCGACTTTTTCTCCCCCGCACTTTCTGGAGAAGGTGCGGGGTTTAGATTGCCGACGCTTCCGAACGCAAGTAGGCTTGATCGTCGAGCATGACAAGTACAAAGCTTCCTTCAGAAGCACCATCGCGATTTGTGCTCCCGTCGAGATTCATACGACACACGCCTGAACAAAGTACGAGAAGTTCAACGATGATGGCCACAAGATCGGTACAGACCTTTCTCGGGAGGACCGCTCGCGCAGGCCGAGCTGCGCCGGGACTCTCGAAGGTAGCTTGCTCCGTCGATGCTGGGCTGGGCAGCTACAACCCGGTTCGCCTCACAACAATCACACCTGCTCGCATCTTCCGAGGCTTCTCATCATCGAGCATCACGAGACGTGCAGCTGCCGAATTCACAGGCATGTCCGAGCAAGGACTCTCCGAATCGCAAGTCGACGTACGACGAGCGATCCAAGATGTCTGCTCTCAATTCGACGAAGACTACTGGCGACACAAAGATCAACGCGCCGAGTACCCGCACGAGCTCTACGATGCTCTCTCCTCCGGCCGATGGATCGGAATCTGCATGCCCGAGTCGCTCGGCGGGGCAGGACTCGGAATCTCGGAAGCGACAGTTATGCTTCAGACCATCGCCGAATCGGGTGGAGCCGTCGCTGGTGCTCAATCGATCCACGCCAACATCTACCCTTTGATGCCGATCATCGAGTTTGCCTCGAAGGAGCAGCATGCTGATTGGTTGCCGAAGATGATCGACGGCAGGATCAGATCTTGCTTTGGCATTACGGAACCAACGACGGGATCGGAGACGTTGAAACTCAAGACAAAAGCAGTGAGGAAGGGCGACAAGTACATCATCAACGGCAGTAAGATCTGGACTTCCTCGGCGCAGGTCGCATCCCATGTGGTGCTCTTAGCAAGGACTTCGGAGCCAGAGAGTGGATCGCGATCTTCGGGCTTGAGCCTCTTCTTTGCGCCGCTTCGAAACATGCCGAACAACCCGCAGAACGCAGGCAAGGCGCAACTGGCCAAGGGAGTCGAGATGCGCAAGATCGCCAAGATGGGCGGCAACATGGTCGACGCTAACGAAGTGTGGTTCGACGACTTTGAAGTGCCCGCAGACTGCCTGATCGGCGAAGAGGGCAAAGGGTTCAAGTACGTCCTGCACGGGATGAACGCCGAGCGGTGCCTGTTGGCAGGTGAAGCGCTGGGCACGGGATACGCAGCACTCACCAAAGCGGTCAAGTACGCAGGTGACAGAGTCGTGTTCGGCAAGCCCATCGGAGCGATGCAGGCCATCCAACATCCACTTGCGAAAAGCTGGGCTCAACTCGAAGCAGCCAAACACCTGACCTATGCCGCAGCGAGGATGTACGATGATAGAGCGGCGGACGCGGGTGCGCAGGCCAACGCGGCAAAGTACATGGCCGCCGAAGCTGGGTTCAAGGCTTGCGAGACGGCGGTCATGACTTTGGGTGGCATGGGCTATGCGGTAGAGTACGGGGTGGAAAGACTGTTCCGCGAGGTGCTAGTGCCGAGACTTGCACCAGTGAGGTAAGTTACAAAAGAGAATGTCCTCTGACATGCACATACTGTGTTGAGCGCTTGATGCTGACCTTCTTCTGACCCTGCCTTTTGTCATGTGACGTGCGAACGACAGCCGTGAGATGGTCCTCAACTATCTTGGCCAACATGTTCTCGGACTTCCAAAGTCGTATTAGACCCACTTCGCACCGCGCGCCCTTGCCTTCCAGGGCCCCTGCATGACCCACATTTCGTGCAACCCAATAATGCGCTTACACCCTAGTCCACATGTGACCAAACTCCCTTGTCTGAACTGAGAGCCAAATGTTCATAGTGACACTTTGCGACGCTTTGTGGTGAATGTCCTATGTCCGTCGCGATTCCATCATGGAAATGGTCCATGCGCGAACCCTTGTCCGCGCCATGCAGGTCATCTGTCAAACAAGCGCTGAACATTGTGGAATTGGACATGCAGAAATGGCACGCTCGCAACGAACGGGCCGAGCTCGAGACCCACCATCTGTCCGTCGTCGAATTGCACTGCTCGAGCTCGAAACTGGCCAGAGAGGGCACTGTTGAGCTCGGCGATTCTTGGGCCGAAGGTACTAGCCTGGCGCTTCATGCAGAACCTCGCTTATGAACAAAGTTGCCGAGGATTCAAAAGGGGGGTGGGATTCACTGCTTCTGGGATGCATTTCCTCCTCTAATATCACTTTTGTTCCACCCACCACAACTAACCATTAGCCACCAACGGTCCACTGGTACTCGCACTAGCCTATCGTAGACGGATGGGCTGCAGCGAGGTGGGACTCGCGCTCGGGAAGGACGTATATAATCGGGACTCGCTGTCTGTCCTTTCAGCCTCACACACCATCTTGACCCTCCCTTAACCTCTTTCAGTCTCGTTCGATTGTTATCACAGCCATGTGGTACTGCCGTACTGCCACTCTGCTGGCCTCGGCGTGTCTTGTCGGCGCGCTGTCAGCCAACGCGCTCTGGCCCCATCCGACGAACTACACCGCCGGCAAGGATGACACCTTCGTTCGCATCTCCAGCGATCTCAGCTTTCAGCTTGTCGATGGCACCGACCAATCGCGTGTCCCCGACGACCTCACCCAAGCCATCACCGATTCCGCAAAACTGGCCAACACGATCGATGTATGGGAGCTCACCCCGGACCGAGGAGAAAGCCACCGGGATGGCGTCGGCAAGGCTGCTCTCATCGCCAGCGTTCAGATCAAGGTGCTCGAACTTATGCCGGAGACGACTCCCAATCTCTGTGTCGAGCCTAGCAAGAGCGTTGGGACGGTGGAAAACAGTATGCTTCAGCTTCGAGCACTGCAACAGCCGTTCCAGGGTAGAGGCGACGCAATAGACGATCCGCTGCAAAACAGGCAGAGCGAGAACGAGGAATACATCGCCGTCGAGGACAACCGCTCAAACGTCTGGAGCAACGCATGCAGCATCTCCAGCCGCGCTATCAAGCAATTGAGCTACAACGTCTCGTCGAAGCCGCTCAACTTGGAGACGGATAAGAGTGCGCCTTCCGATCTGGGAAACCTGGATGCTGAGATGTACCGACTCTCTGTGCCTTCCGACGGCGCCTCGATCCAGCTCACCTCTTATACTTCGATCGGTGCCTTGCGCGGTCTTCAGACCTTGATGCAGCTCATCTACGCTCTTCCTCCCCTACAAGGCGGCAAAGTGCAGAGCCAGCATTACATCTCCAACGTGCCAATCACCATCGAGGACCGTCCAGGATACCCTTACAGAGGTCTGATGCTCGACACCGCCCGCAACTGGTTCGACCTCGCGACGATCCGCAAGCTCATCGACTCCATGTCGTTCGTCAAGCTCAATCAGCTGCACTGGCATGGTACTGATACGCAGTCGTGGCCGCTCGCCTTCAACAAAGATGGCAGTGACCCTGACCTCAGCGTGCTGGCAGAGACGGGTTCGTACGGATGGTATCAGAGTGAAAACGGGACGGTGGAGAAGATGGTTTATACGGAAGAAGATGTCGAGTACATCGTGGGATATGCTGCGGAGAGGGGAATCAACGTGATCATCGAAACGGATATGCCTGCGCACATGCTTAGCGGTGTAGAGGCGATCGACGGTGGAAGTCTTATGGCGTGCCCTGAGCAGTTGGACTGGATCACTGTTGCCGCGGAGCCTCCTTCTGGACAGCTGCGTATCGTTTCGAACAGCACCGAGTCGGACACCACCGACATCAACACTTTCAAGATCCCGGATGCGATCGTCAAGCTCGTGAGTGCGATTCTGCGAAAGACTTCCTCGCTGTCCAAGTCGTTGTACGTTTCCTCGGGTGGAGACGAGCCGAACTTCCACTGCTGGAACCTGTCGAGCGAGGCTGCCATGGAGCCGTACCTGCGGCCCTTCATGGAGCTGGTGACCAATGTCACCGCTGCTGCCGGCAAACGTGGCTTGGTATGGGAAGAGATGGCCGTGAAGTTCCCCACCGTCGCCAAAACCCTCGCCAAAGGCTCCCTAGTCGAAATCTGGAACGATCCCAACAACTCCGCCATCGCTCTCAAAAACAATCCGGACATCAACATCGTCCTCGCCCCCTACACCTACTCGTATCTCGACTGCGGAGGCTCCAACTTCCTCGGCAACTACACGGGCAACAACTGGTGCCCCTACGTCTCCTGGCAGCAGGCCTACTCGTTCGACCCTTCCGCCGTCATCGCCAACGCCACCGCCGTCCTGGCAAAGGACGAGAAGCTGGTTCGACAGAGCTTTGTGGGTGGAGAAATGGCGGTGTGGACCGAGCAGATCGACAGGACGAACCTGGACTCGAGGGTTTGGCCGAGAGCTGCGGCGGGCGCGGAGATCTGGTGGACTGGCGAGACGGTGGGCGGTAAGAAGAGGGACAAAGTGGAGGCGTTGAGCAGGATTCTGGATTTGAGGTGGAGGCTGGTGGCGAGGGGGGTGGGCGCGGAGCCGTTGCAGCCGCAGTGGTGCGCGACCAGGCCGGGAGGATGCAACATGCATTGAAGAGGTGGTGTGAGGGGGCAAGGACGTAACCTCGATGCGTCGAATGAATGTTGCTTCCATGCTTGAAGATGACTGTGACTGTGAGGATGACACCGCGAGCGAAACCGGGAGACAGATGCTTCATGAAGCCGCTTTCTTGGCTTTGACCGTGGTCAGTGAATGGACTTTCTCACATCCTCAGCATGCTGAGACACCGCCTCCTCAACCTTTTTCGATCACTCTGATACACAATTTGTCAAGACCACACGCAGAAATGGAAGAGAGCACGTATCCACAGTGTCATTGAGTCGAGCCGTTGATGGATCATGAGACGTCGTAAAGGGGAGATACATTTCGTGCAGATGAAAGGTCTTGAGGTATATGGATCTTGATGTTGTTGTTGATTCTTGCTTGCGTCGAGTCTTGCGTCTGGATGATTATATACAGCGGAGTCGGGGCTTGAGGATGCTTGTGATGTTGCTTTGAGGTATTTGCGTTCTTGCTATTGACAATTGCGTGGTGGTCTTGCGGTCGTTGTGTTTCGAGTTCTTATGGTCGCTTCTTGAGAATTGATCGTCTTGCCGTGGATGAGCCTGCCATCATCATCGCTCGGTATCTACACTCCTGTTCGAACCTCGTCCCATCTGTTTACAATTGGAAAGCAAAAAATTCGTCAGTAGTAACATATCGTACAATCCACACACTACAAATACAGGGCCGCCGCGCTGTTGAAGCACACCACCCCGACCCTTCAAATCCCTCGACCGGACGTCTGTCTCTGTCTCTCGCCCCTCGCACCCGCAGGAGATCCACCGGCGGCACCAGCGGCCGCATACAGGTTCAGAGGCTGCGAATGGCTTCGAGCCATAATGTTCAAGCGGGTGGAGGACATGTCGACCGATTTTCGAGTCATGACTGGCGTGTACGGTCTGTCTGCGTGCTGATCCGGAAGAGGTGGCGAGGTTTGGAACTGGACGATTTCGAAGCCGTCTACGGGGGCGGGGTGGGTGGGGTCGCGGTGTTGACTGATGCTGGCACGAGGTTGAGCTCGAGGTGGAGGTGAGAGAGGGTGGTAGGGTGTGGGTGGGGAAGCGAAGTTGTTGGTGGAAGAGTGCAGATTCGCCGGGAGCGAGGTGGATGCGGGCAGGTTTCGAGCGATGGTGTCAGGAGACTGTACGTCGTTGTTGGCGGTCGTGGTGCGACCGAACATGACGCCACTGAAGGCTTTCATGGTCTGCTTCAGCCCGTTGCCCGCAGTATCGGTCTTGAGGCTGGACAGCCGTTGGGGTGCTTCGGTCGCCTCGTTGAGACGAATCGCGGGCGCAGGGCGAACATCAGCGCTGGCTGTCTCTGGAGCCTTTTGCGACTTGTCTCGGTTAGCGATGAACTTTGCCAACCACAATTCGCGCCTTCCATCAGCCGCATCCGTCGCCGTGGAGCGGGTCTCGACTTCTCGCATCAACGACACAGGTGCCCGCGTCGTCGTTCGTCCCTGTTCTGGTCCCTTGCTGCGTTGGTACATATCTAGCCCGTCGTCTGACAGCGGCTTGTACCCCAACGCATCCACGAGCTTCTGCGCCAGCCTGGCGGGTGCGCTCCCCTTCCTGTTTTGCATCGCCTGCACTTGACTCTCGGTCATCGATTGGGTTCGAGGGAGCGATTGTTGCCGTTTCAAAGCTCGCTTTTCGCGTTTACGCGCACGACGGTTGTGCGCACGATCCGCATCCGCTTCGTCGAGCATGCTGAGCGAACGAGCCCGAGGCTTGGCACCGTAAAGGTATACGCAAAGCAGTGCGAGGAGCACGGCCAGGGCGACGGAAGCGAAGATGACAGCAAACGCTCCGAACGACAACTTGGCAAAAGCTTGGAACGAGATGAAGGAAAGCACGGGGCAAATGGTAAACGGCAGCGAGACAACGGCTGTGACACCGGCAAGTGCGGTTTCGTCGAGCCACCTCTTGTCGCGCTGAGCGGTGACCGTTTCGCCCGCATCGAGCCATGCTGCGCGTTCGTCGCCAGCATCGCTTCTATGATCACCGAAAGCGTGAAGCTTCTCTTCCTGGGATTGACCGTGCCTGCCACCCCGACCACCCTTGAAACGTGACGCGCCGGCCGCTGCCGCCGCGAGCCGTGCTGCTGTGCGACGTGAATAGGACGTAAAGCGATCGTCGTCCTCGTTCTGAAGCAGGGTCGGTGTCGACACCTCTTCCCTTGCCACCACATCCCGTAGCGTCGTCCTGCGTGGCATCGAGTAGCCGTCCAAGACGTACTGCACCACAGATACGCCGACAACCAGCAACGATGCCGTGGAAAGTACGATACTGAATGCGGTCAAGAACCACGTAGTAGCGAAGCTCGAGGTAAGCGCCATCGTGTACAGAGCAAACGAAAAAGCCGCAGTCGCAAAGAGTCCCGTGACAAGCAACGATTCCGTCTTTGCGCGAAGCGGACGACGAGTATCGATGTGTCCCTTTTCGTCGAGATACAGCGGACGTGCTTTCGTCGCGAACCCGCCTGCATCGTGACGCGAGCTCCTCTTTGAGTTGAGCAGGACAATGGCGACAACACCGACGACCAAGCCTACCGCAGCTGATACGGCGACCGCAAGCGCGGCACTGCCACTTGACAGTCCATGGACGCGAACGAACACCGCTTGCAGGCCCGAGAACAGGAACATGTACATCCCCGCCAGAACTGCGATACCCAATGCTAGCACAACCAGCAGAGGGTTGTATCGCATCAATCTGACAGGTCTGGCCAGATCGTCTCCAAACACTTGACGAAGCTTTGTCTCCTGCTGTGGCTCCGGCGTCCATCCTTGACCGGAACGCTTGACACGCAGTGCGTAGCGGCGGAAGAGCACGAATGCTGCCGTCTCTCGTGCGAAGATTCCGTCGTATACGACAAGCACAGCTGCGACGATGATCGTCAGCCAGTATGTCCATGGCCATCCCAAAAGCGATAGTACCCGCTTCGAGATCCACGGACCTGCCAACTGTCCACCCACTAGCACGAGGGCGATCGATCCAACACCGAATAGGCGACCTCTGGACGTAGCAAACATATCCATGACCGTAGCGAGAGAGAGGAAGATGAAAACCCCCGCAAGAAGACCAAGTCCCGATTGACAGGCGAGAAGAGCATAGACGTTGTGCATGAAACCAGCAATGGCGCAAACCACCGCCACCGCCACCAGCAGGATCAATGTGATGCGTTGTCGACCGAACCCGACGATCAGATTGGCGAAGAACAAGCCTCCGCCCTGACTGCCGTTGTACGACAACGAGCCGAGTTGGTACAGAATCGTGACCGCTTGAGAGGGTTGTTCATTCGTTATGATCCGACCGACTGTGTTCGTATAGCCAGAGGCGAGAGCTTGAAGGGCAAAGATGATGACCCAGTAAACGAGCATCTGGCGCAATTTTGCCCACGCACTCCATCGATCTGCCCAAACAACTGGATCCGAGTCGGAGGAAGTAGACGAGAGAACGTCCTGTTCGCCATCAAAGTCGTCCTCGTCCTCGTAGTCGGCGGGATCATAGTCGACGATTTCGCCCTCCTCCAGCTGTCCACGCTTGTGCGAGCCCGACCGCTTCATGTTGTTGAGCAAAACCTGCCTGGCGTCTCCATCATGAGCCTCGATTTGGTCATTGTCGACGCCGTCTTGGAGTGTCATCTGGCTGAGACGTCGATCCTTGTGACTGTTGCTCAGGCTGCGTTTGACTTTGTCCGTGCTCGATCTCTGCTGATGCGCGTCTTGCAAGCCTCCGTCCTTGGTAAATTCGGTCTCTTCGTCAACATCACCGACCCAAGGCTTGTGATTCGTGGCGAGCTGTTTGCGTCTGTCCTGCTCCTGCTTTTCCTCGAGAAGCTCGTTGTACATTCCACGCGTCACGGGGCGACTGAGTGCCGACTCGCCGAAAGCGACTTCGCCAAGCTTGTCGACGTAGTTGCGTCCAAGCGCTTCCTCGACGGTGATGCGCCCAGCATTGCTGTCCACCAAAGATCCTGCCGTCCGAGGTCGCCCACCACCGACAGCGCCACCATCTCGGATCGAGAATGCGTTCAGTCCACCAGCCGCCACGAAATCCTGAAAAGCTTTTCGAGCTGCAGTGCCTTCACCAAGCTGCAGATTCATGGCGCAGTCAAAGCCTGCGCGGAAGCATTGACGGCAAGCTGGGGCGGCGCCGTGCTGCCTCGATCCGGGTCCTTGCTGTTCGATGTGCGATGGGTTGCTGCGGAAAGAAACACGAGTGTCGCGTGTGCGAGGACGGCGTGCTTTTCCAGCCTTGACAGAGGAGATAGGTATGAAGCGGAACTCTGACTTGTCTCCGACGTCGTCATAGTCGGGTCCGTTCATGGTGTACGTGTCGACAACAAACGGCATTCTCGTCTCGAATGAGGTGTCGTATGCATCATCGTGGTCGTCGATCTCGGTGCCGTCGTCATCGTCGCTCGCTACGATTTCCTCCGGCTCCTGAACTTCTTGCACGTCGCTGGGCGGTGCCACTGTCTCTCTGGCGGTACCTCGAATGGCCTTGGCGCTTCCCGTTTGACTCGATTGTCTGAAGAGGTTCGCGGGAAACTCTTCCTTGGTCGGCGAGTCGAATGCGGTGGTTGCAGAGCCGATGGAATCACGTCGACTCTGCTGTGAGGCAGTACTCTCGCGACGAACGATCGATGTGGTCGCAACGATGGGTTGATCGGATTTCTTTTCAACCCTTTCGACACTTCCAACATCCGTGCTAGGAGGCTGACGGGACGTACTGACGTCCTTGGCTTTGGCTTCCTTGCCGAGCTGCTGCATCTGGTACTGATACAGCTTTCGATTAGCCTCCTCAAGCATGCCAGGTGCAGGCTCGCCGAAAGTGTTTCGACGTGAATGCTCGTCGAAGTCGAGCTGTTCGGCATCTGCCCTTGTGCGAATATCCGTATCGTCCGATTTAGTTCGAGTTCTACCAGGAACGCTCTTGATTCCGTCGCCCCTGTGCATGACTCCCTGCTTCTCGACATCTCTGGGTGCAGTCGCCGGATCCGGGAGATTTTGCGGCTCGTACGACGTCGACGCGCCTGCCGAAGGTACAGCTCTATCAAACTTGAGCGACTGCGGGATCTGCGGTGCAGCAGGAGCCTCAGCTGAAGCAGAGAGGGGCGATGGAATCCTCTGATCATTCGTGCCTCCGCCTTGAGCACCAGCTTGGGGCACCTGTAGCATGCTCGACTGTCTTCTCGCCGCAGCCAGCGTCTGCGGAGTGGGCGAGTAGATTGTTCTGGAAGACCCGTCGTTCTTCGGAACCTTTTTCGCGCCTTCACGAGCAATCACATGACCCGCGACCGTTGGCGTTTGCTGCTTGCCAGCTGGGTCCTCAAAAGCAGCTGGTTTTGGCATGCTGATTCGCTTGAGGTTCTGAAAATCGGTGCGAACGGTTGGGATCTGAGTGCCGTCCGGCAGCGCGATGATTTCGCCGGAGAAGGTTGTGTCGTCCGAGTTTGACCGAATGGGTGGTGCCGAAAGATTGGAAGATTTGGTCGGTGCAAAGGGAGTCGCGGAAGCCTTGATACTTGCAACATTGGCAGCGCTGACAGCGTCTGCAGGAACTGGAGGTCGTCCCTGTGCGCCGTCACCGCCAAAGCGAGCACCAATTGCCGACGATGTTGCTGCCTGTGGTGAAATTGCGGATCTATGGGCGAAGGTGGCTGGAAGAGTGAGCTGGACGGGTTGCAGCTGCGCCTCCAGCTGCGCATTACGTTCCCTCGTGGCAGCGATACTGCTCGGTGTGGGAGTGGGCTCCGACTCTGTGGTGGAAGACCAAGCCGAATTGGAAGATCCTGCTTGTGGAGCTGATGAAGGGGCGGCAGCCTGTTGAGTTGTCGACGCCTTTTTGATGGACAAGGGCACCGTTTGGAACGTTCTCGGCTGGCCAAGAGGAGGTGTCGGAGGGATTCCAAACTCGTAAGGATTGTCTTGGTTCCGCCTCCGGCGATCCTCGTTCTGACCTGGTCCAAAAGAGGAAGGATTACGAGAGAGGATTGGCGACTGTGATTGCTGACTGGCACGGCGCTGCAGCTGAGTGGTCGAGAGCTGCGAGTCGCTGGGTCCAGCAACGGATTGATGGGGATTGGGAAAGCTCGCTCGTTGCGATTGAGGGTCTGTCAGAGGCTCGAAGACGTAAGGCAAGCTCGGTCTTCGACCCCCTTGCTTTCCTGCTTGCCTTTTGCCAGTCACTGGATCTAGATTTCTCGGAAGCGCACGTGAGTATTCCTCCATCGATGCAGCTCTATCATGTCTGACCGTCTGAATTGGCCCTCCAGCCCTGAGAGAAGACGGCATCGTCAATTCAGGTTTGCTGTCCGATTTTGCGGCGGCTTCCCCAGATGAACCTTCGGACGGAACTTCTGGAATTCTTTGAAGCTGATTTGGTCCGCCTATGGTGGCGGCTGACTGGCGTTGAGCGGGTTGAGGAACGGGTTTGCGATGCACCTGATACGGAAATGTAGCGTATGCCTGCTGAGTCTCGGCCTGGTACCGCCTAAGTGCATCTTCAGCGGATATTTCCGCTTCTCGCATCCGCTCTGGACTAGAAGAGAACATGCCCACGCTTGTTGTGGTGCCTTCCACTCGCTTATGGGCCGTAAGCTGATCGCGAGACTGCTTTCCAGCTTGTCCAGGGACGGAGAGAGACGAGGATCGCTCCCTGCGTTTTCCTGACCCTTGCATCGTGCTATGAACGCTTTTGTGTCCTGCAAAAGCTTCGTGGGTCTATGCTATCGATTGTGGCGATGGAGTGCGAAGTATATGAGACTAAGATGGGAAGAGGCGAGGAGAATTTGTGTGAACGAGCCGGAATGGTTGAAAGGTATGAAAGGTCGAAGAAAGTAGAAAGTGTTGAAGAGGCAGGTCGTGAAGGAAACGTAATCGTGTATGAATGATCAAGGCGTGAAAAGCATTGAAAGGCGTAGAAAGGAGTCGTCAGGGTCGTGAAAAGAAGAACAGGCTCTCTAGAGCAAGCGCGATGTCCTGGTATGGAGTGGATCACAGCTTGGCTTCAAGAAGAGTCTGAGAGCGAAAAAAAGGTAGCTGTACGCCGCCGTAGTCCTTATGAGAAAAAGATGGGAGCGTTGCCAAGATGAAGAAAGAGATTCGATGGGACAAAGTGTTGAAGGAAACGGCGAAAAGCGAAGGCGTCCTGAAACCAGTCAGGGATCACCAAAGTATATCGTAAAATTGCAGCTGCTCAAGCAGTTGCAGTCGTAAAAAGTCGTAAAGAACAGGAGAAGATGATATGCCAGCCAAAGAAGTAGAAAGGAAGTTGGCTGGCGATCGAATGTAGTTGAAGAGAAGACCGGACCTCGAAGAAGGAGAAGAAGAAGAAGTCAATGATGGTGCAGAAAGAACGAGTGACGAGGACACGGTAGCAGCCAGGTAATGAAGGGAACAGGGTAGGTCAGTGCTGACCTTAGGGACCAAAGGTGCTTGGCGTAGGCAGAGCCGCAGATTATACAAGACTCGGTCTCGGCGACATGGCGAGCCTGTCCCTCTCACATTATCGACGCCTCTGGTACCGAGAGAAGGCCTGCAGCAGCTCACGCAAGGTCCGGGTCTTTGGATCAGTCCACTTTGCACCTGTTCTGACGGATCACAATCGCCGAAGCGAATATGGTAGTCTCGTATAAGGACCCTCCATCACCTTAGCCTGCACAGTTCTGAGTTGAGAAGCACCGCGCATAAGGAGTTGCAGCAGGCGGTCGTAGAAGCCAGCTCCGAAGTACGTGCATCACAGCCATGAGCTTGCACATAGCGTCATCGCTCGCAGCGCTGCAGATCGGACCTGAGAGAGCTGAGAGAGCGATATATCCGAGTGGCAGGGTGTGAAGCATGAATTGTAGATGCTTGATCGAGGTTGGGACCTGGATGGAGCAGCTCGTGTGGAAATGGAAGTGTAGCAATATGCACGAGGGGTTGGTCCTTGAGCAATCCCGCTAATTGACACATGTCATCGGATCTTTATTTTTGGCCCTCGCCTGCATGGCCAAAATCAAGAATCTCGAACTCGCTTAGGCGGGCGACTCTGAGAGACCTGTCGTGTGCGCTTCTTAGATCCTACTTTCGGACCTCAAGCTTCGTGTACGAATAGAACACGTTCCGGGCCGGTCAGAGCGGACGTCAGGCGGAAATCTGACCCTCTCGTCGTAGACATTCCGGATCTGTACCGACGGGTTGGCGTACTAGATCTGAGAGGACGATGCTTGACCACTTCGAAATCGGGCTGATCTGCAACCACGCGACAGAGAAAGGTGGAGGCTCGGAATTCGGGCGCACGCCTCAACGCAAACGTTTGAACCTTGATTCTTCGTGTCACACCTTCCTTCCTAGCACCCATCGACGCGAACCTCGCAATGGAGGACATTTCCGAGCCTCGCGCGAAGCGGCAGAGAACAACGCAGGGAGGGCGCGCACCTTCACCTCCTCCGCCTCCCCCGCCAGAAGATGATGTACAGCCTGCGCTTCCAGGACAGCCAGATTCAACTTCTTCACCCCTTCCTCCTCCTCCACCTCCGCCAGAGACAACCTATGAGCAGGCTGAGAACAGTGACATCGTTCCACCACCACCTCCATCCGTACTACCGCCTCCACCACCTCCCCCCGACCAAGCGAATGACGAAGACGACGAAGCAGACGTTCAGGATGCCGCATACTGGACGCGTCTAGCCCAATCTTCGTCTTCCAGCATCTCCTCACCTGCTCCCTCCGCATCCGCTCCCACCTCCTTCACTCCCAGCAACGGCAGCACCTCTGCAAAGAAAGCCAAATCAGCCCTCTACCTCGACACGATCAATCGAGCCGTTCTCGACTTTGACTTCGAAAAGCTCTGCTCCATCTCGCTCTCCAACATCAACGTCTACGCATGCCTTGTCTGCGGCCGGTACTTTCAAGGTCGAGGTCGCAATTCCTACGCCTATCTTCACAGCATAGACGACTCGCATCATGTGTTTATGAACCTTTCTACAGCTCAGACGTACATCTTGCCGGATAACTATGCTGTACCGGAGGAGAATCAGGCGGCGTTGCAGGATATCAAGTACCTGCTGAATCCGACATTCACGCAGAAAACAATCGAGGCGATGGAGAAGGAGATGGCGTACGATTTGAACGGAGAGAGGTATCATGCGGGTTTCGTGGGGTTGAACAATTTGGGGAAGAACGATTATGTCAATGCGATTGTTCAGGCATTGGTGCATGTTCCTGTGGTGAGGGATTACTTTTTGTTGGGGAAGGAGATGCAAGGTGAGGGAGAGAAGAGCGAGCTGGTCAAGCGGTTTGGTAGCTTGGTGAGGAAGATGTGGAATCCGAGGGCTTTCAAAGCGCAAGTATCGCCGCACGAGTTCCTGCAACAGGTGGCAGCGGTATCGGGGAACAGGTTCAAGATCACGCATCAGTCGGATCCCGTCGAGTTTCTCGGTTGGTTGTTGAATCGGTTGCATTCCGATCTGACGGGTGGGAAGAGGAAGAGAGGTGGTGGAGAGAGTGTGATCAGCCGATGCTTTCAGGGCGTTGTGCAGGTGGATTCTCAGCCGCTTTCGCGGGTCGAAGAGGGTGAGACGTCTGCTGCTGGTGTAGCTGCCGAAGCGGAAAAGATGTTGAAGCAGTCCTCTGTTTCTGGAGGGCAAGTGGACGAGAGTGGACGAGCACAGTTCGATCCCTCGCTTCCGGTGGAAAAGCGCGACACGCCATTCTTCCTGCTCGCCATGGATCTTCCACCCCCACCACCCGTGATCAACTCGGAGGAAGGCGAGAATCTCGTTCCTCAGATCACCATCGGTCAAGTACTCGCCAAGTACGACGGTCAGAGTCTGCATGCGTCCAACTCCAAACTCACGCGCTACACACTACGTCGACTTCCGCCATTCCTCATCATCCACTTTCGACGTTTCACCAAGAACAGCTTGGGTCAAGAAGAACGCAACCCAACGCTCGTCAACTTCCCCATCAAAGGTCTGGATGTCACGAAACACATCCCCATCCTGCGAGATTCATCGTCACAGACACAACACTCCAATGACACAAACTTGTCAGAGATCTACGATCTCGTCGCAAACGTCGTCTACGACGCAGTACCCGGCACCGTCCGTCAAGACGCCAGCTGGAAGTGTCAAGTGCACACCAACGCAAAAGCAGCAGCCGCAAAGGAGGGAGAAAAGTGGTTTGCAATCCAAGACCTCATCGTGGAAGAGGTGAATCGCCAGATGATCTTTTTGGGCGAGAGCTATCTCCAGATATGGCAGAAGCGCCCTTCGTAGCTTCATCCGCACCTTGATATCCAACCAAACACTCACTATTACGCTCTTGCGCAGTCGAAACCCAGAACGACAAAGTGATCTTTGAAAAGATGACGATTGAGACTGATGGAGCATGACATGATGAGATGAATGTGAGGCGTGACGAGAATACAATGACAAGATACGACTGTTGAAGTGATCAGAAGGGATATATACCGGGAGACTGAAATGTACAAGACATGGGACAAAAAGGTGACATGGGAATAGGGGTGGCGATGCTTTGTTGGCAGGATAGATCAGAGCTCGATGGCGACAAGCACAAGATTGGTCTTGAGCTGCAGGCCTGAGATGGGATCCGCATCTGTCAGGCTAGCCCCGGCGTCTGGAAGCTGTCCTGCTTCCTTGGCAGCTGCAACGAGTGCGCCACCAACGTAGCAGAGGCCGTGGAGCACCGAGGCAAAATCGTGCATGGCCTTTTCGAGACACACCATGACGGAATCGCAACCGAGCTTTTCGCTGGCGGCATCGAGCACTGCCAACACCTGCTCTCTCAACTGCGTGGCATCGACGACGGGTGGCATGCTCACGTAGAGCGTGCGCTGCGTGTCAGCCGAGCTATCACTGCTGCTGGTCGAGCTGAAGGAAGTGGAAGCTTGGCTCGACGTGGTCGGTCCAGACCTGATGACAGCACCGCTCCAACCCTGGCTGATAAGTTCGACACCAGCATCCTCGACGGCAAGGTTGCGAGGCACGTTGGCGAAGATACGGTGCAAGAAGGAGTGAGCGGACTTCTTTGCATGATGACGAACATCATTGTCGGGACTGATCTCGGGCGTGGCGGGCATGAGCTCGGCGGAAAGCGTGTTCCTGTGTGCGACGGATAGACTCGGGTCGTGGGTTTGCTCGGGCCTCGAATGGTGCTGAGACTTGGCGTGCAGAAGAAGCGACTGCGCAGCCTGCGTGAGCTGGTCGAGCGTCGCATCGGAAGCGTCGTCCGAGAAGTCGGACCCAGCATCGCTTTCCAGCTCGCTGTCGCAAGGGGTCTGACCGGTATAGATAGCGTCGAGCGTAGCGCCTGCGTCGCGCGTCTGATCGGGCGATGAGCGGTCCCAGCTGCGCGGGACTCGCTCCGGGACACCAGAGTACCTCGAGGGCGAGAGACGCTGCAGCTGCGACGATACTTGCGGATCGTGTATCACGGGCAGTCGGACTGGAGGCAAGCCGGGCGAATGCGGCGGGGTATCGGGGGGACTGTCGGGAAGATGTGCACCGTTGGCATGTCGATGGCCATGCATCGGTGTCATCGGAACAGCAGCAGTGTTAGCTGCACGGAAGATAGGTACAGCGACGGCGGCAGCTGGTGCTCCACTGCTGTAGGGCCTGTCCCATCCCAGAGGATGGCTGAACTGATGTGGGTCGTTGGGACGATTTGGAGACGAATGCGGCAAGGTAGACATCGGAAGGACGGTGTCCTGGCGAGCAGCAGAGTTGCTGCCGGAGGATGGAAGGATGATGGAAGAAATAGAAGACGTTGAAGCTTGCTGCGAAGCGACCCCTCTCACAGGTGCACTTCGACCTGGATTCTGCAAGGTAGAGCTGTTGTATCCAGGCATTTCTGCTTTAAGAACGTCAGGACCACCACTTGACCACGGTGCTCAACGTGGTGGACTGCTGCTGGCTCCGAGGCGAGCCAGCAGCAGCAGCAGCGTTGTTGATGCGCGAGTAAGGGACCCCATCGGTGCCAGCACCTGCGCTAAAGGAGCTGACGGGGGATAGACTGGGTTGATTGAGATTATTGGTAGTCATTGTTATGATGCGTAGGCGAACAGCTTGGCGATGCGTGTGTGATGAGTGATCGAAGGATCGATGGACCAGATGTCCGACCAAGTGTTGCTAGCAGGCAAGGATGAGTGGGGGATAGCGTTGGAGTGTGAGATGGAGGAAGGTGGATAGACATGCGAAAGGTATACTGCAGAAAAGGCGAATAAGTCAGCCACAGCACTCTCTCGCTATCTCTGATTGACTCGAATTGCCTGAGCCTCTCTCTCTTTCTCATCCCGCTGAGACCCTTCTTTTGGCTGCAGAGTCACACTCTGCTGCGTGAAATCCGCCCGCGCCTCACTGCCGCAAAAGAAATTCAAAGAAAAGTCGGAAAATCGATCCGCCAAGGGTGGATGCTCAACCGCTTACAGTACAGTAGTAGACTGCTCTGCTGCCCGCTTTTTCAAGGCGGTTTCCAACTGTGCAGAGCAGCTGACCGTCGCTTGAGGTCCCCGTGTCCTCTTAACGAAGTTGCTTAACGAGATGGCGTCATTTGCCTCCCGCTACACATCCGGTGTATTCGTGCGAGACTAGCCCATCCAAAAAGTCGAGATTCAGGGTCCAGCTTCTCCACCTCGCAGCTGCATTTCGAACCACCACATCCACTTCCATCCTGCGAGTGTGTGTGACGATCGATGCCGTTGCGCAAAGAGCCGCCAACGCCTCGTTCAGCTGCGGTCGATGCTCGTCTCGACAGCTCCAACCATGCAGGCCCGTCTCGGTTAGGCCTGGCACCATTGATTCCCTTCAAGCCGGGACAGACGTCACTGCGCAAGCAAACCATCCTGACGGAAGACGAGTACACTTCGGCGCTGTCCTCGATCATCAAGCGCGATTTCTTTCCGGGACTCGATAGGATCACGGCGGAGAACGAGTATTTGGCTGCGGTGGAAGCGGAAGATCCGACGAGGATTCGTGTGGCGCTCAATCGGCTGCTGACGCTGGACAAGGGGACGGAGGCTAGTCCGGCTCCAGAGCGGGACAGCAAGCAGAGGAGGAGGGATGCGACACACACAACATCTAGCAGGAGAAGAGAGAGAGGAGAGTGGGATGATACACCTCTGGCCTCTGGCTCCTCGAGGGTGTTCGATCCGACGTTCACGCCTGCTGGCTCAACGCCTGGACTCAGCGATGTCGGAGAAGCCGGGAGAGAAGACGACGTTGAATCTGCTTCGGGAATCGATCCAGATCTCGGCATCTCGTTAGCCGGTTTCCAGGCGCGGTATACCTCGGAAGACAATGCGAGCTTCTCACAGCTGCTCGACAGGGACAACCAGCTGCGTAAACGCAAACATGCCCATCTGTTCGCACGCGAACAGGCATCCGAGCAGCGACGCAAACAGATCATCGCTTCAGAGCAACTCGCTGCAGCGAAAGGCAAGCAGCTGGCAATCGAATCGAACCCGGATCATCCAAAACTGCTCGAAGAGGCGAAAGAACAGCTTCTCATCGGAGGTAGTAAAGACGACTCTCCTCAAAGTTTGGGAGCAACAGGACAGGAGATGCTTGAGACGAAAGGCAGCACGGATCCGATGGACGACCTCATCCTCGTCCCTGAGCCAAGGCGAGACGACCGACCCACATCGACCGGTCTCAATCGATGGAAGTATACGGCACGCAACGCGCTCATGTTCCCACCCGACGCCAACGAGTCGTACCTCCATGCTCGACCATCCGCCTCCACCTTCAGCACCGAGATCACTCCGGCAGCAGCACCAGAAACCAACTTTTCCGCTCTTCGTCTGCCCGAGCAATCAGATGCTCTCACCACAGCCGACAGACCGGAGAGCGAAGCCGGCTGGTCACCCTCCAGCTCCCGTGTCGACGCAGCGATCCAACGCGGCCGAGCCGGATCCTTCACCTCGTCCATCGCTTCCAGCAGCGTCGACGAGACGCCCAAAGTCAGCGGCTATGGCTTTGTAACCCCTTACTCTACTCCTCAGCACGCTGTCGCGGACGAAATGCACCTACGCATCTACAACGCGATCAAGGGCAAGCGCGATGCAACTCAAGCCTCTACCGGGGTGGAGGGGTTTCAGCTTCCGCGGTTGGACAAGCGAGAGCAGCTGGCGCAGAAGCTGACCTCCACGCCAAAGAAAGCGAATGCAGGTACGACGCCGTATGGGCAGGCGAGGTATGGTGGGATAGGGGGGTTGAGGGCGAGGGGGTTTGCGAGTCCGCGTGACAGGGGAGGGCTGACACCTGCGGCGAGGGCGTTGTTGCATAGAAGTACGAAGGGGATGACGCCGGCGGTGGGGGGGAGGGGCGGTGCTAGCCCGGTAGTGACGAGTGGAGGAGGCTCGGCGAGGGAGAGGTTGGGTGATAGAGGTTGGACGCCTACCCCTCAGCACACGCAGCGTCGACGAATACCATGATGTACACATTTACCACACAGTCCACTGCTGGGAAACGATACCTTTTACAGATAATGCAATTACTAGATTCACATTTTTAAAGTTTTCGGACGTTCTGCTGCACCGCTTTCAAGCCTCATTTGGCCTGATGACGACCTTGACACCGCTCACGCCCTCCTTGTTGGCCTTCAACGCCTTCTCGACGCTCTCGAGACCGCCCTCTACGACCTCGGGTCTGTTGAGGACGACCTTTCCGGTGGCGACGTAGCCGTCTTCGCCGCCGAGGTGAGCAGCGAGGGGTTCCGAGACGTATCGGTAATCGGGGTGGCTGCCGAGGCCGAGGATGTTGACGACCTGGGTGGGAGGTTTGTCGGCGACCTGGGATTGGGAGACGGCTTTCTCGTCTGGGTTCATGACGACGATGACTTTGCCGCCGCGGAGCGATTGGAGGATTTCGACGGCGAGGAGTTGGGTGGAGGGGGAGGAGATGGTGTCGTACACCCAGGCGGTCGAGTCGGGGTTGTCGGTGATCGAGGCAAAGTCCGAGGCTGAAGTTGCCTTGGATCGGTCGAGAACTTGGGTGGCACCGAGGGTTTTGAGGTAGTCAAAGTGGGATGGGCTGGAAGAGGTGACGATGTGGTCGAAGCCGGAAAGCTTGCAGAACTGAATGGCGTATTGGCCGACGGAGGAGGATCCACCGAGGATGATGGCGGTCTTGCCCTTGCCGACCTTGTCGCCGTCCTTGTCCCAGGGAGCGGCGAGGCTAAGACCGCTCTTGTGGTACAGACCGGTGTTGACGGCCATACCGGCTACCCAGAAGGTAGCCGCCTGCTCGTCGGATACCTTCTGAGGCGTCTTGGCTGCGAGGCTGGCGGGGATCTTGACGTATTGCTGGAAGGTAGAGGAGTCGTACTTGCCGATGATGCCTTGGAAAAAGACTCGCTCGCCGACGGTGTGCGACTTGACCGAGGAGCCGACGGCGACGACTTCTCCGGCAGCGTCGGAACCGAGCACGGCTGGGAACTCGGTGATGAAGACGCGGTAGTCGCGGATCTTCCAGTCGACAGGGTTGATGGCAGTAGCGGTCACCTTGACGGCGATCTCGTCGGCAGAGAGTGGCGCCAGAGAGCGGTCGACCACCTTATGCTGGGCACCAGCCTCGGGTACGACAGCGGCTTTGTGAGAGGATGGCAGCGACATGTTGGGTTTGAGTTCGATCGAGGACGACTTGCTTCTGTTGTGATAACTGTGTTGCAATAAGCACAGATCGTAGCGTTTATATAGTTGACTTGGTCCCGACGAGGAGTGGTGGAAGCATGCCGTCTTGCGTGGCTTGAGGCGAGTGGAAAATGCATGCAGTCGCTGTGGAGGTGCTCGGCCAATTTTTCTCTTCTGCCAAAGTGCTCGTCTAAAGCCGCGCTTGGGCCTGGAAGATGCTTGTCTGGACCTCTCGGTTGAACTTCTGCCGTGTTCGCCACACTGTTTCTTCCATGCAAGCACGCATTGAAGACGCTCTTTCTTTCCTGCGAAGTTCTAGTTTGCCGTCTCCCGACGACCTTGGAACAAAATTCGACTCGGACTTAACTTCACCAAAACCCAAAAAAGAAAAATCTCACCATTTTACGGAATGCTGCTGCAAAGCACGCTCGCGCTGACGTCTTTGACCGGTAAGCCGGTCGAAATTCGGCCCGTTGATCAACCACGTTTGCCTCTCGACACACTCTCGTCAGAACTTCTGCCGGAAACAAATTTTCGGCGTTTTGCATGCAATCGAATCGCGTGCAGACGGTTTGCGGTCGCTTGTGTGGACATGTCACGCTTCCTGTCATACTCTGCCGATGCTTTGCCATGCGCACTTCACTGCCTAGCTCCGACGCTTCCTCCGCGGACGGTCTTGCTGGTCCGGATCGACATTGAACCCTAAGCCTCTGGCTAGGAATGGCGGCGCTGATCCCCCCAACACATCGAAACGTCGCGAAGCTATCCGATGCGTTAACACTCCTGACTGATCTGTCCCGCAAGCTGCCTGCGCTCCCATTCTGCATATGCTCTCCGATAGCCTGTTCGGTTCAGACATCAGTGTTGTCAGTAAGTGAGGAGCTCAGTCTTGATCAATGAGAAAGGGAGCAACGGCACTTACCCACTGCATTCAGGCGAGGACCGTGCTCGTTCGTAGCGCGATGCGTGTTCAGGTCTGCCGTGCGATTAGTCGTAGAAACACGCCGTTGAGGAGGCCAGGATGCACCAAAGTAGAGTATGCAAACGGAGACGAGTTGAGAAAGAGTCAGTGCTTGTCATGGTATCATGTCTTTAAGCGGCCGCTTCGTCTTCGTCGCCATGCATGCGAGCGTGATACGTACGATTGAGCGTGCCGTACGCCTTGTCGCAGCCGTCAAAATCGCATCGATACTTGCGTTCTACCTCTTCCGATTTTCGACGTCGTCGGATGCGCCGGATAGCGACACTGCCCCTCGAACCACCTTGTCCGCTACCGCTGCCATTCTCATCTCGAGCAAGCTGTCCAGAAACAGCTTGCGTCGCAGATGCGAATTGTCCGTTCGGCGCGCGATACCAGATCCGTTTCTTCGATCCGATGCAACCCTCTTCCATTCGGCCTCCCACCAGATTGCTATTCGCATCAAGTGCGCTTGAGCCCGGCCCCGAAAGCTGGCACGCTGCTGCTTCTACGGCTTCCCGAGGAAAGTGAACCGCGAGGTCGTGATTGTGTCCGTCAATTGAGTTTGCCAAGGCGCCGTACGGGCCGTTTTCATGGACGATTCCGACATGATGGTCTTCCTCCCACTTGGTTGGAAATACTTGCCTTTGCTCTCCGTCTCCGTGCACGATATCGTACGCCTCTTGACCGAGCCAGCCTTCGTTAAGGCTCGCATTCGTCTGAGATAGCGATCGGCTTGAGGAAAGCGAGCTCGTATGTCCGCTCGTCGGGATGCTCGCGGAACCACCGTGTACATACGTGTTTGACTCTCGCGAGCTGCTTTCAAGGTTGGGCGTGAGAGAGTTTTGAGCAGAAGTCCACATTGGATCCTGGTGAGTCCTCCGAGATTCTTCATGGGCTGTCGCGCACAGATATGGCAGCTGCACCCCGTCTGCTGCCACGCGTTGCTCCCATGTTGAAGGTTGCAGCCACTCTTGCCTGCAGAACGTCGTGCCCGAGTGACTATATTCGCCGAAGGCATGCATCAAGGGAGGCGCCGTCGTTGCCGCCGGTGACGAAGACAGATGCAATCTGCGCACTCCTGACGCAATGAGATCCTGGCTAGCCTGCTGAGAATCGGCGTCCATCACTCCTCGAATTGCACTTGGTGCGAGCTGACCATAATGCAGAGCACCAAGCTGTGCATCGGAGTCGAATGCTGTTTGAGGCCGAACGCACCCACGTCGCCCGTCGTCAGCCGAGCACAGCACGGCTGGCCAATGTTGCTCCGTGACTCGGTCGGAGCATGCGTGACTCTGATAATGGCTGGCGATAGGTGGTGCCAAGGTGGCTGACAGTCCCATTCCGAATTGCGCAGTCGAGCTTTGCAAGCTCTGTATTCTTTGATGACCTGTCATCGGCACAAGTCGCAGGTGCGCAAGGGGCAATCAGCAATGAGGACTCTCAAATAAAGCGTCACTATTTCGGCAATGGACTTACTGGTAAGAGTCGGTAGCGGATCGCCTTGCAGGCATTCAAGATGAAGGAATTGGGCGTCGTCGCCTGGATGCTCCGGAAGTTTGGATGATCCCGGTGCAACGATGGCGATCTTTCCGAAAGTTCCACGGGAGGCATCGGGCTCAATCCGCACCGGATCAAAATTCGAGCTGGTATTCAGGCTTGCGCCCACCGCCTCGTTCGTGACTTCGAAAGGGGTCAACTTGCCATGATTTTTCGGTGGCGCTGAACTAGAACGAGCGGGCAGGGTACTGAAGGCGTCGCTAAGCATTTCGCCCCAGGGGCATGATGTGGAGTTGCGATCCATCTTGATACAAGTTAGACAGCATATGAACGTCTGCTCAGTCAGAAGAGGAACTACAGATTCGAAGCCCTCTGTGTCGGCTGCTGCTGTCTGGCAGAGGTAGGACAACGGAGCGACTGAATGCACGTAACAAGGTGGTGTTTATATGGACAACCTTCATTCTGCTGCCTACCCTACAAAGTCGAGCCAGGTAGATATGTCTGTGAACAAAGTCGATCCATCTCCGTCCGTCCGCTGGCGGACGCCCGTCATCTGTACATTATGGAAAGCAGCAAGCGCAGTTGAGGCGTGCGCGAGTCCGTTTCCGGGCGGCGCTTCGTGCCCAGCCAAGTCGCCGCTCTCGTCCGCCGTCCAGTTACGCCAACGCCCTTAGCCACTTTGGCGGTCGTGGCAATGGTACACAAGAGCAGGGCACCCGTCCCGCGAAGTCATCATGTTCACTCCGAGCAGTCACAGCGTGATAAGCAAAGTGGCACCTAGAGGCACGGCACTTCTCGACGTCGCCGTCCCATGACTTCATAGCCGCTGGCTGGCGTTGTGCACCGAATCGCAGTGTGACAATATACTATTGGACGTATTCGCCCGTACACGTCGGTTGCTGGTCCAATCCTTAATCGCTCAGTGGCTTTGTCCTATACACTCCCGAGTGTCACCTGGGCGTTGCGACTTACTGATCGCCAGTTCTTCGGATTCATCCTGTTCTGCTTACCGAGCTGCTAGCCGCAAGATCACTTTCGCCCAAAGAACTCCGTGGCTACTTCCGTACCTGACTAGCGCCCTTCAGCAACCGTCACATTAGGATCTTCAGACTTGTCATGCTCGGAATACACGGCGACGCGGGAAAGCGATCAGATGGCAACGCATTGCAATTAGCCGTGGCACTGAATTGCGACGCTCGCTCCTCTCAGATAAGATCATGTCAGGCACACTTTTGAGTCTCACTTTCAAAGTACTGGCTCTCGTCCCTCTTCGTCTCGCGACGGCCGTACGGAGTCTCAGATCATGGAGCATACATGGGAACTGCAAATGCTACGGCCTTGCGATGCATCGATGGATTTGTAATGCGGGAAGGTTCGCGAGGTTGAGATGAGTTGCAATGTCACCGGATCAAAGATCAATTCAGCTTCAGCACCTTGCGCTTGGGTGATTTGCGCGGACTCGTCCTGCTGCTGCTGAGGCTTTGAGCAGGAGTGCCTGCCTGTGACCGACGGCTACGACGAGGCTGCGCCTTTGCGCTCTCATCCTGATGGAGCTTAGGTACCTTTTCGCTGGCTTCTGTGACAGTTGCTGCCGAAGCGGCGGAAGGCTCGTCCGCACTGGGCTGCTTGCGCTTTCTCCTGCTTTTGCTGCCCTTGTTCCCTTTGCCCCCTTGCAGCAGCTCGGCCTCATCTTGCTCTTCTTCGTGTGCTGAAGCTTGCTCGGCGTCATTCGATTCGAGTAAAGCAGCTTCTGACCCGGGCGTCTTGCGACCTTTAACCGATCTTTTAGGCGTCGACATCACAGCGTCGAGTGCATCCTCGACTGCGGCAGCATCGTGCTCGTCCTTGTCTTCAGAATCGGCCTGCGCCTCCATCGTCTCAGTCGCGGCCGGGACCGAGGATTTCCGACCTCCTCTACGCTTTTTAGACTTGGGCTCGGCCGGCAGGTCATCGGCTTCATCGCCAAATTCGCGCGCTACATTTTGCAGCCTCGACATTTGTTCCGTATCTGCTGCCACGCTCTTGCGAGATCGGCTGCGCTTCTTCTTTCCTTGCGGAGAAGCGTCGGCCGGTGGTGGCGATGCTTCGAAAGCCTCTGTACGGCCCTCGGGAGGCACGCCCGCCTGTAATGCGCGAACGACCTCGAGCTGGGTTGCTTCTGCCTCCTCTTTCGAGACGTACTTTTCGAGCGAAGCGATGGAGATCTTTCCGGGAACAGTGGGTGCCGGATGCCTGTCCTTCGCTAAACGGCGCCTCTCGTCATCAGGCAGATAATCCGCATTGGGACTCTTCGGATCCGGATGACGGGGTGATCGATGCAGCGGAGACGTCGATGCTACGCTGCTAGCCCGCTGATGGCGGTTGCTTCGTCTCGTCGCTCGCGTGGGAGTTTCCGGGTCTTGTTGTACATGAGCGTCTTCATCCATCGCCTCTGCTTTTGCCTGAGCCACGCCAGAGCCTTGCTTAGAGTCCAAGTCGGCCCCCTTTTCTTGGTTCTCATGGTCCACCAACCCGTTCTCCTCTTTGACTTCCAGTTGGCGTGGCGACTCCTCCTTGTCACGGCTCGGCTCCCTCATACGACTCTCACCGTCACCAAGAGTCCCGAGGGGATCTGCATCCAGATCATCGGCGAACACAAGCTTGGCCGCGGACGAGCCTGGCTCCACGCAGATGCCTTCGTTGAGAAAGTCAAGACCGATGACGCGGCTGAGCACGTGGTGCACGTCTTCTGGGATGAAATCAGGATCCACCGTGAGCCAGTCGTCCGTTTGGCTTTCGTCAGTGGGGCCAAGGTCTTCCGCGCCTTCCTTGCTAGCCTGCTCATAGTTGATAGAGCAGCCTGGAACGATAAACACCGGGCGGCCTTCGACCTGACCCAGCTGCAGTTTGCGGCAAATGCAGTGAGACCGAGTGGTGATGGTGAACTCGGGCAGCTCGGTTGTCTTGTTCGAGCGCGACGCTTGCTGTCGCGCTGCCGTCCGGACGCTGCCTTCTGCTTGCTCATCGCCAGTCTCTGCAACCTGCGAATCTTCGTCAACCTCGCGCATCTCGTCGGCACGCCTCTCGCTGATAGGCAGCAGAGATGGAAGAGCACGCAGCGGGGCAGCCAGATTGGAGGCGAGGCCAGATGCAGCTTCAGTGACTTGTGCAAAGAAGCTTCGTCTGGCAGCGCCGTGGAGGTGGCGGTTGCCCTGACGGTTGGCAGATGGCGTAAAGCTCGACGTTGATCGACGGTCCGATGAGGCTGGTGAAGGCGGCACGCGTCTAGGTGTCAGGGTGCTCGGATGGACAGCGATGGGCGCGTCGATAGCTCTGCTCTCTTCCTCCGGCTCCGCTTCGACAACCTTGATATCCTCCGTGAGTTTCGCTTCGACGGCGCTGCTTCCCTCGGGTCGTTCCTCATCGGCAGGCTGTTCGCCCGAGGTAGCTGCGTGGGTCTCCTCGGCACCGATCACATTGGGCGATTCGTTACCTACAGATTCTTTGCTTTCCGTGACGTTCTGTATCAGCTGTACGTCGTGCTGGCCTGCGGGAGGAGAGCCGCTCAACTCGTTCTTCTGTGCAGACGTCGTGGCAGAAGGAGCGGGGTCCGTACCGTCGGCTTCCGCATCGGATCCGAGGTCGATGCGCTTGTGCATCACGGGATCGAACCCGCTCGGTTCGTCAAGGGTGCTTGCTGGCGTCACAGCGGCTGGCGGGACCACTTGACGTTCCAGACTGCTGTCTCGATCAGCGAGGTCACCACTCAGGATACCTTCCTCCTCTGGTTCTTGGATGGAGTTCTGTGTCTCGACAACTTCTGGCGGCGCAGATCCGTTCGAAGTTCCAACGTCGCCAAAAGTGGGAATGTCAGTAGCAGCGTCGGGATCTGCACTCCCTTCGTCCACGAGGATGTCCCCAAAGTTCTCTGTCTTGCCCTCGGTGTTGGAAGAAGCGGTAGCCGTCACATCAGCCGGAGGCGCAGATGCACTCTTCAACTGCACAATGGCCTCATCGGGCGCTACGTCTTCCTCGCTGTTGTCCTCGACGTCTGCCTCCAGTATGTCTGTACTTTCAACTCGGACCAGGCCGGGTTTGCTTGGCTCGGCAGCCTCTTTCGTGCCTCGGTCCGAAGTAGTCGGTACCATTGCGGGAATGATGATCTCTTCTGCTGTCTGGAGCTGAGGAGAACTCGAGAGGGATTCGGGTGAGTCCAAATCTGCGCCGGTAGCTGCGGTGTCCTCGATCGCGTCGATCTGCTGTTCACTTTGGAGCTCTTCGACGAAAGCTTCTCGAGCCGCTTTTGCATCGCTGTCAATCTCGTCCCCTGCTTCGCCTTCTTTGAGCTGCTGAAAGTGGTCCTGAGCAGAGACGGGACCGGCTGCATCGACGATCTGATCAGGCTTGATCAGCGAATCGCCATTCGCCAAGTCGCTGTCCTTCGTCACCGGGAGCTCCGCGTCCTGTGCATCAATGTCGACGGCCGTCAGGATCTCGTCGGCGTCAGAAGGACGCCCTTCGACAGATTCGTGGGTGTCTGACGCTGCGTCTTGGCGCGTAAAGGCATCGAAGATGTCAGACTCCGTTTGACTGTGGGACGGTACAAGCTGTTCGGCACTAGCAGCAGATGCGACCTCGCGTGAAGAGTGGCCCGTGACTTGCTGGTTGCCCGCGCTACCCTCGAGCAGCTCTGGATCGATGCGACCGATTTCCTCACTCGAGACGCTGGGTGGTAGGTTACCTTGATTTGTTGGTTGGGCCTGTGCAGCCTGAATGTCGGCGAAGATTTGGGCGGCCGAGACAAAGCCAGGCATGGTCTGTGATCCTTGTCTGGCCCGAAAGGCGGCGTCAGCAGGTTCGAGCCGAGAAGGACTTGGGGAACCGGAGGAAGCGACGTCGTCTTGCTGGGCGCCTTCGACGTCAGGCCAGCGCAAGTCTTCATCCACCTCTTCGGGCTCGACTTCACTGTCGGGGACACCTTCGCCTTCAGAACCAGTGGCGGTGTTGCTGAAAGCAGTGAGCTGAGTGCGCGCTTGATCCTGTGCGTGCATGTCCGTGAGCTCGTCGGAGAGTCGCGTGCCGGCCTGTTCCGAATCGGTAGATCCACCTTTCTCGTCACGCGCATGGTCACGCTGCATCGGAGCGAGAGATACTTGCTCTGCTTCGCGACCGTTGTGTTCAAAGTCCATCTGTGCGTGCTCGTGGTGATCATGAGAGTGCTGCGGTCCACGGCCATGGTGGAGAGAAGAGGTCGCGTCGCCTTGATCAGGCTCGACTTGCTCGTGATTCTCGCTTTCAGGCTCGCTCTCCGCCTCTGCAGCGAGCTCGCCTGGATCATCGTCCTCTGCTTCGTCGTCTTGCTCCTCTTCGCTGTCGTGATGACGTTGACTCGAGACATTGTCGGCGTCGTCGTCGTCGTCCGAGTCGGACAGCACAATGGGCTCCTCGGCATCTCCGGCAGGACCTTGGAACAAGAGATCACGGGTATCGACACCTCCGAAGCCGTCGTAATAGCGTTGAGACGGGGGTAAGGTGGTGCCATCCTGCTCAGCGCTGTCGTCCACTTCGTCGTCTTCGTCCTCTTCCACTTCGTCATCCTCGTCCTCGTCCTCGTCCTCATCCTCGTCCTCATCCTCATCTTCTTCGTCCTCTTCAGCGGCGGAGGTGGAATTTGCGCGTTCGTGCGCGTCAGACGCGCTGTCCATCTGGTCGCCCTCGGAGCCATCGGAAAGCTGCTGTTCTCCGTCCATTTGCACTCGAGCGTGTTGGCTTTGGACATTGTACCGATGCTGAGAGGTTGACCCATCATTAGGCCTTGGCTGAGCGGGGACGATCTGGAAAGTGCCATCGACAATCTCAATCTGATCCATAGGATGCGATTCGAGGTGTTGTCGATCATTCGAGCCTATGTATCCGCGCTCAACGATGTTGTCGTCATGGACACTGGCCGCGTCGTCCGAGCCTGTTGCAGCATCAGCGGTCGAACCCTCGCCCAAGACCTCGATAGTGGGCCGTTTCGCAGGCTTTGAAGCAGACTCAGAGAGGTCGAGCATGGCGGATGCGGGCCTTGGAGGCTCTGTCCGATCGACATCCTCACTCGCTACCAGTTGGGCCCGTCGGCGAAGTATCGATTCAATGTCGAGCGAGCCGTCTGCTGCTCTACTGGCTTCAAAGAGCGAAGAGGGCCCGAGCTCAGAGTTGAGATCGGGAAGTGGTTCGGCGTTGTCGAGAAGATTAGCGAGGGCGGAGTTTTGATCTCCGCCCTCGGGCTGCAAGCCACCGCTGCGCATCAATTCTTGAAGTGACTTGGCGGTGAGCATGCTGCGCTCCACCGCCGGATCGACTGTCTGCTCTGCATCAGCGCCTAGACCCTCCTCGTCCGCATCCATTTCAAGCCCATTGTCCTGTAGATGCTTCAACACGCCCTGGCGCGAGTGTTGCAAGTTAGCTCGACGACGTTCAAAGTCACTCTGTGCGTGCTGTGCCCATTCGATGGCGGATGTATCGGGATCCTCGGCTGGATCGGATGTGGTGGTGCTGATGCTGATGTCGGGAGCGGCAGAACTTGATTGCAATCCACGCGTCAATTGTATGCGGTGCTGCAGCTCTCGAAACTCTCTGCTTGGTCGAGGCAGGCGAACGCGGCTTCGAGAGGGGGTGAGAGCGTGCGAGAAAGAGGAGGAAGGAGAAGCAGCAGCCGAGGATGAAGCTGGCATCGAGTTTTGTGATGGGGACTGCAGAGCATTGCCGATACGGGAGCTGAGGTCTACGATCCAATCTACCTCGTTGAAGCGGTCATAGGCGGAAGGTGAGCCGTGGGAACGACGCGGAGCGAGGGGTCGTGATGCGCTTGGACCTGGCTCGTTGAACGAGGAGGATGGTGTCAGGTTGCTGGATAATACGCGGGGTAGACCATCTGCAGGTCTCGCGTACTGCTTCGATGTGGGTGATGCATTGCTCTTGTGGTGCTGTGCGGCAGAGAAGGGCACGTAGTGAGGACGCTGTTGAGGTCGGTGAGGGTGGCCATTGGCGCCTTTGGAGGAGGACATGGCTCGGGGGGTGTAGCTTCGAGCTGGCGGAAGCCACTCGAGGGCTCGACCGTCGTGATACGAGCTGCGGCTGCGAGGCCGCTGAAAGTTATAGAGTGCTACGCGTGTCGAGGCTCGGCGCTTTTGACCATTTCGAGACGGATGGTGGTGAGGATACGGGGCTCAGAGGTTCGAAGCTTTGTGTCTTGACAGCGCGCTTTGTCGATGAGCGCTCTGACGGCCTCAGCGGTCTTGATCAGGGCTCCGCTGCGAGGAGGAACGGGCGGCGGACGCGAAGTGTGGATAGAAAAGGAATGGTGATTGTCTCGAGGGTTGCATCGCTTCCTCTCGACAACTTCACCAATCAGCGCCCGCTCACCACAGCTCACACCGCTCTCCAAAATCACAAATTCCTCCTGCGCATCAGCCAGCATCGGTCAAGTCTGTGGAGGAAGTGCTGCCTGCAGGCGACTGAAGACACGCCATGTGTGTTAGAGCGAGACTCGCCCGTCATCGCAAGATCCGACCATCCAGCCTGGCTCCCGATGTGATCTCTGTCATGGAACAGTTGGAACATGAGCCGCTGCAACCACTCCGGTCCACACCAATGTCAAACTCAATTAGCGCCCACAGCTTTGACCATCAAGCATCATGCTTCGATCCCGGTACAGCTCAGCCTGAGCCAGACCTATCTGGCTGGGCGAGATCAGGCAATGGCAGCTGTCGGCTGCACGCCGAGCGACTCAGAAAAGTCCATGGAGAGCTAACTGCTTTGTTGCTGCGTTGTTCTTGATTAGTGCAATGACACAGCGCAAGCGACACACGACCAACTTCAATTGATGTGTCTGATCTCTTCTATGCCCGCCGCACGCCAAAGGGTCCGTACAGAGAGGGTCACACTTGCTAAGGTGGCCGATGCATTTGCCTCCTTTGACTGAGCATGGTTTTCGCACCTCAAGTCGCGTCTCAACTGCTGTTCTCCTACTTCTTCCGTTTCCCACACAACTTCCAAAACTTATAATTTGAATTTAATTTTGGCCGGTACGCAGTTCACACTCTGACTGGCTACAACAGCTGGCTGGCTGCCTGACAAACGCAGTTTCAAAAAAGGTGGACCACACACTCGCCTTGGCCCAAGCCACAGTTGGAGCCGCGTCTCGCTCTCGCTGCGCCCTCGTCTTCTCTTTCTGCTTTGGAGGAGAGCTTGCCGCCCTGACTTTTCCATCTGAACGAACGTGACGGGCGCCTTTTAGAGCGTTTTCGGATCGACAGAATTTGGCAGAGAGCACACAGACACACGCTGTCCAGGGTAGAGCGCTCGGTCTCGCATGCTCGCACGCTCCTTCGCGCCTGCGTCTCGTTAGAGTGTCTCTGTTCTGAAGCGCCCCGCTCCTCACTCTGGCTCCGCTTGGTAGGCTCACCTCGACTCCGCCTTTCTCATTTCTCCCTCTCTCCTCCTCGCTTTGCCTTGTCTCATCCCGATCCATCTCAACCTATTTCCATCCCGTCTCATTTCACCTCTTTCGCGTGTCAGCGGGACGCTCACCAACACCACCACCACAGGCTCTGCATCTGCTCCCATTCGTGGCGTGACGCGGCTCCGATTCCCTGTCATCTGCGTCGTCGCCTCTCACGAAGATACAGTAGCGGTCCTTCCTGCTTGTCGGCGAGCCACGTTCCAACCCGAACCTCCTCTTTCGTCTGCATCTCCTCTTTCGTCCTTCGTCCCTCGTTGTCCATCACCCAATTCCGAGCTCGCATCCGCGAATCACCATCCGGTCGTGCTTTTCAACCGTCCTTAGGTCATTAGTCTTTGACTTTGCTTTGAGCAGACAAGTCTTCGCAATTACAGCTTTGTCCGATCTCACAACAACCTTGTTTCAGCCTACCCTTCCTCTCGATAGATCTCCAGCACCATGTCAGCACCAGGAGCCGATCTGCAAGAGCGCATCGCCGCCGCTCGTCGTGAAGCAGATGGCCTCAAGGAAAAGATCCGGGCCAAAAAGGATCAGATGGCGGATACCAGTCTTCGCGCAATGGCCAACGACATCGAACCCTTGCCAAGAATCGTCATGAAGCCGCGAAGGACGCTCAAAGGCCACCTCGCCAAGATCTACGCCATGCACTGGGCCAATGACAAGCGTCACCTCGTCTCGGCCTCCCAGGACGGAAAGCTCATCGTCTGGGACGCCTACACCACCAACAAGGTCCACGCCATCCCCTTGCGCTCGTCGTGGGTCATGACCTGCGCCTACGCTCCCTCGGGCAACTCGGTCGCCTGCGGTGGTCTCGACAACATCTGCAGCATCTACTCCCTCCGCGGCCGCGACCCCAACAACATCAAGGTCGGCAGAGAGCTTTCGGCGCATACCGGCTACCTCAGCTGCTGTCGCTTCCTCAACGACCAACAGATCCTCACCTCGTCAGGAGACATGAGCTGCATCCTCTGGGACATTGACTCGGGCACACGCATCACCGAGTTCAATGACCACACCGGTGATGTCATGAGCATCTCGCTCAGCTCCAATCCCAACGTCTTTGTCTCGGGTGCCTGCGACGCCGTAGCCAAGGTGTGGGACATTCGAAGCGGCAAGGCCGTTCAGACGTTTGCCGGCCACGAGAGCGATATCAACGCCGTCCAGTTCTTCCCCAACGGCGATGCCTTCGCCACCGGTTCCGACGACGCCTCGTGCCGTCTGTTCGACCTCCGAGCGGACCGCGAACTCAACACATACACCCACGACAACATCCTCTGCGGTATCACCTCCGTTGGCTTCTCCGTATCTGGCCGTATCCTCTTTGCTGGTTACGACGACTACACCTGCAACGTCTGGGATACGCTCAAAGGCGAGCGTGTCGGTGTGCTTGCCGCCCACGAGAACCGCGTTTCGTGCCTCGGTGTCAGCGCAGATGGTATGGCGCTCTGCACCGGCAGTTGGGACTCGCGTCTGCTCATCTGGGCTTGAGCAGCCAACTGCGTCTAGCAAGTCTGTCCGCAGGCGCCTTCTACACCATGAACGCCCTGGTCGTCGGCCTCTGCGCCGCCCTGCATTGCTAAAGGACATCGCTCACGCATGGCTCCTTTTTCGAGTTGAACCTGGCCTATACCCTTCCAACCTGTTCGCCGCCTAGTTTCGAACGTGTCTCTCCTCGAACGCTCTCTCCCCTATAGCTACACTCGACGACGAGGAGAAAACCCAAGTGGACCAGCCAGTTGTTGCTCTCGACCCTCCCTCCTCTTCCCATCGCTTGTTCCCTCACGTTCCTCCAAAATATCTGTTCCACACACCACGATCGGTGTCATTGCATTTACGCTTGCCTAGCATTCTCTCATTTTCCCTTCTTCTACGGTCCCATTTCCAAAGCACTTTATCGTCCCACTCGGCATCCATCGCGTGTCGAATCGGTCCCACTCGCGCTGGATCCATGCTCTTTGTCCCGCCGTCGAAACATGTTCTCCTTTTGGCCGTCTTTTCATCCCTTCATCTTTGTCATCTTGCTTCCAACCAACACACACGGTCTCTTTGTCAAGAGGATTTGCGAGATGAGCAGCCTGTGATAGGTGGTGGCAGTGTGTGAGGTAAAATTGCCCCGTGCTGATGTTCCGGCAAAGTCGGCGACCTGGGAAGGAAAAACCAAAATGCGGGGGGATTGGAGGTCGAGGTTTGGAATTTTGGATGTGGTTGCTTTGCTTCTTGCACATCATCTGTTTGTCGAGCCTGGACGCTAGCCCTTCCGTCGGCGTGGCATCACATCATGGTTGCGAATCGACTGGGTCAGCAAAGTGTAGGTGCGATCTCAAGAACACATTACTTTCCGTGCGTCAGACCTCTAGCTCGCGCTTTCAGCAGCAGCATCCCTCCAGCTCAACAAGATCTTCGACCGGCATCGTCGCAGATCTTTACACCCGAACAAGTTCAATCCGGAATCACCGCACTATCTTCCGCAGGATACGATGCTTCGACCGTCTGGGAACAGCGGGTGGTTTGGGGAGATCACGATCAATTTCAACATGTGAACAATGTTCATTTCGTGCGATGGTTCGAGTCCGCCCGAATGTTCTTCGCCAACACACTTTCCCAAACCGAAGACTTCACGGAGAAGAGAAGGGAAGAGATCAACAGAGGTACGGGGAAAAGCTTCATCTTGGCAGGAATCAACGTAAGGTATAGAAGACCGGTCGTTTATCCTGATACTGTAAGTGGCGTGGCTTTTGCACACACAAAGTGGGGATGACGTTTTACTGAATCGAGGCTGATGATGGTTTGGGCGAACAGATTCTCGTAGGTCAAGCATGCGAACTACCGCTAGGAAAGGATCGATTCATACTGAGAGGCGCAGCATACTCGCTAGCTCAGAAGACCATCGTAGCGGTCTCGGCTCAGGACTGCGTCACGTACGATTACACAAAGCTCGCCAAATGCGATATTCCAGACGACATTAGGAAGGCGTTGGAGAGTCGGGGAAGTCACTTTGACAAGAAGTTGTAGCTGATGTAAGGACGTTCAGCTGGCGAAGATGCATTTGCCATTCAAAGGGTCATTCATCGCAAAACGTCTGAATGTGCGCATTGCGTGTGTGACAGGACGGTGGAGTGAAGATGCGAGTGACCAGAAAAGCGAAGCAGCGTTGGGAGGTGGCGCGGGGGTAGATGTCTAGAGCGAAGTCTGCTCGCCAACATGTTTAACCTGAGGATAGAGCCAGCTGAGCTCCTCCCTGATCCTGTTCTTAAGCGTATGCCAAACCGAAGTACCGCCTATCACACTTCCCCCAATTCGAGCTTCCGACGGTGGACCTGGCAAGAGTCCCGCAGTGTACCGCTTCTGTCGGCGATCTCGTTCGCGAGCGGCGAACCTAAGCAGCACACCAAACGTCTTTGCGTCCGGTCCGACCACGTGTCCCCTCCGATCCTTCACCGGCGCCTGGGCAGACTTGGTCAGCAGCTCGTTGACTGTCAATCCTCCGCCATCGTCGACGACGTCGAAATCATGACGATCGAGAGCTTCTCTGAACAGACTCTTCCTCATCTCTCCAAAAGACAGCTCGATCGCCTCCTCCAGTCGCCCACATCTCGCCAGACATTCCAACCAAGAGTCCCACGCACCTTTCGTCAACACCGACCTTCCACCTCCCCCCACCCCTTCCGCCTCGAGCCTTCTCACCGTACCCATCGCCTTTCTCGCCAACGACAACAACCCATGCCTACCCGCCGTGTCGAAGAACACCGACAACGTCACACCATCGATCTCCTGCCGCGTCGCGATCAGACTATCCCAGATCGCCAGCACCATCGCCGGCTCCCCGACACGGTTGTACGCGTTCATCAGAGCGTTGATCAGCGGAAGATCCGGTTCCAGCCCTTCATCGCGTTTAAGCATCTCGTGCGTAGCCTGCACTCCGACGTACGACGGTGTGGGAGTCTTGGAGTAGTAGTCGAGGATCGAGGTGTAGACGATGCATGTGGGACGGTGATCGGCGGACCGCATGTCGTGGAGTATGCCGAGCAGTTCTTCGGGCGGTGCGGCTAGGGGGAGGGACGGTGATGCGGGATCCGAGAATGTGAGTGTACGGAGGTGGTCGAGCAGCGACAGGTAGCCTCGTTCGTCCAGACCTGTGGTGGGAGTGCGAAGTCCAGCGGACGACCACGTTGGGAAGAGGTTCAGACTGCGATAGATGTGGAAAGCCTCGGACCAAGACGTTGCGATGCCCATCAGCCGACGCATGAGTAGCAACAGGTCTGTTGCGCTGATGACAACTCCAGCTTCGTAGAGTCGAGAGACGAAGTTGCGAGCGGACGCGATGTCTTTGAGCTTGACACATGCCTCGATTACGGACAGGATGATTGCCATGTCGATCGTGGCTGGCCGATTGGCTTTGCGGGCCTTCGATGCCGTTGACTTGCGGGAAGATGCGGGCAGACTCTCGAGAAGATCGTCCACGAGTCGAATGGCCGAAGGGAGCGATGGCAGGAAGGCTTCGCAGTATGCGACCAGCAGCGGCTTCACGAGCAGAGGCGTTGGTGGGAGACCAATAGAGCGCACGTGATCGTACAGCAGTTGAGCTTCGCGGATCTGATTCGGAGAGGGCTGAGCCGCGTCTTCTAGACTGGAGTTGTGGAGAAGTCCAAGCATCATGACGCTGTAGCATTGATCATCGGCTGTGAGGGAACGCTTCGGATCGATCGCCGTCTGGATCTGGTCCAGCAGCTCGAGAGCCTCGTCGCTGCTTTGCAGATCGTTCAGCTCCTCCGTGTGCAGCCGCAAGAGCAGTGACAAGGTGCTAGCATCGAACAAGTCTGGCCGATACGCTTGTTTGGCGGTCTGAAGTGCGTGCGCAGGGCCTCCCACAAAAGCTTCGTACCGTAGCAATGCGTTCCAGGCCGTTGTGTCGTTTGCGGTCCGAGGGCAGGAATCCATCTCTTGTCGCAGTTGGCCGACATGCGCGTGCAGCTTCGCTCCGAGCTCTGAGTCATGTTCGTGACCGATGGAAACTTGTTCGCAGAGAGACATGATCGTCGTGGCGACGCTGTCGGTACCGACAATCGTCTCCTCTTGAGCAAGCTGTGGCCGATCATCCTCGTCTTTGATTGTCTTGTTGATTGCGGTGTATACCCTCTCCATTGTTCTGCGCAGATCCTCCTCGGGTTCCACACCAAGCCCGAGCATATCTTGCCAGACCTTGACTGCATGCTCGTACTTGCGACGGTTGACCAGGTGCGAGATCACCATATTCCAATCGACCCAGGTGGTTCGCCATTCGGGATGCTTAGTCCGAAGCTGCTCAAAAGCATTGCAAATGTCCGAAGCAGGTCGCTTGGACAGGCACTGTATATGGAGCTGGCGATGCAGATCAGTCGGGCCGATACGAAAGCCGAAGCGCTGGCCCATGTCGTCGAACATCTGTTGACATGCCTTTGCCAGATCAGAGTCCATGCGGCCCCCTGTTTGCGCGTGTTGTATCAAGCACTTGATCGCTGTCTGGATGTCATTCTTGCGGACAGGGAAGCTAATCTGAGAGGTATCCAAAGCCCTTGAGGACGAGTCCTGTACGTCGTGAGCATGTCTCTGGTGAGCCTGAACAAGGAGGCCATACGCCTGGATGACGTGGACTGGTGCGCGGGTTCTGATAGCTTGTCGAAGGTTCGCGACAGCTTGGCGTGATGCAGATGTGATCTCGTGAGATGCCTTGGGCTTGTTCGATGATAGTGTGTTAGACGAGACGGGCAGAGGAGTGCGGGCATCGAAAAAGTGCGAGAAGGCTGCGCTCTTGGTCGTCACACGCTGCTGATCATCTCGATCCTCCTGATCTTCGCCATCGCGAGCGATATCAGATACATTGGGCAGTAGGGTCGGGGTCGAGGTCGAGGACAGTCGAATGTACAGTCGAGTGACCTGCTTTACTTTGAGCGTGCGGGAAAGCTGGGATGAAGCCCGCACCAGGGACGGTGGAGGCAGGAGCAAGGGCAGCATGATGGCTGGTTAGAGCTCGATGGTGCGAGGCGAGTATGGCGCCTGCATCTTCTACACCATAGTCAGCGGACCCGACCGCGTCTTGTGATGCTCGAGGCGTTTGCTGTGTTGTTCGTCGCCGCTGGCTGGCTTGCTCATATCTTCTCGGAGGTAGAGATGCCGTTGAGCAGGAAGGATATGAACCTGCAGTGAGGGTTCTCATCAAATCTCGGCGACTTGGACCCTTGCCAATCGGAAGATGTCTAGAAGAGTATTCCACGCATCGGCGATCGGTCCTTTTCGAGGTCATCTTTTTGCACGTCTTTTTTACATTTTATCTGGTTGGAAGTCGTCATACAGGCCCGACGACGTACTTGATGCTGGACACGTCGAGCTGACTTCAAATCCACAAACTGTTGAGGAAGTCCTGAATCAAGCCCGAGCAGCAACGTACGTCCCTGGTCGCAAGAAAGAGCTCTTAAGACGAACCCTTAACGCTCCGATCCATGATGTGGGGACGAGTCGCAGATGCAGGCGGGCAGGCAGGCCGGACGCGCTGCCGATCTTTCCCTGCAATTGCATTCCCTGCCGTGGCTCAAGAGCTGTACCCCACGATCGGGACGTACGCGATCCAGCTTCGTTGTCGGTAGAGCCCCGCAGGAATTCGCAGAGGCGGACGACATACAGTACCCAGCGTCACTCGCCGGTCTTGCTCCTTCGCGCGCCAGAGCGTGCCAACGCGATTCCGCACGGGGAATCCGGATCATGTCACCCATCCGAGGAGGTCCGATGGAGCCTTTCGTCATGCTGCTCTTATTTTCGCTGTGGTGCATACGGATGCAACGTCCGTCCAACCGTCGTTCGCGTCCTCACGGAAAAAGGAAAGAGGTGCATCCCACCTGCTCTCCGTCGCCGTCGAAAGCAATCACGAGCATCGATCTGATACAGTGCAGGTGTTCGGTCAGATTGAGCCGGAAGCCGAGGGCCGACGTGAAAATGCAGGTCGTGATATGCGCACGGTTCGAGTTTGAGAAGAAAGCAAGCCAGGGCTCAAAGCAAGGGAAGCGAGGAAAAGCGCGAAAAGGGCGCGAGCAGCCGAGGCGTCGGTGTCTGGTGTCTAGCTTGGCTAGGCTGTTGGGGATCGTTGGCTCCCGCAAAATCGCTGCTTGTGCATGAATCCTAGGGTGGTCACAGCCAGAGAGGCTTCTTCTTGTTGACCGTCATTGGCGGTGCCAGAAAAATACCAGAAATTGGAGGGAAAAGGAGCAGCAGAGCCGTAGGGCAGAGCACAAGCACGCAACATCTGGCGGAAGAGGGCCGAGTCAGGAAGATCGCCGGTACTCGACCTGACTTATCAGCCAGCCAACCATAGCGAATAGAAAGGTGCAGCAAGAACCGCAGAACGTGCAGTTGCCAAACGCAAATGACCTTGAGCTTCCCCTAGTCACTTAGAGTGTATACGTTGCTTGATACTCTTGGTGTGCGAGTGGCCGCTATAGTTGGTTTATCAGGAGAAGCGTCCACCATTGGAGAAACCAATGATGGCGAATCGTGCTTCTATGATAAGATGGGGCTTTCAATCTGCCAACGTCCATACACACAGCCAGAACGATGTCGGCATCGGTCCGCCCAGCGTGCCATGCTGGATTGCTCTCGTTTAGAAAGCAGCGCCAAGCTGGAAAAGCCGGCAAATGCCCTTCCTTGGTCCAGGAGACGTGTCGAGCTGCTGGTCTGCCCGCTGTTGCTGACTGTTTTTTCAGTATTTTAATTTTGGTTTCCTTCCTGTTTTCGTTGGCCTGGTCTTGATCCCCACGTCCAGACCCGCTTTTGAGAAGAAGCAGCCTCTGACGCAGAGAGGCAGTTCTTGGTGCTGTCGCCCTCGGCCTGCCTCTTGGATCCGCGTGCGTCTCTTATCCGACCCATCGATGAAAGCGATTTCGGGCGTTGGCCATCTCGGCTGCTGTTCTTCTTCTTGTGGTTCGTCATATCCTGAGCAACGTCAGAGCGCCTCTTTCCCTCTGCCGGCTCTCAGCGGACGAGCTTCGTCGAGCACCACCTTTTGGCGTGCAACCTCATCATCACCTTCTCCTTCTCTGTTGTTCCACGTCGTCCTCGTCATCAACCACTACCTCCCACTTCGCTCGCGTGGCGTCGTGACCCTTTTCACCAATCCTCCTCCGCATGGTACACGCCTTGCATCTCGACTGACGGTTTTTCGTTTCACGCCCGCACGGTAGGACCTCACCCGTGCACGACCCATGCGCAAGTCTTCTTCGACACTTGCATTTCGTTACGACACCACATACAGGCCGACCGCATACATCGCGACCGATTGCCTTGGTCCCCTTTCCTTCAGTGCCCACGTGAAAGCTCCACCGTCACTCTAACCAATTACTTGCGCCTTTCCGCATGACTCTCTTCCACCGATAGCCCCAGTCTGTTCCGACAAGATAGCACGGCTGAGCTCGTATCGCTCGGCGAGATCATGAGCATCGGATCGCGTGACGTCAGCTCAGATAGCATCCAGGTTCGTCCTGGCCCTGCTGGCGCTGCGGCCGATTCCGAGACCGTGCCTCGGACACCAACACCGCCATTGCCACAAGAGCAGCAAGAGAGCTCGCAGGTCTCACCACAGCAACAGCAGATTCTGCAGCATCAACAAAATAAACCATCGATTCATACGCAGTCACAACAAAATGTCACGTCCGTATCCAGCACATCGACCGTGGCGCCCTCCGAAATCAATCCAGTATCAATAACAGCCGTCAAACAGATAGTACCTCCGGCAACGGTACGCCCACCTCCCCCTGCCAGTGCCGTCAGCCTTCACGCTGCCGCCGCCGCCGCCAACAAGCAGAATGCTGCGCCAGCTACAGCCGCACCCCGAGATGCCTCAATAGCTGCGCCCAGCGGCAAGACAAGTGCCACCAGCTCGCCCAAGAAGCAGGTAAAACCCAAGGTCAACAAAGCGTCCGGTGCTGCCAAACCCAAGCAGAAGCGCAAAACCAACCAGTCGGGTGCAAGCGATGAGCTCGTGTATCGTCCCGCGCCAAGCACCGCTGGCGGCACCATCGGAGCTGCGCCCGACGCTACCATTCCAGCCATGTTAAGCGCGGCCGGCGGTGGCCGCAAAGCCTTGCCCGAGCTTGTTCTGCCGTTCCAGCTGCCGTTCGTCGATGTTCGCCCCGATATTCCCATGCTGGACAACGCGAGTCTACAGGCAGCCATGGCCATGGGCGCTTCCGAGACCTCCTCACTCGATACGGGCAGCGACAGCGACGATTATTCGGTGCAATCCGATGACTCGGACCTCGACAGCGAAGCTGAGGAGAGCCGCAGAGAGGCTCGCAGACGCAGACGAGAGCCTGCCACCATCGAGGAGAGCCTCGTTCTCCTCCAGTCGCTTCGACAATCTCGCCTCTCGCATCTCTCTTCGCTGCTCACGCCGTTCAGCCAACGTGTCAGATCGGGCATGATCTACCCCAACGTGCTGCCTCTTAGTCTCCTGCACGGTCTCAATCCGCGAGATCCGCATGTCCTCATCCAGCTCGGACGAGCCGACATCCACGTTGGTCCGCACGTCTTTCTCAAGACCAAGTTCTGGGAGGTCCGTCCCGACTATGAATCGCCGCCCATCATGAACCCGCTCGGTGGCATCCATGCACCGGCCTCCTACGGCCCTTCATCGGTCTATCCGCGCATGTCTGTTCCGGCGCCGATGCCGCAGCAGCTACCTCAGCCTCAGCCTCCGAAGCTGCCCTCGCCGCGTGCTGCTCCGACTCCCGTGGTGGCCCAACCAAGTGTGCCGCTTGCTCGACCGCCTACAACATCAAACAAGTCTCCGATAGCGCGTGCCGCGACGGTCGTTGCTCCAGCTGGTGCTACCAGCACTGCTGCCTCGGCCTCCCCCAAAACAACGAGTCTGCCAACACCGACGTTGCCGGCAACGCCGATGCAGAGCTCTGCTGGTGTTCGACCTGCAGTCTTGCCTAAGCCCGCTGTTGCATCTTCGCCGACCATTGCTTCTGCTCCGGCGGCCAAGCCGCCACTCGCAGGAGCCGGCGTTGGTACTGTCCCGACTCCAGCATCGGTCTCAGCAACGACATTGCCTCCAGCGCCTAAGGCTGTGGCCCCCGCTGCGTCTTCGACACTTGTATCCGGATCAACCACTGTCACCTCGACAACTGCTGACAGCAAGCCGGCTGCGGTCGTCACCGTTCCAGCATCTGTGTCGCAGGCGACCAAGCCCATGACGGCACCAGTCTCGCTTCCGCGACCACCGATGGTCACACCCTCGCTGCCTAGACCACCCAGCATCAATCACAGCAACATTCCTTCGAGCTCCAACCCTCCCACCATCAGTCCTAGCAACACAGCAACCTCCTCAGCAGCGCCTTCGAAGGCGCCTTCGCCAGTCGGTGCGGCCACGGCCAAGCCCATGAGCGCAAGTGCCAACGCTACTGCTTCCCCCGCTGCTGCAGCAACAACGACAGCCGCCAGTGCTGCTGCGCCACCAGTTACCGCTTCTGGAAGCACCGCGTCCAACCCGGCTTCTGCAGCCGCGAAACCAGCGGCGCCTGCCTCCGCCAATACGAATGCAGCGAACTCACAGGCACCGGCACGTCCAGCAGGTGTGCCTCCTCCGCCGGCGATTGACGCTGTATTGGTTTCCCGTGTCAATGCCACCGCAGCGCTCAACCCCGAGCTTCAGGAGCTGCTGCACATCGCCGCTTCAGGCAAGGCCAACCCGAACCAGCTGAAAGCGCTCGGCGTTTGGATCCAGGCAATCACGGCTCAACTCAGGCAGGACGAGGCTCGCAACGCAGCTGCCACCAGCAGTTCAGCAGCAGGAGCATCAGGCTCCCGCGCCCCCGGCAACACGGCGTCGACGACAGCAGAAGGCAAAAAGTCCAAGAAGAACAAGGTGGACGAGGCCGCCAAAGCCAGCAAGAAGCAGGCCAAGATCGAAGAGCGTGAAGCCAAGAAGAAGGCCAAAGCTGAAGCAAAGGCGAAAGCGCAGGCAGATAAGCAGCAGACGCAGAAGCAGCACAAGCAGAAGCAGCAGCCGGTTCATCAGCAGCACCACAGCTACCAACAGCAGCAGCAGCAAGCGCAAGCACCGGTCTCGAACAAGCTGCGCCACCCTCCTCCCGGCTGGCCGACCGACGGTCCTCCCAAGCCGCCCGTCATCATCGTGGAGTTCCGAGAGAATCCGAGCATGCGCTTCATTTTGCCATTGTGGAAATGTTTGGTGGAGCGCACCGAGGGCATCGAGCGACCGTCGCTACCCAAGGTCAAGAAGGAGAGGCGCAGCTTCTTCGACAACGAGTCGGACGACGAGGAGAGCAAGAGGATCGAGCCAGAACTCAGGTTGAGCTTCTTTGCACCTTCGCTTGGGTCAGACGCCGCGGATGGCAGTGGGCTACGCGAGCTAGAGGAAGAGCTGAAACGCAAAGCTGCCGAGGAGGCCAGGCTCAACGCCGCCGACACGACCTCGACGGGTGCTCAGAGCAACGTCGCGTCAAAATCTGCTTCGCCTGAGGCTGCGTCAGCCCCTGCCGCCAGCGACAAGACTGCCGAAGACGGTACGTCTTTGCAGGGCAAGAAGAAGAAGGGAGGCGTCAGTGGCGGCAGCAAGAAGGGCGGCAAACCGATCAAGCAGGAGGCTTCGGACGCCACAGCGTCGTCGGACTATTCGCACAGCAAGAAGCACGAGGTCTATCCCCTCACCTGGAGCATCAAGGGTGGCGTCACCGAGAGTCTGTGGGAAGCGCTCGGTCGGGTGCCTGGCACCATGACGTGCCAGCCGGTCAAACGCGAGCCCGAGATCGAGCTGGAGCCGGACGTCGCGGAGTTCCTGGTGCCCGAGATCCGCTACCACCTGCTCGACCTGCCCATGGAAGAGATCAAGATCCAAAAGGAGACGACCGACACCTTTGTGGATCTGTACAGCCAGATGCCGGATCGACGCTTCATCCTGCCTCGCGTGGCGCCTGCGCTGCTGCCGCAAGGACTGGAGGATCACCTACAGGATCGCTTCGCTGTGCGCCCTCAATGCATGCAGGACCGACCTGTGGTGAAGCGCAAAGCGGGAGCGCGCGAAGATGACGTGAGCTTTTCGTACGAAGGCATCGGACTGACCGTGATCGGGCCCAACGGGGTCAAGACGGAGCCTGGAGCCGCGGCGCCGCCGAAGCCACCGAAGCGAAAGCGACACGTCGCAACGCACAACCCGGACGGTTCGATCAAGAGCTGCGGAGCGTGCGGTAAGACCAAGACGCCCATGTGGCGTCGCGGACCTAAAGGACCATCGCAGCTGTGCAACGCGTGTGGTGCACGCTGGAAAGCCGGACGTCTGGTGGTGCCCGAGGTTGCGCCGCCACCGATCATCGAGGCGGAGGAGGACAAGTCGAAGGAGGACGAAGCACGCAAGGAGGACGAGGCGCAGGCATCGATGCACGGCAGCAACGCGCTGGTGATCCCGCAGAGCTCGAGCGCCGACGATGGAAGCTACACGGTGATGGCGTCGAGCGGCATGGTGGGCTCCGCTCCGTTTGGCGACCACTACTCGCTCTCGCCCGAAGACAAGAGCGGCATGGAGTTTGGGGCAAGCCACCTGAGCCGTGGCTCGTCGAGTCCAAGCCCATTCATCCGATCGCCTATTCCTGAAGATGATGTGATGCCAGCATCGGTCGATCCGAGCATGCTATCGGGATCGAATCGTGCCTTGTCGCGGCGCTGAAGATCGGCTCGACACGACCACACGCGTTCAATGTATGAAATGTACTAGTATGAAAACCCGTTCAGAAGTGTTGATTGCGTGCGCCGTGTTGAAGCTCGATCATGTACAGTGTTCATGGTCTGCGTCGCTGCGGCAGCATTGACGCATAGCTCGGCATCTGTCGGCGGCTAAGCAACGATATCGGGACACGAAACCGTTGTCGAGTCTAGCTGCTGCGTGCAGTGCCCCGCCGTAGGAGCGGCCAAGACAAGCTTGGTGCGTGCTGCAGATCGGCATTGCAGCCAAAGCGTTAGGAAGTTAAGTTACACTTCTTGTGTCAGGCACGAGCGAAGCGAGTACAGCAGGCCGGCCAATTCTCAAGGCTCACCATATTCTGAACTAGAGACGGCTTTCAGGATGCCTTTCAAGCTTGAGCCACTGTTTTTGCCACGCAAGTCCGAGGCTAGGATGAGGAAACTGCCTGAAAAGCGAATGCCATGCGGCCATCGCCAAGGCGCTGGCAGGTAAGCAGCGGCAGACTGTCTGCGCCTCAGCAGTGAATTTGCCGAGAGGGTGCGAGAGAAGCCGTTCGGCAATGGACGCGGCGTGCCAAGCCGTGAGATGCATCCTGCCATCGAAACTGCCGTCAGCTGCCGGCTCGCGCCTGCCACCCTCCCTCTCTCAGCCTGCCTAAGGTTCAATCGGTGTTTGTTGTTTTGACGAAAATTGCTTCGCGCCGAGGGGTCCAGAGAGGGAAATGCGCAAATCAAATTCAGGTTCAGGGCCAGACAGTGAAACGAGCAAAGCAGCCGATCTTGGCCTTTAGGCTCGGTGTGCGGCGCGCGTCACTCGGGGCTTCCGTGCCTGCTCTACAGTTGGATCCATCATACGATGACGGCCCCTGCGTCAATCCATGCACCTGTACAGTACCACTGGCACCGCAAATCCTTTCTCTCTGAATACAAGCGACAAGCAACAACGGGCATCGACAGCAGATGAAGCTGCACAAAGTCCAGGGCGTGGGTCGAAAGAGTCAACAATCATCAAATCTTCGAGCACAGCTTCAGGTTGGTTTTCCGAATATCTTGTATTTTATTTATTCTTTTTTACACTTAAACAAAAACGCTGGCCGAGCTTCTGGCGCGGCAGTGCCCCTTTCTCTCCAGAAAAAAAAACGGCGTGTGCGGTGCTGCGGAAGGAAGCCAGCTGTCAACTCGGTCGGCCCTTGCGATCCACGCAAGATTCGGCTCATTCATCCTGCGACACTGCCCCCGACCCCTTGACAAGGCGCAGACGCTACATCACGCTCTGCCTTTCGACGACATCCCCCATCGGTTCCTTCCGTCATCAACATCATCTCATCCCCACACCAACCTTCCTTTGTTCGCGTGCTTGACTCAGGTAAGCTCTCCTTGAGTCCTCGCCATCGCTGATCGTCCTCATTCGCAATCGCGCTGACACATCACCCTTTTGCTTGCCGCTCTCTCACGCATCTCCACCATTTCGTCCGCGCACTAGACAGCGAATAGCTCAGGAGGCAAGGTCGCCTACACTCAGACATCATGTCGTACCAACGCCCCCAGGATCCCTATATTCACTCCAACGCCTCTCAATACGATGAGCGTTACATGCAGCAGGGCTACCAGCAGCAGCAGGGCTACGGCGGTCAGCAGGCCGTCGGATACCGCGATTACCCTGACCACGCCTCTGGCTACCAGGGCTCCTACAAGGAGTCCTCCGAGGGTCTCTACAACAGCCAAGCCGCTGGCGGCTACGGTGCAGGCGCAGGCGCAGGCGCCGGTTACGGCCAGCAGCGCAACGCTGCCACCAACGCTGCCGCCACCTACTCGTACGCCAAGCCTAAGCGCGGTGTGTCCAAGTGGATTAAGATCGGTGTTCCCCTTCTCATCCTCATCATCGCTGGTGCCGTTGTAGGAGGCATCTTCGGTGCACGCGCCGCAAGGGACAACAAGAATAACTCGAGCGGTGGCAGCAGTGGCGGAAGCGGAGGTACCGGAAGCGGCTCGACGCCCAACGTTCAAGGCGCCGCCCTTACCGCTGCTCAGCAGGCTGCCAAGAACGGTGGCAACAACATGCTCTTCTACCAGGGCACCGACCCTTACGGAAACCCCTCTTTCGTCTCGAACAATGTCGACACCTCGGCCCCCGCTTACAGCGGAACTGCTCACAACCAGTCTTGCTCCGACTCTTGGACACCCACCAACAGCCTCACCAACCTGCGTCCCCACCCCCGTATCATGACCACCCAGGCCGAGTGGGACTGCTTGCCCAACAAGATCGCCAACGATGCCTACCTCACCGTTTGGAACTCCACCATCTTCAATAACGCCACCAACTGGGCTGGTCAGCCCACCGTCGCCTACATCGCTGACGGCGGCTTCACCGGTTCAGGTATCCTCGATGTCAGCCGAAACATCCAGCAGCGTGTCAAGGCATGGGCTTATGCTTACAAGCTCTCCAACAACACCATGTACAAGGACCGCCTCTACCTCGAGCTCAACACCGCCGCCGGCAACACGGCCACTCCGTTCGGCCAGAACGGCACTCGCTGGAACGCCGCCCACTTCCTCGACGTCGCCGAGATGACCGCCGCTTTCGCCATGGCCTACGACTGGCTTTACAACGACTGGAACTCCACCGAACAGACCATGATCCGCAACGCCATCCTCCAATACGGTCTCTACCCCGGTCTCAACCAGTACGCTACCGCCGATGGCTGGTGGAAGTTGCCCGCCAACGGTGACGGCAACTGGAATTGCGTCTGCAACGGTGGCCTGCTCACCGGCGCCCTTGCCATCCGCGGCGACGGCGATGCCAACGCCACTGCCACCGCCGACAGCATCATCAACTCGGCGCTCACCAACATGAAGGCCAACTGCATGCGCGGCGCCTACGACGACGGCACCTGGACCGAGACGGCCAACTATTGGTACTTTGGCACCAACGCACAGGGTCGTGCCCTTTCGGCGCTCATCTCGGCCACCGGCACTGACCAAGATCTCATGGCTCAGAATCCCAACTGGTACAAGACCTCAGCCTTCCACATGTACGTCTCCGGTCCCGGCGGTCTCTTCGCCTACGGTGACAATGGCCCCAACAAGTTCGCCACCACCGCCAACCAGCTCATGCTCTACTCGAAGCTCTCTGGCGATGCCGTACCCGCCCTGTATCAGCGTGACCGTGCCGACGCCTCTTTCGACCCCCTCAGCATGTTCTGGTACGAGCCTACCGCCAAGGGTGCCTACTGGAACGGTCTTCCGCTCGACCGCTTCTTTGACGACACGCGCGGCTCGTGGGCCAGTATGCGCAGCTCGTGGACCGATCCGAGCGCCGTCTACGTCGGCATCAAGTCATCCAACCTTACTGGACACCAGACGCACGGCGACCTGGACGCCGGTGACTTTGTCATCGATGCGCTAGGAACCCGATGGGCTGGCGAGTACGGCAGTGGAAACTATCTCTCCACCGACTACTTCTCCAACGAGACACAGGGCTCGGCTCGATGGACGTACTACCGCAAGGCCACCGACGGTCAGAACACGCTTACCATCAACATGCAGAATCAGGATGTCAACTGCCAACCCACCAACACGTTTGCTTCGACGGGCGTTTCGCAGAGCGGCGACCTCAGCTTCAAGCCTGCCACCACGGATGCCGCACAGTTCATCACCGACATGAGCAGCTGCTACAGCCAGCCCTCGGGTACCGTGCGCCGAGGTATCCGCATGCTCAACGGTCGTCGTCAGGTGCTCGTCCAGGACGAGATTGGCCAGTCGAGCCAGATCACCGACGTCCAGTGGCGTGTTCAGACCAACGGCACGATTTCTCTCTCGTCGGACGGCAAGACCGCCACGTTGACCCAGAGCTCGCTCACCGACCCCAACGCCGCCACCGGCCTCAAAGCTAGCCTTGGCGGCACCAAGACCATGAAGGTGCAAATCTTGAGCCCATCCAACGCCGTGTTCACTGTCGACGGCCCGCCCGCTGAGCGTATCTACGGCGTTGCCGTTGCCAGTGGACCCGGCGAGGACTCGGACATTCCCAACACTGGCATGAGCGCGCTGCAGATCAGGCTCGGCGGCACTCAGTCCGGCGCCCAGACGGTGCAGGTGGTATGGCAGCCCCAGTGGGACTCGCTCTCGGCCGCCGACCAGGCTACTCCTAAATCGGTGCCCCTGAGCCAATGGAACCTCACCTCGCACAACTAAAGAGTGCCATTGCGAACAGCTCCTCTCCTAAAATGATCACGGACACTCTTTGGACCTGTACGCTCCCGTCTCTTCCGAGCGGCAGAACGTCGTCGTCTGCCTTCTTCTTTTCAGCCCCTTTGTCGCTGTGTTGCGTCTCTTCTTGGGCTTTTCTTCAAACAAGTGCGCATATCGAACATTCTCTTGTATTCGTGATCCATTGATTCGTACAATAAAGACACTGTCCTTTCGTACCATGCTTTATGGTTTGGGTTGATTCGCTTGCATGGTGTCTGCCGAGCGGCTGAAGCGTGACGGTATGGACTTCTTCGAGCACGGTGATGCCGAGTCCGCTCACACGTGAATCCTGCGCGTGCGCGCAAGGACATGACTCGGGCCTCGGCGCACCACGCAGCCATAACAAGATTCACTTTCGACAAAGTTTGCCAACTGGAGCACAAGGTTCGAACGACTACGACGATCCGATCGCCGACATGATATCGACTGACACTGTTGAAGTATCGGCGAGTTAGATCTGAAAAGCGTGCTTCTTTTGCAGCTCGGTGGTGAGCAGCATGCTTGCGGGTGCTTGAGAAATGGCAAACTCCTCGCAAAAACAAGAAGTTAAGCGCGTGTGAAAGGGGGGTTTCTCCGGCGGCGACCTGGCGTTGGTGGACACTTTTGTATGTAAAACCCCGCATTCTAGACGATTTGCGCGTCTATGGTAAGCATCCAGCATCGAAGTCCTTGCTGCTTGTTGTCAACCCTATCGTATTGCTTCTTCTTTCCTACGTTCCCGCAATCAATCCAACCCCATACTCGTCACACACGTTTCGACTTGCTCGCTGTCCAACGTCAAGTGCTGGGACTCAAGTAAAGATGACTACGACGCTGCCACCGTGCGAGCAGCCCAAGCTGACTCCTGAGTACCACGATGTGATCATCGTAGGTGCCGGCATCTCCGGTATCGCCATGGCGTGTCAACTAAAACGAAAGCTCAACATCCACGATTTCAAGATTCTCGAACGAGGTCCGGATCCATCTGGAACGTGGACGAACAACACCTACCCTGGATGCGCGTGCGACGTACCTGCACCTGTCTACTCGTTCTCCTTCGCCACCAAGGGGGACTGGTCGACGTTCTATCCGCAGCAGAAGGAGTTGAAGAAGTACTTCGGCACTGTAGCTGCTGAGCATGATCTGCAGAAGAACTTCCACTTCCAGACGACCGTTCAGGAGGCAAGGTACGATCGCGATACTGGATTATGGCATGTTTGGAGTGAAGATTGGACCAAGGACAAGAGCGAAGGCGAGAAGCATCATTTTGTCTGCAAGTTTTTCGTCAGCGCTGTCGGAGGACTCTCGCAGCCCAAACCGTGCGATATCGATGGTCACGAGACGTTCAACGGTCCGATCTTCCACACGGCCGCCTGGGATCACTCTGTCGACCTCAAGGGCAAGGACGTCGTTCTCGTCGGAAACGGCTGTTCCGCCACCCAATGCGTACCGTACCTCGCCGAACACTCCAAGACATTGACGCAGTTTGTTCGCAGCAAGCACTGGATCGCACCACACCCGCACCAACCGTTCGACTCGATCCCGGGCTTCAAGTGGCTGCTGAAGCACTTTGTGTTTGTGCGCAAGTTCCAACGCCTGCTGATCTGGTTGGTGCTGGAATCGCACTTCATCATGATCCTGCAGAACCCGCTCGGTCGGCTGTTCCGATGGAATTGGAGACGCAAGTGCGAAGCGCACATGAAGAAGAACGCACCCAAGGAGTACTGGGATATGTTGTTGCCAAAGAAGGAGGAGCTGATGGTGGGCTGTAAACGTCGAATCATCGATGACGATTACCTACCCACGTTGCGACAGCCTCATGTCAAGGTGGAGAATACGAAGCTCGCGAGGATCGAGCCGGACCACGTCGTCCTTGCCGATGGACGCAAGATCAAAGCCGACGTCATCGTGATGGCCAACGGATTCGAACCGCATGCGGCGGGAGCACCGATGAAGATCGTCGGAGTCAACCGAACGCTCCACGACCATTGGGCCAAGTACGGCGAAGGAGGGATGATCGCCTACCGCTCCTCGCTCAACGCAGGGTTCCCCAACATGGGCTCCATCAACGCTGCCAACACGGGTACCGGAAACCAGTCTCTCATCTTTGCCTCCGAGTGCACGGTCAACTTCCTCCTGGAACTCGCCAAACCCATCCTCGCCTCTGCCCGTCCCCCGCCCTTCGCCATCGACCACATGCCCTCCACCCACGCCTCGCTCGACCCCACACTGGACAACTACAAGATCCCCACGTTCGAGGTGAAACTCAAGGCCGAACTCGACGAACAACACTGGATCGCCAAAGCCATGTCCAAACTCGTCTTCACCAGCGGCTGCAAGAGCTGGTACATCGATGCCAAATCGGGCAGGGTGACGAGCATGCAACCGGACTGGCAGGTGAACTACATGCTGCGGGCGACGTTCCCAAAGTGGGACGACTTCAAGTATACAGGGTTGAAGAATGCGGGGGAGAAGGTGCCGAGCGAGGTGCCGAGGTGGAAGGTCTGGGGCGATTGGTTGGGGTTGGGTCATGTGGAGTATGTGGATCCGAAGGAGACGCCGCAGATTGATAGGGCGGCGATGGACGCTTGATTTTGGGATGAAGCATGTCAATGGATGTTTGATGCACACGCAGAACCTTGGTCGAATGTGTATTGCTTTGGTATGGACACCCCATACAGAGTTCTGGCGTTCAGCAGATGCTTCTCATGTGTGCCAATCAGAGGAGAGGTACAACTGTAAGGCGAAGACGAAGAGCTGCAGTAAGCCCGTCGAGCAGGCTGCTGGACGAGGGGTGCCGTATAAGCATTTTGACTCGGAGTGTTACACCGTGTCAACTCCCCATCCATGCCATTTTCTCGCGCGGCAATTGAGGCACGTCGGAAGCACCCGTCAAAAATTGCTTTGAGAGGCCTTGAGATTTTGATAAACATTTTTTTGGCTGAGCCACACTGACACGCCTTCTACGTTCTTCCGAAGAGAGAGCGAGTGGAACTCGGGAGAGCCGAAATTTGGTGTCCTCGTCTTGAGTGGAGTTCTGTGTCGAGCTTCTCATCATATCCTTTACCATTGGCTCGTCATCTTTCAATTCGCATCGCATCGCAGGACGCTCCATCATCAAGCTAGCCGCAAGCGACTCTGCATCCCTCGACTGCAAAGAACCTCGCAACATTACCATTCGGTACGATCGCGGCTTCGGAAAGGTTGGAAACCCCGCACCTTGGAACCGGGCATACTACGAAAATCTTGTTCGACGTCGATCTGGCGCATCGGAAGCTCGGCGTTTGGCACAGCAGCAGCTCAGCGCACCTTTACGTAGAAGAGTATCGCTCTTCCACACTCTGAACCAGCATCTTCTTCGAGCGCTCAAACCAGCAAGAGGGCAGTGCACGACTCTGTTCAGGTCATCGACAGCCTTGCACAGCAGCAACCTCGAGCATCGCATTCAGCACGCCCCCACGTTGTCGACTGCAGAGAAAGCTCTCATTCGTCGTCGCACGCTATAATCATCACCACCAGCCGCTTCCCGCTCTCTCCCTAACACCACCTCACAATGGCGCACGCAGACCACACACGAGACCCCTGTCCATGGGTGATCCTCAACGACTTTGGCGGCGCCTTCGCCATGGGCGCCGTCGGCGGAACCATCTGGCACGGCATCAAAGGTGCACGCAACTCACCTCGCGGTGAACGACTACCCGGCTCCCTCTCCGCTATCAAAGCCCGCGCACCCGTTCTCGGTGGAAACTTCGGTGTATGGGGTGGAATGTTCTCCTCCTTCGACTGCGCAGTCAAGGGGATTCGACAGAAGGAAGACCCGTGGAACGCCATCATCGCCGGATTCATGACCGGCGGTGGTTTGGCGATCAGGAGCGGTCCCAAGACGGCGATCGGAAGCGGTATCATGTGCGGAATCTTGCTGGGTGTGTTTGAGGGTGTCGGCGTGCTGATGCAGAGGATGATGGCAGAGGGGAATAAACAGGTCGCTCCGATCATTCCGGATACACTGCCAGGGTCAGCACCGCAGGCTTTGCCAGGAGCGCAATAGACATATCCACCAAAATCTACGGGCGTGCCCCTTCGAATCGACGAACGACAGGGTTCACGAACTTGCATCCGTCCCACACCACCACCACTACTGTCTACCTTGTATTCTTTCCCCCTTCTCTTCCATGCAAAAATCTCACTACTCTAGGGACTCCTTCAGTTTTCAGCATCTTTGTTCGATGCACCGTTGTGGGTGGATGAAGAGACTCTGCGTTTGAGAGACACCGTTCTGGGAGGCATTGCGTCTGGTCACATCAAAGCTCGAACAGAATAGCACAGTCACGCAGTCATAAGTCTGGGATCCGCGAAGTCACAGCGACTCGCATATTACTTCAAATTCGCACCCTCTCTGCAATCTGGTCGCCACGTCTTCTCACCCCGCCTCCTCCTTCCTGTCACCCTCCTTCCTCGCGCCTCTTCTGAAACACAAGAACTCCAACGCCGTACTCTTCCTACTCGCCACCAGAATTTGCTTGACCCTCTCCAGCTCCTTATTCAGTTCCTCCTTCTCCCCGACCTCCACCCTCCTGTACTTTTGCGAGATGGTCTCGTACACCTGTTTCAGCAGAGCCTCCGCTTTGGGGCTGATGAAGTTGCTCAGCGTCTGATGCAGGAACTCGATCTCTAGCGTTGCTTGCAGCATGCCTCCCAGTCCAAAGCGCGGGATGCGTTGGAAGGAGTCCAGTGTGGTAGTGGCGAGATCGTCGACGAGGGTGGTGATGGTACGGGTGACAAGTGGTTTGGCGATACTTCGAACATGCGCGTGCACTTGGACGAGCGAGAGCAAGGCTTGATAGATAAACGGATGCACCGAAGACGGTTTTGGTATGGCGGACCAGTCGATGCCGGACGAGAGGATGCCGTGGGACAGGATCTCCGAGATCGACGAAGATTTTCGCTTGATGTAGTCGTTGAAGAGGATCCCGTCCAACTGGCTCGATACTTCCGTCAGCGTCGCCAGGTCTTCGTCCATCTTCACCGCGTATGCATCGCCAAACTGCTTGACAAGGCTCGGGATGACGACCCTCGAGAGATGTGAGAGATTCGTAACACTAAGCAACACCCTCGTGTCCAGATCCCTCACGTCAACAGCACTCCCTGGATGTCCCGGTACACTCTGCACTGATAACGCCGTGCGCGGCTCCAACGGGCTATACTCGGAGAACGCAAGATGCACCAACCCATCCAAAAAGGCGTACAGCGCGTCCAGGAACGACCCTTTGATCCTCGCCGTCAACTCGGGCGCAACCGGCTGCTCCCCATTCCTGTTCTTCCGACTCGCCTCCAACGCCGACACCGGCGTAGACGTCGACCTTCCACCCGCAAGATGAAACGCCTGCCTCGCATTTCCCTTGTGAAAAGCAGCCAGCTCGCGCAGATGCAATGTAGTCGCCTGCTCATCCGGGTTCAACGTCCAATCCTCCAACATGTGGAACAGCTTTGCATCTTGCTGCCAGAGCACGCACAGCACCTGGACAAAGCTGAAGCCCGCGTTCGTCAACAACCCACGCAACGAACTCGCCGAAGTCACACCGAGCGACGCCAGGTCGTTGCACGCCTCTACCAGCTGTGTCAGCGTCTCTCGCAGGTAGTGTGCGGCTGTTGGCGAAGTCGTCCCCTCCGGCACCCAATCTGGCACCTGGGTCGGCAGAGGCTGCCGAACCAAGATCGACATATCGGTGAGAGAGAAGAGGTGAGAGACGAGGCTGATGTATGCATCCAATGCTTCGACTGCCCAAGCTTTGTTCTGCGCCGACACCGCCGCACCTTGTGTTGCGGACGAGCTACCGCTCGGTCTGGATTTGCTCTTTGTAAACTTCCCGTCCGCGTGACTCTTGGCCACTCTCCAAAAGCTCGGTAGCGATGCAGTGATGGTCTCGGAGAGCGTCTTGACCAGATCGTAGATGGCCTTCCACGTGTCAGCCCCCGCGCACCTGTCAAAAGATGCATCGATCAAGCCTGTCAACCGCATGCTCTTCTGCAAGTCCTTCGCCCGGTCACGATCAGCCACACTGCTGCCGGGTCGCTGACCCGAGCGAGACGCCTCGATATGCGCCACCCCCGCATCAAACGTCTTCCGCATCACGCTGCGCAAATGCTGATGTTGAGCCTCCAAAAAGATCGAGACAGGATCGTCGGTCGGATCGAGCTCGAGCAGGATCTCGATCGTCTTTTCCTGCTCGTCTACGCTTCTCCTCGGTTCCCGCAGCTGCGCCGTCAACCGGCTCTGCATATCCTTCATCGTAGCTTCCACCGCATCCCACACTTTGGCGAACACACGTTTCTGCTGAATGTCGTTCCTCGCACCGCCTGCCGACTCGGGCGTCTTGGCACTCCCAACCGCCAGCAGCTGACCAGGACGGCTATCGAGCAGGTATTTGCCCTTCTTGTAGTCGCGCAACGCCACATCGTATCTGCCCATCTCTACCGACTCCGAAAGCGAACCAGGCAGGTTGAAGAAGAACTTGGACCGTTCAAAGACCCCCAGCGTAGATCGCAACTTGATCGTCTTGAGATTGTTTTCGAGGACGGGCATGAACACCTGATCTGCTTTGGCAGATGCGTTGGCGAGGATATTGTTGAGCGAAGCGACGCCATAATCTGCTTGAGGCTGTAGTGGGCCTGATTCCGTATCTCGCATCTCTCGGTATACGCCATCTGTGGTAGCTTTGACTGCTACGAATCTGTCAAAGTTTTCCTCGACGAGCACCTTGAGTGCTTCTGATCGTTGGTCGATACTGCTCTTGAGGTGATTGATCCCGTGGGACAGATCGGCGAAGGTGGCATCAGGGTGGATGGTGGAGAGAAAGACTTTGGCGTCGAAGGCTTTCGAGGATAGTGACGTTTGTGTCTTGACATCCTTGGGGAGGCTTCGAAACGTTGCCATGGTAGAGCGGATGCCGAGCGGATCCGGTTCGTCGGCAACGGCGGTCGATGAAGCGGTGCCCTTGTCATCGGATTCGACTTCGGTGGTGTGCCATGATGATGGCTCGAGCGAATCGAGGTGGTATGCTTTGAGCAGCTCGGCTTCGTCGAATTGGAGCGGCATGGTCGCGCTTGAAAGCGGCTTGCAGGGAAGCGAAGCAAGCTAGTACCTAGCCTAAAAATGCATTTGTCGAGCTCTACCGGTGTGCGATGCCCCACTGAATGTGAGCGGAACAGGAAGGCGTGCTGTGGTGATGGGATGGAATGAAAAGGGTTCAATGTCGACATGCACGTACAAAGTCGAGTTGGTCGGTGCGCGCTGTCAACCAACGCAACACCCTCCAATCTAACAAGGCTCCAACCGCGCCTAAGCCAAAGTGGAGTTGCGGAAAGAAGAAAGACCCTGACCGGCTTCCTGCCTTCGTGTCCAACTCAGCCTTTTTTCGCCTCTTGCTTCCGTTCTTTCAATCACACTAGACGTCGTCGTCGTCTGTCTAGCGTCCACAATGTCGACGGCTGCAGTCAAGCTGCAATTCGAGCAGTCGACCACCGACGCGCTCGAAGCGTGGCAGCAGTCCATTCGAGACACCGCCATCAACATCATCCAAAAGACGCTTCCCGAGAAGATCCTCTCGCTCAATGCCAAGATAGCCGAAGTGGAGAGCAACAAGGAGCATCTCTTTTCAAAGTCTCGCTACTTTGAACCTGATTCGATCGGGATCGATACGAATGTCTATCCATCAACATCTTCCTCTTCGCACGATGACGGCTCGAGCAGCAAGAAGCGCAAGACAGTCGACTCTTCCACATCCGTCAAGGGTGATTCCTCCTCCTCCTCCTCCGACGCAGCACACGTATACACTGGCATCCTCCACACACCTTCCTTCCTCGTCACTGCATTCACCGACCTGCGCTCTGAATGGGACGAACTCATCGAACTCATGGACTCGCTCAAGATGTACATCAACCTCCAAATGCCCCAGATCGAAGACGGCGACACCTTCGGCGTCTCCATCCAAGAAGAAGCGCTCAACGAGATCGTCAGAACTCAAGATTCCGCCTACAACCTCATCGCCACCCCCTTCACCTACCACTCGTCCAGAGGCGACCTCGCCGCCAAGCTGGTCAGGTTTCCAGGTGTCGAGGACTACAAAAAGGCCATCGAGGAACACGATAGGAAGACGGTGTACAGGTTGAAGATGCACCTGACCGATATGCGGAACATGTACGCGGTGGTGTGGGATGTTGTAAGGAAGAATATTGGCAAGATAAGTAAGCCGAAGAGTGGCAACCAGATGGGTAGCTATGGGTAAGGAGGAGGGAGGAGATGCGCAAGGCCGGCAAGGAGAATGCCTTGTCGGATGCGAAGCGACGGTTGTACTCATACTGCATGATCGGTCGTAAAGCAAAGCTCGAAGGAGAGCGTTTTGACTCGAGAACACACAAGCGGTACTGAAGCTGCCAGATTCCGCGTCTTGCACATACGATTGGTGAACGTTTGACAATGGATCCATCGTATCAATTCCCATGTGTCTATAGCTACAAAATGGTGTGTTGTGGATGCGAACTTAGAACGCATCTGTCTGCTTTGCGTTCCTGACGATCTCGTCTCTGGTGATGTTGCTCCTGACGCACATGCTGTGGAAGATGCCGTCGGGGCGATCGAACAGGTCGAGCGGGCTGGCGTACTCTGCCAGCTCACCCTTGTCGAACACGGCGATTCTGTCGTACGACAGGATGGTGCGCAGACGGTGGGCGATGCAGAGGATGGTTCGGTTGGCGAACTCCTCCCGGATTGTCTGCTGGATCTTGGCGTCGGTCTCGAGGTCGACGGAGGCGGTGGCTTCGTCGAGCAGGATGATCTTGGAGTTCTTGACCAGCGCACGAGCGAGCGAGACGAGCGAGCGCTGGCCGACGGACAGGTTGGATCCTTCTTCCTCGATGATCGTGTCGAGGCTGATGCGCGAGACGGTGCGGCCGGGGGAGGCGTCGCCGGGGACGGCGAGGGCCTTCTTTTCGTCGTCGGCGATCGAGGCTGCTGAGCTGGCTGCTTCGAGGGCAGGCATGACGGGGGTGGCGGCGCCGTGCGTGTGCGTGTCGTCTCCAATGAGGTAAGCGCGCTTGAGGGCGTCGTTGAGTCGTGCATCGTCGTAGATGCCGAATGGATCCAGGTTGGTTCGAAGCGTTCCACTGAACAGCAATGGCTCTTGGGGCAGAATGGCCAGCTTGCGACGCAGATCTTCCAAGCCAATGTTGCCAACGTCGATGCCATCGATCTCGATCGAGCCTTTGCTCAGTTCCACCAGACGCAAAAGTGCGGTCAGAAGCGAACTCTTGCCCGCACCCGTTCGTCCGACGATTCCGACCTTTTCGCCGCTGCCCACGTCAAACGAGATGCCTTTGAGCACCGAAGGCAGTCCCGGTCGGTAGCTCAGCCAGACGTCCTTGAACGAGATGCGTCCCTCCTCCGGCCAGGACTCTCGCGTCGGATTGTCCGGTCGGGTCTGCGCCTTCTCCTGGTCCAGCTCCTCGGCGTAGTACAGCAGTCGCTCGACCGAGGCCGAATCATTTTCCACCTCGGCGATCTGACGTGTCATCCACGAGAAAGCCTGAGCGACGGTCAGCATGTAGGTGAGAGCGATACCAGTTTTGCCACCCGAGATCGGTGTCGAGCTAGCGGTGGTCAGAAGTGCCACAATGAGCACAAGGAGCGCACCGAGCAAGTCGAGTCGCACACCGAGCCAGCGCTGGTTGGTGATGCTCAGGTAGTAGGCACGGTTCTCGACATCCATGCGCTTCTGGTTCTCTTTGATAAACGTATCCGTCTCGCGGTAGGCACGAATGGTGGCAAGACCGGAGAGCGTTTCGGAAAAGTGCGAGTAGAGGTTAGATCGCAGAAGCGCATCCAGTCGCTTGACTTCTCGTGCCGACGAGCGGTAGAAGAGGGCACCGAAGAAGTAAAAGACGAGCACGACGGCGACGGCGATCACGAAGTAGTGCGTAAGGATCGTGATCAGGATGACGGCACCCGCGACCGACGCGAGCGTGTTGGCAGCCATTCGAACGGCATCGGCCAGCTGGTTGTCGACCACATCGACGTCCTTGGAGAACCGATTCATGATGCGGCCGATGGGCGTCACATCGAGCCATCCCATGGGAGCGTAGACGACCCGCTGAATGGCCTCGTGGTGAAGACGCTTGCAGGCGTAGTAGCTGAGAAAGCCCATGGCGCAGCCCATGATGAAGGTGAAGATGGTCATCACGATACCCAGCATGGCGTAGATACCCATGTAGAAGCCGATGGGCTTGTTGAAGTGGTTCTGCTGCCACCAAATGAGCCAGTACGAGTTGAGGATGTTGGCCACCTGCATGAGCACGATGCTGCCCACGCAGATGGGAACCATGTAGGCACCGCGACCGTACTTGAGGTACGAAAGGTAGACGTGCATCGACACGGAGCCCGTGTTTCGCTCCTCGGCCTGCATGAGCGCACCCGCCTTGTCGCCGGGCTTGCCACCGGACAGTTTGGAACGATCGACCTTCTTTCCCTTTTTGCTGTCGTCGTCCTCGATGGCTTCGGCCTCGTCTTCCTTCTTTTCCTCTTCGTCCTTTTCCTTCTCACCACCAAATTCGATTACGAGGCGCTGGAACGGTCCGTTGGCGGTGTTGAGCTCGTCGTATGTACCCATCTCGACAATGTGGCCATCTTCAAGCGTGATGATGCGATCAACGTCAGGGAGGAAGTGGAGCGCGTGCGTGACGAGGAGAACGGTCGCACCTTTGGCGCGAAGACCCATGATTGCGTTGTAGAAGAGCGCCTTGCCGACGTGAGCATCGACGGCCGAGAGAGGGTCGTCCAGGCAGACAATGTCGGCGTTGTAGTACAGGGCACGGGCGATGTTGACTCGCTGCTTCTGGCCACCACTCAGGTTGACGCCCTTCTCGCCGATCTCGGTGAGATCGCCGGCGGGCAAAATGGCTAGATCGGCTTCGAGTTCGGACACCTTGACCGCGTGCCAGTAGCGTTCTTCGTCAAAAGGCTGACCGAACAGGATGTTGTCGCGCATCGTAGCGTTCTGAATCCAAGCGCTTTGGGAACAGTAAGCCACGCGCTGACTGCCCCACTGGACCGATCCACCGGTCTGACGCATCTCTCCGATGCAGGCCTGCAAGAAGGACGACTTGCCCGAGCCGACGGGACCGACGATGGCGACGAGCTCGCCCTTAGGGATCGTAAGATTCACGTTAGACATGGAGAAGGGCTCCTGCACCTCCTCGACGGCCTTTTCGTCTTCGGTAGCCTCGCCGCCAAGCGTGGGCTCGAGCTGAGCCTCGGTCACGATCGCCTCGTTGTCACCATCCGCAGCAACGTCGTTCTGCTCGGCTTGAATTTCTTCGAGACGTCGTGCGTTGTCGCTGTCTGGTTTCTTGGCAGAGACGGGAGCAGGAAGACCGGGCTCGTTGGCAGCGGGAGGCACAGCCGACGTCTTGGCCATCTTCTTGGCTTTGCCAAACATGCCGGACCGCGATGGCGCCTTGGTCTGCGCAGCACTGCCTTTGGCTCCTGCCTTTGGCTTGGCCTTGGACTGAAGCGCCTCGTCTGCCTCGACAGTCTCCCATCGGAAGGACCCGTCTCGAACGACAAGCGCGTACTTGCTGTCCTCGTCGTGCTCCACGGTGTCTTCGAGCTGCTCCGCGGTAAAGACGGTGTGGAGACGATCGAAGGCGTTTTTGGCGTCGGTGGTAGCGGAAAGCGAGAGAGGCAGGAACATGAGCGGCATTCGCAGCAGCTGGAAAAGCGTGAGCGAAGGGAAGACAAATTCGGGGTTGAGGTCGTGGCCAGTGAGGCTGTAGACGACAAAGGCAAGCACTGCAGCCAAGATGGGCAGACTGAAAGCAATGGCGTTGTTGCCAGATCGAAGGATGAGGATCTTGCGAATGCCGTTGAGCTCGTTCTTTCGAATGTCGTAGATGCGCTCGAGGAACTTTTCTTCGTGCGAGAAGGATTTGACGATGCGCATGCCACCGAGAACCTCCTGGATGGTCTTTGCACGCGCGTCGGTCCACTTCATGGAGCCTCGTCGGTACTTGAACAGGGCCTTCATGGCCTGCAATTGGAGCGGGGTGGCGAGGGCAAAGATGGCGAAACCGGCGAGGGCGGAGGGACCTAGCTGAGTGAGAAGAATGACGACGCAGATGATAATCTGGATCGGAGCGGCAAAGACGACCGAGAACCAGGCGGAAGCGAAGTCGATGCGACTGCAGTCGGTGGAGATGTGGTTGATGAGCTTGCCACTGGATCGTGCTTTGCCATTCATCTTCATCGCGCGATCAAAGATGGCGGTGATGAGCGCCGCTCGTGCTTCGACACCACACGACATGGAGCGCCAGAAGAATTGGTGCGTGCCAAGCGAGGAGATAATTTGCATGAAGAACAGAGCGAAAGAGAGGCCAACACCGTGGCCGACAGAAGGACCAGGAACACCGCGTGCGTGGGCGTCGTAGAACTCCTGTGCGTACTTGATGATGGCTTTGAGGACGAGCGGCGATGTGATGAGAGAAGCATCGCCGACAATCTTGAACAAGAGACCGGACCACAGCTTCCAACCGAGTTGGTCGTGCATGGCCCAGACGAGGGATGGCTTTTTGTGGCCCGAAGGGTCTTTGATTGTCTTGACTTTGGGTTGACCGGGCTTGGGAGGGCCACCTGGGGCTGCAGCGGAGGGAGCTGCTCTAGGCGGTGCTCTCCAACTGGCTTCGCGCTGCTTCACGTTGCCGCCCTTTGGGTTGAGCGCAGATCGCAACGTCCAGGAGGTGCGTCTCTTCCATCCGGGCTGGATTTCGCCCGAGACAAGTTTTGCGTTGTAATCCTTGGCTTCGCGAACACGGCGCTCCCAGTCTCTGTTGAGCTGACCGCCGAGCTGCTTGGCGCTGAGGTCTTCGGAGAGTGTCCAGAGGTCGGTGGCTTCGAGGGGACGCTGGTATCCGAGGACCATGATGGGTGTCATCCACTGAAAGAAGACGCGATTGATGAAGCCGGCGTTGGCCAAAGGAATGAGGGTTGCATCGTCCAAGCTGGCGGGAGGAGCAGGTGGAGGATTCTTGGGACGCCAGACTTGGTACCACTTTTCCTTGTGTTTGCCTCCGACAAAGGTGCGTTTGCCGGGATTGTAGTCGTAGCCTGGCTTTTCTTCGATGGCGGTTGAGACCTGCGCCGCGTGCTCGGTGGAGGGTACAGCGCTTTTAGACGACTCGCTATGGCTTTCGTCTTCTGTATCTACAGTGTCAGCAGATGAAGTCAACGGCACAGCAGGAGACGTCGATAATGGAGCCGCAGTGTCGACAGATGTGTGGTGGACCACTGGCGTAGCGCTCGGCTGCGCTGCATTTGATGTAGGTGCCGACATGCTGAAACGACAGTGGACTGTGATGGCAGAAAGTCGTTCGAAAGTACGCTGCTGTCACGCGTCGGAAATGATGCCAGCAGAAGAAGAGGAACGATGGATAAAATCGAAACGAAGTTTAGAGCAGTGTCGACATCAATTATCCTCTTTGTTGGACGGCGGCAAGGGTAGTTTCTGGGACTGTGATGGCGTCGTAGCGGATTGATCAAGGAGTGGAATATTATGTAGAAAGGACAATCGGATGAAAAGGATGCAATGTCAAGGGGACGGGAGGAGATGGTCAATCGACTGAGCCACAATGCAGACGGTAAGGTGAGGACGGGAGAGAAGAATGCTGAGCCGAAGAACAGGAAGCGAAGGGGTGCGTTGGCAAGCAAATGGCACGCGGGGCTGTGATGGTAGAGAGTGAGGCAGGCTCAGCAAGCAAGGAGTGATGACGAGGACATGGGCGAGTTGGCAAGGTGGGGAAGGGGACAGGCAGACAGACGAAGAGAGATCGAGACACGGCGTGAACGAGGATCGAGGCAGCAGTCGGCAATGTACCTCGCACCGAACAAAAACGGCCTGACGCGGCGAAGAGGGAGACACAGACAATGAGGCACGAGGGGGGAAATGGGAATCCCGCGGAGGAGCACCCAAACCGAAGCTGGATGCACTCCAACCGAGTTGCTGAACAAGCAAAGAAAACACCGTTTCCTCTTTACTGTTCTGGTCACCAAACTCACGCATTCGAAAGCGCTCTTGCAGGTAGACTGGGCCGGGACCGACGAGTGGCTACGCCGAATGGAAAGCGTGATGCGGATGTGAACAGGATCGGTCATGTGTTTTGCAGCAAATCGAATGGCCACTCTGCTTGCTTGGCTGAGTACGACCGGATTTCGCAGAGATCGAGGCGGCAACGGGATCAGCTCAGCATGGCGCTCTGCTCGGCAGCGGCTGATTATGAAACATTTTCTCAATTTCCAGAGAGAAAAGGAAAAATCGTTCTTTGCCGGACTTTGTCTTGTCGTCAAGCCACCGGCGGCCTGTTTTCCGACACAGCTGCACTGCGTGGGGAAGGGTCCGAAACTGTTGACCCATGCTGTGCCTGACCGTTGAGCACCCGCGGAATATGCGTCTCCGTCTATCTGACTCTGACCTTCCGCCGGGTCGTCCCGTCTGTAGCCTGTAGTGAGCTGGCTGCTCTACGAGGCAAGCAGAGCTGGGATGAGCGACGAGTGGGTTCCATGCTGTCAAACTCGGCGGCAGACGACTCAATCCTGTGCAAGACGCAGCACGGTAAAATTGGTTTTTCCGGTACTACATGTCGATGAGCTTGAGCATCATCCAACGCCTGCGCCTCCCAGGAGATCCTTTCACTTCCTACCCAGGCCATGCGGCTGTACACCTTCTGTAATGCGAACGAAGCGACTCTGCTTGCCGACTGTCATGGATGAAAAGTTTCGGCGAGGATCCTGCATTGTTTCGTCGGGGCTTGCAAATGTAAGAAATCGCACGTCCGCGGAGCAAGCAGACTAAATTGATCGCTGTCAAAGGGTGGGTTTACCAATCAGCGCCGCGCTATTTCCGTACATTGTTGATTTTGAGAAGAGTCGCTCACAACGTCGAACTTGGCTGCTGTCCACGCGTCGCTCGTCGTCATCTCATGGGTAGACACAGACGCTTGGAGACACTTAGAGACGCTTCTTGGGTAGCATGCGTATGCGAACATCAATCCAAGATAGCGATACGAGCGACAATGACTCGACCATTCGTCTCGGTCACTTTTCATCGTGTGCAGCATGGTTGGTTGGACGGAGGTTGCTGTTCCGAGCTCGCATCCACTCATGCATGCCGTTCGGCTACCTATCACTTCCACCCACGGTACACCTTGCTTTCACTGGATACTGTTGCATCCTGTCTCCGCACAACTGCTTCTTCGTCCAGCATTGAGACCTGCAGTGCTCCAAAATTGTCGGAATAATAGAAGCGATCGAAATGCGTAATATGTCTAATTTGTCGATCACACATCATCAAATTTTGTGATCGACGCGTGGACCCTTTTGGAGCGAGCATAGCACAGGCATTGCAGGCAGGCAGTTAGACCTCCACTTGCTTTCCTTCCAACCGAGAACGCATCGACCAACCTCGAGAGCCGTACGACATTGACATTCGAGTCGAGCCACCGACCACCATCATCCACCGGCAACTTTCGATTGCACGCATCTGACACGAAACTCCATCGGCCAGTGCCCCGCCAGGCGAAGGATTGTATTTCACACCGTTCGGGAACAGTGACGCCTACTCAATCGGTCAAGCGTCGCAATCCTTCTCAAACTATGATCGTTCGCGTGCGATCCAAAGATGGCAACTTCCGCTTCGAGCTTCAACCCACCGAGGATGCGTCTCAACTCATCTTCAAGGTCCTGGAGACCATGCCAGGCGCTGATCCGGACTCGCTGACCTTCTCAAATCAGCCACGAGGCGGAGAATTTGCTGCCAGCACGCTCAAAGGTAGCACGCTCGCCGAGCTCGGCATCGGTCACGGTCACCTCCTCTTCGCTGCCTACAAAGAAAGTAATGAAGCAGATGCGGAACAGTCTCACTCCAATGCAACTACCGGCGCGCCTACCGCGACAACAGAACCCTCTTCTTCTTCTTCTTCCTCCTCCACAGCCGCCTCGTCATCACAGCCCCAATCATCCTCGGCTTCAACTCGTCCTAAGAAACCCTGGGAGCTCGTCAAGGAGCACAGCGTCGACACATACTGGGAAGCACAGGAGGGAAAGATCACCCGCAAGAAGGATTCGCAATTCTGTCGTCACGGCCCCAAGGGTATGTGCGACTACTGCATGCCCCTCGAACCGTACGACTCCAAGTATCAATCCGAGAACAGCATCAAGCATCTCTCCTTCCACGCCTACCTGCGTAAGCAAGACATCGCCACCAACAAACCCAGCCAATCTTTCATTCCACCTTTGGAAGAGGCCGACTACAGCGTCAAAAAGCCGTGTCCTTCTGCGAGTCATCCCAGCTGGCCCGCAGGCATCTGCACCAAGTGTCAGCCTTCCGCCATCACGCTCCAACGACAACCCTACCGAATGGTAGATCACGTCGAATTCGCCCACCCCGATCTCATCGAAAACATTTTGACCTTTTGGAGGAGCACCGCTACTCAGCGCTTCGGATTCCTCCTGGGACGCTACGAAGCCTACCCTGACGTGCCCATGGGTATCAAAGCTGTCGTGGAAGCCATCCACGAGCCGCCGCAAGAAGGTGAACTTGATGGCTTGACGCTCGGCGTACCGTGGGAAGAGCAGCCTCGTGTCGAGAAGCTCGCCAAGCTATGCGGTCTCGAATTTGTCGGAATGATCTACTCGGACCTGAGTCCCGCCGACCCCACCCACCAGGATCCTTCCCTTGCTGGCAAGGTCGTCTGCAAACGACACAAGGACAGCTTCTTCCTCTCCGGAATCGAGACCGTCTTTGCTGCTCAGCTCCAACTCGGCAACCCCAACCCATCGCGCTTCAGCTCTACCGGTCGCTTCAACTCCAAGTTTGTCACCTGCATCCTCAGCGGCACTGAGGAAGGCGCCATCGACGTGTCGGCCTACCAGATCAGCGAGCAGGGCATGGGCATGGTCCAGGCCGACATGATCGAGGCCAGCGTCAATCCCAACATCATTCGAGTCAAGCCGAGCGAGGGTGAACGTTATGTCCCCGAAGTGTTCTACCGCTATACGAACGAGTACAAGATCGACGTCAAGGAGAGCGCAAAACCCACCTTCCCCGTCGAGTACCTCATCGTCAACGCTACGCACGGCTTCCCCAACGCGCCTAACCCCACATTCCTCAGCTCAAAGTTTCCCATCGAGAACCGGCCCGGTCTACATGATCAGGATCTCACCGTTGCTTTGACCAGCATCGGAAAGATCGTTGGTCACAAAGAGCTGTTCCCCATCGGCGATGGTACGGAGAGCACCAAGGGCAAGTCACGAGCTGACGACGACCAGGTGCGCGAGAAGCTCGTGGGCGCCCTCAGCGACTGGCATCTGCTCGCCTTTCTCGACACGAGCGGTTTCCTTGATCAGGATGACATGGCTGCGCTCTGCCGTCTCGCCACGACGCACGACTCGGGTGCTGCGCTTGATGCGCTTCTCCTTCGTCCTGGCTGGCAGACCTTGATGGCCCTCGCGCGCGAGCATGTGCCGCAGTCAGCCAGCGAGACAAAAACGGTTGAACCGACGAAGGATCCATTCACGTACGACGGCGGTGTGGAGTCGGATGACGATGTAGGATTCGACGACGCTAACGAGGACTTTTACGATGACGGTCAAGATGACGACGACGATGATGTGCAGGTTTCGCACGTGCGTCGAGCATCTGCGTCAGCTAGGAATGATACCAGCGAAACAGATGCCGCTACGGCTGCGGCGATCGCTGCAGCATCAGCCGACGACGGTCCCGCCGGCGTCAAGGTTTGTTCCCACTGCACGTATCATAACGAGGCATCTGCTTCCGACTGCGAGATTTGCGGTCTACCCCTCTAAGCTCACATCACATCTCAAAATTCATCTCATTCCTCCATTGTTTGCGCGTTGCATTTCTCGGCCTGTGTCGTTCAATATCGATCGTCGAGGTGTGCTGGTTAGCGTGCCCACCACTTTCATCTCGGTGCGCTTTGACGATGGTGTGACGTGAATGCTTGTTGGGTAGGATTTGGCGGCGGGTTCATTCTCTCGATTGAGGCAGGTGGGTATGACCTGAAGCTCTGGTAGTATAAAACCGGTAAAGTCACCCCGCTTTCCGCTCTCACCTGCTCCGCCTCCTGCTGCACAGCTCCACAACCGCTCTCGCGATGAAAACAAGACGCACTTGGCTCGTCCTTCTGGGCGCCGTCTCTCTAGCCCTAATTCCTCACGTCACGGCAGACGACCCCCAGATCACCGACCCGAATCTCGCCGTCATCCGCGACTTCAACATCGTCCTTACCGACAACACCAAAGTCAACGACCTTCAATGCTGCATGGGACTGTCCAACGAACTCCCCTCAGTCGCGCAGTATCAGTGTTTCGAGCATCAGGATATGCAGATGGGATCTGCGCCTGGGTCGCGACGTCTCGGACTGCAGTTCTGTTCTCACCTCCCCGGGTCTACTCCTGACGATGCGAGCAATGCGTTCAAAGATGCATGCGCCAAGGGGAGCGGTGAGGTGATTACGGTTGATAAGGGATACTGTCCGCAGATCTGGCCGAACTACAAGGACGACTATAAGAAGCCAGCACCCGTGGCTGGTTCATCGCCGGATGGTGATGCTAAATCGACACCTGCTACTCCGCCTTCCACCGCACCTGACGCCGGCGGCAAAACGACCAACGACAAAGACGGGTTCAAAAACACCGGTACTTTCCACTACACTCTCGTCGATTATTCCATCACCCGATCCCTAGCCTGCTGTAAAGGTTCAACGTCACCCATCGTGAAACATCAAAAGTACAAGTGCGGCCAACGAAAAGTCGAAGCGAAAACCTTCATGTCCCAATGCGCTCAGATGCTTCCCACCATCACCAAGCCCAAGAAGCTGAACGGGTACACGACGCTGAATGGCGATGGAGATGCGGTCGTCGACGAAAAGACGAAACAACAGTGCAGCGCAATGTGGACAAACGCGATGTCATTTACGTACGGGTTTTGTCAGCTGGATTACGATGGGGCGAGGGACGATGCGGTCAAGGCGTTCGGAGATGACTGTGGTGCAAAGGGTGGTGTGATGAAGGATCCGCATCAGGGAATGTGTCTGTGGAACGTGGATGATGCTGCGATTGACAGTTCTACGGGTTGAAGAGGATCCTCTGTGTTCCATCTCAATCCCATTCTCAACACGTCGTCATAGAAATCGTTCCACTCACTGATGCTTTCAGTTGTTTGATGTGTCCAAGGATGTATGAGATTGGTATCGAGCGATGAGAAAGCATCTGCAAATAGACAAAAGCGCAGAGAACTAAGAAGTCGGTGCAACAGGAACCGCGTTCGAACCAGTCGCCATGAACCTAGGCAACTTCCTCTCCCTCCCACTGTTCCTACTCCATCCACCCGACGTCTGCTCACCATCATCTTCCTTCCTCCTCTTGCTCGCTCTCTCCTCACCACCCTGCCCCTCACCACCTCTCCCTCTCGTCTGCTTCCTCGCCTCGTTCTTGGGCGCCACGTACTTCCCATGCAGCTTCTGCCTCTCCTTATCCAATCCCGCGTTCTTGGCCTTGATCTTCTCCTGCCTCGCTTCTCCCTTTCCTCCTCCACCGGCTGTCAATTCGACGTTGATCTTCCTTCCCTCCAGCAGCGTGTGGTGGAACTTGAGCGCCTTTCTCAGTGCATCCGAGGTTTTGAACTCGACGAAAGCGCAGCCTTTGGATTGCGGTTTTGACGGGTCCTGTGCTTTGCCCTTGGCGATGGATTTGCGTTTTGAGGCGGGGAGTGAAGCTAGTGCGTTGGGGTCGGCTTTGCGTGTCAGGAGTCGTACGTTGGGTACTTCGCCGCACGCCTGTCCGAAGTGCTTGGAGATGTTTTCCGAGGTGGTGGTGAAGGCCATGTTGCCGACAAAGAGGATGAATTTGTTGGCCTTTGCAGGGGTTTCAGTGGCCGTGACGGCCTCAGGCTGTACAGCTTGCTCCGAGGCTACCTCCCCGTCGTCTCCGAAGGTGGTCTTTTTCGCATTCGCTGCAGGCTCGGTCTTGGTAGATGCGGTTTTTGTCTTCTTTGGTTTGCTCTCCTTGTCACTCTTCTTTGTCGGTTTGTCTTGAGGTGCGGTACCGGATTCAGGCTGTGCAAGGCCAAGAGCTTCAGCTTCGGCAGCTAGACGCTTGCGCTTCTTGTTTCGCTTCTCTTCTTTGACTGGCGCAGGCGCACTCTCTGTTGAGGACTGGTCTGCAAGGGTGGAAGAAGAGGTGGATGCTTCGGGTGCAGCGGTAGGTGCGTCTTCGGGGACGTCGTCGGGAGTAGCGGGATGATCTTCGAGAGCGGCAGCTTTGCCCTTCTTGCCTGCTTTGAAGGATGCAGCTTTCTGCTGCTTCTTTGTGAGTTTTGCTGCCGCCATTATTGCTAGACCACGGATGTACTGAGTGGATGACGGAATGCTCGTGTAGGTATAAGTTAGAGGAAACAAGGAAGGTGGAGCGTACGGGCTGGTGAACTGCTTCAGGGTTCAACGATGGCAAAAATTCGCGAAGAACCCTGTTGCATAGCCTGTAAAATTCGGGGCTCAACCTCCACGGAAAAAACGCGCTTGTCAAGCATGACTAATCTCAAAGAAGAAGTCCGCCTCGGAATGTGCGAATCTCCACATCCTCTGACTTCTTCCTGTCGTCCTCCTCATCACTACTACCCTCACCAACACACACATATACACTGCAACTATGTCCGGGCTCGGAGAAGCTGATCAGAAGGGTAAGTTCCCCTGTCACCACACCGTATCAGCCCCGAATCGCTGTCTTTCGTTCTCGACCTGGAGGCTGTAGTACTGATCTCATCCGCTTTCACACATTTGCTCTATGCTCTGTGCTCTGCGGCCCTTCCTTCACCTACATCAGAACTGCAAACGTTCCTCGACGCAGAACAGGCCAAGGCCCGCGTCCAGTCGTCCATCCACACCTTCACCGACCGATGCTGGGATCAGTGCATCAAGTCGTCCATCGGCTCCAGCTTTGGTCGTGGCGAAGAAGCTTGCCTCAGCAACTGCGTAGAACGCTTCCTCGATACCAGTCTTTTCATCGTCAACAAGCTGCAGGAACAACGAGGACAGATGGCTTGATTCTGTCAGGACCTCAAAGCGACACATTGTAACAACATTCACAAAAGTACCGCCGGCTGATTACAGCAGAGCAAATTTAATTCACTACTCAGAAGCCAAGTGCTTGTGCAGAGGTGCATTCGGAATGTGAACGGACCCACGAGCGCATGTGCGCAACGCGCAGAGGTCGTCATGACCTGCAGGAAGGTGTTACTCCTCGAATACCCCGGGAAGCTCGGTTTCTTCTGACTCTGACCAAAACGGCAGGCAAGAATTGTACGGCATTGTGCTGACACCCTGTTCTCAATTCCCAAATCGGAAGCAGGTCACATGTTCATCGGCGACTAGATTGGCAAGCTGAGCGAACGGTCACCCGGAGTATGTTCGATGCGGGCAAGGCTTGCTATGACGAGCTATGTACTGCGCAACCATCATGCTGAGCGGCCAAGTGATATATCCCGACTCGCGGAATAAATTTGCCGACTGTCTGTTGAATTTACGCGACACAGTGAATGGTGCCGCATTTTTTTCCTTGCCGTGTTTGACAGTTGCTCTTGTGCTGCTCTACTCAGCTCGGAAGCTGGCTCAGCTGGAGATCTTTGACGTAAGAGTAGAGTTGTTCGCCTGCTTCGCCGCTTTGCTTCAGCTACCAGTTCGCAACATCTGCAGTGGTTGGATGATGACCCGTACAAGCCGGACGCGTCCGTATGTGCGCGAGTGCATCTGTAGCAATTGCCTCACAGAGCCGGGGTCCTTCGTCAAACCGATGTGATCCTTCCTTGCTTCCTCTCTCCACCCTTCCCCACCTTTCCATCTTTGCTCATACGTTGCAGGGTCAAGCTTCGGTCTCTGGTAGATCGATCCTTTCGTATATCGTTTGTTGTTGTTCGGTGCAATCTGGTATTGCTCACGTCTCAGAAAAAAGTCATCGTCAAACAGGGTCCAACAACGCTATCCGAAAGCAGAGTCTCTGGTAGACGCAACAAGTCTGGCTATCATGGAGGAGCCGTACGATGAGAAAGCTCATCGAGGAGGACGTGGTGTTGAATTTTGCTGCCTCTCTTACCCGCTGGTCAAAGCGGGAGCCTACCTGATCCCGCTCGAGTTCGCCTTTGTCTCTGGCTGCATCATCGTTCTCAGCACGACCACTCCGACCATTGTCGCAGCTGTCGACACTCTGCCTCGCATCTACCCATTGGTGCTACTCATCCTGGCCATCATCGCACTAGCCTGGCAGATCATCGGCCTCATCACGATTCGAATCGAAATGAGCTCGATCTATCGACTCTACATCCGCATCAACCTGCTCCTCGTCCTCATCCTCACCGCGGTAGCGTCCATCGGAACAGTGGTGATCGCAACCAAGCACAAACAATCCACCGAGGTCTGCACGAGGATCTACGGCAATCCTCCGCTCAACTCGTCGACGGGCGTATCGATCGATGCGCTGGATACATTCGCACCGGGAAGGCAGATCTGCAACTACTTCATGTGGGCGCAGGTGGGTGCGACGGGCGGCCTGATTGCGATGCTGTTCCTTACGCAGGTGTACTTCTGCTACTGTCAGCGGGCGTACGGTCAGAAGCAGAGGACGGCTATTTCTCATCTGGAAAGCTACTACAAGGCAACGTGAGTATATGACGATTCTAGCTAGATCGCTTGCAGGATGGAGTGCTGACAAAACCAAACTTGCTTTCTGTGTGAACAGCGACGATGGGGATACATCTTCGGATGCGTTGAGCCATATGTCTCGCAGCTCTGCGGGTTCATTCCCGAATCCGCACAAGGCTTGAATGAAGCGTCGCTCTGTATCTCGAATGCAGCAATTGAAAGAAGGGAAGACACAAATGGGAGCGTTTGCGGACAGACTTGTGGTGAGGCGATTGAAATCGAGATAGGCTATAATGAAGATGTGAGATCGCCCGATATGATCATGACCCTGGCGGATCCGAGGCGTTAGGTGTGAATTCCAGCTTTGCTGATTGGCGCCCTCGCAGGAGCGACTCAACCAAAATAGTCGCGCGCTGCTCCAAGGGTGCTTTGGTCAGCAGCCACCTCGAATTTCGCCTTTTCTTTTGCGGCTTCGTACGGGTCAAGGAAGTTGAGCTTAGCACATCTGCCAATGCTTGCTGAAATTGGTCGCCGTTGAGTGCCACCGCGTGTTGGAAGGTCGAGTCCAGTGTCGTCTCCAATCTCGAATTCGAGGTCGACACCTTCGCAGCTTTCCCTACAGCTCCTCACCATCCCATCAACATACCTGTCATACATCATGCAGAGAGCTAGTAAGTTCTGGAAGCAAACGAAGCAATTCACGCAGTAGATCACATCACTGACCATCAGCCTGCCATTCGTGACGCAACCTCCGACCGCCGCCATCTGTCTTGCATTTCTACAATATCTTCGACCACCTCATCGCCACTGCACCACTCGACTTTCACGACTCATCGTTATGCACGCATCAGGCTTGGTCGCTCGAAGCGCCGCTCGCTCGGCAAGGAGCCTCAACAATGTTGCCAAGGTCGCCTGCGCCACCCCATCGCAGGCTCGTGGCCTTGCTACCGTCACCGACACTCCCGTTCGCTCGCACGGCGGTCTGCGTGACCAGGACCGCATCTTCCAGAACGCCTACATGCGCCACGATCACGGACTTAAGGGTGCCAAGGCACGAGGTGACTGGCACCGCACCAAGGACATTCTGCTCAAGGGTCACGACTGGATCATCTCGCAGATGAAGGAGTCCGGCATGCGTGGTCGCGGTGGTGCCGGTTTCCCATCGGGTCTCAAGTGGAGTTTCATGAACAAGCCTGGTTGGGAGAAGGACCCTCGTCCCCGCTACCTCGTCATCAATGCCGACGAGGGTGAGCCCGGTACCTGCAAGGACCGTGAGATCATGCGCGGCGACCCTCACAAGCTCATCGAGGGCTGTCTCGTCGCCGGTCGCGCCATGAACGCCAACGCCGCCTACATCTACGTTCGAGGAGAGTTCTACCTCGAAGTCGCCCACCTTCAGCACGCCATTAAGGAGGCCTACGCCGACGGTCTCATCGGCAAGAACGCCTGCGGTTCCGGTTACGACTTCGACGTCTACGTACACAAGGGTGCCGGCGCCTACATTTGCGGTGAAGAGACCGCACTCATCGAATCGCTCGAGGGCAAGCAGGGCAAGCCTCGTTTGAAGCCTCCCTTCCCCGCCGACGTCGGTGTGTTTGGTTGCCCCACCACCGTCGCCAATGTCGAGACGGTCGCTGCTGCACCCACCATCATCCGACGTGGTCCCTCGTGGTTCGCCGGCTTCGGTCGTGACAAGAACCAGGGAACCAAGCTGTTCGCCATCTCGGGACACGTCAACAACCCCTGTGTCGTGGAGGAGGAGATGTCGATCCCACTTCAGGAGCTCATCGAGCGTCACTGCGGTGGTGTCCGTGGTGGATGGGACAACCTGCTCGGTATCGTCCCCGGTGGATCGTCGGTACCCATCCTGCCCAAGCACAAGTGCGAGCAAGTCCTCATGGACTTCGACTCGCTCCGCGAGAACCAGTCCTCGCTCGGCACCGGTGCGGTCATCGTCATGGACAAGACCACCGACGTCGTCCAAGCCATCTCTCGTTTCGCCAAGTTCTACAAGCACGAGTCGTGCGGTCAATGCACGCCCTGTCGCGAGGGCACCACCTGGCTCGCCAACATGATGGAGCGCTTCGAGGAGGGTCGTGGCAACAACCGTGAGATCGACATGATCTACGAGTTGACAAAGCAGATGGAGGGCCACACCATCTGTGCGCTCGCGGACGCCGCCGCTTGGCCCATCCAGGGTCTGCTGCGTTGGTTCCGACCCGAGATCGAGGAGAGGATGAGGTTGTACCAGGAGAAGAACGGTCCCGTGCTGGTCGGTGGAAGGAGGTTGAAGGATATGGATCCGGATTACGCTTTCCCAGCCAACATGGGTACCCCGGTCTCGCCAAAGGCTCTCACTCAGTAAGGATGTTTAGATTGTGTTTCGGTCGTTAGCAATCTTTTCTCTCTTGTCTCCCTTCTTTGGCTGTGCCAGTGTGTGCGGGGGCTGACAACGCAGTCGATGGTCTGTATAATGCGCTCAGAATCAGATAAATCTTCTTGTCTGCGATCATTGTGAGCTCGAATGGCAGGCGCTTATCTCATGGTCAGGGACAGCTGTCCGCACGAGTCTTGTCGGTGTCGAAGCCTAGTCGAGGGCCGAAGGTTCCGTCGCAGGAACACGCACGAGAGATCGACAACTCATAGGTGCTTCTATTGCAGAAAAGCGTGGAGCATGCACCAATGCGTAGAACCGTCTGTGTGTGTCTTGCTTCAAGCGAGGCCAGTGGACGTGCAGCCATGCCGGTTCGCGCTGCTGCTGACGCGCTTCCGCTTTCGGCTGCAACCTAGCTCGGGGGCGGTGGCGGTGGAGAGACACTTGCGCCACGACAACCGCCCTTGCGAAATAGAGGGTGCGTGAGAGCCGGCAATGCCAGTGTGTGTGTGATCTTACAGCGTTACAGGGTACAACCTATTCAATGCAGCTGGAGTGTTACCTGATCAAAAAAGTCAAAGCCAAAAAGCGAGGCTCGGCGAATTCTTTTGTGTGTATTGGAATGAGACGGCAACGCGCGCGAGGCACAGGCGCGGCAGTGACGTAGCCTCCCTTCCTCAACCCCGCAAAATTATGCCTCCACTGGCTCCTCCCAGAGACCTGGTTACACAAGCACACACACACACACACATACTCCCTCTTCGCCGACGTAGAAGCAGTCCACGGCTGTCATTCTGCGCGTCCTCACTCAAACTCACCCTCTCTCTCTCTCTAGCCGAGATGCTGAAGGCTCGTCGAACAATAGAGCCTTGGGGGCAGCCAGCAGCGATGTGCTAATTTGGGCGTCACATGTCGAAAGTGTCGTTGTGTGTTTCTTTGATGACCTTGCCGAGGCAGACTGTGACGAATTGGAGTTGGGCGCTGGCTGACCAACACCTGTCGGCAACCTCCACGGCAAGGGATGTCTGTGCACACATAGTGGTGGGTGAGGCTCAGCTAAAAGGTTGGACGGAGCGCTGGTTCGAGGGTAGTATATAAGTTCTTTGACATGTGTTTGTAGTCCTGTCTATGTGACCATACACGTATCAAAGTCTCATCCGCTCGCTCGTACAACGCTTGCATTTCTCTCTAAGCACAAAGCACACACTACATCGCCATCGAGCATCTTGATTTCTCTCTCACCCCAATCCACCACTTGACAATGATGTCCTCAACCACGCTCCGTCTGACCCGAGCCGGACTCAGTCCCGCCGTCCGCACGCTGCACACCACACCACGCATTCTCTCCGCACGACCGGACACAGCCTCCGGATACCGCGAAGACCGCTCCCACGGACCCACCCCTGGTGCCCACCCATCACCCGAGATCAACGTCGCCCGCACACGCTCCACCGTCCGCGTCCTCGTACCCAGCGTAGCCGTCATGGCAGGTTTCATCGGCTGGTGGTTCTTCGGTCACTCCGACCGCGATCACCGAAAATCCACCATCGACGTAGGCCCCGACGGAATCAACAAGTTGAAGGGTAGCAAGGCTAGAGCCGCCCAACAGTTGAAGGATGGTGTTAGGAATGCTGATGGTAGTCTCGCCGACCCGAGTGCAAACAAAAGACAAAACTCTGTACTATAACGACTCTAAAGATTATCTGCTCAAAAGTCTTGCATCATCTACTAGCTCAATATCAACCGCTTTGCATCGTAGTCTTCCCCCTTAAGACCGCACCGAAGTTTGTGCTTCTCCACGTACCAACGGCCGTTCCAGCCTCGCAGACCACACAACAACATCGTTGGTAACCGTTTCATGAGAGTTTTCTTGCGTCTTGCAAACACCACAACATCAAAGAGAACGCCGCAAGTGGCATCAGGCCCTTCCAATCAGCTACTACCGCCCCTCCCCCTCTCCCACTCCATATCATCCTCTTCGTCATCGACAACATACACATCCGCATGATCCTGCTTCATCCTCATCTCGTGCAGCAGTAGCGTCTCCCCCTGTTGCGCCTGTTTCGCCTTGCTCGTGGCTCCTCCTGTGCTACTGCTGCTGCCGTTACCGCGCCGGGAGGTGTCTGATTCGAAAGGGCCAAATTCCTAGTGCTCGTCTCTCCTGACTTCTTGGTACAGACTTCGATCGGGCGGTCCTTCTGTTTTGCTGCCTCCGAGCATACGACCGATCCAGCGGAATGGACCGCTGGCGCCTAGCCCGAAGAAGGACTGTGCCGCTCGTCGTTCTTCGGCGGCTACGCGTGCGGCGGCTGCCCTCGCCGCACGTTCCTCTTCCGACTGCATACGGGGATGGCTCGAGATCGACCGACGTAGAGGTCGTGGCGTGAAGGGTGTATCTTGCGACCCATCTATGCTCGCACTTTGTCGAACCCTTTCCCGTCCGTCCCCTGCTTCATCGTCATCATCGTTGTCATCCTCATCCTCATCCTGAGGGACGTTAATCTCGTCCCCAAACAGCGCACCAATCTCCTCCAACGGGACACCGGACGTCTCTGGATATCCAAAGTAAACCGTCACAAACGCCAAAAGCGCGAAGAATGCAAGGATGATGTACAGCTTCCAGCCGATCTTCTCCATCAAGATCGGCGTGAGCTCTCCCACCAACCAATTGAAGGACCAGTTGGTGGCCGTCGCCAGCGAAGCGCCCTTGGCACGGAACGCCAACGGCAGGATCTCGGGAGGATACAGCCAGGGCACAGGACCCCAAGAATAACCGAACCAAGCATTGAAGACAAAGATGGAGCCGACCACGGCGTTTGGGGTGTAGTCGGCGTCGAGGTAGAGGAAGTAGCCGCAGGCTGTAAGGGCAGCGCCGCATCCGATGGCACCCGAAAGCAAGATGATGCGTCTACCCCAGAGGTCGATGAGGAACCAGGTAGGGACGGTAGCGAGGGTATACAGGATGCCGTTTACGCCGGTCATGAGAAGAGCGTCGCGTCCAATCCAGCCGGCAGATTCGAGGATCATGGGCAGATAATAGCAAACGGTGTTGATGCCGATGAGCTGTGCAAACATCTGCGCGGACATGGCGATGAGCGTGCGGTAGCGATACTGAGTGAGCATGCGCTTGTACGAGTTGTCACCCTGCTTGCGGAGGTGAAGGACGTTCTCTTTGATCTCGCGAAATTCGAGCTTTGCACGCGGCTCGTTGGGATCGCCAGCACCGTGCAGATCGGCGAGGACTCGCATGCCTTGATCGTCCATGTCCTTGTCGAGGAGCCATCGGGGTGATTCGGGAAGCAAGACGGAGCCGAAGGCCAAGGTTGCACCAATGATGACCTGCAGACTGAGCGGTAGGCGCCAAGAGAGGTCGCTCTCGATGAAGGAAGCACCGTAGTCGACCCAGACGCTGCTGGCGTAGCCGACGATGTTGCCAGTGAATTCTATGCAGGCGAGCTTGCCACGATTCTCGGCTGGAGAGATCTCGGACTGGTAAGTGGGGACGATCATGCTGAGCACACCGACGCCGAGGCCCGAGATGACACGACCGATGAGCATGGTGTCGTAGCCGGAAGTAAAGGTCTGGATGGCACCGCCGGCGGAGAAGATGACGGCGCCCCAGAAGAGGGTGTTCTTGCGGCCAAAGATATCGGCGAGTCTACCGCAAGCCAGACTTGTGACGAGTGCTCCCAATTCGAGCGAGGCGACCAGCGTGCCGATCTCGTAAGCAGTAGGATGCTTGAAGTAGGCCTTGAAGTAGGGGCTGGTGATGATACCGCTCATGACGCCTTGGTCATATCCGAAGAGAAACACGCCGAGGGAGGCAAAGCATGTGACGAAAAGCATGAGCGCATCACCCTTGATGCCCATCTTGGCGAGCGGAGAGGTGTCGTTGTCCATCGACACGCGAGGCGCTCGCACGGTGCCGTTGGAGCGAATGGAGCTGGCGGTGTTGGAGCGCTGCCGGGAGTGGCGGTGAGCCCTGGGAGTTGAGGAGCCATTCTTGTAGGTGTTTCGCTCCACCTCGCTGGACGGGCGAGTGGAAGAGCGCGACTGATTTGCCGACATACTGAGCACCTCGGGATGGTTAGTAGTCTACGGTGCGCGTACTGGATGAGCGCGCCGGCAAGAGGCAGCTGGACTCAGGAGTGCATAACAAGAGGAGCGTCGAAGAGCGAGCGCCAGCGTCGAGGAGAGGACAGGATGGTGAGTGTGGAAGGGAGTAGGCTTTGGCTTAAGGTTGACAACGCCAAGTCACAGTGTTCGGCCTTGTGACAGATGATTGTGGGGTGTCGGCTGCAGCCAGCCCGCAGCACTGCATCTCAGAATGACAGCATCACAGCTGAGAGAGAGTGCACGGTGCCTCAGCAACCAGTTGATAAGATTTTAATGCTCTAATGTTAGCTTCCTTATTGTCACAATCGACTCGAAAAGACACGGACGCGTCGGTGCTGTGCTGTGCTCTGCTGTGCTGTTGATCTCGAGCCTGTGTTGCTTTCAATGTAAGCGTGACACCGCCGTCGAGCGGAAAGTAGTGTTGGTCTCGATTGTATGCAGGTGAAGCGATCCGAGCTCCTCATACCGGCACTGTCAGAACGCCAGCAAAGAGCAGGCGCCGTCCTTGTCTGCCCACCATCACCTTCCAGGACACACGTTCGGTACTGAACATCATCTCATACCCTTGCACGATACCACCGCATACGCCGAACGGTCAAGTTCACGCGTCGTACAAGCTCAAAACCAATCGCAAGGTGGACCGTCCACCGACAGACGTAGCCTTCATCCACCCACACAGAGATGAAGTCAGCGCCTTGATCATCCTTCCGTTGAATTTCGGTCAGAACAACCTCCGTCGACACGCGGGTTCAATCGGCACGCAACATGCATAACATTCGTCCGTCGCGCGACGGGCCTGCTGCGAACCCGTCGACATCTTCGAACCGCTCCGCGGACGCATCATCTCGATCTTCAGCGTCGCCGCCCTCGTCGTCGTCATCATCGTCGCACAACATGCTGCCTCCATCACAGTCTACGCTTCGCTTTCCCTCCCAAGCCGCGTCCACCTCTAATCCATCTTCGAGCCACGCACCAACACCGCGTCATAGCATGCCACCTCCAAATCCTGCGAACCCCCCCGCCAATGGTCCCGCTCCCGTCTCCGGCCCAAGCGCAGCGAAACCATCCTCCGCACCTCCACCGGCATCGAACACGACGCTTGGCAACTATCAGCTGGGCGACTGCCTTGGTCGCGGCGCGTTCGGTTCCGTCTATCGAGGGCTCAATTACATGAACGGCGAAACCGTCGCTGTCAAGCAAATACAGCTCGGCAACATTCCCAAGGCAGAACTCGGCGAGATCATGTCCGAGATTGACCTGCTGAAGAATCTTCATCATCCCAACATTGTCAAGTACAAGGGTTCTGAAAAGACCAGAGACTACCTCTACATCATCCTCGAGTACTGCGAGAACGGCTCGCTACACCACATCTGCAAGCGCTTTGGCAAGTTTCCCGAAGGTCTCGTCAGCGTCTACATCTCTCAGGTGCTCCAAGGTCTCATCTACCTCCACGACCAGGGTGTCATCCATCGTGACATCAAGGGCGCAAACATTCTTACCACCAAAGACGGCTCCGTCAAGCTCGCCGATTTCGGTGTCGCCACCAAGACGGGCGCAATGATCGAAAACGCCGTCGTGGGTAGCCCCTACTGGATGGCTCCCGAAGTCATTGACCAAAGCGGTGCAACCACAGCAAGCGACATCTGGAGTGTTGGCTGCGTCGTTGTGGAATTGCTCGAAGGAAAGCCACCGTACCACTTTCTTGCCCCCATGCCCGCTCTCTTCCGCATCGTCCAAGACGACTGCCCGCCCCTCCCCGAAAGCGCATCGCCTGTCGTCAAGGACTTTCTTCTCCACTGCTTTCAAAAGGACGCCAACTTGCGAGTCTCGGCTCGCAAGCTTCTTCGACACCCTTGGATGGTCAGCGCTCGCAAGCAGCTCGAGCAGCTCAAGTCAGGCGGCTCTCTGCGCATAGGAGGAGGCGTCGCACTCAACACGCCCCACGAGGAAGCTGTCAAGAGCGTTAAAGAGTGGAACCAAGCCCTCAAGGAGCCGCCTAAACAGGCCCATCAGCGACTGCACGAGCCGGAGACGCTTCGAGCGCCAATGCAGCCGAGTCTGCGCCGCGTCCATGCCATCGCTGCAGAGCTCGGCACTGCAAAGCCGCTCGGTGGTCGCAAAACGCGACACACTAGCCGTCCGACATTGCCTGCCGACTTCAGCCCGCCGCCCGCCATGCCACGCAAGGAACCAGCCATGGCACCTGCTCCTCGCACCTCGTCCAAGCTGCTCAGCGCTTTGAATGAGGCCATGCCCGCGTCGTCGGCCAACGTCTCACCTGCGACAAACAGCAAGCCTCCAATTTCGCCGGCCAACGGATCTGGCTTCCGAACGCCCATTGCCGGAGCTGCGCCCGCCACCTCCCTCTTGAATCATCGTGTCAAGCTCGCAGATCTGCAGCAGCCAGAGAACGTCGATGACAACTGGGACAACGACTTTGAGGACAACATTACCACCACCAAGATTGCCGCTGCTCTCGAGAGGACAGCGTCATCCGAAGGCAAGGACGGTGCCGCACCCCAAAAAGGTGCCGTTTCCGTGGCTACCCTTGGCAAAGTCCCATCCTCTGCGTCTCCGCCTGCTGCTGCGCAAGACTCTCCCACGCCATCACCGCCTCGTCAAGGAGCTTCGGAAGCCGAATTTGATCAGCGTACCATTCGTCCAGTCGCCGCTCCACTCCTCCGCAACGCAGCTTCGTCACCTCAAGTCCGCGACTCTCCTGACGCAAGCAAGGAAAATGTCTCGCCTCTAGCCAGCTTTGCGAACGAGGATGACGGTGACGACGACTACTCCGATCTCGTCGGCGACGGGCAGGAAGATGTTCTCAACAAACGCATCCGCGATCTTCAGATGAAGAACAGCGTCGGAAAGCATCTATTCCATCCCAACGACCTCACTCGTATCGCCAATTCAGGCGCTGCTGGAAAGACAACATCCTCATACGGCGATCTGAGTCCAGTGTCCCCGTCTCGCCCATCGGACAGACGCAGGCAAGCCTCATCCGAGGCCTTGCGAAGCTCATTGGCCGCCTCCGCAAGCCGAGTACCTTCCAATCCTGCAAGTCCACAGACCACGATGCGCCTTGAGAAGGACGAAAAGTGGAAGCAGATGCGCCGTACGCTGGGTAAATACTCCGAGGATCACTCTTCCGAAGATTACTCGGACCTCTTTGGGAAAGCGGACGAGGGCGGCAACAGCAGAGACGACAGTGTCGGCAGCGGCAACACTCTTCAGCTCACCGCTCGCCTCTCAAATCGGTCGTGGCTTCGCGACGACGATGCAGACGAGGATGACCCATTTGCCGAGATCGACGAGGGTTTCAATGCAGAAGCCGACCTCGAGGCCAATGTCGCGAGAGACCAGCACGCACGCATGTGCGCTTTTGTCACCGAGTTGGTCGAGTCGCTCGACACGCGAGCTGGTGTCGACGAGCTTCTTCAGGTATGCGAGGATATCGATCAGGTCCTGACTGATATGCCCGAGATGAAGTCTCAGCTTCTCGCCTCACACGGTGCGCTGGCGCTCATACAGCTGCTCGAGGCAGCCACGGATCGCGAATTGGCTACCCGGCTGCTAGGTATCCTCAATCTCGTTATCTTTGAAGACCCGGAAGCCCAAGAGAGCCTCTGCCTCATTGGCGCCATCCCTGTCGTCATGACATTCACCACCAAAAAGTGGCCGCACGATCTTCGACTCGAGGCTGCGCACTTTGTCTTTGCCATGTGCTCGACATCGCGACTCACACTCCAATTCGTCCTCAGCTGCCGTGGACTACGCACGCTGGTCAACCTCATCGACGAGGACTACCTCGAACAGAAGGATCTCGTCTGGATCGGCGTTGGTTGTGTCAGCAGTGTTCTCGAGCTGCAGAGCCCTGCCTCGCGGAACGACTTTTGCCGCATGCTGGCACAGGAGGGACTCCTCGAGCCCCTTTCTTCCGCGCTGCAGAGCGTCATCGACGACGATCAGGACGAGTATGCTTCAGAGGCCCGCGCCAACATCCTTCAGATCCTGCTCATCTACTCGCAATCCGACAACTTCCTCAAGAAGCAGGTTGCTACGCGCAGCGTCCTTCGTCGTATCTTGCGTTCGGCATCTAGACTCGACGCCGAGTCTTTGACGCTGATGCTCAAGATCGTCAAGAATCTGTCCATGTCACCGACCATCTTGGATGAAATGCAGAACGCCAACACGATCGAGATCCTCACCAACATCCTCTCGCAGCATCATGGTGGTTCACACGGCACGGAGATGTCGAATCAGGTGCTCAACACCATGTACAACCTCTGTCGGCTGTCCAAGTCGCGCCAAGAAGAAGCTGCGCAGGCTGGCATCATTCCTCAGCTGCTGCGCGTCGCTCGCACGAATTCACCACTGCGACAGTTCGCACTCCCCATCCTGTGCGACTTTGCGCATGCAGGTAAAGCCACGCGAAAGATGTTCTGGCAGCACAAGGGTCTCAATTTCTACCTCAAGCTGCTCGAAGACCCGTACTGGCAAGTGTCTGCGCTGGAGAGCATCCTCGTCTGGCTCCAGGACGAGTCTGCACGAGTCGAAGAGGTCCTGCTGCAGCCTGCGGCGATCGAGGCGCTGCTGTACGTGTTTGCTACCAGTAAAGCCAACTCGTTTGAGAACCTGTTGGAACCCTTCGTCAAGATTTGTAGACTGTCGAGCGGCGTCGTGGCTGCCTTGGCACGCAACACGCTTTTCGTCAAGAGACTGCTCGAGCGTCTCTCGCATCCCAAGGCGGTTGTCAGACTCAACCTGCTGAGGATCACCAAGATGATGTGCGATCTAAAAGGCGACAGCCACTCGCCGCTGGTCGAGCAGCTCAAGGTGTACGACGTGGTGGAGAAGCTCAGCAGCAAGGACACTGCGGTGCTGGTCAAGGAGCTGGCGCGCGATATCCTCGGACAACGTCATCTGCAGCGGGAGGCTGGCAGGTCGGTCAGGAGGACACTGTCAGATACTCATGTGGGAGAGGGCGCGCGTGTCTCGAGCAGCCCGAGCTCGATGCCGCCGCCGCTCGGCAGCGCAGCGCTGGGTCAATTGGTGGGTATGCGAGCATCTGCTCCGTATCGACGCAAGATCTCAAATGGCACCAGTGGCGATGCGGGGGACATGTCTTCCAGCAGCGTTGCCAACTCGACCATCCACGAGCGATCCATCTCGGGCTCATTGACCGGATCATCTCCGTCGACATCGCTGGCAGGCACGCCTTCGTCCGCGCGAAGTTCGGCGATGCGCAATCTGGTCGGCAGGCTCGGTCAGCCACGTCGATCCATCACCCCGAATCGGGAGTTGATGCTGAACGCTGCCGCGTCTGGGTTCGGTTCTAGAGGTGCGTCGCCACTGATGCCCATGGATCCACTTCCGCAGGGCGAGGCAGTCCGACTGAGGCAGAACTCCCAACCGCAGATGGGCTCGTCGAGAGCTGCTGGAGACGCATCACCCGAGTCGATGTCAGCGAGCAGAGACTCTGTCGAAAAGAGGGCCGCTGTCAGCAGCCCACCGATGGGCCATCTAGGCTTGTCGCGCGCGATGAGTCCGCGCGTCAGAAGCATCTCGAACGAGATCAAGCGCGCAGCTGCTCTCGCCAATCTTGCCAATTCGGAGAATGCATCGCCTCGGAAGAGTGCTATGCACGTATCCGTCGATGCCAGTGTAACGAGGGGGAAGATGGAGGGATTTGAGGATGAGGATGACGATGGAGGAGAGGTATTCAGTGCGGATAAGGATCGGACGATGAGGCCTCCGTCGAGGAGGCCGATCCCTTCACTTCCGGCTAGTCATCGCTCGCCTTAGGATGCAGATGGACTCAAATACAAATGGAACAGCATTCGTTGGCAGTCTGCACACTTTTTCACTAGATGGTCTACGTGTGATTGGGTGTGATTGGGTGAACTTGAAGAAATTGATTGAGTGTTCTTGAAGATCAACCGACCTCGACGTTTCAATGGTGATAAGCGGGTGCATTAGGCTTGACGATCTCCCAAGCCTCCTCCACCTTGTCCACCACTTCCTTCGGCAGCTCGTCCTTCTCAAAGTCCACCAGGTTAGGTCCAATATGTTTCTGCGAGCTAGCGCCGATAATCACCGCATCTCCGTACTGCTTTTTCAGCTGCGAATGGTGCATCATCCATCTCAGCGCGATCTCCGCCAAGCTGAGCCCGTGTTTCTCGGCGACAGGACGGATGAGGTCGAGAGCTTGGAAGTAGTGATCGTTCCAGTACCTCTTTCTGTACATCTGACCTTGGGCACGTTCGGGATCGAAGCGAGATCCCTGTTCGGGTTTCGAGTCGGAGTTGGAGTGGTTTCCGACGAAGAATCCGCCTCCGAGCGGGTTGTATCCGTAGAAGGCGATGTTGTGACGACGCAAGGTGGGGAAGAGTTCGGTCTCGGCGGTGCGCATGATAGCGTTGTACAGACCCTGGTATACGGAAGGTTTGACCCAGTTGTGTTTGTTGACGATCTGCATGATGGATTCGACTTCGTCGGCTCGGTAGTTGCTGATACCGAATCTCTCGAACTTTCCTTGCTCGAAAGCGTTGTTGACAGCACCGAGCGTGATATCCAAATCGACCTCTCGATCGGGGGAATGCAGATAGAACAGATCGAACTTTTCCGTTCCCAGAGTTTTGAGACTATCGTTGATCGCTCGATCGATGTCTTCGGCTGAGAAGGTGTACTTGTCCTTGGCGGGGAAGTTCGGGTTGCGAGCACTGGGGAACGACTTGGTCGCGATCTTGAAGGAGTGGGAGGAGGAGGGGGTGGTGAGACCGAGTTGTCGAAGGTAGTCCTCGGATGTTCCGGCACCATACATGCGCGCGGTGTCGAGTTCGGTGTGCCCGTGGGAGGCAAAGATGTCGAGGATGGCACGACACTCGGAGAGATCGTGGACACGGGCCTGTTCAGCGCCAGGGGCGCCGAAGGTCATGCATCCGAAGACGATCTTGACCGCCGTCTTGGGCTGAGGAGTGGCAGCAGTGGAGGATGACATTTTGACAGGTGTTGATGCTGGGGCTGAAGGGAGTAGAGGGACAATGCGCGGGAAGGTGCTCTACTTATGACTGCTCGTCGGTGAGAGGGAGGTTTGCGGGAAGCAGTGGAGGTAAAACAGCCGCGATGTGGAGATGTCGGTGGAGGAGAGGAAGGTGGAGGAGGTCGTTGTCTGGCGATGACTGCGCCGCGGTGTGTCAATTGCCGTCGATCTGGAGGACGGCAAACACAAAGGCAAGGTCAGAATGAGCCGCCGGCTAGTCCTCCCGTATGGTCAAAGCGCTGGTGCCGTGGAGGATGACACCTTTTCGACGGCTATGCATTGACCTGTACCAGCGCGCGATATCTGACACCAGCAGACCATGACTTATGTAATCATGACTGTGGACGAATGCCTCCACCTCTGAGAATTTCAAGTCACTCAACACTGTGACTTTTTTTCTAGTGACACTCTCGATGAACCCTCCTCAACTCTGACGTCCTGCTGCTTCAACGCCAAGTAGGCATCGTATCGACAGCGGTGTTCCGAGCTCCGATACCGCAGGGAGGCGGCTGACAGCATGTCGTCGTTCAAAAGGCGGGTCAACCCAGCTTCGGGTTCCACAGCCTCCCTACCCTTACCTGCAGGTGTCAAGCCGTCTTCGTTCTCCTCACCCGTCCCACTCATCTCCACCGGCGTACCCGCTCTCGACGACCTGCTCTCTGGCGGCGGCCTCTCTTCCAGCTCCAATCTGCTTCTCATTCCAGCTACCGGCACAGCTGCACAGTCAGCAGCACAGATCGGCGCGTCAAGCTCGACAACCGCAGCATCAGCAGAGACGGATCATGCAGCTAGAGCGGCAGCAGAACCGTACGTCGAACTGCTCCTGGGGTATTCCGTAGCGCAAGGCATTGCAGCGGACCATGTGGGTGTGGTGATCGCTGAGGACGCCAAGGGGCTGGTGAACGGTCTCATGGCCAGGGCGGGAGACTTGGACGAACAGCTGTTGAAGAGGATAGGTGCCAGCTCGGCGAGTGCGAGAGTGGGGCAAGAGGAGGACGCTGTTGGGCCGTCGGAGAGTCTCAACACGGTCACAGATGATGATGAAGCTGAAGGCCCGGACGCGTCATCACCCGGAAGCACAGAGGGTAATACGGAGGGAAAGGCAAGCGCTGCACAGAGGGAAAGGGAGATGAAGATCGCTTGGAGGTATCACAGCATGAAGCAGTTCAACACCACGGTCAACGAGCCTGGCAGCAGCAGCTCGAGCTCAGAGCCGACACCTTTCTGTCAGACTTTCGACCTCAGCAGACGCATCGACACCCGCATCGTTCAGCACGCTGTCGAACAGAAGAAGCTTGAACTGGTCGATATTCCGACAGTAGCGGCGAATTTATCCAGCTCTCGAGGAATCAACTCTTACGAGGTTGCGTTCAAGCACATTGAAGCAAGTGCTCAACGATGTCGCCAGCAAGTACAGGCCGCTTCCTCCACCACCGCACCTCCCGTCCTGCGCATTGCGATCCGCGCACTCGGATCACCGGCTTGGACCGTGGCACGTGGTCAATCTCAAGAAACCGAAATCATCCGCTTCCTACATCGACTCAAGCGACTCCTTCGATCCCTATCTTTCCCCGATACTTCACTGGCCTCGACCTCACAGTCGCGCATACCAATTCCATCCATGGCAGTCATCAGCATCTCCTCGTTCCTCCTCTCCACCAGCACCTCACCGACCAACCTCCCCCACCGCATGGTGCATAGCGTCGACTCGGCCGTCTCCATGAGCGCCTTCGCCTCCTCTCCATCCCTTCGATCCGCATTCACAGCCTACACCGGAGCCTTGAAGGTGCTCAAGACGCCAGCAGTGGGGACGCTGACCAACCCATCGATCCGATCCTCCGTGCTACGGGGCATGGGAACGGGTGCTGGTGCAGGTGCAGGGGGCAAAAGCACAGCGGGTGGTGGGGAGGGCGGTGCAGGAGGAGGGGAGAACAACTTGGCGTTCAAAGTGAGGAGGAAGAGGTTGGTGATAGAGACGTTGCATTTGGATGTGGAAGGTGGGGTCAGCGAGAGGAGGACGAAGCCGCCGAAGAACGGTGAGGTTGTGGAAAAGGGGGGTAGGGGTGCGACTGCAAGCCAGTCGGAAGGATCTACGGTGGCAACAGAGGACAAGAAGCCGCAGAAGACGATAGCGGGTGCGACAGGCGGCTCGTCGTTTGTTCGAAGGCAGCCAAGTGCCTCTGACCCGCCAACAGCGACAGGGTCGACGTCAGGCCCGGCAGCAACAACGCCGAAAAAGTTTGGCGGATTGTCGTCGCTACGACAGCGTGGTCTGGCTGCTGCTGCCGCAGCCACAGGTGCTCAGACCGGACAGCCCGGTCCCACGCAAAAAGAGTACTCGGTAGAAATCGATTCACAAGCTCAGCACCACGGACACTCCCATAGCCACAAACCAAAGACCGCCGGTCCAGCCATCAACAGAGCCGCTAATGCACGAGCAGAGGATCTCGAATTCTAGGTCCATTCTCAATACAAAACGTCAGTCTCAGACAAGTGTGACCAGCCGACACAAATGCAGTATTCGCACCAAATCGCTTTCGCGTTTCAATATGGTGACACCTGGATTGCAGTGACTCACGTTTGGGCTTGCACTAAGTCAACTTCGCGGATTGGACGTCTCAATTGCATGGTTTGCAGCTTCGAATGCACGCACAGTCATGATTCTACACCAATTGAGACGTCCAACGCGCGAAGTTGACTGAGTGCAAGCCCAAACGTGAGTCACTGCAATACGGGTGTCACCATGTTGAGACGCGAAAGAGAGTTAGTGCATCCTCAGAAGCAATCGCACAGCAGTATATGAAAGAAGTGAAGGTTTATTTCATTCCTTAATATGTGGGAAGTGGGGAAAAGAAAACGACGAGAAATGACGTTTGTTCTACATGCTAGAAGTGGGCTGGGGCAAGTTAGCCGAACCGACGCTAGCGAGCGAAGGAGCAACGCTCTGGGAAGCGGTCTGACTAGCCGACTCGGTCGAGACGATCGAATCGCTACCGCTGGCCGTTGCGGAGGGCGTAGCGGCCGAGTCGGTAGGGGCACCGGTAGGAGCGGCTGAGTCGGTGGAAGCACCAGTAGGAGCGGCACCACCGGCGGCGCTACCGCTTGCGGTAGCACTGGCCGCCGAGGACGAAGAAGAGCCAGACGACGCAGCGGTAGCCTCAGGCGCCTGAGCCAGGGGGATGTTGACGTATCCAACCGCGGGACCAGCGAGAGTGTTGTCATCCGTAACAGTGCTGTTGGACGTGGTGACGACAGCGTACATCTGACCACCGGTGAGGTTGCTAGGCAGAGTCACCTGGGAAGAGTTGCCCTCGAGAGGGAAGAACTGCGGTCCGGTGACACCCTGGATGATGGCGAGGTAGGTGCTGTTGCTTCCAGAGCCGGAAGAGGTGGAGTTGCTGGAGTCGTACGAGACGGTCACCTGCTGACCAGGGGTGAAGGATCCGTTAGCTGCGCCACCGGTGAGCGAGAGGGTGGGGAAGGCGGTGAGGGGCAGAGTGGCGTTGTCAGGGCACGAGGCGATGAAAGGTGCTGCCAGGGAGTACACCTGCTTGAAGTCAAGAGGTGTAGAGAAGGCACTGGGAATGGCATTTCCACCATCATTTGTCTGACCAATGATATAACTTTGGTGCTGACCCTCTACGACAAGGATTGAGCCAGCTGCCTCGAGGTAAGCCTTCTCAGTGATGTTCTGAGCGGCGCCGAGGTATGCCGACACTCCAACTCCCTCGAGAACACGAGCGGTGGTGAGGAAGCTGGCAACATCAGTGACAGAGCTGAAGTTGTAGGTGCAGGCCGGGACCGACTGGTTGCCAAGAGCCTCGGTAAGGAAGGCAACGTGGGACGCCTCATCTAGGCCGATGGCGTAGATTCGGTTTCGAGTGGAAGCATTGTAGCCAGCATTCTCAAAGTCGGAGGTGGAGAGGTTAGAGAGCGACTGATTGTAGAAGGCTGCTTCGAGGTGCTCGAGCGTGAGCGCGTACTGGAGGATCTGCGTGTCATTGAAGGTGGTGGTAGCGGCGCCTGTCGCGGTGGGGGTGGCGGCCGAAGAGGTGGTGGAAGCGGAGGCGGAATCGCTCGATGCAGTAGGCGTGTTGCTGGGGCCGGCGAGGATAGAGGAGACAGCTGAAGGGGTAGGAAGTCCTCCAACCGACGAGCTTGGGTCCTGACGGCGCAGGAGGGGCGATGCCGAGGCAGACGAGGCTGCTGCAATAGCGAGAACAAACGACGAGCTGAGCTTCATTTTGAACGAGGGGACGAGGTGGTGGTTGTGGAACAAGATGCATACACGACGATTGGTTATATACTCTCGGGCGTACACATCCCCGCATGCGCAGGACTGGCAGCCAGAGCGGAGGGTCTAGAAGAATCCAGAGGTTTGCAAAGCCCGGGGATAATGGCACAGACATCATTGTGCACATCAGGACTGAATCCGGAGGAGAGAGCAGTGTTTGACAGGCCGCTGAGTTCCAAATGCTGAGTCCGGGTTGTCACGAGGGGATACGCGGACACAGCCTTCTCAGCGTTCTACGGCAAGAAGTTTCAGGGATTAGGCAACGACCACGCTGCTGGTCGGCAGGCCGGTGAGCGTCATTGCGGCGCGCGTGCATTCTGGGGTGCATACCCCCGTCGACGGACGAAATGACGAGCTTCACGTCCAGACCGGTGCCTTAGCCAACGTCACGGCACGAAACCGAGGTTGGCATGTGGAAACGACCTCGATGATCGACTGTAGCACAGCCGATGATTTGCGTTCTGTCTCTTTCAGGCAAGCTTCCTGGACCATCACGCTCCAGACAGGGACGAGCGGTGAGCAACTGGAGTCGAAACTTTGCGCAATTGACATTTGCCCCGACTGGGTTACATCTGAGACACCCCGGCCCGTGCAAGCTTGCCGACGAAGTCTTCCGGTTGCTCAACAGAGTCGTGTGAACTCAAAGGGGCAGCCACGCCCGTCATCCACACTGTCTTGCGCCGCGGAGAGACAGGCTTGACGATGCTGGCCTCGGCAATGCAGCCTGACGAGGGGCGGTGCGGCGACTGTTGCCTGCTCCGCGAAGAAAGGCTCGAATTTGAAACGTCAAATACGGCAAGATTAAATGAGATTGACGTCATGCTGTGTGGTGTGGCCATGCGACGACTCGTGCGATAATTATTTGTGGCTGTTAGGGTCAAAGAAAATCAGCCAGATCGAACTTGAGATCACACATCTCCCGATTCCATGCTTCTGCCTTGTGGTCTATCAGATCAGACCATACATCTTGCTTTCAAAACTATCCATCGACATCTGCGGCCATAGAGCTGTGAAAGCACCGCATCCCGTCCGATCTGCGAAGTTAAGCACAGCATCGCCTAGTCAGTACTGCGGTGGGGGACCACGCGGGAATCCTAGGTGCTGCAGTTCTTTTTTCTTCGTTTTTATGCCCTTCTTTGCTGTCTGCGGCTTTTAGCCGATGGTAGCCGTGTGGACTGCAGATACGCCCGCTGCTTAGCGTGTAGACGAGACGAGAAGGTGAGATCTGTGGTACCTGCGTCTTGCACTGAACGTACCTGAAGGGTAGTATCCTGATGTACTTGCTGCAAAGCGTCTCTTTCTGATTCCGACCCATCGTCACGTGGTCTATCGGATTTGGAAGGAGGAGGTCGGCATCTCGTTGGAACAATGGACTATTTCCGACAGGAGCTGGTAGCAACTCGGTCTCGCACTGTATTATTCTGCCGCGAGAGGATGCCTGTCTTGAATGAACAGATTGATGCGTCGAGCTGTTTTATCGCACGACCGTAAGCAAGATGCATTGAATAGGGAGTGTGACCAAGCTTGCTTGTGATCGGTAGCGCCCACATCGAAGGAAACGCTGGTATCGCGGGATGACTCAACGCCAAGCGGGAAGACTGTCTGAATTTCTGCGGTGTTGTCGGCGCCGACGAGCGCCGGTCAACTTTTGTGCCGATCGGAATTAGGGCAGCCGCCACAATCACCCTACCCTTCGCGCGGCCACATGATCTGTCCCTGTCAAGTCCACCTTGACCGCGGATCTTCCCATTCAAGCTGCCCGCGAACATAATCCCGACCCATGGCGATCAGAGCCAGTCGCTGCCGTTCTTCAATCCGATTATCTGTAAGCGCGATTGATTTGTGCCATCTCAAGAAGGAAAGAGAGACCATGTGATTGGCCGACGATGGATCCCGTAAGGTTTGCTGTTTGCTGCGAGCGGCCAGAGACCCTGCATTTGAACCGAAACTTTTACGATAACAAAGAGATAACGTCTTCCCGAGATGGCATTGAATGAACTGCAATCCAAGATTCATGGAAAAGACGGTCAAGAGTCGAAAAAGGCTCGTGACTCGGATGCTGTCGGCGAAGAACGCCGCCATGGTGAAGTTACGTTCCTGATCATTGCTTGACGTACAAGTTGAGTCGATTGATTGACAGCCGCTCTGATTGGTTTGCCCGCAGCGTGATCACTTGAGACGCTCGAGCTGTCAAGACCTTAATTTGAGCTTGTCTGAACGATTTTTCGTGGCTTTTTTTGGGCGAGTGGCGGACCGGCTGGTGCGGTTGCGGTTCAACGTCGTATCCGAGTTTCGGTCATGTTGAGCGTCGAGGGTCGAACCTTGATTTGCATGCATGCTCATCTCGTGCCACCCTTCCAACAATGGACCCTGGACCATGCGACAGTAGCTAGCGGCATGCGCCACCTCGCCTGACCCCTTCAAAGACTCTCGATTGCACAGGCTACTCTTGTTCTCGCTAATCGCAAAACGAGCCTTTGCTCGAGAGATAGTCGGTCTTTACCCCGCAAAAGGACAGAAGAGACCTATCTCCTATCAGTCTCGCTCCTTCACAAAGATACCGACCGCAGTCCGAAGTCTCCCTTGCCTTGCCCTTCATTCCCAAGGTCCTTCACCCGACTCCCATCTCCTGGATACGGGTTCCGTTCGATCCTGATTGTCGGTCAACAGAAAGGCTACCCACCGGGCATCATACGGAAACCAGTGGCGTGGGATATTCGAGCTTGCCCTCTTCATTTCTGACAAGGCGCTTCGGTTGTTATCGAGCGTCGCAACGCAAGTCATCCCACAAACGGACAAGCCCGCTGTTGTGGTCGCATTGCACCTGCATCCCGTGTACGTCTTCGCGCATCCGGGCGCTGCTCCTCGTTTGCCGACAGTCGGTCGTACACGACCTTCATTCGCTTATAAGTAGTTCCGCGTTCCTTTTGGGCCTCCTCCATTGTCCGGCATCGACCCCCTCCCACCTCGTCCATCTGCTTGGTCCTTCTCCTCCACTGCTGTCACTGCATCAATCCATCGACGCGTCTACGCCCACATTTACCGAAACACCGGCCACCACCGTGCCACCCGAGATCGAAGATCCACTGGTGCCCCCACGACATCTCCTCTCGGCCTCGCTAGCCTGATCTTGCCACCATGGGCGTCCTTCATCAAGCCCGTGTCTTCCTCTGGGGCGAGAAACCCGCCACCAAGCTCGAACAGCGTCTTCTCCTCAAGATCGACCTCGTTGTGATGACCTTCTGCACGCTCCTCTTCCTCTCCAACTACCTCAACCGCGCCAACTTCGCCAACGCCTACCTCACCGGTATGAAGGAGGACCTCAAGTTCCACGGCAAACAGTTCAACCAGGTTCAGTCCATCTTCACCGCCGGCTACATCATCGGTCTTGCGCCCAACAACCTCATCCTTCAGGTGGTACCACCACGATTCTGGTTGCCCTTCTGCGGTGCGATGTGGGGCATCTTGTCGGCGTGTTTGGCGGCAGCCAAGACGCCGGAACAGGTGATGGCGATTCGATTCTTGCAGGCACTGTTTGAGTCGTCTACCTTCACCGGTTGTCACTGGATCCTGGGGTCGTGGTACAAGGAGGAGGAGTTGGGCAAGAGGTCCGGTATCTTTTCGACCTTTGCTCAGATGGGTTCTCTGTGGTCCGGTGTGATGCAAGGCAGGATCAGTCAGACGATGAATGGTCATCTCGGCCTCAAGAGCTACCAGTGGTTGTTCATCATCGACTTCGCCCTAGCCATCCCCATCGCCCTCTTCGGCTTTCTCCTCTTCCCCGACACACCCAGGAAGACGAAAGCGTGGTTCCTGAACGAAGAGGAACGTCAGTGCGCCGTGGAGAGGTTACCGCAGCACGAACCGACCAAGATGTCGTGGGATCTGCTCAAGAGGGTCTTCGGGAGGTGGCACGTGTACATGTTTGGAATGTTGTTCGGATTCGGAAGCATGTTGGAATCGGCAGGCATCAACAGCGTGATGGGATTCTGGTTCAAATCGATGAAGTTCAGCAAGGCTCAGATCAACTACTATCCGTTGAGTCTGATCAGCATCGCCATCGCGCTGACGCTCGTCGCCGCGTACACGACGGACTACGTAGGTAGCAGATGGTGGGTCAATCCGGTGATGGGTGTCATCGTCAGCGTCAGCTCGATCATGCTTTTGGTGTGGGACATTCCTTACGGCGCCAAGTTCTTCGCCTTTGCGATCCAGGGCGCGGGCTACATGGGTCAAGCGACCAACTTTGCCTGGGCAAACATCGCCTGCATGGAGGACGAACAGGAGAGAGCGATGGTCCTGGCTGCCATGAACGTCTTTTCCAATGTGGTCAACTCCTGGTGGAACTTTACCTTTTGGGCAGCAACCGATGCTCCCAGGTATACAAAAGGTTGGATCAGCATGTTTCCCCTGTCGGTCTTTGTTACCGTGATTGCGTTGGGCATCGTCTATTTGGAGAGGAGGGACAGGAGGAGGAAGCTCGGCATGTATCCCAACGGAGAGGAGCAGGAGGTCCAGGGTCATGTGGTGACGTTGCCGGCGGAAAAGGGGACTGTCGACGTCGACGACTCCTCGTCAGATGGCAAAGGAAAGCCCTGATTGAAGGGAGGCTGTTCTTGCTCAGTGCTTGTTTGTAGATGCTTGCTTCGTTTTCAGTGGTCATGTATTCGTTGTTGTGGCTCTTGATGACCTTTGGTGGTGATGGCTAAAGCGTGCAACCGAGAAAAGATAAGGTGTGGTTCAATTCCATCCGAGATGCATGACACGCAATCTTCACAAGCTTGCTCGTCGCTTCACCACGAGACGAATGAATCTGGCGGCTCAGTCTCAACCTAAAAGGTACACTCGAATCGGCCTTCAGCAGAAAAATGATGCATGCAGTGAAAAGGCCACGTCTATGCGACTGTTTAACGGTAACAAATGAGCAATAGAGCCAACAGCTTTCACCCGCATCAGCGCTTCCTCTCCTTACTAAACTTGTACAGCTTCTTGGGCTTCACCTTCTCCCCCTCCTCATCCTCATCATCCGTATCCTGCAACGCCAACCCATTGCTCGTCATCTTGCCCTTCATCACTGCATCCGTCAGACTCTCCTTCTTCTTGGCCTTGACCACCCTACTGCTTCCACCTTTGTGCGTCATCAACGCCCTTACGAGGTTCAACTTTTCGGCAGCAAGTTGAAGCTGATCGAGACGCGAGTATCTGGATGCAAGCTCGGTGGTGAGGTAGCCAAGATGTTTGTTGCCCTTTTTCAGCGATGATGATGATGATGATGGGGATGATGTTGTAGGTGTTGTGAGATCGTCTTCGATGTCAGAGGCGTCAGATGGGAGGTCATCGATCCAAGATCTGTCGAGACCTTCGTCGATGTGGTCTGATGGCAAGGTCGAGCTGCTCGCCGAAGCTGACTGATATGACCGTAATGCATCAGCATCGTCTAGCCAGACCGTCTTCTTCCCTTGTGCACCGATCAATCCACTGCCCTGTCTCTTGGGCCCCTTCTTGGAACCTTCCTCCAGCAAGCCTGCTCTCTGCAATGTCGCCCGCCTGTTGTCCTTCTCGTCCAACCACTCGCTCTTCAATCCAGCCACGCTCGGGGCGATCCTCTCCACCAACCCCTTGATCCTCTTCTTCTCCGCAATGATCTGACCCCTCACATACCCCACGTCCTGCGTCTTCAGCAGCGCCACAACATCATTGTCCAACTGTTCGCTCGGTCGTGCGTGTTGATGGACGCCGTTTCGTGTGGAAGAGTTGATCATGCCAAAGTAGAATTCATCCTTGTTGCGCATAGCTGCTTTTTCGGAGAGGCGCTTGAGCATGTCGCGCTTCTTGTGGTGATCCTTGGCTCGCAGTACATAGTCCTTGTGCTTCTCGAGCAAGCCCAGCTTGGCTCGACCGACGGGTTGAGATCGCTCTTTGTGGTTGCGCCGTTGTACGGCATTGCGCCATGAGGAACCTTCCATGATGGACAGATTATGGTTGGGGGAGTGAGAAGGAAAGAGTGTAGATTGACGTGAAGGTTGAGTAGCTCGACGAAAGTGCCTCAGGTTCGACCTGTGGCGCAGGTGTTATCAATCTGTCGCTCCTGTAGAGGAAGGCTATCGTAAATGCGGTGGGGGGCGGTCGAAAGAGGTCGATGCTGGGGTATGAACGAAGGTGGATGCTGGCGGTCAAGAAGGTGAAGTCGCCTCGGGAACTGCGCATGCCGAGGCGAAATGTCAAACCTTCCAACGCCGCCCACTCTGCCTCTACCGAGCCAAAAATTTCCCAATGCACGTGACCGGACCCTGGATTGCGAATTTCTTTCCTACCTAGACTTGGCCGCCCTAACATAGCAGATTAACTTTGTCGCTCGCCTTTCTTCTCAGCCTCCGTTTCACTGTGCATCGACTCAATCGCACACACAACACTTGGGCCTCGAATGTCTGCACTGGTGGTAGATTGCTACTTGATTGAAGGTTGAGCTAGAGGTCCTTGCCCACTGTATACTGACTCAAATCAGTATCAGGCTCCAACTGACCGTTCTTCTCATTCCTCCTGGCACTGAAGAACGTATAGCTCAACACCACATCGTCCACGCCCTTTGTGGTCGGGTCGTCCAACACGTCCGCGTCAATGAAGAAGAACACGGGAAGATCCACCTCCTCCCCCGCAAGCAGCTTCTGCTCTTCGAAGCAGAAACATTCGACTTTGGCAAAGTACGGAGCGATCCTGTCTGGAGAGACGTTGTACGTGGCGATGCCGATGATGTCCTTGTCCGACTTGTTTTTGGCCGTGTAGAATGCGAGGGCCGTTTCACCGGGCAGGACGTGGATCTCCTTTTGAACGGGTGTGAAGGACCACGGGATGGCATCGGAGGCGTCGGCGTTGAAGGTGACGCGAATGCGTTTGGTGGGTGCGTTGGTGGAGGGGTCGAGATATGCGGGGATCAGGCGAGATGGGGCGAATCGCTCGGGGTCGGTAATGGGCGTTCCAGAGAAACCGGTTGCGGAGCAAAAAGCGCGGTAGAGTGGGACGGCAGCGTAGCTGAAACCCAGAGTGAAGACCATGAGTGCGGCCGAGTACATCATCAAGGACTGATTGCGTCGTTTGTACGATTCTCGTTGCCGACGCTGAAATTCTTCGGTAAGGGCTGTGGCTCGCGAGTTGGGTGTGGTGCCTCCTGATGGTGGCGGCGAGGACGAGGCGAATCTAGCTGATACGTGTGATCTCAGCGAGTTCGCTCTCCCAGAAATCGCCGAAAGACGCCCAGCAGCCATCGACGGTCTGCTAGCCTCCATGGCCCACGTATGCGCCATTCGCAACAGTGGCGAACCCCGCTGGATGCCCATGGGGCTGCGTCTGGCGCAGTGTAGCGCCGAGAGCCCCATAGACGATGTGGTCGCTCCGAAAGTACCGGCTCTCGAGACTGTCGGTCCTATCATCTTGTGTATTATTCGTTTCCGTAGTTGGAGTTTTGTTGAGGACGGGTGATGGCGAAGGTCAAGAAGAAGGGTTCATGTCGGCAAAGAAATTACGCAACCATAAATTCGCCGCGAATCCTAATTGCCGATATCCGATTGTAAAGGCTTCGGATGTAACATTTCCAAATTGCGCAAACGTCGCTGCCTGGAAGAAATGCGGCTGCCCACGGACCAACGTCTAGACCCTGCTTCTCTCTCCACCTTTGATCCTGACCGACCACGACCTGCCTCACCATCGTCCGACGTCTACGGTCGCTAGTGTGTACAACAATGCCGACAGCAAAGCGGAAAGCATCCGCGTCTCCAGCTGCCTCCGAAAACAACGACGATCCAGCAGAGCTCGAGATCGACCAGCCGCTCGACGATGACCTAGGCGAAGCAGGTCCATCGTCACCACACAAACGCGCCCACGTACCTCCCTCGTCATCTCTCCCAACCCTACAGAGCGATCTTTCACATCTGCCACTCGACATTCTCGAACCTCTATTGCCGCTGCAGAAACGACGCTGCCTCGGCACGCTCGTCGGTAGCCTGCCACCGGTGCCTGCGGAGCCAAGTCAGCCAATAGCGTCCACCTCGACACTTGCAGCGGACGAGGACGAGGATGCTGCTGTGTTCACCGATCAAACTCGCTCAAAAGATGTGGATGAGAGTGCGAGACTGCAAGCAGGCGCGTGCGTGGGGCTGGAGGAGGAGTGGCATACATTACACGGTATGCTGTACGCCACGGTCAAGGCGCAGGAGAGCAACAGCTGCTTGCTCATCGGTGCTTCAGGTTCCGGCAAGTCCTTGCTCGTCGACTCGGTTCTTGAGTCGATCCGCAACACCGATGATAGTGGTGCTTCCGAGGACAGACCTTACTATCACGTCCACCTCGCAGGGACAGTGCAGATCAACGATAGGTCAGCCATGAAGGAGATGGCGCAACAGCTTATTTTGCAGGGCGCATTCACAGAGGAAGATGTTGGCGACGCTATCGATTCGCCAAATATGGATGACGAAGATGAAGACGGCGTGCAGTCGCGTATGGCACCGGCTGGTGATCATGTTTTTGGCGGCGACGCAGAAGACGAAGATGAAGACGAAGCAGCACAACTCGCTGCGGCTGCTGCTGCAGCGGACGAACAGGTCGAGATCCAAGACGAGCTCGCCGGTGCCATTCTATCCTCTCTCAATAACATCATCGCGCATATCATCGCGCTCCTCTCCAACACCTCGTCCACTTCATCGTCCAACGACAACTCGAATCCAAAGGCAGGCAGGAAACCCCTCATTATCACACTCGACGACTTTGATCTGTTCACCGCTCGACCCCGGCAAGCTATGCTGTACTGCCTGTTGGACGCGGTGCAGGCGGCATCGTACGGTGCAGGGCTGGCCGTCGTCGGGCTGACGAGTCGAGTAGATACGGTGGATCTGCTGGAAAAGAGGGTCAAGAGTCGCTTCTCCCATCGGATCTTGCACGTTCGACCACCGGCGACGTACGAGATCATTGAAACGATCGTACGCAATGCTCTGGCACCACTGAATTCCGGCTCGAAAGCATTGGCTTCGATCCCACCGGGACATGTCGAGACTTTTGTGCGGGCATGGCGAGCTGACTTCGATCGACTCTTCTCCCACCAGCACTTTCGAGATGTCCTTCGCGGCATCTACGAGCTATCCAACGACATCCGTATGATCTACCGCATCCTCATCCCGACCATCTCCTCCCTCACCCTCCTCTCCCCCTCCATCGATCTTTCCACACTCCTGTCCACCGCGGCGAACGAAGTCTCCGACGGAATCATCCACATCCTTCGCGATCTCACCGAACCCGAACTCGCCCTCCTGATCGCCATAAAACATCTCCAGACACGCGATCGACAGATCTTCAACTTCGAAATGTGTTACGATGAACTTCGACGCTTCGCCTCTCGAGACGCTAGAGAACGTCAAGCCGCCTCTTCTTCCGCCGAAGGTGGCACTGCAGGTGGGGGAGTTGCTGTTTCAACGCCATTTTTTGCGGATCGAAAGATCGCCTTGATGTCGTTTCACTCGTTGTTGAGTTTGGAAATCGTGTTGCCGGAGAACTGGGTTTCGACCCTGACGATCAGCAATCCGGTGGCGAAACCGAGCGCTGCGCCAGGTGCGGTGGGCAGGTCCAACCAGAGTACCATCAGGAAGGAGTTTTGGAAGGTCAGATGCATTCTACCCCCTCAAGTCATCGTCAGTGCTGTCAAGGATAGGCAGAGACAGGTCGCCGTCAGTTCGAGTCTCGTCAAATGGGCTACTAGTCATGGCTAAGCAAGAACGCGATATGGATCGCGGTTTTGCGATCCGCCTCAACATCTCACTCGATCATACCCTGTATCACTAGATTGTATCATCTCATCATCGTTCAATCCAAAGCGCATTCGCCCATTCATCATCAATCCTTTATCACTGTGTCATTGACTTTCACGCAAACGGCGGCACCAGCGGTCCCAACCTCCTCCGACTCCTCAACCCATTCAGCTTCCTCGCCATGACCTTGATCGTCGTCTTGATGGTCGCCACATCCGGATCGCCATCCGTCCTACCCCTCGCCGCCAGGATCCTCAGCTGCTCGCACAGCTGGAACCACCGCGTGCTTGCTCTCGTCACATCCTCCATCTCCGGGCACCGGTTAAGGTAGTGAAACGGTCCACCGCCGATGATGCACGTCTGGTCCGAGATGACGAACGACTCGTCGTGCATCGCCTCCGAGTCACCATCGAGGCTGCCAGGCGGTGGGAAGCTGTCGCCTCGCATGCCGTGCAGTGAGGGCGACGGCGAGGGTCCTATGGACGAGCGTGGCGAGCCACCACCGATGCTGCTTCTCGAAGACTTTGGACGCCCTACTTTGCGGAAGTTGACCGCAACGTCGACATTCAGCTTGCTGAGCTCCTTCTTTGATACGTCGATACGAGCCGGACTGCCGCCCGAGAAGGCGGACAGTCGCGACAGCGCAGCAGCGACACGGTTCGGTCGTGCCTGTGAAGGTGATTGGGTCGACGTCGAAAGCCCTGCGCTCCTCGCAGACACGGTCGACGTCGGCGGTGGCATGACGTCTGGATCGACAAAGACGTCCGACCTCGTCCCCGCACGGATCGAGAGCTTCGAGGGTCCATATGCCGGCTTGGCGCCCTTGCCATCCATAAAGTTCTGCATCATCAGCACCAGATTCGGCGACGGCGTAGACAGCGGATTCGCATTGACGAGCTGAGCGACCTTGGTCAAATCAGCATCGCCATGAGCAGCCACAGCAGCCACCCAAGCCTCGCGCCGCGCTGAGTCCCTCAACACATCAACGGCCGCGCCGGGAGTCGTCGGCGCTGGCGGAGGCAGTGACTGTGTGGCCGCCTCGGGCGAGTCGGCAACGTCAATCACTGCCGCTGCTGGCCGGCCTGCTTGCGACTTATTCCACATCGCTATAGCACGCGCCCACGGCTGCTGACTCTTGGGTCGGCGAAGTGCCATAACCATGTACGTCGCCGTTCTCAATAAAAGCTCCTGGATGCGCCTCCAATCCAGAGCGATCGCACCACCGTGCGGTAGCGCCAAGATTTCTGCCGGTACATTCTCCTCTGCGATGATGCTGAACGCTGCTTCGAAAAGGGTTCGTGGCGCGTTGAACGACTGCATGTAGTAGTTGATGTGCGTGTCCGTCAGCTGGAATCGCATGTGCGGCGGAGAAAGCTGTGGCACTGCATTGCTCTGGGACCGATCCGCAATTTCGAGCGCAAAGTCGCTGTCGTGCAGCATCGAAAGCATCACCCTGCGCATTGCCGCCAGATGACCCGGTCGCACTTCGCTGATTGGCAACGAGAGATCGAGGTCACCGAGTGGCGCCGGGCGGGGCAGGCGGTGCTCGGCGATCAGGTCTCGTTGCAACGATGCAAAGCTAGGCGCGGAAGGGTTGCTCTTCTTGCTTGCTGCCAAAGCAGCCGCAGCAGCGGTTTTCTTTGCTTTAGCAGGCTTGGCCGCATGTGCAGCAGTAGCAGGACGTGCTTTCATGGCGGCAACGGTAGGCGCAGACAAAGCACTTGCAGCCGAAGTCGAAGCAGCGTAAAGCGCAGTCGGGTCCGCCGGAACCGAAGGCGCCGGCACGGGTGCAGTGGCCTTTGCTGCGGCCGCGGCGGCAGCCGCAGCGGCGGCGATGGCAGCGTTGGATGACTTGATCTGCCGCTTTCGCAAAGCCTGCACGGCAGGAAGCATCTCGTCCTCCGCCAACACGGCATCGATGAGCTCGTGATCTTCGTCGTCGCTGGGTTCATCCACGACGGTAAAGTCCTCGTCGACGACAGGCTTGGGCACCTTCTTTGGACGGCCAGGACCTCGTTTAGCTGGCACAGAGGATGCTTCTGCTCTTTCGTCCTCGGCGAGCATGGCCTTGATGCGGTCTCGACGCGACGCGCGCTTCTCCTGCGTCTCCCTCTCGTGCGCCTCGGCAGCACGCTCGGCGGCATCTTCGCGGTGCTTCTCCAGCAGATCGGCCCAGAAATCATCGTCAACCACCGTCGTAGGCGCAACACCGTCGGCATTCGCTTCAGATCGATCGCTCTCCCAGACTCGAGCAAAGGAGAATGTCTCCTTCGGTCCGCCTCCCTGCTCGGCGTCGACCTCGTGGATCTTGTCGTCATCCTCGACAGCATCCTCGCGACGACGTAGGAGCGAATCGAGATCCTCGTCGGAATAGCGGACGTCGCGCTCCGACTCTTCCGTGCCGCCTTCGGCAAATAGGGCTTGTGAACCGAATTTGAGGATGGACTCGAGCTCGACCGGTGTCTCGTCCTCCTTGTCGAGGTTCTGAACGATGAGGTGGTCCAGCATCATCTTGCGCTTGGCGGCTTGGATGATCCTCTCCTCGGCAGTTGCTTTGCACATGAGCGTAAAGACGAGCAGCTTCTTGGTCTGTCCGATTCGGTGAGCTCGGGCAATGGCCTGCATGTCGACGTGCGGGTTCCAATCGGGGTCCATGATGATGACCGTGTCCGCAGTGGCAAGATTGATGCCGACACCACCGGCGCGTGTGCTGATCATGTAGATGAAGTAGGGCGAATCCGGCGCGTTGAACGCGTCGATGCCCTTTTGACGCTGCTTCTGGCCAATCTCACCGTCGAGACGGAGAAACTTGTACCCCTCTCCGCGCAAAAAGACCTCGACGATGTCCAGGTTGATGACGAACTGCGAAAAGAGCAAGATACGGTGACCCTCAGCTTTGAGCTTAGGGAGCAGCCTTTGCAGGAGCGACAGCTTGGCGCTGGCATCGATCAATCGCTGGTGCTCCCACGTCGCCTCGTAGTTCTCTTCGCCCTCGCGTGTCTCGAGATCCGGCGCAATGAGGTAAGGATGCTGGATACACTTGCGCAGCTGCATCAGGGTGTTGTTGAGGTTGGCGATCATCGACTTTTTGCCCTTCCTGGCGCCCGTCTCGCGAGATGCTGAGAGGGCCTGGATGTCTTCGATGTTGGATTCGAGGATGGAGCGATAGATACGCTTTTGGATCGGGCGCAACGACGTTGGCACGATGAGTTCGATCTTGAGCGGCAGATCCAGTACCTCCTTCTTGAGACGACGCAGGAAGTATGGCCTCAGACGCTTCTGCAACTCCTCAGTCACTTCAGGCTTGAGCACGCTGTATTCGGCCTCGAGAGCCTTGACGTCCTTCCACTGGCCCCCAGGCTCCAGCCAGTTGAGCAGGTTGAAGAGCTCGGCAACGTTGTTGTTGAGCGGGGTACCCGTCATGATGATGCGATGCTCGGCGTGAAGCTCGTTGAGCCGCTTCAGCAACAGCGACTTGCCGGATTTCAGATTCTGGCCTTCATCGACAATGATCACGTCCCAGCTCTCCACCTTTCGCAGGGGGAGGGAATCGAGTCGGACCGTGACTTCGGCAGCGACGACGACGTGAAATTTGATGGGCCGAATGGATCCGCCGGTCTTGTCGAGCGTCTTTTTGGAATGGAAGAATTCGTAGCGCGAGATCATGTCTCGCGCCTCACCCTCGCCCCAGAAGGGCACGACGCGAAACTGCGGCATCCACTTTTCGAACTCGCGCATCCAGTTTGGGAGCGTTGAGTTTGGCACCACCACAAGGAAAGGTCCGGCTCTGCCTTCCTTCCAGATGGAAGCCAGGAAGGTGATGATCTGCACCGTCTTTCCGAGACCCATCTCATCGGCGAGGATGCCTGGTTTTTCGTGATACCAGCCGTAGCGAAGCCAGTTGACACCTTCCAGCTGGAAGTCGATAAGGTCGCCACCTTCGATGCAGTGCGCCTGATCGTCCAGCGCTCGGAAGCGAGAACCGGATTTAGCGAGGCGGCGCTCCCGCTTCGCACGCTTCTCTTCGGCAGTCAGAGCAGGGAAGGTGACTTTCTGTGCAACGAGGAGGCGCGGTAGGCTTCCTGAGTTTCGTAGTAGATGTCGGACTGCTTGCGTCGCGTAGGAGGCTCTTCCCAGGTGGAGCCCTCGTATGGCTGGTCTTGCCACTTGACGAGAAATTTTGCTACGTGCATCCAGCTGCGGAGGTAGTCCGAAGGCTCCAGCTTGTCGAGGTGAACCACGTCCGAGTCGATGATGTTGCCGCCGATCTCGTCTTCGTCGTCGCCCTCCTTCTGGACGGAAAAGTAGTACTTGACCGCCAAGATGCGGTCCGGCGTCTTCCACGGTTTGGGGATGCGACGCTGAGCGTCAGGCACAGGACCAGGCGGGCCAACGTCGACCTCGCCCGTCTCGTCCACCTTGAGCGTCTTCTTGACCGATTGTGTGCGGACGGGCGTGGATGGCAGCGCGCGACCACCGCCGAGAGCAAGCGAGGCACGGTTGCGGCGCGCGCTGTTCAAGGCCGAGGCCGACTCGATGAGCTCGGCAGGCTCAAGTTCGAGGCGACTGCCCTTGGCCAGGAAGTGGTGGAGTAGAGTCTGGTGCAGGATGCGCAGCCAGTCGTGTGGGACCCACTCTGTCTCGCGGAACGACTTGTCCTTGAACTCGACGAGGTACTCTCGCGGCAGACTCTCACGTGGCGAGAGCGTCGCGTAATCGGCACGCTTGGCCTCCTCGTCATTCCATAGACGACGATCGAGCTGGCGCCAAGCAATGATCTGGTCAACTGCAGGCCAACGTTGGCAGTCGGTGCATAGCCAGCCCGCTTCTTGAACAGACTCGGCAGTGTGGTCGCGGGAACGATCGCCATCGGTCTGCGAACGAGCTAGGCACTCGTAATGCGTAGCGCGGGAGCATCGCTTGCAGCGGAACATCCTCGAGGCTGTGAGCTCGGCTGGTGGATCCGGGTACTGCTCGAGCATTTCGCTACTGAAGCTGAGCTGCTCCTGAACCGAGCGCTCGCCGCTGACGTTGGACTTGCACAACGTACAGTACGAAGCATAGCCTACGCAGTCGGGGCAGGATTCTGTATCGACGACTTCGTCGATGTCAATGTAGCGGACAGGTGAAGGCGCGGGTGCCGATTCACCGAAGACGGATCGATGGCGCCGAGCAGCCTATTGATTGATGCCGACGAGGATGGCCTTTTGTGTGTCTTGTGGAAGGCAGCCCCAGTGCCAAGAGACGGAGCAGGTCTGGCATTCGAACCAACCTCCACGATCCTCGAGCACCTCGATCCACTCCTCGGCGGCCTGGACCGCGGTCAGCTTGCCCCACGAGTCGTCGATGATGTTCTTGCGCAAACGGCCGCGAGAGTCGACGCGCTCGGGCGATCTGTTGCGGAGCCTGTTGGCTTCGCGTTTGGTGGCTCGTTTGAGCTGCGAGAGCGCCTTGTTGTAGAGAGGCAGAGCGGGACCGTCATTGCAGCGCTTGCATGCGGGCCAGTGCTTGTCGATGGGTGCTTCTGGAGCCTGATACGGCTCTGCTTCCTCGACCGATGAATCGGATTCGGCATCTGTGATCACCTCGACATCGTCATCGTCATCGCCGTCGTCGTCACGAACGTCGGAAAGCTCCGAAGGACTGTAAATCGGCTCGATGTCGTCGAGGGTGGGGACGACGGTGAGGTCGTCAGGAAGAGCAGATTGGTCGATCTCGATTACGGGTACCTCGGCGGACGTGGGCGGGTCGATATGAGGCACTGGAAGATCGCTCTGCAATGCGAAACGCATCTTTTGTGGGTGCACAGGCTTACGCCGCGTACTTGTGACCGTTGTTTTGCGGCGTGGCCGCCCGCGGGGCTTTGAGCTCGCCTTGGTGAGGCGCTGACGCTTGGGCGCGGATCTGGATGCGGTGGAGGTTTTGCGCTTCGGTCCATAATCGGCATCGGATTCCTCGAGCTCATCCTCCTCCTCATCTTGATCATCGACCTCTGCCTCGCCGTCCGAATCGTCGTTCTCGTCCTCGTCTTTGTCCTCGTATTGCTCTGTACGTGATCGACGTTTGCTGTCGCGCTTGGATGTGCGACCTGCCCGGTTCTTTTGGGCACGTTTTCCGAAGTCGTCGTCGTCGTCGTCGCTGTCATCGTCGACGATGAAGCGAGTGAGCGCCTTGGTGGCCGTACGGGATGAGGATTTGGCAGGCGTACTAGACGCTCGTGCTTTGCCCTTCTCCTGAGTGCGACGAGTCGAGCGGCGGGGAACGCCGTCATCGTCGTCCAATTCGTCGTTGAGATCGTCGAGCTCTTCTTGCAAGTCATCGCTGTTCTGGCCGCTAACTTCGCCGTCATCTAGGTCGGAGTCACTGTCGGCAGCATTTGAAAGCGGGACAAGGCATTGACGCGGTGGCGCTCGACGGCCACTTGTCCTAACGGCGAGTGTCTGGGACCGAGTCGAATTGATCCTGGTGCTGGGACGAGGTGGTGCGCTGGTCTTGGCCTTGGAAGCATTCTTCCCTCTTGAGCCGACGCTCCGATTTCCTCCGTTCATGGAAGCGATGATGTCGTCAATGTCCAGGTCGTCGTCGCTTTGCTCGTCCTGATCGTCATCTTCGTCATCGGCTCGACGAAGATTGCCTCTTGTTGCCCTTGAACCGCTTGCACTCATCGAGCGTGGGCCCGTAGCACCGGCGGCTGTCCTCCTTGAGCTTGCAGACGGTGCTGCCTTGGCCTTGCCTTTGGAGGCCGCTCTTCGTTGAAGTGCGAGAATGTCCTCATCTTCTTCAAGGAAGGAGAGGTCGATGTCGTCGACCTCCTTTTTGGTGCGCGCTGCACGAGTGGCTGATGGCATGTCGACGTGGTGTTGGCTGAATCGTGCTGATCACATCCAGCTCGATCGGAGAGAGAGACGAGCGTGTGAAAGTTGGTGGATGCCAATGCTTCCGGCCGCGACATGTGTTCAGCGACAAGCATCCGGATGTGAGAAGCGAGCATTCCGACAAACGAAGGTGATGAGATAGATGGTTGAGAATCGATGAAGCCAGCAAAGCCAGAATTTGCCAGGGTCCAAGCGCAATGCAGTCGAGCTCCATTAAAACAATTTTAGTCTTTCTCACCGCAGTACGGCAGTGACGGAGGAAGCGCCGTCTGCTCTGTGTGTCAGTTGACTGCTCAGCAAGCACGTTGATTTCGGACGTTCCACTCAACGCGACACGCGACTCAGCTGGGCAAAAAGCAGGGCAGCAGAGCGCTTTGGCGAAAGTTGGTTTGTAAGTGTGTGTGTGTGTGTGTCTTTCTTTCATTCGCAAAGTGTGGCAGCTCCACTATGTTGCGTCGCTCGTCACGCTCCTCATCTTCCCACGGCTTCCGACAGCACCATCTCCAACCCAGTTCTTTGCCTTGTCGTCTCGTCAGTCCACCTGCTTCACGCACGCTGGCCCTCAACCAAGACCTCAACCTTCCGAGTGCGTGCCACTGCCATTGTCGGATTGGCCGCTGCTGATTAATCATCCTCCGCCGCATCCCATTACTACACATATCCCTACGACGGCAACGACGATGACACAGACGTCCGGATCATCGGCTGCTCCTGGCGCAGCCACCGTCACAACAGGCTACGAGCTTCCATGGGTAGAAAAGTACCGTCCGCTGCGACTCGACGATGTGGTCGGCAACAAAGACACCATCGATCGGCTCAAGGTGATCCAGAAGGACGGCAACTGTCCGCACCTGCTCATCTCGGGTCTTCCTGGTATCGGCAAGACCACCTCCGTTCTCTGCCTCGCACGCGCTCTCCTTGGCGATGCTTACAAGGAAGGTGTGCTCGAACTCAACGCATCCGACGAACGAGGTGTCGACGTGGTTCGCAACAAGATCAAGACGTTTGCACAGAAAAAGGTGTCGCTCCCACCTGGAAGACACAAGATCATCATCCTCGACGAGGCCGATAGCATGACACCCGCTGCCCAGCAGGCGTTGAGAAGGACCATGGAGATCTACTCCAACACCACCAGGTTTTGCTTCGCCTGCAACCAGAGCAACAAGATCATCGAACCCATTCAATCACGTTGCGCCATTCTGCGATACGGCAAGGTCAGAGACGAACAGATCCTGAAGCGATTGCTGGAGATCTGCGAGATGGAAAAGGTCGAATATTCGGACGAAGGCCTGGCCGCCATCATCTTCACCACCGAGGGTGACATGCGTCAGGCGATCAACAACCTTCAATCCACCTGGACAGGCTTGGGCTTCGTCAGCCCGGACAACGTGTTCAAGGTGTGCGACCAACCACATCCCTTTCTCATCCGAACCTTGCTGTTGGCCTGCAAGAAGGGCGATGTGGACGAAGCCATGGAGAAGCTAGATGAGATCTGGGGTAAGGGTTATGCAGCGGTGGATATTGTCACGACGCTGTTCAGGGTGGTCAAGACGCTGGATGGCATTCCGGAGGCGACCAAGTTGGAGTTTATCAAGGAGATCGGCTGGACGCATATGAAGATCTTGGAGGGTGTGGCGACGGTGGTGCAGCTGGGTGGGCTCATCGCGAGGTTGTGCAAGCTGAGCATGGATCCCAAGCAATTTCAAGTCTAGTCGGGCGTCGACCCACATCGCATATTTGTACTTTTATCCTGCCATTCAACCACACGCTGAACCACTAAACACTCCACGATAGGACTCACGCAGGTCTTTTTCAGCGCGAACTGGTGACTGCGATTGCGACAATGTTAAGGAAAACGAGCGGACGCTCCGGCCGGCTTCGGGCTGAAGGACTGCGATAGAAGACGAAGCAAGCAAAAAGTACACGAACGAGTGATCAAACGAGAACATGGTATCAAGAGGAGAAGGAACGAAAGTCAGATGGAAGCAAGAGGAGCCTTAGCCGGACCAACGCTTGGAATCAGCAAATGGGTCGCGACGAGACGACGAAGCGCGATCATAATCAAAGTGCTCTCCATCGGTTTCGCCACGCTGCAGATCCGCGTAGGGCGAGTAAGGTCGACCGGCACCGTTGGTGCCCGCTGCATCCATACCCTTGGTCGCAGGGTTGTTGTATGCCATGGTGGAAGAGCCGTCGTAGTAGTTGACGTCGTAGGCACCGTGTTCGTCGCTGAACGGTGTGACAGCTCCACCGGCAGGGATGGGTCCGACATAGTCGTCGACGTACATGCTGTCGGTGATGCGGTGGGCAGGTGGGAAGTCTCCGTCGCCCTTACCACCGCGAGCAGATCCGTAGTTTCGGAGACGAGTTGCGGAACCACCGTGAGCAGAGCCAACGGCGGCATACGGTGCGACCTCCTGCATGGGCGGTTGGACGCCCGAAAAGTCACCCTCTTCTTCCGTCAGCGTGCTCATCGGTCGTCCGGCTTCGAACGAATCGTAGCTCTCGCGACGACCTGCGTAGCCAGTAGCAGCTCCACCGACGGCAAGAGCAGCACCGCCAGCCGCAAGAGGGGGACCGACCATGCTGCGGTGGTGGTAGCTGCTTTCGACGGGCTGCATGCGCGGATCGTATCGCTCCGCATTGCGGTTTCGAATGCGTCGGATCAACGTCCACGCAATGGCAATAACGGCTACCGAAGCAGCGATCACGACGATTGGCACAACGACCTTGGTAGTGCCATCGCTGCCACTCGAAGAGTTGCTGCTCTTGGCGGAGCTGGCATTGGTAGCAGTGGCAGAGGCAGCCGCGTTTGCGGCGGACCCATTCATCGTCGCGGCCGCAGCACTAGCAGCGGCACCGTCGGCGCTCTGAGATGCAGCAGCGGCAGATACAGCACTCGCGGCAGCAGCTGACGCCGACGCCGATGCGGCGGCCGCGGCCGAATTGGCAGCATTGCTGTTCGCCGAAGCAGCAGGTGTGGCACTGGCGGCCGCCTGCTGCTGTTGCGCAGATCCCCTGTTGTTGGCGTTCTGATTGGCGTTCGAGTTCTGGTTGGTGTTACTGCTGTTGCTGTTGTTGTTGTTGTTGTTGTTGGTCGTCGACGCGGCCGAGCTGGGACGGCTATTGTTACTAGCTTGGGCGTTGTTCGCTGGTCGGCTGCTGGCAGGTGCAGGTGCTGGGCTGTTAGAGGCGGCAGGTCTTGACGATGCAGGAGCATTGTTGGACGATGGCCTTGCTTGGCTTGCTGGGGCTCTCGACGTAGATGCAGGAGGGGCAGCGCTGGAGGCGCCCGACGATGGAGGGGCTCCACCTTGATTTTGGCCACCTGTCAAGGTCAATTGTTAGGGGAAAGAAGCAGCGATGGTGTCAGCGTTCGCGTGTCCGGGTCCGAATGAGCAGCGACGATGGTGATGGTAGAACAGATTTGGGTTGGGTTGGGGGGGAGAGAAGAGCAGCCGGCAATTTTTGAAAGCGGGAGGGAGGAGAAGGATAATCACCAGCACCGAGGACGTCACCGACGATTCCGCGACGTTCTGTATTGAAGAGCGTGTTTTGTTGGGATGGGAGGGTGTTTGAAGGCGTCGAAAGATGAAGTGAGAGTGGGCATGTGCAGAATCGAGGGAGAAGAGTGGGAGGAAGCAAAGAGGATGAAGAGGATGAGAGCAGAGGAAAGAGTGTGGACGAAGGTGGGGGAGATTCAGGGTTAGGATGAGTGTGACGGGAGTTTGTTATGATCTCGCAAGCATCTCTCAAGGGAATTTTGGGATGTACGATTGGGGGAGGCTCGACCAGAAAGGTTTGATGCAGCGCTCAACCGCAAGCACAGGCTGCGATAAGAGCTAGAGGCCACGAACTGGACTACGTACCAAGATCTTTTCCGAGACCGCCAATGATGCCACCCAGGCCGTCGCCGATCGCGTGCACAAGACGCTTCTGCACTTTGACCATGGAGGGAGGTTGTTGGCCGTGCAGCTGTCTGTCTGCAAGATCGCGGTGCGAGAGCCGATGGTGTGCATGTGAGGCATCCGCTGGTTGCAGAGAGGCGGCGACGCCAGATACTGCCATCGCAGAGACGGCGGCTAGGGCCGAGAGCTTCTTGACACCGACCATTGTCTGGATAGTGCGGATGAGGGCAATGAGATTGCGGGCGGCAGAGGTACGAATGTTTTGGGCTGAAACTGTGTTGACCTGAAAGTGTAGAGGAACAGCGTTGGTTTAGAGATTCAAAGGAGTGTCGTCAAGAGGTCGAAAAGAACGTGAAGGGTCGGGACGAGTGGCGCAGGGAGGAAGGGGAGGGGCGAGCAGGTGAAGAAACGATGGTGATGGTGGTGAGGATGGATGGGATTGGTGGTCACGGATGGACGGATTACGAGGAGAGAGGGGCACAGAATCAAGGCGCAAGACCGGCCACAGGATCGACAGGGTGCATGAAGAAGAACGGCCACGAGGGCAATGTGACAGAGGTTTGCTGACTGCGAACCACGGTTGCTGGGCACAGTCGGGCGTATATTGTAGCGATGCAGAGGATGACCAGGAGCGAGGCGCCCTGCGGGGAACGAGAAGACGGAGAGGGGTACTGAAAAAAGGGCCAAGAACAGCCCGACGAGGCGGGTCAAGGGATCTGCAACTCTATTGTGTAGATCCTTGCATGCATCAACAATCCATTTAGGCGAGGGGTTTTCCCCAGCTGCAACAGCCAGTTTGCGGGCGCAGCACCCTAGCGCACAGCATCGAGACGTCTTGCATCGTGCACGCTGTACACTGTACACGAGCATCCCTTCGCTGGCGCTTGCAAAGCCGTCGTTGGTTGCACAGCTGACGTCTTGCAGCAGCACTGAGTGAGGCGTCAAGCGGGGAAGACTCTACCGTGTACAATGTACCTGCTGTACACATACAGTAAACATCGACCGTCGTCGCACGAAGCGTTTTCGGTTGCTACGGATTGACAAGGATCGATTGTTGGTCCTAGAAGTAGACCTCGCTTTTTGCGCAGGCAGACGGCGCTATCGACTGGCGTGCAGTAGCCCAAGGAACTTTGGACCATTGTACGAACTTCGTACCCAAAAAGGACTCGGCGCCTGCAGCAGGCGTACGACACGGCGTGTGCATCGCGATCCGAGCTGTTCACCCGCTGAAGCGCCACCCGTGTTGGTTGCAGATCTGGAACCGACAGCCTGAAATTTCGAATGCAGATCCGAGGCAGTCGGTCAGTGTTCCGGTCGGAGTTTCCGAGACGAGAAGCCTCGCTTCTTGAAAAGAAAAAAAGAAGGAACGGACAGGCTCGGCTCGGCTCTGCAGGCAGTCCAGTCCAGCCATGCCATCGACGCGACAGACGGTGCGAGTCGGCGCCAGGCTCGCGCCTCGCTCTCTTGCTCTTGCCTCTGCCTTTTCTTGCTCGCTGGCATCGTCGTCAAGCGTGATCGTTGCTTTCATCCTATGCTGTTGCCGCGCGCTGTGATCGCAAAGAGCAAGTGCGCTTTTCGTCGTGTCTGGGGCGAGAGGCTGCGGCAGCGAAGGTGAGATCAGCTCGATTACTTACTACGAACATCTTCACGGGTAGAGATTGATGACTCGATACGAGGGCCGAGATGTCGTGAGCAAAAGAGTCTTACTGTTGATCCTCAAAAAATGACGGCAAAAATGGCGGTTGCAAAAGTACGGACCTTGTTGCCGTCAAGATGTTAAGCCCAAAGAAACCAAGATTGGGCTGTGAGATCGATCCTGCCACGATGAATTCTCCCTCCACCGAACTCGTGTCCGCTGTATGACGTCTTGTTCCTGACGGCCGATTTTGCAACCTTGGAGTCGGACCACCAGCAACGTGCTGGTCGGTAACCATCGCCGCATACGTTCGCTCGAGCGAACCGGATCCACTATGGCGGAGGGACGATACAAGAGCACTCGATCCAACGGCAACGAGCCGCAGACGCGGAACGAACTGTCGACGGGGCTCTGGCTGCTCAAGCACACGCAGGGGATCGTGACGACGGCGACAGCAATAGGCATCCTGCACCTACGTACTTGCCATGCCCTCTACTTCACAGTCGGCAGCTTGGCGACAAGTTTCAGCGCCAAAGGTCTCAAGCGCGTCATCAAACAGCCTCGACCGCCAGGATCCAGAGTCAAGAAGACGAGCGGAATGCCCTCGACGCACAGCGCGTAAGTATAGATGGCAGATATGCTCGAGCCAATGTTACCAGCCCAATCTGACTCCTTCTCATCTGTGCTTCTCATCGGCATTCGTCGCGATCGCAGCACCATCTCGTTCATGGGCACCTACATCTTTCTCTCGTCGCTCTTGCTACCTCTACATCCGTCGTTATCCTTGGACTCTAGCTCCACTTTGGGAGGACCGGCGAGCCTAGACAGCATGACGCGCGTGTGGATCGCGCTGATTGGAGTGGTGGCGCCTGTGCTCGTCATGTGGTCGCGGGTCAGATTGGGTGTTCACACTCCGTCACAGACGCTGGCAGGCGCCTGTCTCGGCGTCACAAAGGCCTGCCTCTGGTTCACAGCATGGAACGGCATACAGATCTTCCTGGACACTCCATCGAGCCAGCACGACACCGCATCGACGTCGATACTGCGCGACGGCCTGAAGAACACAGTCGGCGTTCGAGTGGATAGTTGGATTGCGCAAGCGGAAGTCAGCCTTGGGCGAGCAATGCGGTCCTAACTCTGCATTCTGCTCCGAGGACAGGAGGCAAAAGGCTGTAGATTCATTCGACCTTGATACCCACACGAACAATAGAATTCACAAACTCCATTCTCCTCTACGAGCAACACAGTCGGACGAGCAAAAGACTCATGCTGTCTGTCATCGCAGTTGCTCTCCTGCCGAAAGGTCGAGTCGGAAGCAAAAAGCGTTGTTAGGTCGCGGCGACCGAGTGTTCTAAATAAATAAACAACCGCGGCGCGTGCGTCTGTGCGCGGGCGGCTGGATGTCAAACGCCTAAATATGTCTCAGTGTGTCGAATGTAGAAGTTTATTATAGCTTGGCTTTTCTCGAGTCCGACGCCGTCCTTTCGTGCGCCTCGTGCCCGGGCAGCACGCATACAGTAAGCGGTGCTCTGTAGAAGCTTCGTGGTCTGGCTGGCCCCTTTCGAACATCGTTCTGGACATACCCCTCTTCTTCTCCCAACAATTCGACGACCGCAGTTCTGCCATTCATCCCCCTCTGTCAGCACCGCTATCAATGTTCGTGATTGTCGACGTCGATCCGTGTGAGCTGTCTGTGTGTGATGGAAGAAGGCATACATTGTGGAAGCGGGGCTGCGCCGTTCGGGAAGCGGAACGCTTCTCACGACCCTTGCGCCCTGCCGCCTTTTCAATTTTAGGCTCGAGCTTCGCAGAGACGATTTCCGATTTTGTGCGTCGTTGCTCAACCCGATTTCGCGACTTTTTCCTCTTCCCGCTCTCTCCTCTCCGCGTGTGTGCATGGTTTGGCATCGCACGCATCGTGCCTGTGCACCGCTCCACTTTCACCGTCACCCACCATCCATCCACCACCATCACCTCATCTTCGACTTCTCCCTCTCCAGTACGACCGTTACGACCCACCCTTCATCCCACCATCTCCATCGAGGAGTGATTACTTTGGCACCTCTCGGCCTTGCCCGGTTTCGCATCTTTTTGCTGCCATCCGTCTTCAGCTTCTCACTTCCATACGCAGAAGCCATCCAGACCAAGCCGAAGCCAGACAGGCTGGCTCGACGCAAGCTTCGACACAAGGCCTTGACCTCCACCAGTACGGTACAATCAGCGTCGCATTCATAAGCGGAACTTTCATCCCCACATAGCGACCATGGCCATCTTCGGCAAGAAGAAGTCCGATAAGGACAAGGACAAGGACAAGGAAAAGGAAAAGCAAACCGGTTCTCAGGTCCAGTCCGCGAATCCCACAAATGGCGACAGCAACTCCTCCATGTCACCCCCGACGGACTCGTCGGCCAAGCCTCCACAAACGTTTCAACAACAGCAGCAGCAACAGTCGCCATACTCGGGCATCCCTACACCTATCGGCTCTCACATTCAGAACAAAGGTTCCTTGTCAGGCCCCATCGGCAGCGCTCCCATGGGCAGCGGCTTTGCCCCTCAGCCTGGCCAACCCGCTCCTTCGGGCATCCCTACCCCCACCACGGGTCCTCTCGGAGCCGCTTCCGGCTTTCGTTTTGGTGGACCCGCACCTCGCCCCGATGGCATGAGCTCAGGTATCCCCGCGCCCGGTCAGCATTCCCTTCGTTCGCGCAAAGTGAGCGAGCAGGGCGGTCCGATCAACGCTGCGCCTGGCCCTGCATCGAATTTTGGTCTGGGAGCGATGGGTAGTCCACCCAACGGCAGCGTCTCCGGTCTGCCACCCGCCTCATCTGGACCGAACGCCGGGCCTCCTCTTTCCAACTCCAATGCTCCTGGACAGCCTGTCGGTGACAAGGGTCGCTCTCAGTCGGTCGTGTATCCATGGAGTCAGCGCGGCCTCGCCATGAACCCCCCCAAGTTCCTCGACGAGTCCCGCCAAGCACCTCCAGGTGCACTCAGCCCCTTCCCCTTCCCACGCTACGGCCATGCCGTCAATCAGACAGCCAGCACCACCGGCGAGCTCTACCTTTTCGGAGGTCTCGTCCGTGAAAGCGTCAAGAACGACCTCTACACCATCTACGTCGACAAGCTCGTCTCGCAGACGCCTAATTCGCCGCCCGGTGTCGACGCCAACCAGCTCTACGCCAGCGCAACCCTCGTACAGACCACAGGCGAGATCCCGCCTCCGCGAGTCGGCCACGCCACCGTCCTCGTCTCCAACGTCCTCATCCTCTGGGGCGGCGACACCAAGGTGCGTGCTGACGACAAGCAGGACGAGGGACTTTACCTGCTCAACCTCAGCACACGAGAGTGGACCCGCGTCAAAGCCGGCGATGGTCCCGAGACGTGCCCTGTCGGCAGGTACGGTCACAGCGTAGCCATCGTCGGCTCGCGCTTCTTCGTCTTTGGTGGTCAGGTCGACGGCACCTTCATGAACGATCTCTGGTGCTTCGATCTCAACAGCCTCAAGGGGACGCCCACCTGGCAATGTCTCACGTCCAACGGCGATGCACCGCCCAAGCGTACGGGACACGCCAGCGTCACCTACAAGGACAAAATCTACGTATTTGGTGGTACCGACGGCCAGTACCACTACAACGACACGTGGTGCTACGATATCATCGCAGCCACATGGAAGGAGCTCTCGTGCATCGGCTACATTCCTGTGCCCCGCGAAGGCCACGCTGCCTGCCTCGTCGACGATGTCATGTATATCTTTGGCGGTCGTGGCGTCGACGGCAAGGATCTCGGAGACCTTGCCAGCTTCAAGATCACCAATCAGCGATGGTACATGTTTGCCAACATGGGTCCCTCACCCAGCGGTCGATCCGGGCATGCCATGTCCACCTTCCAAAACAAGGTGGTCGTTCTCGGTGGCGAGAGCTTCACCGGCGCCAAGCCCGACGATCCGGCTACCTTGCACGTCCTCGACACGGCCAAGATCAAGTACCCTACCGACAATGCTTCTCAAATCAAGAATCCAGCTGGTTCCCAGATTCCCAAGTCCAACATCACCTCGCCTGGCACCAATCTCCCTTCCAGTGCTGGTGCTGCGGCTGGTGCTGCTGGTGCAGCAGCGGCAGTCGGCGCCTCACAGATCCCAGGGCCCAACGGATCGGCACGCGGCCCAATGTCACCTGTTTCAGAGGCAGACGAACGTCAAAGAGCCGTTTCGCCCACCACGCGCACAACATCCAAGCCCACACAAGACGGCGCGCCAATGTCGCCGGATCGTGGTGTCAATCAGACCTTTGCGCAACAGCAGCAGCCGACGCAGGTGACCCCAGGCGCCGTCGCCGGTTCCGGACCAGTGCAACCGCAGACGCAAGTACCACAGCAGGGTCTCAACCAGCCTTCTGCTCCCGCTTCTTCGCTTCAAAATTCGCAGCCTCCTTTCCAGCAGCCACTGCCGCAAGGCACCGTCAACGGCGAGCCTTCGCTGGGCGCCGCGCCGGCTGCCTTGGGCATTCAGCAACGACAAGCCCAGCCACCTGCGCAGACGCAGGTGCCTGTGCAGACCCAGCCTCATCCCTATGCTCAGCAAGTCGGACCGGGTGCAGGCTCCAACATTGCACCTGGGTCTGGTCCGGCGCCGTACGGCGGACCACGCAGCCAGCGATCCATCGAGAATCTGCGTGGAGGAGGTGCACTTTCGCCCACCAACATGAACTCGATGCGAAGCATCAATGGTGTCGTCAGCAAGATGGACTCGCCCGCCACTGCGCCACAAGACGGTTTCCACTATGGCCGCGCCACCAGCCCGCCTGTCACCAACGGATACATGTCGCCTCAACCCGCTTCCGCCGAAGTCGATGCGCTTCGCAAACGCGAGGCTTGGTACAAAGCAGCACTTGCTCTCGCAGTCAAGAAGGGCTTCGTGGAACCAGATCAGCTCAACAGCGGCGACATCACCATGACCGACACCCAAAGCGTGTCCTCCGAGCGATTGAGTCTGGACGGCATCGACACCGGCGCCGAGGGCAGCGACAAGGATCGCGTGCTCAAGACGCTCATCTCTCTCAAAGCTCAGCTTGCCGGCGCCAAGGCCACCATCGCGCAGCAGGCGCAGGGAGAGGCGGACCGCCACGCTGAGTCGGACCGAGCCCGCTCTGCCGCATTGCAGGAGGCTGCTTACTACCGTGCTAAGCTGTCGGCCATCGAGTCCGGCAACGGCGACGAGGTGGGCCGCCTCGACCGCGAACGTGCCAACAAGCTCGAAAAGTCGCTCGCCGATGCGCTTCGCGAAAGCGCTCAACTCGAACGTCAGGTCACGTCGCTTCGTGAGCAGACCAAGCTCGAGCAGCAGTTCCGTAGCGCCGCCGAGGAGAGGCTCTCCGAGACGGCCAAGCGCGCCATGGCTGCCGAGGCTGCGCAGATGAAGGCGTACGACGAGCTCTCGTCGCTGCAGAAGCGCAGCTACTCGACCGAGAGCGCACTGCGCGAACACACCGAGCAGGTCACGACGCTTTCGTCGCTGGCAGCGCGTCACAAGGCCGACCATGAGCACTCGCAAAGTCAACTGGAAGACGCCAAGGCCAACGTCGCCGCGCACCTGGCAGCGCTGACGCAGCTGCAGGCGGCTCACGCGTCCGTCTCGACGCGGGCTGGCGAGTACGAACGACTGCACAAGGATCAGCGCGACATGCTGCAACAGCACCAGCAGACCATCTCTGATCTTAAGGCGCAGCTCGAGGCCAAGTCGAGCGAGGCCTCTCATCACGCCTCACGGGCTGTCGAGCTCGAGACGCTCGTCTCGCAGCATCGACAGGAAGCCGAGGTTCACCGCACGGCCGCCACAAGCGGTCTTGCTGCTCTTCTCGCCCAGAAGGACCAGGCGTCGACACGCGATCTCGGAGCCTCGACCGCCGTTCCCCAGCACGTCGAGGACAAGATGAGGGCGTTGGAGGACGAGGCGGAAACTCTGCGCCAGCTGCACATGGAAGCACGCCAGATGGCCGACGAGCATTCGACATCGCTGCAGGACATGCAGGATCGCCACTTGACGATGGAGAAGCAGCACACCGCTCTTCGCTCGGAGCTCACGGCTCTCCGAAGTCAGCTTGCCGTTGCGTTGCAGGAAGCGGCGCGACACAAAGACGTTGCGAGCTCAAAGGATCTCGAGCTGCGCGATCGCAACCGCGCCATCGAGGCTGCTCAGGTCAAATCGAGCTTGCTCAAGCAGTTCATGGCGGAGCGCGGCGTGAGCGTGCCCAACGACGACGAGCTGAGCGTCAAGTCGGGCTACGCAGACCGTCACATCCGCGAGCTGGAAGAAGAGATCGATGCGCGTGCACGCGAAGTGCAGGAAGCAGAGCACCGCTTGCAAGACTCGGAGAGCCGCGTCGAAGAGCTCACGCGGCAGCTCGAGCATCACGCCTCGCTCAACGCCAGCCGCGGCACCGCTGACAACACGAGCGTCGCTGAAGCCGAGCGACGCGCGCAGCACGCAGAACGCGAGCTTGCCGAGACCACAGCGTCGTACAAGGAGCGTATGGCGCAGCTCGAAAACGACTACCAGACGGCAGTGCAGTTTGTCAAGGGTACTGAGAAGATGCTGCGTAGGATGAAGGACGAGCTGACCAAGTACAAGACCGAGAACGCCAGCTTGCAGAACGAGGTGGCGACGCTGCGTTCGCACGGTGGCGCTGCAAGGTCGAGCACGGATGACGGTGCGCGCTCGGAAGAGGCAGCACGCGACATTGAGGCACTGCGAAGTCACCTGGCCGACGTGACGCATCAGAGCGAGGAGATCGCGGCCGAGAACCGCGAGCTGGAGCGAAGGGTGGCGCAGCTTGTCGCCGAACAGCAGCAACACCGCGGTTCGTTGGACAAGACGCGCGACGCATCGGACAGCGGACACTCGGGTCGCAAGGTGAGCGAGCTCGAAGCCGAGGTGGCTCGACTGCAGGCCAACTTGGCCGAGTCACGCAAGCAGCTTTCGCAGGGACACGAGGCGAGCGTCTCTGGAGACTCGGCAGCGTTGTCTCGATCGCTCACTGCTGCACACACGAGCAACGAGCAGCTGAAGCGAGACAATGCCAGCCTGCAGCAACGGCTGCACGAGCTCGACGACAAGTTCCAATTGCTTCTGGGGCGCATCGAGTCGACGCACGAAGACGGCGGTGAGCGAGCGCGCGACAGCATGGCGTACGGTAGCATTGCTTCGGAGCTCGACAAGTGGGAACGCGATCGTTCGCTGGGAGAGGCGGATGCGTACGGTCTAGCTGGTGCTGGTCAATCGGCGCATGCGGCAGTTCAGGAGGTACTGCAGGCCTCGCCGCCGCTGTCGAGCGCCGAAGCGTATGCCAAAAGGGCGTAATCGCTCCTCCCTCGTTGCTGCTGCTACTATCTACTTTTCTTATGACCCTGACCCAGGACCATCCTTTTCAACCGTCGGCAGGTTCTGCCGACCACCTTTCCTTTCTTTCCGGTGCGGTGACCAGCTTTTTCCGACCGTGTTCGCAGGATGACTGCATATCACGACTTTTGGCCTGTTCATTCCTCTTCTGTTTGTATTTCGGTCATCGCCTTTGCTTTGACTCACCCATGTACCACAATTACGACTCTCTCTCTTTCTCTGGCTTCTGCAACGAAGCGGACCAGAAGTGTCTCGTGCAGATGCCCTTTTAATGAATATGATGACCCGTATTCTCTGTCTATGTGGTTCAAGGAGAGCCGTGTCAGTGAGATGTGAAGCGTGAGACTGCGGCCCTTGCAAAATCGACGGTATGTTGGAAAGTTGGCGCTCCTGCAGGGCGCGGTCATTCGACACCGTCCGCAGAGTGAAGAGTGCACAGCGCTGAAACTGGAGAACAGGAGTTCCGGCGCCTAAAGCAAAAGGCGGGTGTGACCCGTAGAGTTTCGAGAGGGCGGCAGCCAGACAGGGCGCGCGGTAGGAATTCCGATTTTTCAAACGTCGGCTAGGAGTGCAGCTCAGGTGGCTAGCTGTCAACTTGCCAACAAGGCAAAAAGCGACGAAAAGGAGGTCTGTTCTCACGGTGTTCTCTGGCTGGGATCGAAATTTGTCGATTTTCTGACTGGAGCGTGGCGCGGGTCGTGCAGTGGCAGATCGGTGGATGAGAATGAGACACACAAACTGCCACAGAGCTGTAGCTTTGGTGTCAGTCGATCTTGGCCCATCGAACCCTGAAACTTGGCTCGCACATGCAACACATTCCTCGCGACCGCTCGAGTGGTACACATTCTTGATCTCTTGCTACCACCCTTCAACCTTGAACCATTCCGACCACTTCACCTCTTGACCACTCTCCAAACGGCTGCATCTCTGCTCGTACGATCGTCTGAGCTTCTTCAGGAACCCAAACGGACCGGACGCTCGACGACACGATCGACTTTGCATCTGCACGTAGAGCCAACGCTCAGATCCAGCTTTGATCACGAGCTCTCACATCAGACAACATCATCGAGGGGAATCGGAAGAGCGCACATTGATTCGTGGAAGTGCTCAACCGTCAAAAGCGGTCCAGCCATCATTATCAGGGCTATCTCTGCAAGAGCAGTCGAGAACGCAAAGCCATAGCCTAGGCCTACCTCTGCAAAGGCAACAATACTCGTTTTCGGCTTGCACTACCATCCTCGCGATACGCTTGCTACCTTGCTCTTGGACACATCCCGCGACTGATAACAATGCTGCGCATGCTACCATCGCTATATGCGCTCTGTGCGCTGGCCTGCTTGGACGGAGCGTTTGCACCTGATCCGCCCAGCTTCACACCTGGCCTGTCGACCGCGGCGTCAGCCTCAGGAACGCAAGCGCCGGCAACAGGCTCGGTCAACATCCCCTCTTCCGCGCCTGCGGGAGGTATCACAGTAACGCAACCCATCCAAACCGCGGACGCATCGTACTACAAGATTGCTCGAGGTGTCGAAGTGACGTTCGGCTGGAACTTTACGTCTGTTCTGCAGTACCCACGCACGCTTACGGTGCAGGCGTACTGCTCGGACAACCTGAACACGTACGACATTGCGACGAACCTTCCGGGTACAGCGACGAGCGTGGTGTGGTCGCCGTACAACTACTCTTCCAGCGTGGAAGCCAGCAACCCGAATCTGCCGCAGCTGATCGCCGCTAGCTATCGACTGATGATCTACGACGAGCGAGGCACGAGCGTTGGTGCGAGTCCAGGGCTGATGCAGCCGAATACGAGGGTGCAGTTTGCGCTGTACAATCCTCAGGCGTATACGCCGCTGGCCAGTGGGTGGATCTGCGCAGCGTGCAGCGGCGCGAGCGGGCTGAAGATGGTGCACCCTGCGTTTGTCGGATTGATCGCCGCGGTGGTGGTCGCCGCGGTGAGTGGGTGGGGGTTGTTGTCGAGGCATGGTGGGTTGGTTGGGTTTGGCGATGATGAGTAGAGATGGAGCTGGATGGTCTGTGGTTAGGGAGCGGTGTGACGATCTACCACATCGTCATCATCTGGACATTGTTTCCGCTGCCTCAGCGTCGTGGTTGTGGCTTGGTCGGATTCGGCGAGGACGAGTGGAGATGCAGCTGTTCGGCCCCGCTGAGGAATCGGAAGCGTCGTTCTAAGCCGATGGAAGAAGCTCCCACATCGTCAAGTTGACACACTCTCTGTCGCTTTCACACACTATGGTGGATCAGTGGATCGACTTGCTGTGTCGCTCGTTCTCCTCTGCATCCCTGATTCCTTGTTTTATGCTAATGGACACTTTGGCTCACGTGCCTTGTCTGTGTGTCCTCACCATGATACTGTCTCCGTCGCTCTCACGTTCTGTAGAGGATCGGTGGATCGACTTGCAATGTTGCTCGTTCTCACTGGCATCTTTTCGTTGCTATTGGACGCTCCTTTTCCATGACTTGTATCTCTGTGTAACTGCGATGGCCGCGATTGTGCCTGCGAAGCATGCTGCGCCCTTCCTTGGTGGTTTACGATGGGACGGGCCTGCATCGAGACGCCAACGCAGATCCACGGAGCTGCGAGACAAGGTCATCGCCGATCCTGTCTCGCACTCATTTCGGACGTAAAAATGTTAGAACGGTGACAGGACGAAAAAAGGACACTGCGACTGCACGTGACGCTACACGCGGATTGACACGTCGCGCGCCCAGTTGCCACCTTTGGCGAAGAAATATCCTCGCGTAAAATGAAGAAGAACGCAAGCTCACGAGAGACGAAAGAAAAACTTTCCGAGCGTTGCCAGCACTACAGCACAGCGACGCCTTGCTCGCGGAAGCGCCGAACGTGGAATCATCATCGTAAGCAGACACCCGATGCGAAGCAAGTCTGCTTGCTCAAAAGGTTGGAATCGGCTTCTTGCGTTCGTAGAGGCAAAAAGGTCGCCGGGGAAGCCCCTACAGATGATAGGATGCGGTCCAGGGCACCAACTGACTTTCGAAAGCAGATGCACATGATGACGCTAGTAACGTGCCTCGGCTTGGGAAAAACCGCAACCGATTTCCAAACGAGATCAGTCGCGGCGACTCATACATTCGCCGTTGATCATGCTCCTACCACCGTCGCGCAGTCGCTGTCGAACACGGCGCAAGCCTCGCTGCTTCGGTGAGTGATGAAGCAGAGGCGAGAAGGTGAAATTGATGTGACAGCCGAGCATGGCTATTGGCAAGGTGTTATTGATACAGTGTACTCTTGTCTTTCTATTGTCACGGTGTGGCTCGGAGCTGTCACAGCTGAAAGGAATTGAAACCGGCTGCAACGAATGCAGAGAAAGGCGAATCGCAAATTCAAGAGTGGATGTATACAAGAGACGGAATGAACAAGTTTCGGATTCGCACGCGCCCGAGGCATGGCGCCCCCACAATTCACGTTGCAAGTCGGCAACAAAGAGTCGAGAGTGGGCGGTTTGAGCTCGCTCTGCAAGCCTTGCTGTGTGAATGTAGTTTTGACATTTCGGCGCTCGGGCGCGCGTCTTACAGCATCGCCGAGGAATCGCCAATATGGTTGTTTGTGGTGGCTGGCTTGTGTCGCGCTCAAGTGCTTTGTTTTGAGCTGCTCACTGGGCTGAATTCCTTGCGTATCGTCGTTCATTCTCGATCTTCTGGTCGCCCATCCTCGCTCGCCGATCCCTCAATCTCGCTTCGTCCCTGATCGTCCAGCAAGCCTTATGCGTGCCGCTGCCCGTCGCTCGGCCTTGTCATCGCATCACCACTAGCTTCTTCTTCCTCCTCTGCTTTCCTTCTGCTGCTGCTCATCCACCGACTGTACCTCGGCCTTGATCCTCGACCATCGTCATCATTGCTCCTCCGACCTTCAGCACCCTTTCAGCCACCCTTCAACGCAACGCTCTGCCTCTGCTTCGTCTCAGCCCTCTCACACCTCGTCGTCACCCCCTCGGTCTTTGCCTCCCTTCTTTCGAGCATTGCCCACCTCATCTGCCACACGCAACGCTTCTCTGCAACCCGGTCTATCTGCTGCAGCTCTTGTCCCTCCTCACTCTCCCTGCTGTCCTCTCGGCGTGCCTGGCCGCGTCGCGTCTTCTGCAGCCCTCTCCCTCGACGAGTAAACACATCGTCCTCCCTCCCCCCCGGACTGCATACACCAGCTTGCCTCTCCCGCCATCCCGCCTTGCCTCTACTGCCTCTCGCATCCTTGCGCACGCGGTCAAGCGCCCAGCCGCCTGCACTCTACTGCGGTGAGAGCTTATTCACCGACCCCAAGAGATCGACGCTGCATATACAACCACTTCCCTTCGTCCTCTCTGTGTAAGTGCCGTCTTGACCCCCCCATTGGCTCTCCCTTCGGCTCTCCGTCCTCTCCTCCTTCCTCGCGCCCTACGATTGCCGCCTTCCATACTGTATGCAGCACGTGCAGTTTCTCGCCCGTTTGCTCTCCTTAGCACACCACACCTATCGTGACCTTGCACCCAGTCGCGCATCCTATCTTGCCCATCTTTCCCACCTTTGCCGTGTTGATCCTCCTCCTTCCCTTCAGCTCTCTACCCTTGTTTCCTTCTCCGATCCATTTGCCGCTGCTCCTTCCTATTTCGCTTCTCTTGCGCTCTGCCTCGCTTGCTGGCTCCTGCACAGCCAAGCACACCTCGCACTTTTGCAAGTCAGCTTGCACCTACACATCTTTGTGCATCATCCGTCACTTGACACCATCATCCTGATCGCTACCACTCTCAGATTCGTTGCTGCTGTCATCGAAGCGTCGACTTTCCTCATCATCCTAGTCTCATCACTCTTGATCTTGACCTTCAGCATCCGCGCGCACCTCTTTCAACCTCGATCGTCTTGTACTGACTGTCGTATCCTCACCATCTCGCTCTCTACACCTCTGCCCATCTGAACCTCGTCTCATCTATCCACGGGGCCCGGGCGACACACCTTCGACTCTACACCACATACCTCTGACTCGCTGTAACCACCATGCAGGCCGAATCATCCCAACCACCGGTTGCATCGGTGCCTCCAACTCACTCCACGTCGCCCTATCTCGCTGCAGCCCCACAAGGACTCTTTGCTCCTCCTGCACACTCCATTCTCTTCAACCCATCAAATCAGACACAACCTCAGCATTCGCCGCAGCCGCAATCCAGCTTCGTCATTCAAGGCGCATCCTTCCCACCACGCGGCTTTCAGGATCCTTCCGGCGCACCAAACGACGCTGCTTACCGTTCAAACGCCATCCCACGCGCCGCTCAGGTGGTCGACTACACCAATCCGTACCAGCAGCTCGACCAGCACATCCAACAGCAGCCTCATTCGGTGCCATACAACCAGCATCTCTACGCCTCAACTTCGTACGCCGCCTTGGCAGGTCCAGCTCCCATGAACACCTTTGCTACCGACATGTCCTCCAACCCATACGCGCATCCCGACATGGGCATGATGCCGCCCAACGTCGGCGTCCCCATGATGCGCTACGCCTCCTTTCCGATGTCTGCCGACGAAATGTCGCGCGCAGGCTCTTCCAACGGAACTCCCGGCCCCATGACACAGCAGGATATTGACAACTTGCTCGCCATGTCGCGAGCACAGGCGGGCAGCCACGGCGATCTGAGTGCGTTCCCCTGCACCTATTGCGACAAGGTTTATACTGGCAAGCACGCTCGCAGCATTTGGCGTCGACATTTGCAGGACAAGCACAATATTCCTCTCAGCGCTCAGCCCCGCCGTACTCGCTGGGACGGCGACGTCAACCGTCCCAAGAACGCCGAGGAACGTCGCGCTCGAATGCTCGAGAGCAAGCGACGATGGGCCAGGAAGAAGCGTCTCCAAGAGAAGCAGGCCGCTCACGGCGGCAAATCGGGCGGCAGCAACACGCCCATGCCCGACGACTCGGACGACGATTGTGATGTTGATGGCGACGACAGCGCCGACGCAGATGTATCCAACATGGAGATGTCCTTTTCGCGCGACACCGATGCCGATGACTCGTTGTCCTTCAACCAAGCTTCTGCCCAAGCACACATCCCGAGGAGAGCTTCGGTCAAAGCCCAGGAGGCTTCGCAATGGGCGACCTCTCCAGAGGGTCAATTCTTCGCCTCGCAGGAGGAACTGGGCCGTTCTGCCAAGAGACAGCCGTTGGCTCCATCGACAGCATACAACATCGCAGGTCCAAGCAGCTTGCAGCCTCAATACCCAACGCAGCTTCCGTCGGGTCCGTACGAGATGGCTTCGGGTACCAACATCTACTCGAGCTCTCCCATGCACCGCGGTGGCATCGCTCTTGCCCCTGTTTCGCAGCACGGTCCTGGTCTCCCTCTGCTCTCGAACGCCAACGCAAGCTTCAGCTCCAACAGTTCCGACTACTCGCAGCCCAACTCGGCCAGCTTCTTCAACGACAGCTTTGCTGGCAACATGAGCAACTCCGGCAGCGACTCTGCCAACACTTCCATCGACACGCCTGCTACCACGTGGCCTTCTCTGCCTCCTCTCGACGGCGCTCCGGATAAAGCTGCCATTGCTCGGGCCGTTGAAGGCAACGGAGCCGATGCGCCTCGTAAGCAAAAGGGCGATACTCGAGACGCAGCTATCCAGTTGTTGGCGCTCCGATCCGGCTCCAACTCACCCACGGACGACCGTGACATGAGTTTGAGGAGGAGGGACGCTATTGAGGATGCCCCTTGGAGTTCCACGCCGAGCCGAGGAAAGGCTATCACCTCGGAACATGCCGCTCTCACTGCTCTGTCGTGCTCGACGACGGCCGAGGCGGGTCGCAAGGGTGGTGCGCTGGAAGATGTCGGTTTGAGCCCATCGCCTGTTTCGCGCGCGCTCGCTGCGTCGGGCGCCAATGCGGTGCGTGCGATGCCTGTGACCACACCCGGACCTGCCGGCCGCAGCGGAGACAACCCGTTCAGCCTGGACAAGCACAAGATCTCGCCCTATCGAAAACTCAGCTACTCGGGCGCACCCGTCTCGCCCACCGGCTCGCCGACGCATCTCACCTTCGGCGGCGCAGGTATGGGCAAGAGTCTCTCGAGCTCTGGCTCGACGTCGACGGCTGGCCCGCACGGCGTCAAGTTGGCTCCGCTGGTGAGCACTCCCATCCGACCGTCGTCGCAGGGCGCTCGCGCCGATGCCGAAACGGCAGGCGAACGTATCAAGGTCGAGTCGCTACCGCCTTTGCTAGGCTCTGCGAGCAAGAAGGCGGTGGGAGGCAACGGTGCGCCCGTCATGTCGACGCCTTTCTCCAAGCCCATGTCTGGACTTGGCTACTCTGCTCTTCGCCGGGGCAACGTCGGCGGTGCTGCTGCGAACGCTCACGTCGCCTCGGTCGTGTCGTCCGTCCGACCTTCGCCGTCGCGTCACCACTCGGACGACCAATTCAGCTCGCCGCAGCACCTCAATCTGACCGAGAGTCTCGGGTTGGCACCGCACTCGATCTCGCGCACGTCGTCGTACGCCTCGGGCTGCTACGCTTCGTCGCTCGGGCTGACGCCGAGCGTGGCGGGCATGTCGGGTGGGTTGATCAGTGCTACTCCGTTCCACTCGGGGTTGGGGGCGTTGAGTGGGTTGGGAGGGTTTACGCCGCTTTCGACGATGAAGGGGACAGGGTTTTGGCCGGAGAGTACGCGCAAGTCGGGGGTGAAGGGTGGGCTGCTCGGCGCGTCGGTGAACTCGCCGACGGCGAGTGCTTCGGCATCGCGCTCCACTACGACGAGCAGCAGTGGTGCGGGGAGGAAACGAAAACTCTCAGTTTTGGGTAAGCACACGTCGACGATCAAGTCACGCACTGCATCGCCTGTCGGTGGGAAGGGGGATATCTTTGATTCGGATTACCTCAAGAAGGAGTCGCTGCCGAGCAGTGATGATACGTTCGGGGATGACGATGAGGAGGAGGAGAATTACGCAGGGATCGATACGCCGAGTAGGCCGACGGCGAAGGCGAGGAAGTTGGTCAAGGGTGGGGAGGAGAGGGGTGCGTTGAGGGCGATCAGGATGAATTGAGAAGGACATCATTGATCTTAGTTCACAGAATGAACTTTTTTTTTCTTTGGCGATTGCGTGTTTTGAGAATGCTGTTTGAGAACGCTGTGATGAGGGTGTATGTTTGCGGATGAGACTTCTGCTGTGGGAATTCGGGTCATCCAGACTATCTGAGCAGGGAGACATGACCATGAATCTGATTTACGAGGAAGGCTTCCTAAGCGGGTTCGTGGTTGTCGATGGGAACGTCCGGATAGCACCTTGCGATCAGCTTTCGAATGTCGGCCATCATACGTTGGGTCTTGACGTATGTAGGCTCGTGTGTGGTGGAAATGCGACGGGAACAGTCGGAGTTGATCGCGCCGGCGAACGTGAGAGTCCACTCGGAACTAGTCGAACGCCAAAAGAGCACTTGTCAGTAACAGAAAACACGGGAGAGGAGGGGGGG